AACAACAACGTTATCTAGTCCCAAACTAAGCAAAGCTTGTACTATGAGTACTAGGTTACCGATAAACATGCCTTTATTTTGTAAATAAATACATAATATAGATATATAAACACGCAGACAGTCTGCGTGTCTGATGAACAGGTTCACACAATATTTTTCTAGTAGTGGGGTCGAATCCACACACTCTGGCGCAAGAAACAGGGTTACTTACACCTACGCTCATTGGGTCGTCGACTTCGAGACTTTATAGGCAGAACATATTTATTGGATCGTTGTTGAGTAAATATGTTAATCAATTACAGTTTATGATAATGCCTGATACGTATATTACGTGTTTAAAAATCACTTGATCCTTTAAAAGCTTACCAAGTTCGGTGCCTTTTGCATATTGGTATTTCTAGGCCATGATGCTTCCGTTCATATATGGAAATCGAATCCATAGCTCGCAACGCTGAACTCTATAAATCGGCAACTGAATAATCCGAGCCAAATTAATACATTACAAGAATAGTGGAAATGTTGTGGATATAACGGTACGGGAAAGGTCTAGAAAGTTCTCTATGATAGGCATTTCTCTAGGTATGTTTAGATAAAAATTCTTTTAAAACATAAATACGTCATTATCGTTAACCGAAAAGTCTTAGTTACGCGACGTTAAACCGTTCCCTCGGATTGGCTGATTAAATATTTGGAATCTCTTAGATACACGTAACATCATAACATTTAAATAAACACTATTTGAAAATGAAACGGCCTGTCTGTGTGGTCAAGTTATGCAACTCGGAAAACTACGCTTATTTTATTCCATTTTACTAAACGATGAATGTACGGTTTGCGGCGACTTAGGTTTACGTTGAAATGTTTGCGGTATGTACTAACGAATTATCCGTTAAACGGGTTTCTATATTACTCAATTTTTCACTTTCAGTGTATAAACTGTAAGTAAAAAGTAAAGTAAAATAACAGCCTATATTTGCCCCACTGCTGGGCAAAAGCCTCCTCTGTACAGAAGGCATTAGGGCAATGTCCACCGCGCGAACCCACTGCGGATTGGCGGACTTCATATATCCTCGAAATATGCAGGTTTCCTCACGATGTTCTCCTCCATCGCTGAGCATGTGTTATGACATAAACTGTGTGGAATTAAAATTAAACTTTTTCTGCTAACTTATTTGGGATCTTCTTAACCTTTACGAAGACAGTTACGTTTAAAAATGAAAACATCAACTTATGTTGAACATCAACAGACATGGTATTTTAGCCGTTTTTATAGATAATGCTACGGAACCCTTAGTGCGCGATGCCGACTCCCACTTGGCCGGTTTTTATTTCTAGTTTTTGATTCTCGTTATAGGTGTGCATTATTCGAAACCAGAAGGTTTTCAACTATAAAGGTATATGGAATGTAATTTTTAATTGAGTTGCTCAAAAAGTGGCGTATTGCAGGGACGTATAGCGTTCGGGATGTGGGCTATTAAATACTCGAGCTTTTTCTTTACCTTTTCCGAACTCGTGCGTTCTCTCTCCCAACTGTCAAAATAATGTCTATTAAAAAGAAAAAAACCAACCACGAAGTTTTACAAAAAAAAATTCATAGAATTTGTTTGAAGTTTGTATCAATTTATCAGATTTCATGATTTGATTCAATGAGTTAGGTTTTGGCATTTCATTGTATCTCATTAAATTTCATTTTCATTTCATATCAATAAAAAAAATCTAAAAATCTAAATGGGTGAAGAAAATAAAAAAAAATCTCTGCTTATATTCTTTTACGGTTGGCGCCATTTTCCAAAATTTTCTTTATTGTGTTTTTATTATTCTATTAAATTGCTTCATTTTTTCGCAACTGTATTAAAAATAGTTGTTCGGTACACGTGCGGAACGGTCATTGCAACTTGTTCCATCTGTCAACCGGCTGCGCCTCGGCCCGGGTAGACATTTGTCCGAACTCTTTGCAATGACAGACTTTCCGCACTCGTAATGAAATATACTATTAATCATTGCTTCAATTATTTTCCAATACAGTTGATATAAATTGATAGAAAATCGCCAAAAACCCTAGTAGTCACGAAGACCGACAGAGTTTTAAATTTCCGATATAATAAAATAAAATTGATCATCCCGTTGAAAACCATGTAATATTTGCATTGAACAACTCAATGAGCTAAGTACAGGAGCTTAAAGGAGTTTAACAATACTCTCTTTAAAAATAATACATTTTAACGAGGCTTAGGAATTTTGCCTTAGTGTCAGAATAAATATTACGGACAAATTTCGCGTATGGCGTAACACACGATGGCGTTGACTGATTGATATTTGCGAATGATTTGTCATCTTCATTATTGGTGTCAGCATGCGCGTGCAAATATGCAATGCGTGCGTATATGCAAAAAACTTAAGCATACCCCGGTGTCCCATACAAAAAACTTAAACCCACGAATGAAACCAAAGTTATTGCTTTTTTTTATGTGAGAAGTTGGCCCCGGTTACCTCACTCGCCGGACGAAACGCAGAAGTATATAAAATACTTCCACTTCACGCCGATATTCTGTGAGGTCAATATAAATATCCGAAGGGACCTGCCCATTCGTGCAACAGCGAAGGCTGTTGCGTGTCCTTATCACTTTTTTTTTGAGTTAAAGAAAACAAAGTTAACCTTTCACAGCCTTTTCAAAGGCCACTTGGCCTCTACTTCAGATCATTTATGTGACTCGTTTTGTTATTACAAATCATTCGAGAAACTGCTAAGTTTTTTAGTGCATACCCTGTAATCTCTGTCACTGGCTGACCGGTGGTAAGGTCGGGCGTTAAACCCATTGCGGATTGATTAAATACTAACGATTGGTGCCTGTAGTAGTAGTTCTTCAAATTATCATGACTGTGTTCGTGTGCAATTAATGAAATCTGTATACCGTATACAGGTCGAACCAACGCTTTGCGACGTTCGCATGCGCCAAAACGCCATTTAACAAAGTAGACTGTATAGGCCAATCGAAATTAATCATAATTATAATGATGAAACTTTTCTAACGAGTGGATACAAATGTCTCTTTTTTTTTTCTCTTAGTTTTTAAAAACATTGTCCTTACTTTAGGATAACAGTATCCTGTGTTGTAAGGGATGTAATTTTACAAACACAAATTTCACGCGGACAAACACCCAGATGCGAAACAATTATCTGTGGGTTACACAAATGTGGCAAACAAAGGCAGCGATATACGGTCTCAGAGCAGTGGTTATACTTTGGTTGATATGAGTTTATTGACGACTTGCTTTGTGATAATCCCGTTTTATGTTCTTTCACCTTTAAATTAAAACATTATAGTTTATTTCGTCCTTTCAAAAAATGAATTATTATATAGTACAACCGCCAGTTTACTAGTCCGACATCCAAGTTAAAGGCTGGAGTTAGAGCTACGTTAGAATTTTGAATTTGACGTGAGGTCAACAAGATGTGGGAATGAGACATTTTGATATCGGAGTTTTCGGCAAGTGCTAACAGAGTACAGAAACTAATTCCGTATACAAAACACTATCTCATTGCAACTGTGACTTCAGTTTTGGGTATAATATGTATTCATGATATGATTTCACTAGATGAGGAAATTTCTGCAAGCAATTGATGAAATAGGAACGGCAGATTAATCAAAAATAAAATACTACTACTATAGTAATGATTATAAAAGATATATAAACCGAGAATGAATAATTATTATGGGGAAAGATTATCAAAATTTCTAATACCTAAGATATTTAATAAATTTGAACTTTTGAGAGGGAGTCCGCAACTCAGTAAAAATGTGTTGAAGTCAAAACTTAAACAGTTGTTTCTTGATGAATTATCATTGGAGTAGTAGTTATTTATAACAGAAGTTTATCATTGTTTTAATTAGTGCCTGTGTTGGTTATAATTATAGTGTAAAGAAATACTTAATAAATGTGTATAATTAATATTATAAGTAAATTAGTAGTATACTTAAAAGATATTATGTTGAAAATCGAGCGTGTCTCGCCATCAAACGTAAAAGTTTGGCGAGAATAGCTATGTAAGCCTATTCTTTGTATATTTTTTGTGATTAATAAATAAAAAAAAAAAATCACATACAAACTGATTCTTCGGCCCAGTAAGTTGCAATCGTGGCTATATTTTCGTTTCGAAAAAGAAACACCTTCGCACTGCAGCTAAAAACTTCATGTAAGATATCGGTATAGCGTAATACTTGGCTAATTTGGCAAAATTTGCTACGCTTTGGAGTAGCTCACACTCCTGACTTACAATACCTATAACGCTCATGGTCCAATTGTAGGAAAAAATGCTTGCTTTATAGCGCTCATTTCGGTTGTATTGTATATATCTTCTGTAAATGGCTAACTGCAAAGCATTTTGGTGTGTTGTTTGATTGTTATTTAAAAAAATTGTAACCAAAAAAAATCTCTATTCAGTTCCTTGGCCGGCTTCAGTAAGCGTTGACTTTAGCTGTTTAACGATTCGATAATCCCGTTAACTATCTACGTAAACGTTAAAGTCTACTTCAATCATAAACGTGACGGTCTCATCTATGACGTAACAACGGAGCAAGGTAAACTATTAGTCCCGGCAAAATGTATTGTAATGGTCTAAAGAGAGACGTTGAAGATTTTTTTGATCCCCCAGAACGCGATTCGTATGGGATTGATTTCGAGAGTAGCTGTTGGTGAACAACGTTGATGACCCATAAAAATATAATTTATCCATCCGAGCTACGTCATTGGAAAGAACTGCCGTTCACAAATTGCATAACTTAATAATTGCCACCCTCAAATTGTCTATTAGTTATTGATCTACTTTATGTGTGGATCCCGGCCACCTCATTCTCCAGACGAAACGCGAGAAGTATTACACTTCCACTTGACGCCGGTCTTCTGTGAGGTCGTGCTACTTACCCTGACGGGCCTGCCCATTCGTGCAACAGCGTGGAGTGTTGCGCGGCCCTGTCTGTAAAAGATGTCTGCAATTTCAGCTGCAGAGGTGCTGTCTACGCAGCGTTCGCTCGCACGCTGTCGTCCCCTCCACGCCGCTACCCTCGAGTCGAGGAACAAGGCTAAGAAGTGCGCCGAGTTTCTGCAGCCCTACAGGTATTTTGGACAATGATCGGGTGGACTACCATCGGGTGCTAAACGGTGGTGGTAAAAGCGTGGTGGTAAACGCATGGTGCCTATTCCTTCTTCCGTTGAAGACGACTATCGCACGCGTTCACTATGTAGTACTATTACATTTGATACTGACATATAGCTAATATGTCAGTATATCTTATCCTTTAAACGAGCAATTCTTGTATATATCTATATATATAATTGGAATCTCGGAAACGGCTCCAGCGATTTTCATGAAATTTAGTATGTGCGTAGATTCGGAGGTGAAAAATCGATCTGACTAGGTTTCATTTTTAGAAAATGTCCTATTATCCCTGTTTTCAGGGAATGAAAAATATAATTCGAATATGACGGTAAATTTCGTAGCAAGAGTAAATGTCAAAATAGCTCGGTCGGTAATCTGGCGGCCCCAAAACAGACGGCCGTGGTTCGCGTCACGATCATTTACACATTTATTTTTTTACTTTTTTTCGATTCCAGATTATTGCTTTCTTTCTTTTTAATTTTTTGTCGATTTGTTATTTTGTTGTTTTTTTCCCTTTTTTTTAAAGTTCTTTCTTTTGTGAAAAACATCAGTTCATATTTTCTTATTATTACGTCGGTAAGATCGAAAAATATTACTCAGTAATTTGTATCTAAATGTAATTTCCAAAACACACGATTTACCAAAAAAAAAAACAAACCGAGCAAAGCTCGGCCCTCCGGGTACTTGATATGACATTTGATACTGACATATTAGCTGGTTCTTTGGCCTCTACAAGTGCCTAGATTTTTTTCGGTATTTAACATTATCATAGTATCAATATTTTATTTGCTTTTATATAGCGTGCCTTTACAACCGCGACAATAAATGAACACACGTGTAACGCTACTTGCCAATAATCATAAAAAAATATTAACGGTAAAAAAATCCATAATTAAAAAAAACATTTTTCGAACAAACTAATTAAGTAAAAAAGCAAAAAGATTCAGAGACTTTTTCATTCGTTACCACAGCACCGCATTACAAGCCCCTCCTTCTAACAGTATGTTTTGTCTCTTTTAAATTCATTCAACCCATTCATATGCTTTGTGACCTTTACAAATAAACTTTACGTTACAGTTTGGTACGTAAGGTGTTCTAAAATTCTTTGTTTTGGAAAATTGAATAACTCTGTAAATATTGATGTTTAAAGAAAGTAAATGTTTAATACAATTTTAAAAAGTTATCCTCTATATGTGTGTTCATTTATTGTCGCGATGGTAAAGACACACTGTATATATTGTTAGAAATAAATCGAAATATCGGATGGCAACACTGCAACGGGCTATAAAACGCACATCATGTTCGTTCAGTTCAGACTATCCTCAGCTGTCGTAGCGTGCTGAAGGTCTACTCGAATTAATAACGATCGTGTCGGTTACTTAGAATTATAGTTCAATTTCTATGTAGTCTGGCCAACTGGTCAATAAGTTCTTTTTATAATTTTGAACAAAAAAAAACGATTTCAAACAGGAAACTAAAAGCATTGTCATCACCTATAACATTTGAGGATTGCTCTCGATTTCTCTGGGGTGCCATCATCAGATCCGGGTTTCCTTATCACCGTACCACCCTTGGGATATCTCCTTTCCAACAAAAAAAGAATCGTCAAAATCGGTTCATAAATGACGAAGTTATTCCCGAACACACATAAAAAAAAATAATATATACGGTCGAATTGAGAAACCTCCTCCTTTTTTGAAGTGGGTTAAAAAATCAATGATCGTTTCTATTTCTAACAATATAATATGTATTCAGCTTCACCGACGTGTCGATTTATGATCGTGCCCACCTCACTTTCAGGCAACGCCCGGAGACATGTACCGCACTGGCGAGGCGTCTAGTATCCGGGGCGCTGGGCGTCCGCCTCAGCACGGCCAGGCAGGAGCGAGCGGAGGAGAGGAGGCTCATCACCCTCGCCAGAGGTGAGTGGTTTAGGACTGGAGAACGTTGTTTTCAAGGTGGTGGGGCCACGCAACAGTCTTCGCCGTTCCACGAATGGGCAGGTTCGTCCGGGTAAGTACCACGACCTCACAGAAGACCGACGCGAAGTGGAAGTGTTATACTTCTGCGTTTCGTCTGGCGAGTGAGGTAGCCGGGGCCGGGTTATAATACACAAACGGTAACACAAACACCCTACAAATGCAAATGTCCATGGGCGGTGGTTGTCACTTACCATCGGGTGATTCGCCAGCTCGCGTGATTATTTGGAAAGCAAACAGGTTGTCATTGGTTGCCGTGCCATAAAGTTGGTGTCGCTTTCAGGTGTCGCGCGTCGTTAAAATTCACCCAAAGCGCTCCAAAAGGAGTATAATTTTAAAACATTGGCTCTCTACGAGATAAACTTTTTCGTGTTACAGAGAAGAAACGTCAGGCGGCGCTGCACAAGGAGGCCGCATGGGACGGCTCCCTCGCCAACCAGTCTGCGGCGGACACGTGACGGGGCCCCGTGCCGAAATCGACCTTGCGCCCAACGCGTAAGGCTCATAATCCCTACCGACTGTGGACACATGATGCCCTTGAGACGAACTCGCCCTTGCGCCCAACGCGTAAGGCTCATTATCCCTACCGACGGCGGACGCGTGACGGTCGCGAGCCGAACCCGACCTTGTGCCCAACGCGTAAGGCTCATTATCCCTACCGACGGCGGACGACGAACTCGCCCTTGACGCGGTCGGACGCGTGACGGTCGCGAGCCGAAGCTCGATCTTGCGCCCAACGCGTAAGGCTCATTATCCCTACCGACGGCGGACGCGTGACGGTCGCGAGCCGAACCCGACCTTGTGCCCAACGCGTAAGGCTCATTATCCCTACCGACGGCGGACGCGTGACGGTCGCGAGCCGAACCCGACCTTGTGCCCAACGCGTAAGGCTCATTATCCCTACCGACGGCGGACGCGTGACGGTCGCGAGCCGAACTCGACCTTGCGCCCAACGCGTAAGGCTCATTATCCCTACCGACGGCGGACGCGTGACGGTCGCGAGCCGAACCCGACCTTGTGCCCAACGCGTAAGGCTCATTATCCCTACCGACGGCGGACGCGTGACGGTCGCGAGCCGCCGAACCCGACCTTGTGCCCAACGCGTAAGGCTCATTATCCCTACCGACGGCGGACGCGTGACGGTCGCGAGCCGAACCCGACCTTGTGCCCAACGCGTAAGGCTCATTATCCCTACCGACGGCGGACGCGTGACGGTCGCGAGCCGAACCCGACCTTGTGCCCAACGCGTAAGGCTCATTATCCCTACCGACGGCGGACGCGTGACGGTCGCGAGCCGAACCCGACCTTGTGCCCAACGCGTAAGGCTCATTATCCCTACCGACGGCGGACGCGTGACGGCGCGGACGCGTGACGGTCGCGAGCCGAACCCGACCTTGTGCCCAACGCGTAAGGCTCATTATCCCTACCGACGGCGGACGCGTGACGGTCGCGAGCCGAACCCGACCTTGTGCCCAACGCGTAAGGCTCATTATCCCTACCGACGGCGGACGCGTGACGGTCGCGAGCCGAACCCGACCTTGTGCCCAACGCGTAAGGCTCATTATCCCTACCGACGGCGGACGCGTGACGGTCGCGAGCCGAACCCGACCTTGTGCCCAACGCGTAAGGATCATTATCCCTACCGACGGCGGACGCGTGACGGTCGCGAGCCGAACCCGACCTTGTGCCCAACGCGTAAGGCTCATTATCCCTACCGACGGCGGACGCGTGACGGTCGCGAGCCGAACCGACCTTGTGCCCAACGCGTAAGGCTCATTATCCCTACCGACGGCGGACGCGTGACGGTCGCGAGCCGAACCCGACCTTGTGCCCAACGCGTAAGGCTCATTATCCCTACCGACGGCGGACGCGTGACGGTCGCGAGCCGAACCCGACCTTGTGCCCAACGCGTAAGGCTCATTATCCCTACCGACGGCGGACGCCGGACGCGTGACGGTCGCGAGCCGAACCCGACCTTGTGCCCAACGCGTAAGGCTCATTATCCCTACCGACGGCGGACGCGTGACGGTCGCGAGCCGAACCCGACCTTGTGCCCAACGCGTAAGGCTCATTATCCCTACCGACGGCGGACGCGTGACGGTCGCGAGCCGCGCTCCTTATCCCTACTGACGGCGGACGCGTGACGGTCGCGAGCCGAGCTCGATCTTGCGCCCAACGCGTAAGGCTCATTATCCCTACCGACGGCGGACGCGTGACGGTCGCGAGCCGAACCCGACCTTGTGCCCAACGCGTAAGGCTCATTATCCCTACCGACGGCGGACGCGTGACGGTCGCGAGCCGAACCCGACCTTGCGCCCAAGGCGTAAGGTTCATAATCCCTACCGACGGCGCACACGTGCCGGCCTCAAGCCGAACTCGCCTTGTGCCCAACGCATAAGGCTCCCAATCCCTACCGATTGTTGTACCGGTGTTCTCGGAGATTCACTAACGGCTGTTGTTGTCTAGCACCAGCGCATTTCCTCCTCGATACAGATGAGATTAATTTCTGGCTCCATTTAAACGGTCCTGACAGATGCATGTGCAAACTCAAAGTCGCAACCCGAGTTCCAATACCGGTGCGGGCACCGATGAAATTCTCAATTTAAATTGCTGACTTATCACGTGATTAGTGGTGAAGGAAAACATGTTGAAAAAGTAAACCCACATACTTCCGAAATACAAATAACAAAAAGAAATTCGAAGATATATGAAGTCCTCCAATCCGCAGTGGCGTCGGGTGGCTGGACTTACCATAATATCCTCTGTATAGAGGGAGGCCTTTGCCCAATAGTGGGACATATACATAGAGGCTTTTTAAGTGTATCCCTTTTTTATTTAATTCTAGACATAAATAAATGTTTAAAATCACTCTTAATTAATTCATTCATTTGAACTTATCTCAAAAAGTGCGTGATTTATGGGCAACTCATTTATTTTACGCGCGATCATTCATAACTAACACGCACACAAGTTCGTTTCAAAAGTGTACGACGCATTTATGAATGACCACCGCATTGTCAACAAGTTCTGTTTTTTAGGGAATAGAATGGCAATTTTTAAAAAAAAAAAAAAAAAGTTTGTTTTTATTTCAATAAACGATTATACGACCGAGTCTGAACCTCCTGTGTGAATTTGGTTACCTTTAGAAAAACCACCCACCCTGTATAGGCTGTTACTTTGCTCTAAATATGTATGTTATATATTAAAATATATGATTTCAGATCGCCTGCTACAGACGCTCTCCCACCCTGCTCCGAGTTTGAACCGGAGCTCGCTCTCAGATAAGCCGACTGTCTAACATTCGGGGCACCTCGGTTCAGTTTTAAAGCAATAATAAGGCAAAGGAATTCACGCGCGAGGGGCTCCCATCCGTACTCTATACGTGCTTAGGTCGAAGATTCTCTGTAGTTTATAAGTGAGTCCACACTCCGCATGTCGTCTTACTGATGAAGCGTTATTAAATGACAAATGAAATAAGTCCATTTCTCTTAGTAACGTAAAACAAAACCGACTTCAAATCTCTCGCTGTATTCATTTTATATTTGATTTTAAGACTTCCCTAAGTATCTCCGGAGCCCAAGCAAAGATCTAATACCAAGAAAATTAATATAAGACCACACGGGAAGCGTTAGCTTTCAAATAAAAAAAAAAAAGAATCATCAAAAGCGGTTTCACTCATTCGAAAGTTCTGAGGTAACAAACTTAAAAAAAAAAATACAGTGGAATTGAGAACCTGTTCCTATTTTGAAATCGGTTGAAAAGAGATAATATATCATCATCATCATCACATCAGCCGTAGGACGTCCACTGCTGAACGTAGGCCTCCCCCATTGACTTCCACTTCGACCGGTCGTTAGCGGCCTGCATCCAACGCGTCCCTGCAATCTTGGCTAGGTCGTCCGTCCACCTTGTGGGAGGCCTTCCTACGCTGCGCTTGCCCTCACGTGGTCTCCACTCGAGGACCTTTTTGCCCCAACGGCCATCGGTTCTTCGAGCTATGTGCCCTGCCCACTGCCACTTCAGCCTGCTGACTCGCTCTGCTATGTCGGTAACTCTAGTTTAGTTGGTAAGATAATATATATATATATATATATATACGGCGTGTCGTTACCAACGCGACAATAAATGAACACACATATAGAGGATAATTTTTTTTTTTAATTGTATCAAAAATTTACATTCTTTGAACATCAATATTTACCGAGTTATTAAATTTTCCAAAACAAAGAATTTTGGAACAACCTTACGTATAAAACTGTAACATAAAGTTTATTTGTAAAGGTCACAAAGCATATGAATGGGTTGAATGAATTTAAAAGAGACAAAACATACTATTAGAAGGAGAGGCTTGTAATGCGACACCGTGGCAATGAATGAAAAAGTCTCTGAATGTATGAATCAGTCAGTTGAAGTTGTATAGGATGTTACAAATTTTGTTTCTTTTTTTACTTAATTAGTTTGTTTGAAAAGTTTGTTTTAATTATGGATTTTTTGACGGTAATATTTTTTTATGATTATTGGCAAGTAGCTTTAGACGTGTGTTCATTTAGTGTCGCGATGGTAACGACACGCTGTATATATTTATTTCCGCCCAAAAGAAAAGAGCTCACAAATTAAATTGGGTTCGAAAACTGCTCAGTTCTGTACAATAAAACATCTGCTTCGGGGCTCAACTTAATAGGCCACATTTATAATTCATATCACGGTTCTATCACGAAATCCGACGGACAGACATCAATCGAATATTATCTTAAAACGAATGAGTTATATACGAGTCACAAATATTAACAAAATATATCGCGATGGCCAATTTGTGTCAATTTGAGTGAAAAAAAGAAACTGTCGTTTTTATTTAGGAGAAATTTAGAAATGACTATTGCTATGATGGTGTTATGGAAATCGCTAGATTTGTAATTTGCACTGCGAATTTTTCTTTGGTCTTAATCTTAGGCCTTCCTTTAACGATATTATTTTCATAACATTTATTTTCACGTACCATTTGAAATGAAAATATCCCGAATTTATCCTTAATAAAGGAGATGATATATGTATCTCGTTAGGTTGTCATTAAATCATTCACTAGAATCAACATTTTTCGCAGCGTAAAATATCAGTGATTATTTTAATTTTTAAAAAAAAAGCCTTTATTAACCATATAATTACAGCATTTGAAACATCGGTCCCCTTATTACGCGGTTATCGTGTATAATTTGAAGTAAACTGAATTTCTAATCGGTCAGTCACGAGTGTTGGATTATCTGAAGCGACCACTCGCTTAGTAAAATATTCGCAAAGCCAAATATACGAATGCATAATACGCGCGGACGGTTTAAATTTAAGTTTCGTATTTATTTCGTTGTGAATTTGTGCCTTTCGTGTCTAGTCTAATGTTATGTGTGTGTTTATTGTCGGAAGGGCGGCCCCTCGGCGGCTTAGTTTTAATTAGGCTTATTTGCATTCGTGATCTCTAACCGCATATCGCTCGTGTTAGTGCAAAAGTTATCAATGAGACAGAACTATTACACGAGACCTTAAAAAACTGATTGCAAAAGGTATTTACAACTTTTACATGAGGCCGTAAAAAACTGATTGTTTCCTTTTTTAACAACAGTGTAACACATGGTACTCAAGTACTCTAAATTTAGGCGAAGACATTAAATTCGTAAATACAAAAAGTTCATTTTTATTTTTAATTGCCGGAGATTTACCCAATTTAACTGTACTTGGGGGTATAGTCCCCCCCACTCCTCTATAATTTGAAGCATTAAATTCGTAGATAAAAATATTTTTTTGGTTTCTACTCGTTACATTATTTGGAACCCAATTTAACACTTGACCTTTTGCAGCAACACCAGCGATTATTGTCTATTGTCATTCACGAAACGAGATGTGATTATTATGATTGAAAGAATTTAAAAAAAAATGTTTCACTTGACGGTGAATTTAATATTAGGCTGGACGCTTTGTTTTATTCAATTCGCTCTAATTAAGCTAACACGTTTCTGTTTTAAATAATAACACCGCTTGATTGAATTGTTGTCGCTGATTTCAATTTATATTTTAGCGTGAAGAAATTATGACGGATATTTTATGTTCTTTCGTTGTTACAATATACGTCCCATGTTCCTTGTCAAATAGTGTCGGATTGACTGAATAAGATGTATACTATGTATTAAATATTATTTAAACTGTATTGAACAGGTAATGACAGATTTATACATATTTAAAAATTAGGAATTTAAATCCATGAGGATATTTTTAAGTTGGTCTTTTCGAATGTCGTTGTGAAAGACAATTTATTAATGTAGAAAGTACTCTTAGTTTTTGGAACTATAGTTTTGTATTACAAGTAGGGATGTCGAAAAATATGGATATATCGAAATTTTTTATATCATATAGCGATATTTTTAGTCGATATATTTTGATCTGATATATCGATATATCGCTACAAAATGTTCAATGTCTAAATCCTATCCAAAACCTATAATCTATTTTTCCAATTCGAATGCGGTAGTCCGTAGGTGTCAAATATTTAATACTTGACATACACTTTTTTTGGACAACGGACAAAATATCGATATATCGATATTTTCTCTTCGATATATCGAGGTAGATATTGATATTTTTATAAATATCGATATATTTCTTCACTTTCGACATCCCTAACTAAAGCCAAAATACAACATTGTAACAAATACAGCTTTATAATTGTTTAACTACTTCCATTTTGTCTGTCAATTAATTTTGTGCAATAGTTCCATAATTCTTTTAAATCACGGTTTACATAGATAGTCTTTATGAGTTAAACACTCAACACCGTTTTTGTACTGCTAATTGTTTACATTGTATTTTTTTAATTATGTGCAATGAATGACATGACTTTGAAATGGATGACGTTGAAATTGAATTAACGCATATTGCGAAATCTATATTAGAATCTCAAATCTATCCTAACATGTTACTGAACGAATCTTTTCACATTGTTGTCATACCGAGAACCGAATGAATACTGTTTTGGGGCATAGACAAATCATCGTATTATAAACAAAGTCATGAAACAAATACTAGTTTGTATAAAGTTACTTTAAGACGAGACTTATTTTTATTTGAATTTAAATAAAAAGTCATACGTATTAACATAGTGTTTAGGAAGCTAACACTAGTTTGTGATTTACTCATTGTGTCGTGATGTAATGAATATAATTAATGACGATTTTGAATTTGGGGAGAAAGACATCCGTATTCTACGCTTATATACCGATTATCATTAACTATTGTGACTAAGTAATGATAAAAACGGGAGATGCATCTGGACGATTCTGTAAAAATTCTTCGGTTTCCGCGTTGTGTTTTTGTTAAATAGAATAAGGAAAATTAATTATTATATAATGTGATCCTCGATTTAAATTCAAAGCAATACTTTTAAATACTTTTTCATTATAAAGTGCCGTTTATGTAGGGCATCGGTCTGCGTGGATTTCCCGCCATTTTAAGTGTCATTTTTTAATCTGAGCATACAGCGCGCTAAAACTTGCGAACGAGATCATTATTTTTTTTATTTACTAGAAAAGAGCTTTATCGCTGAGCGATAGCATCGTCCTACAAGATATATAGATAAATATATAATATAATACATCAGCACTTTGGTTAACGTCTATTACATGATCTAGTTTTTCTTAAATTAAGTTTGGCAATCCTGGTCAGTATCCGAACCTGATTTGATATAAGAGAAACCATCCTTGGCCATAAACTGGTCACAAAGCCAATATTAAAATTTCGGATACCCATTCTGAGATCTTGGTTGCGCAAACATTCCGTCAAAAATAAAAAAAATAAATAAAAAATGATCGACAACGCACTCGTTACAATTCGGTGAATTCAAAATAATTATCATTAAAAATGCCGTTATTCGATGGAAAATGCACCGAGATCATTATTTTAGCGAGGGACAGACGCGGGTTTTGCGTTTAAAAACCTTCCTTATTCTAATTACCTTGACTCGTCCAATACATCTCCAATCTTAGTACCACTGTTAAGCTCATTATAGTTTCTCTAGGCTCGTAAGTGTTGATACAGCGGACCACGAACTATCGTTGCGTGCGTTTAAAGCACTTAATTATAAAGATATATCTGCTTTGATCGCACGCGATTGGATGATAGTAATGAAGTCATAGATATACGGTGGCCACGAGTATTTGTTACATAGAAGGCGAGGAACGAGTTTATATATGTGATAGCGCCGGTATTTGAACGCGGTATCTTTCAGAGCACTTCTCACATACACGTAGAACGTTTCACCGAGGCTCGATCTGTACAAAGATAATGTAGAGAGTTTTATTTTTGTAACATCTTGAAGATTCTATTTGGAATAAAAATAAATTGTCCGACTGTTAATGCTGTTTTATTTGTCCCGCCCTATAAGGAATCTCGAGCGTTGTTCTGGAATGTACAGAAGTCGATTTAACGAAAGAAAGTGTCAAATACATTCTTTTCCCACTAAATTGTATGCACATTAAATTATTTATGCATTATATGGTATACCCATATACCTACTATCAGAAATATCAAATATGAATAATTAAAATGATTAAAAATCGTTTTCATGAAGTTTATATATCATTATTTTTATATACATATACATATATTATTTTTATATACATATACATATATTATTTTCAAGAAGTTTATGACATAGCTACAGTCAGCAGTGTAAAAGTGATGACTATCATTTCTATTTGAATAAAATTACTCAGGGAAAATATATAACTATTCATGAGTAAAAACACTTTCTGTTTCGGTTCAGTAATTGAAGATATAAATTATGCCTTTGGTATATTAAAGTTATTGTGATTTGATGACTCCGTGGCGCAGTTGCCAAGGTATTAGGATAATGTTATCCTAAAGTGAGGGCAATGTTATTTAAAAAGAAAATTAAATGAAAAAATGATTACCGCCACCAGTACCGTCTTTAACATAAGGCCATATGGGGCCCGTGCCCATGGCCTCTGTCTCGGGGTCTGCGCATGGCCTACGTACTCGCATAAACTATAAAAAAACTCTATTTTTGGTAGATACATATATTCCGACAGAAGTTTATGGAATAAATAAAAAATATAAGGTAAATGCTATTACCTTATATTTTTTATTTATTCCAAAAATGTTTGTCATTCACTTTTTTTACTTTCCATCAGGGCCCCAAATTTTTGTGTGCCCTAGGGCCCCGATATGGCCTAAGACGGAATTGACGCCAGCGCCACCAATAGACATCTACAACACCTTAAAGCTTGCGGATGCGTTGATAACCTATAAAAAATGTGTCCCCCGTATACCTCACACACTAGGCTAAACGCAAAAATATTATACTACCACTTCACGTTGGTCTTCTGTGATACAATTACAGTAATGAGTATCCATTCATATACCAAAAGGAAATTACTAAAATATGGATTGATATGCTAACTAAGATTATTCAAAGTGATCCTTGCGATTTTTAATACAAGCCTTCATCATGCGCGGTTAGTGGTCTACAGCGGCACGAACGAGATCCATATCAATATCGGCGGCTGCTTTGATCAAAGGTGCTCTTTCACTTCATTCAATCCTTATATAAAACGCCATATACTATATTGAAAACTGTTACGGTCGATGTTATATTAAAAATGTAATTCGCTATGGTATATAAATGTTATTATAGGGCATTACCTGAATAATCATAATTTGTACTTTCTCTTCTTTCTAGGAGGACTAGCTTAAAATGACTAATATCATCGCACGTTTGTAGGGTACTCCACAGAGCGTACTCAACTTATTTACGATACACACTTCCGATCGCTACCATTCAAATACGTATTGTATCAACAATACAATACATGTTAGTAAAATAAATGCAAAGCAATCGAGCAATGAAAAATAAACACAAATTACTAATGCATTTTTGTGCCGATCCGGTGTTCAGATGCGGGTTTCGTGTGGCCAACTATGCTACCTGCTCTCGTCCTATTGTGCTTAATAACTCGTGAAAATTTGGCGTTCTCAACAAAACGAATTTCCCACACGCTTACTGCGCCGAGTGTTGGACAGATCGAGTTCGGAAAAACGTCAACCAGGAAAACGACACAGACGAACGTTAGCGATAACGTTCTTGTACACAATTTCGTCCGCAAAGAGGCATTAGCAAAGGCTGGCAACAGAGGAATCAAAGAAAAAAAAGGAAACTCGACACGAAAAGGTACTATAGGAAGTGGAAAGAACGCACCCATTCGTTCTATCATACCGTTCACAGAGGCAACATTCTCTGTTCAATTCAATGATGCAAGGACGGAGTCGACAAATTCGATGGACAATGCTAATTCAAAAAAGCAGACAGATTTCCTTTTTTCACCCATAACGAGTTATAAAAACCCTCTAGCTAGATTTAAATTGAAAGGAGGTGACACGGGATCGACCACGATACATCCGTACCATACCTGGCAATACGTGTTTCAAAATCCACGCATTTTCAGAACGGTCGAGAGCATTTCTGAAAACGATAAAGCCAAAGATAAACGTTATACCGACGTAATTCCTCTGCAGAAACAGTTGCCTGGCGCTTCATTTAATCAGTACAGCTATTTAAGCCCGATATATAAAAAGGACTCCGATAATCCCGTATTCGGCGATCAGGCATTCTTCTCGTTCATCCTGAACGATTATTTCGATAGAAGCATCGACGACGATCCAGTCCTGTTCAAGGATCAGCATTGGGGTAAAGAATTTGACATAGAGCCGACTGGGAAACGAATTAGGCGGTTGGAGACGGGCGACTACAGTAAATCGATCACAGCCGAACCGCAGGCTGTCAACTACGATGCTAAATTCGCAAAGGAGAATTTATATAAAAGAATGAACGAAGCCGGTGCTCAGAAAGATAATTATTCGGAAAACTCAAACGGGTTCAAGAGTTTAGTTGAAACGTTCGCACAGAAGTTCGGTTCGAGTGACGATGAACTGGAGACGCAGTCCAAGATCAAAAGGGAGGACGCGGATCTAAATTTTATAACAAAACATGCGAATGAACTTCAGTCTAGTGATGAATTGTTGGACGAACTTGTTGCCGCCTGTAATGATGGCAAGCTCACCGACGAAGACACTACTTCCGTGTCGAAAATTAGTGGTTTCGAGCAGTTTTTATATAATTATGAAAGTTCATCCGCGAGTTCTGTATCCGTTGATTTGACCGAATACGCCTCTAGTAACATAAGTCGATTAAGATATTTGGCCAAAAGCGCCGCCCTGGTCAATAACGCAGATTACATTGATACATCTGAATATGCTATATGAGGGTGACGTTTAAATAAAGTGTTGTATTAATGAAAACTATATGTTATTTTTATTTTGCTATCTATCAATGAGTATTTTATATATTATATACGTTACATTTTGTAAAAAAAATAACAAAGCTAGTTAAGCTTTACTATTTGTGGCCAGTGTCTAGATTGATCAAAACTCCAGGTCGCCAGTATGACATGTATTAGGGTGTTTTTCACAAAAAATGACCCTAGCAAAATCGGACTGTCCCACAACTTTGACCATTTCTATTTTTACTTTCTTATATAGGACATGTAAAAGTGAAATTTCATATGACCTAGGTAAATGTTTTAAAATAGAATTAAATTATAAAGGGTCATAAAACGCGGATATTTATTTTTATATTAAAAAAAAAGCAAAATAGGAGGTGAAGATTTCGTGTGTCCCACAGTACTCTCGGAGACTTCAAATACATCTCATTTGTAGAATATTGGTCTTTGAGTATGTTTAAGTGTTTGAACATAGTCTCTGTATGTCTTAAAGTGTCTTTTCAAGTTTATATGTGATAAATTTATGGTTATTTTAAAAATATAACTATTTTAATGCTGTCCTACGAAAACCTTAGTACCGGAAAATCCCGTTTCGTCACGGTGAATTTGGTATTTTACATAAGACTAAATCTACGAATTTGTGTATTTTCTTCCTTCCTGGTAACATTGTGATCGTTTTTGATACCGCCATTGTTGTTTTTGACGTCAGTTGGAACAAAAACTGAGACGAAAGTGTTGGTGTCTTCGGCGTCCAGAAAAAGTTTTCTGGCTAGTGACAGTATTTAAAAGGTAAATAAACTCGTATTCTTTACTTTATCATATTGGTCAAAAAACATAAACTAACCTTTATTAGATTAATAAAGCTAAAAACAAGTTGATTTAACAAAATATTAGTTATTTTTAATTTTAAAAGTTTCGTGGGATTTAAACGTCACCTCCTGTGCGTCATGTGACATACTATCGGAACAAAATCGTGACGAACTTGAATTGTAAAGCTTAGTATACAGTGAAATATTTTAAAATTTTAATTTAATTATTAATTAAAATTTTTAGTTTTATTTTAAATTAGTTCACACGTAGTAGATACTTACATGCTATCTTATTTTCTTAATAGGTATGGTAAATTCCGTAACTACTCATTGGATTAAAAAAAAATAATATTAAAAAAGAAAGCTACATTATTCCCGATTGCTATAGATACATTACTATTTACTCACTTTTACTGCGGCAATTGATGTTTGTACGTATTATTTAAAAATATATAGCCATAGAACATATATATGAATGAGGTAGCCGGGGCCCTCTTTTTAATGTAGGCAATGCATCTCTGACCTGTTAGGTTTTTTAGATGTCCATAGGCGGCGGTTATCACTTAACATCAGGTGAACCGCCAGCTCGTTTGCCAGCTTTGAACATAAAAGATACTTTTTTTTCAGGTCAAATTTCGCATTTAGCATACCTACTCCTATGGATGATCACTCTGCTAGCAGCTATGGTAGTCTATTGGGACGTTGACAAAATCCTAACATATTTTGATTTAAATCAATGTTACATTAGTAATGCTAAGTGGCCCTGGCCTGTTACACATTTCATAATTACTACGGAGTGTTTCGGATGTCGGCGAAAAAACAACAACAGTATGAAACCTCAGCACTTTACTTTGGCGATGAGTCAAAGTGATATCAGAAAATTACTCCAGTGCTCCATTTTTTGGTGTTCTTTTTGTATGCATTCTATTTATGATCATGTTCCCGAGGATGAGTGTGAGGTTTGTGTGATAGGAAATAATTAATGATTAATGTAGAAAGTAATTATTCCGTTCGTTTCAACAAAGGAGAGAATGGCGCTTACGGCAGCAGAAAGGGCGAAGAGATATCGTGAAAAATTAAAACAAAATCCTGAAAAATTTGAAGTTCAGCGCCAAAAACAATTGGCAAGACTAAAAAGAATCGGAGAAAGATAGCGGATCTAACAGAAGAGGAAAAATTAAAACAACGTAAATTATGGAGAGATGAAAAGAAAAAACTAAAACTAAACAAATGTAATAAAGAAAACTTTAGATAAAATACAGAAATTACATAGGATGTTAGAAACTAGTCGCAAACGATATTACCGCGAAAAACTTCTGCATGAAAGAAAGAATCGCGAAATAGAGAAGCTTCAAGCACGTCAAGAAGTATTAGAATATTCTTTAAAAACAGTTTATAAACACACAAATACCCAAAAAGAAAAACGATTGTTAAAAAATATAGCAACCAATCAGAATGTAAAAGCTAGTAAGTCAGTCATGGACATAACAAAATATTTAGGATTAAAAAGTCGGATACGGTATACAAAAAAGAAACTACCAAACTGTAATATTCCAAAACATATCGAGACATTTTATAACAGGGATGACATAAGTAGATGTACAGCAGGAAAACATGAAACAAGAACAAGAGGAAAACAAAAGATGCAGATTAGGTACCTGACTGACACATTTGCAAACTTGTACAATATTTACAAAAAAGAAGGAGGAAAGTACAGTTTTACTACCTTTTTTAGATACAAGCCGTTTTATATTTTATCACCCACGGTTAGAAATAGAAACACATGCTTATGTATAAAACATAGTAACGTAGAAAATATTTTTATTGCGCTTAAAAAAAATAATGTTTTAAGTTATACAAATCTAGAAGACGTTATTACTCAAACAACCTGTGATAGAAAGTCGTACACCTGTATGTATAGTAAATGTGATGATTGCAAAACTCTTGTGCTTCAGTATAAGCGAGAAAAACTGGATGATGATATTACCTGGTTCAAGTGGGAAAGGATAAGTCATAGCTATACAAAATCGGGCAAAACTTTTGTTACCAAAAAAACTCAAAGCAACTTAAAAAAGGAATTGTGAAGACCCTACTTTCTGAGTTTCAAAAAGAACTTCCATCCTTTAAATCCCATATTTATAATTGGAAGCACCAACAAAGTCAATACCTAAAATGCATTAATGGGTTACACGATAACGAAATAGCCATCTTATGCGACTTCAGTGAGAACTATGAGTGCAAGCTTGGTACAGAAATACAGGCTATGCATTTTGGAGCTTCGAAAAATAATATAACTTTACATTGTGGTATGATATACTGGAAAAGTAAATCACAATCATTCGTCACCATATTTAGCAATAAATGCCACGAACCCAATGCTATCGGGGCACATTTACTACCAATCTTAAAATTCGCAACGCAGTTGGATCGAAACATACGAATAATTCATTTTTTTTCTGATGGTCCATGTAGCCAATATAGGAAAAAAAAAAAAAAAACTTTTATTTAATCAATCTTTTTGCAAATAAAATGAACGCTGATTACTACACTTGGTCATTTTCAGAGAGTGGTCATGGTAAGGGTGTAGCTGATGGCATTGGTGGAGCAGTTAAACATCAATTGGACAAACACGTGGCTTATGGTTACGATGTAAAAGATGCTGAACAAGCTCACCAACACCTTGAAAAGAGCATGAAGTCCGTAAAATGTTTTTTTATAGCGGATAATGACATTATCAATATGAAACATCTTATATCAGATAAAATTCGGCCTGTACCTGAAACTATGAAATTACATCAAATAATGTCAGGAGGACAAAATACAATATTTTACAGGCAACTGAGTTGCTTTTGCGGGGACCGACGCGGTCTTTGTAACTGCCATTGTCCCAAAATACATATTTTGCTTGACCAAGACCAAAACTCATTCGAAGACTTCGAAGTTCTTGAGAATACCAATCATGCATCTAACTTTAAAACACATGATCAGACACTCAGTATTGAAACAGACCAAAGACTGAAAGTTGGTGAAATGACCTCCATTCAAGATAGTTTGACCCCAGAGGAAGATCTGATTCAAATTATGAATGATGGTATGAGTTTAGTTCATAGTCAAACAAAAAAAAAATGATTGCCTTGAACCCATTGAAACTGATAATAGTTCCCAGATCAGTGAAATTATTTCTATTGACCCAAGTGTTCTGATTGATCTTACCAATGAAATTGACCTAGAAACTTTAAATGTATCTACTTTTATACCACAAAATAGTGTTTTCCACTGTAGTCCTGAATACAATATTGAAGATCCTAGTACTTCTACAGGCTTTAAACAAAACGTTTATTCGAACAATTTAAATGTACCTAGAAAACAGGAAAAGGTAATGAATGAAGAAATAGAGAATAATGAAGAAAAAATAGAGAGCGATGGTTATGAAACCATTAGCGACACCTGGAAATCTAGATCACTAAAAACTATAGTTTCAAGGTACTTTTTATGTCATTTATGTAAACGTCGTAAATTTTTTGTCGATTGAATTCAAGTAGTATTATAATGACTTACATAAGTATACAATAATATTAAAATTATCTTCATCGATAAGAGTATTAAAAAGTTCCTATGATTCAAAGTAATTGTGATAATTATCTCGTAAGTAAAAATTTAATATAATCACCAACAACTAAGTTTGTTCTCGTAATATAATTTATATGTGATCTCAAATTGCATTTCATATCTTTTAATATTTTTATGTCTAAACAAAAGGTGTAATGTACGTATTAATTAAAGTAATTGTGATAATTATCTCGTAAGTAAAAATTTAAGATAATCACCAAGGACTAAGTTCGCTCTCGTAATATAAGTTATGTGATCTCAAATTGATGATTCTATATCTTTAAATATTTTTATGTCTAAAAAAAGGTTTATTGCATCTATTGATTAAAGTAATTGTGATAATTATCTCGTAAGTAAAAATTTAAAATAATCACCTTAATAATATAAGTTATATGTCATCTCAAATTGATAATTCTATGTCTTTTAATACTTTTATGTGTAATAAAAAAGTTTAATGCAGTTAAAACTTTTATTAACAATTTTAAGTTAATAAAGCGTTAACTTCTTTGTGATTGTGTTTTTAAACGCGGTGGTGTGGACACTGCTCAAATTATTCCTATTCGTAACGCACTTGTCGTAATAGTCACTGTCCCATATTCTGAATAGTACAAAAATGGTTTTTTAAATATCTATTTTTCATTTTATAGTGTTTATTTAGTAATTATCAGTATTTTATTATAGCCAAAAATTCCTCAATTTGCTCAATTTTTAAATTTGTTACACGTATCATTAGTAAAGACAACATTTCAAGTGCCATTTGTCAAAGAAGTGACGAACATGAAACTATTTCCCTGATTGTTTATTAATGTGATAGAAATATGCTACCTTATTGATGTTTATGGAAAGATTTTAAGCATATCTATAAGGTAATAATCGTTGATTTTCTTTCGATACCTGGTCGTTTTATATCTGATTCATTACATTTTGTGACGCACAGGAATACTTTGCATCATATACTGAGAGAAAAACTTGAATATTTCTTATATTTATGGTTTTATATTAATTTAAATAGCATATTTAGCTAGTTAATAATGAATTATTTCATACCAGGGACAATATGAACAATTTCATGTAAAGCCAAAATTATTTTTCCTGATCGTCACAGGGTCAATTTTTCTGAAAAACACCCATTATCATAATAATCTCTATATAATATTATTTCTCAAAAAAGCTTTTGTCGGCACTCGATAACTTTCATAACCTTTCATCGAATTTAAAACTTTATAAATGCCGCCATACAGATATAGAAATTTAATGTTTTCATAAAAACTTTCAGTTAAATTATTTAAAAATTATAAAATATATTGACAATTATTTATTTAAATATAAGATAGCAAAGAAGACTGAAAAACGTTATTCTTAAAAATAAAATACTTATCTACCTTTCATTAATAGGTACTCATTGACTCATTTACACCGAATGGTTGTAATTTGTTTAATTTTTCACTGGTTAACTAGTCCATATTCAAAGGTGTGACTCGCTTAAAGATTAGTAGAATTGTTTGAAACAGCAAACGAAGTCAATTACAGTATATACCAAAAACGGAACCAGCATAGACTTGTGCTTAAAGACGCCCCTAGATCTGCAAAATTTAGTAAAAGTTGTTTGATAGTGTCTGTACGGATTTGTGTAGTAAATACCTAATAACGTGAAATTGCTCAATTACACAGAATTTAAAAAAGTTATCAATATATAAATAAATATAAAGGTTAATAATTTTTATGACATGCAAGAATTTTTTAATAAGTGGGTATACTTGATATTGTATATATTTCTTTTACTCTTTATTATTAATTGAGACATTGAGAATTGTTTGTAGCTGTTTTTTGTGAACCTTATATAAATAGTAAGGTGAAGAGGATTTGGTTGATACCGTGAATATTTTGCATGCTATAAAAAAATTTGCTTAACATACGGTTCAGTATTGATGATTTGGAACACCTGTTGTGATATCATTTTAAAAGCAAACAAATAAATGATTATGATATATATGGTTTTTTGATATGTGAGAACATTTTTAGAAAAACGGATAAACGTTAAATTTAAAAAAGAAGCAATCTGATAAGTTTATAGGAGCATTGATGTAGGTACGTATATTTAAGACAATGTGTATAGCATTGTGATAAATAATTATATTATGAAAATGGAAAGGAAAAATCTTGGATTATTATCTTCATAAACTTAATGTTTTATAGTTAACATATCTAAGATAAAAAATAAACGTCATTTCAAACGAATTCAATTTATTATCCCAACAAAGATTTAAAAAGAACACCATCATAATAAAAAAGCGTACGTAACGATAAAATATAACAAACAATGATATTGATATAAAAAAAAATAACAGGAACGACATATCTTTCAGTCACAATAGTAATTACTGAACGTTTTTCCTTTGCGGAATTTGCGGAAACATGGGCAGAATACTCAAAACTTTGTTCATTATCAGCGAGGTTTTCTCCCCCAACTTGTCCACGTAGCCGCCAATGTTCCAAGACGACCTGACGGTTCTTACCGAGCCCTTGCGTGCGTACTCGCCCTCGTCCGTTTCTTCAACAACGTCTTCCTGGGAGTACACAATTTTCATATTCTCAGAAGGCTTCGTTGTCAAATCGTCGTAGTAATCGTCCGCCCGTGCTTTATTCTTCTCGCTGACGTTGATGACTGTCTCTTGTCGCTTACTCGGCGTGTTGTTCCTCTGCGTCGCCTCGTCGAAGATCTTCGGCACCGCCGGTGTGCTCTTCACTTCGGGCTCGGCCGGTTTGGGTGTCGGGCTTTTGGCCAGCTTCACTCGCGGCTCGATCGGTTTCCCGCGCGTCGCGTACTCGTCGTGGTTCACGTCGAAGTCGTAGTCGTCCACGTTGAAGTCCTCGTCCTCGTTCTCGCTCGAGTCCGAGTACTTCTCCGGCCAGCGGGCCATCCTGCTCTGGTAGTCCTCGTCGTAGTTGATTTCGACGTATGTCGGTATGGGCTTCTTCACCAGCGGTATCCTCGCCTTCTCGACGGAGCGCTTGGCGTGCGGACCTTGGCTCTCCAACTCGGCGGACGTGTCCTGTTTCTCCTGGCCGTGGAGACAGTGCTTTGTGATCGAGACCGTTTTGAAGTCGTCATTCTTCGAGACAAACGCCCGCTCCGTCGTCCTCACCAGCAGCCGACCTTCGCATTCGAGGATGCATGGGATCGCGATTGAGATGAAAATTATATTTATCATTGCTGCGTCCCGTGAGCCGCTCTGCCCGCGCTCGTACTAGCGGCCGCGTATTGATTCAAAGTGCAATATAAACAAGTGTGTTTTCAATAACGGCCCCGGGCGAAACAATGTGATCTGGGTGCAAAGACCAAACGAGTTGTGAACATTGTTTTATTAACATTATCAAACCTGTAAGTATCGGTATTGTTTTAAATTTAATTCAACATCCTAGGGTTCCGTTTTACAGTTGTAATATTGGTTAACGTTATTAGTCGGTATATTTAAAAGGAAACCCTTTTTTATATTCCTTTACGTTAATGTGGTTATTGTTAATCTTCAAGTTTTTCTTTTAAATGTATCACAATCAAAAAAAGACTAGTACCTACACTAAATTTAAAATAATAAAAGTAGTAAAATATTTGGCTTTAGGTACATCTGGTCGTTGGAATATCACCCAATCTAACCTATGATAGTCTTCAATCTGGATATTTGGCCATGTGTATATTTCTGTAGAATGCCATTACATGCGTAGCAGAAGAAAATCGAAAAAAATTTTAATGAATTTTTTTAGACGATTTTCTTGTCATTATCATTTGTAAAATTTTAATCGGATTGTATGATAAATCGAATCATACATTACGGGCCTACTAAATTACTTCACTTTAATTCAAAAAGCTATTGGGCGTATTCCAAATACCAATTTTCGAAGAATTCGATATGTCGTGGCAGCACCTCGGAAAACTATAAATTATAATATATGCAGTTTAACTGTAGGGCCACGCAACGGTGGCCCTACAGTTCCGCTCTTGCACGAATGGGCAGGTCCGTCCGGGTTAATACCCCACAGAAGACCGAAGTGGAGTAGAAGTACTACACTTCTAGGTAGCCGGGACCCACTTTATTAAAAGATATAACGCATCTGCACCCCTACCTATGTTGCAAATATCAATGGGCTACGGTTATGACTTAACATCAGAGGAACCGCCAGCTCGTTTGCTACTTTGTCACATAAAAAAAAATGCAGGCATAAAATTGTTACATTGTTAACTTACTATTAGTAAATTTACGACTACTTTATAAAAAAAAAACCCTTGTGTAGCGCAGTTTCGACGAAATGGATCGATATTGTTGACAGTGTGCTGTGTTTACGTGTTTACGATCGGATCGGTCAACAAATAGCTACGCCGCAAACAACGCGCGTAATAAAACTACAACGTTGTTCAGTGAACGTCTTTAGACAGCAGTGCAGTCGGCAATATGAAGGAAACTTTCATACTCGCCGCCCTTTTCATATTCAACTGTTTGTCGGCAGCCGCCTCGAATTACATTTACGATGACATGACTAATATAGGGGGCTTTATGCCGTCGTCGGACCTCGGCACTTACTCCAGGAACACGTTGAACGGCCACAAGAAATATTTCATTAGCAACGGCAATCCCAAGTATCAGAAGCTGGTGAGTGAGGGTTCAATCGACTCGCACTTCAGGGTGATAAAGTCGCCGGGGCTGACGAACGCTTTACCTACTGGACTCGCGAGAGAGGAGGCCCGCAAGGCGCAGAAGTTCGTTGTGCCGCCGGAGCGCATCAGTGACGGAATACCAATCAAACCGGCGGACAGCGTGGCTCCGAAACAGTTCCAGAAAGTGAAGATGATCACGCTAGTCCCGGAAACGTTGCTTTCAGCGTCGACGGCGGCCAGACGAAGAGACCATCGGACACGAACGACGCGTACCGAAAAACTAACGAGAAGCAATACGAAATCAACACCAACGAGATATTCGTGTTACAGATGTCGGACAGTAAGTCGATAGGTAGGCCGAACTACCGCTCACGAAGCTCGCTGCTGTCGGCGAACCGGTCACCGACGTTCTCGCACAAAATGCAGTCGCCACTGAAGATCAACAAGCCCGTCGTGAAGTCGGGTGTAAGCGAGAAAGCCGCTGCCAGCGTGCGCAAGGTTTTAAACAAGGGCGGCAAGCTGACGGACAGGATGCAGCAAAGGGGCGGGAGGAAGAGAGACGTCAGCTCGGACGAGGACAACGAGGTGTATTTGGAGAAGAACAAGTACGAGACCGCGCCGGAGGGCTCGTTGACGTTGAGGCGAGCGCCGTTGGATCAGGCGATAATCGCGAACATCGTCGACGAGAACACGGAGGGGACGAACAGCCCCTACGCAGTGTTCTACAGGATGAGCCCCGACATAACGGAGCAGCAGGACACGTACATGGTGCTCAACACGCAGGACGAACGCGCCCAAAACCTGTACAAAGAAAGGGAGGCCGCAATGAACGCGGAAAACGAAATCGAAAACGATACCTACAGGCAGTATCCGAACAACGTGAAAATGCACAGCAAAGTTAAGAACTTCTCCAACTTTCGGAATTTTCGATAGATCTTTATAACTGCCGTATGTACACACATCTTGTACTAATTGTTGGAAATATGAACGGGAAATGGCTAAATGTTCGTGTTTATTTTTATAATATAGTATTAGATATTTTTATATGTTCAAAATACTGTTAAAATTACTAGCAAATGTTTGTATAACGAAAAGAAGAATAGATTTTTTTATAACAACCAAAGTTGCCATAACTAATCAGAGTTAATTTAGTAGCTGTGTGTTTCTTTATTAAATATGTTAACAGTCTTTACCAATTTGAAAAAGTTACACTTAATAAAACGGATTTCATGTTGTTCATTCTATTTTGATTGTTTCTGTTCTTATTTTAAAAAAAATCATAAGTCCATTCTCAGACTTTGTATTTATTTTTCCGAGCTACTGGCTGCCTTAAATAAAGTCCTTAAAAATCTGTAATTAAAATAATGCAGCATTCATGCGTGCAATTTATTTTTATTTATGAAAACGAAACTAAACTCGGGGCAAACATAATAATTTGGCATTAAAATTTGTAGAAAATGCTGTTTTCTATAGTGTATTCGGCCAAGTCCTTCGTTAATCGAAAACAGTCCAATCTGTGCGCGAGGCACGTTGATTTTTTTGTCACAGTCTATCAAGAGCAATGCGCCGTATAAATAACACAGGGTTTTTCATTATCATTGACACAGAAGAGCATTGCCCAATCTCGAGAGCGCTCTCCAATCGGGTCATTTATGAATGCCGACGAAGCTGAGTTATGTTCACTATATAAATGTTCGTCTGGCAGTCCGGCGTCATTATTGTCCAATGAGTCGAGATGGTGCGGCGTTTACCATTATTACTACTAGCGACGGTTGCCTCCTGCATGGAGATGCGGGAGACTGTGGAGCGGATGGTCATGGTCCGCACAACCGGGTCTGACCTTCAGCCGGCCGCCACCGGGTACATTTACAAGAAACGAAGCGATGGCCCCGCCAGCGTGGTCAAGATGGACGAGAGCGAGATAATGGAACAGCTGTCGAAGTTCTACGATCAGCCTAAAGTGTACGCCGCGCCCGAGAAGGACTCTGACGAAAGCAAGGCTGCTTCGCACCCCAGCGAGGAGTACGTCATACCCGTAGTGGAGAAACAGGAGGAGGAAGCGGATCACGTGGACGGCATCGCTGACGACGACTACGCAGCGGCTTACGACGGCTACGGCGATTATAAACGCAAGTTCGCGGACTACCTTCACGGATTGGGACACTTCGATGACGGGGTATACCACGAGCACGGCGATGGTAAAGAATACGGCTCCGAAGGGCACCACGGGCTCGGTGAGAAGGGCTTCAAAGGCTTCGATACCAAGCACCACTACGGTAAAGGCGACGCTGGGGATTACCACGCTGGGAAATACGATAGCTTCTATGTAGCAGGCAAGGGCGGTCACGAGAAGGTTTACGACGAAGCCAATAAATATGGCGAGCATCACGCAACCGGTCATGGGGAGAAAGGGGGCGACCACGGCCATAAAGAGGAGCACAGCAAAGGCGAGAAGCTCGAAGGGTTTCACAAGGTCTACGATAAGAACGAATTCAAGAAGGACCACGACTTTTACGATGCGGACAGACATAAAGGCGGCTACCACAAGTACGGCGATGGCCACAACTACCACGAAACAGAAGGAGCGGGGCACAAGAAGGGTGGCAGTCATGAGTCAGAGCATCACGGTGCTGAGTCTGGCAAGGAAGGCAAACATGAGCACGACTCCGGGGCTGAGCACGACTCAACGCATTCAGCTGAAGAAGGTGGAACTTCAGGACAGCATGGGCACAAAGATTTCGGCTCTAAAGGCGGCTCCTACAACGGCAAGGGCTACGGCTATCAAGTTAAACACTGAGGGCGCGTTAAGGCTGATCGTTATAGCGTTGTTGAGTTTTGGTAGAGTTTTGTAAATATTTAATTAAAGGTTATATCTAAAATTAAGCCAAGTAACTTATGAAATGTTAAGTTTAATTCATTGCTAGAAGCGAGCACCGGCGGTATTTTAATTTATTGGTACTCAATTAACCATAAGTAACTTCAAATAACTGAGCGGTCACCAAAGAAATGTTTTGTTGCTATTTTAAATCTTTGATAGCCCTTGTACGTCCAGAGGAAGGATGAATATATTTTTAAAGCACCTTAGTTGAAGCTTTAAGTGATATTTCGCGAAAGCTTTAACTGATGCAGTTGCTACAGAGGTTAAAAATCTTCAACTTGTATATCCTCGGGAACGCTTACAGACGGAACTTGTTTAACACGATTTTGTAATTTTTATACATTAACTTAGTAAGATTAAAGTTTTTTTTGACACACTTATGAGTCTTAAAATTAGTTTTGAATTGGGGACTATAATCTCGCGCGTATACGTTTTTAATTTACACCTAAATAAAGGAAAACATAAAAAAAATCTTTATTTTCAAAATGACTCTATGTGACGGCAGTGAAAATATTCGAAAAAAGTTGGTCATTATTACGACTAAGCAATGTTATAACATTATTATAAATGGACTGTACATACGTATCAAGAGTAATATACCTTCTTTTTGTAATTAATAAAGGTTACAATATTTTAAGCATATACATATATGTATAGATAATAATACATAATAATAATAATAAATATTTCGGGATATATTTTGAAACAACGGTATCCAGTTCGAAACTAAGCAAAGCTTGTACTATATGGTTACTAGGTTACTGAAAACATACTTAAACGTAATTTACTTTTGTAAATAAATACATATTATAGATATATAAACACCCAGACACTGGAAAATCACTATGTTCATCGCATAATATTTGTCCAATAGTGGGGATCGAACTCACACCCTGTAGCGCACAGTTTGACAGCGGTGGGACTTGTATAGGCTGTTACTTTACTGTTTTTAAACGGTTTTATTTAGCTCGACCCGTACGGAATTTATTTGTTTATTTGGTTCAAAATTAGAAAGTGAAATTAAAGCACCTTCCCGTTGTCAGATTGATCTGAAATTTGGTACACACATTTAATTTAGATGACAATACAATATTCTAGTTTTCAGTGCACATAAAATAAAACCGTTTAACTTAAAAGTTTTTAAACGGTTTTATTTATATAAACCTTAGTAATATAATCTTCAAACCCTCTACGTTACTATACACATCGAAAACGTGTTCAAAATGTGTCATAGGTTTTTTTTACGTGACGAAGTGGCTAGCGTGCTGGCCTAACCTGATGTTAAGATATCACCGCCAGCCATGGACATTTGCAACACCCGTAGGATTGTAGAGACCTCACTCACCAGACGAAACGCAGAATTACAATATTTCTACTTCACGCCGTTCTTCTGTGAGGTCGTGGCACTAATCTGGACGGACCAGCAAACACTGTTGCGTGCACACCAAAGGTAAAAACAGGCACTTTAGAACATTTAATTTATTTTTATGAAAGTAGATCATGCACCCTAGAAAATAAAAATAAAATGTCGAAGAAGGAAATTTCGTGATACACACTAATTGTTACACTTTTAAGAAAGAAACTATTAAAAACGTAAATACATACTTTATTGAGGAAATTTTTAATTATGACGACATTCCCGTACCTATTTTTGACGGCGTATAAATTCTAATGTAAATTGCAATATAATGCAAATTTATCAAGCCTAGTTAGTGCACTAACTTATATTACATTTATGATTATAATATAATAAAGGTAAAGTAAAGAATAGTTGTAAAGAAGGCAATATTCACTATCAATATTAAATAATTGTAAGATTTATTAACTATTCGAATTACAAAGTTCTAAGTTCCACTGTTGTAGACCTGTCAGATGCTATCTGCTTCACAAAAAAGTGAGTCTTACAGACAGGTGGTTCTCCATTACCGTAATTTCTATTATCTCGTATTTAATTTCGTATATAATAACATACTTTCTAATTAGAAGATACTAGCTGCTGCCCGCGACTACGTCTGCGTAGAGGGGTGAAAATTTAGGGTTGCATGTATTTTTGTATGCTGTGTCATAAAAAAATAAAAACAAAAAATTTTGCATAACAAATAAAAAAAAATTTAGGGGTGGACTATCCTTAACATTTAGGGGGATGAAAAATAGATGTTGGCCGATTCTCAGACCTACTGAATACGCATATAAAATTAGGTAAAAATCGGTCGAGCCGTTTCGGAGGAGTTCAAGTTCGAACCCCGTGACACGAGAATTTTATATATTAGATATTGCTTTGTATTGTAAAATAAACGTAGACTAAAACAGTTTATGAATATTATAACTACCTATGCATCTCGTCTTTTCTATTTTAAAATGTGTATATATTTGTTACTATCTATTAACTTTGTTTAAAAAATTGTATAAAATGTATAATTCCGTTTGTGACGTTTAAAAAATATATATGTGTTCAAATAACTGTTTTCTACAATTGAAGTGTTGAAGTATTCAATACAAATGGTCCACCGTCTCATTATTTCGGCTAAGATAGTCTGACCGACCCGCTCTGAAACTTTAAAACCGCTGACTGAGCTAACCAAGAAATCATCTGCAGCAGCCGGTTACATTGTGAGGGAGGTACCTCACAATGTGGCATAAAACCCACGGTTGTGTACAAGTCTTTGTGTACCCGTGATAGCTCATTGTCCGGGCGCTCACTTTTAATTCGATATGCTATGCCCTAATACCCTCTGTACAGAGGAGCCTTTGCCCAGCACAGGGGCTTAATATACGGGCTATGTTTTTACGGTGGTAGGGCCACGGAAGAGTCTTCGCTATTGCACGAGGGCAGGTCCGTCCAAGTAAGTACCGTAGTCTCACAGAAGACCTACCTGAAGTGGAAGTACTTTTGCGTCCCGTCTGGTGAATGAGGTAGCCGGGGCCCACTTTATAAAAAGGTGGCAACGGATCAGCAACCCTACCGGTGTTGCGAATGTCCTTGGGCGGCGGTTGTCACCATCAGGTGATCCGCTAGATCGCTTGACACGTTCACGCATAAAAAAACTTTACTTTATTTTATTTTTACCTTTGAACAGAAGGTATAAATGCATTGTACCACACATCACCCCAGGGTACTCCATGTCTTTGTTTTATAATAATAATTTAGTATACATACCGGTTTAACTGCACTGGTTTCTTTCTACAATGAGACGTAACAATAGAACAATAAAAATTGAAATTAAGAACTGTACTGGTACCAACATCGGGATTCAAACTCAAACTCAAACTCTCCACTTTTTATCGAATATACTGGAGTTAAACCGAGCGCTCGAACATTAGAGTTAGGTTAATAAATCATTTTGGTTGTCGAATATTCAATGAACAGTTCGATGAAACATAAAAAGACAATTTGGCTAAAGTTGAAAACATACGCCCGGTTTCTGAAACACTGATCATCATCATAGATCATTTTAATGATTAAGAAGATCACTCCGATCAATTCAGAAAGTTTAACCATCCTTTTAGCAACTCAAATGACATTAGCAGCTGATTAGTTAATTTCTACGATGACCAGTGTTTCAGAATCCGGGCAATAATCACCGACTAAGTTTAAAACCATACTGCCTGAATAACGCAATGGTTTAGGCTCGCCAACCGTAAATGCGCTCCTTGTGGGTTGGAGTTTGAATCCCTCATGGGACAAAGAGGCAGTTTCCTTCGTATTCTATTATAAAAATTGCCTTTCACATTATTCCATTATTTCACCTCTGACATCTGAAGGAACAATAAAATCTTCTTTCGCCATCATAATTTCAGCTTGTTTTAGTCCACTGCTGAACATAGGCCGCCCCCACAGAGTGCGAAGAAGCACAATCCTCAGCCACCTGTATCCATCGACTTCTGCACATTTGCAACTTCGCTGTTGCAGCATCAGATTTCCTCGAGATAATCACACGTTTATCTGTATGATATAAAAACTCTTTTACCAAATTAGAAAATATTAGAGGGGTCAATGTTGAGTAAAGGGATTACGCCATAATGAAATGCAATAAAAACAAAGTACATAAGACGTCGAGATTTTCGCGCGATGAATATGTCGACCGCTTAACTCAGTGACTAGTGTCAGGATGCGTAATCCGGAAGGCACTGGTTCGAATACAGGCAGCAGCTAAAAATTTTGTGACAGTTTTATCTACACATTTTTAGCATAGGGATTGGTTCCAGTCATATAATAGCTACCGATCGAGCCGAGTTCCGGCTTTCTCGGGCACCCTCGAATCGGAATGCTAAACGCGTGTTGAGTGGCAGCCCAAGGCGAGGTCCCCTCTCGGGGACTTTGAGCCTGATCACTCCACGGAGCGCCCGCCAAAGCGCCCTAAGGGCTTGGCGGCCTCCCAAACCGGTGAAAGTAATAGCGTGACGGCCCGAGCCGACGTTCCACCGGGAGCCCTCGAGCTTAGTCACCATAACGCGTAATAATAATACGCTGAGGTTCAGGCTAGGCGCCCCGTGCGCCAGCCCACCTTAAGCCCGTCGGAACTGTAAAGGCCCTAAGGCCAACAGTGGTTCATCCAGCCCAATATTAAGGGATTGGTTTTAGTTTCTTTGCATGACGACAAATGCACACGCAGCTTAAGAAATGTTTAGCCTTTGCTGTAGAAACTTGGCAAAATTATTGTCATCGTTCGAGTTCATATTTCACAAACTATTAAATACTGATTATGCCCCCTTATAATATTGATTGGGTCTATAGTCGATATAATCTGAATATTATTTTGCATGGTTAAATTAAGACTATGTTTGTAATTTTTGTCTCACCATATCTTAATTTTCCCATATATTGTGAGTTACATATTCTCTTATAGTATATTCCTATCAAGTTTGCAATTCACGCTCCTTTTTCATACTCGTAAAATATTACAAAGAAGTAATTTTAATAAATTTTAAAGTTTTTTATAGTGCTAATTTATGCACTTAAGATTGAACATTAAAACATGTAGAAAAAGTAATTTTAATGTAAATTAAAAATTTTACCGTATCTTAAAAAGTAATGTATTTTTCAATGCTATCCCAATTTTATAAAATATAAGATAGTAATAATAAAATACAGTATTGAAATATAAATGTTCTGTTATATCACAGTATGACACAAGCAGAGCTGACGCAAGTTCAAGATCACTTGCCTATTAACGGTCCATTATGGGGTCGCGAAATAAAAACACAATTCACTCTGATTCGCTTGCGGTCAACCCGAGAGACGACGTTGCACAAGACCGCGGTCGTTTTTTTCTTTTCCAGCACTGCCTTTGTCACCTATAACCTCGCTAATGAGCAATCTGTTACATGGCTACAATAGAGGTGGGCGCCCTCACGGTCTTTCCGTCGCGTCCACACCCGATATAAATATTGGGCAACGGGCTGATAGGAGTATAACGCAATCGCTCGCCGAGTAAGAAACATCAAGATGAAGACGATCGTCGGTCTTTGCTTAGTGGTGGCATCAGCCGCTGCGGTGCAGGTGGGCTACCCAGAAGCCACCAGCTACGTGTACCGGAGTGACAACGGCGCCCCCGGTAGCCTCATCCAACTGGGCTACAAGCAGCCAGAGCTCTACGCGCCTCTACCCTTAACGCGTCCAGTGAAGGCCTTCGAGGCTTACGACCTCGCGCCGGCGCCTCTGCCGTACATCGCGGCCAAGCCCATCGCTATTGAAGACGCTCAGGAGGACGCCGAGGAACACGAAGGGCTGGTAGGTCTTAATCACGGCTACGAAAAAGGAGCCGGCAGCGACTACGGCGAGGAGCATCACGCGGAACACGGCGAGAAGGGCAGCAAGGGCTACGAAACGAAGGGCCACCACGCCAAAGGGGAGAGCGGACAGTACGGGAAGGGGCACAGCGAAGGCTTCTACGACAAAGGCCAGGGCGAGAAGTCGGCCCACCACGACGAGGCGGACGCCCACGGCGCTCAGCACGAATCCAAAAAGTCGTACAAAGGGGGCGATCACGGCCACAAGAAGCACTTCAGCAAAGGCGAGGACGTGACCGGCTACCACAAGGTGTTCCACAAGGACGAGTTCAAGAAGGACCACGACTTCTACGACGTGGCGGACGACAGCGGCCACTACAACAAGCACGGCTACGGGAAAACCCACCACCAGTCCGAGGAGGGGGCCCACAAAAAGGGGGAGAGCGGTGCGGCCGGCTACGAGAAGGACGGCTTCGGCAAGGCCGGTTTCTACGACAAGGGCCACGTAGACGACAACCACGAGGGCCACTCCGCCGAGGAAGGTCAGGACAGCCATTATAGCCACCACGACGACTACGCGAAAAAGGGCGGCAGTGAACACGAGAAGGAGTCGGAATACGAAGACGAAGACAGCGACGAAGACAAAGAGTATTAATGAATTGGAATCGCCAATATTTGTAAATATCTGTTGACTATTTAATTGCTACGAGTATTTTTTGTTATGTTTGATATGCGACGCTTGATATTTTTACAGCAGCGGATGAATAAATTATAAATTCATATAAAGTTTATTTTACTACAAAAAATTCCTCTCGAAGAAAAAAGGCCTCTTCTCCCTTAAACGTTTTTTTTTCTTCAATTCAATAAGGAACCATGAGGTTTGTGTAATAATAATTTTTCGATTTCTTTTAAATTATTCCTATGAACTATATGTAACGATGCATAGTAAAACTAATTTATGCGATTTTTATTATATGTCAGCAAAATTATTTTCGTAAATTGATTTAAATCATTAGTGGAGTGGGGTCTTCTTTTCGGAAATTGAACACTTTGTCTTAGTTACTGACATTAAAAATTACGAATGTAACTTAGATTAGGTATAGGTAAGTATTCTATCGCAAAGAGTTAAGGATTTTGTTGTAAAGGATTAGTTGAAATTAAAAGAAACGTTAAAATCGATTCGTAATTAATTATCTATGAAATTAATTGTAAAACTAATATCAATTACAATTAATAGATAAAATACCATAACGACCTCGGAGCGTATTGATTGTAAAGGGTAATAAAAGAATGAATAAAATGATGCAAAAAGCGTTACAAAGCGATTTCGAATTGCGATTGAAAATGTCTGCAGCTGTAATATGGACATCATGTTTACAACATTTGTACCTCTGTACCTAGTCCCGTTGTCAATAATAAAATACAAAATGGAAATGAGAAGAACTAAAAGAGGCAATGCATTTGAAACTAAAGATGCCATGAACATTAGGCTTCTATACTGCCAACGACGACTTTCGCTTTATGTTATTTTCAAAGTAATAACTACTTATTGATAGTCAAAAAAGTCTACCACCGATTCGGAAGGAAAGCCACTGACTTGAGAAGAACCGGCGTAAGAAACTCAGCGGGACATTTTTTAAAATTTATATTATAATTATTACATATATATTCACTAACCGACATTTTTAAAAATGCGCACTATTTAGACGTATAGTTTTCCCGCAATTGTTACAAAGGAAATATTCCATTTTGTTACTAATAATTTTGTGAATATAGCATATAGCTCAACATCGTACATACACTGCTACAAGGAGGCGATTATTTCCTCAGTACGTATTGCGGCATGTACGGTGCTTTGAACGAGATAATGTTTTGTTTTGTGCCAAATGACACCTCTGGGGTTCGTTATGTCCATGGAATGGAGTTATACACTTACTATCATTTGGACCGTATGTTATTCTGCAACCTTTTTAGGGTTCTGTTGTATTGGAGCTCCACTTTAATACTTTTAATTCTGTTTTTACTACTTGTTGTCATAGCGGCAACAAAAACACGTCATCTGGGAAAAAATCAACTGTCTAAATACATGAGATACAGCCTTGTGACAGACAGACAGACAGAGAGATAGACAGAAAGACAGACAGTGGACAGTAGTAAGAGTGTCCCATCGTACCCTTTAAGTACGGAACCCTAAAAATGGTGTGAACCATAAATAGTTCTTCCCATTCTGAGTGTATTTAGTCTTTCTGATTTTCATTACACAAGACTAACGTAGGGTCGAAGATACTGCTTTAATAGAAAAATAATGGTGCTAAATAAAAGCTTAGGCTAAATTGATACTAAATATATAGAAACAAGTAAAAGAAAATAAATGTGTTTTATTTGCGTTCACTGATAAAACACAATTTTCATCGTTGCTTAAAGAAAAGTGACAGTTTGCTTGTCAGAAGTACGTACGATCATGTCTCCAATTCTCGTATTTTAAGATGGACTTTATAAACCATAAAAAAGTAAACTAATTGCCTATATACATTTTTTTAATTAAATTCCAGACATAAATAATGTTATATAAAAAATGATAAATATTTTAAATCACTCGTAAGTGATTAATTACATTCATATCAATTTATCTCAAAAAGTGCGTGATTTATACGCAACCCATTTATTTTACGCGCGATCTCATAACTAACACGCACACAAGTTCGTGCACAGTAAAATTTAGGTATTTATGAATGACTACCGCATTGTCAACAAGATTTGTTTTGTTTTTTAGGGAATGGAATGGTAATTTTTTTTTAAAAAAAAGTTTGTTTTTATTTCAATAAACGATTATACTACCGAGTCTGAACCTCCTGTGTAAATTTGGGCACCTTTAAAAAAGTCTCCCTGTATATCACTTCTGAGCACAGGCCTCCTCTGGACAGAAAATTTAGAGCATAGTCCACCATGCGGCCGCACTGCGGATTGGCAGACTTGACATATATTCGAAATATTGAAGTTATACTTCTTTTAGCGCGTTAGGGAAAAATGATGAGAGTAAATTTTGACGTTGTGCGCACACCGTAACGAAACCGGAAACACGACACCCTGAAGTTAGCTACGTATGTTTGCGTGAGAACTGACAACTGTATGCACGATATTTATTTTCTGATATTTAAATAAACTTTATTTAACTAGATAATGCGTTATAATAAAACTTTCAAAATTAATATTAAATACCTTTTTTCTGTTGTTAGTGTCGTTTTTTCTACAAACGTAGAATAAGGCGAAGGATAAATTTTTTGAAAACATTTTTATCTTGTTACTCCAAAAACTATAACTTCTAACGCGTATACATAATTAGTACACACACACTTTTTTTTAATTATTTCGCAAATATTCAGATTTCCTAGCCATGCTTACCTTTACCAGGAACACCAGGATTAGAACTCAAGTTGCTTGAGTATATTTAATTGAAAGCGAGCGCCCGGACACTGAACTATCACGGATAGGTAGCGTTCTATAAAGTTCTTGGTAAAAGATTTTGAGTTTAAATTTCGAAATTGGTGCATTTTCAAAAAAGCTACCATCACTCAACTTTAAACGTTTTTATTTTCAAAAAAACCTTTTTTAATTAAATAAACGAAATAAAGTGACTGGGCGCGAAACCAGAAGACGCAAGTTCGAAACCCAAAGCTCCGAAAGTTTTTGATAAAAATTATAATTATTTACTGAAACAAATTTCGTTTAGTATCCAGTCAAATTAATTTGTGTGTAATCTTGTCATCGATTAATACTTAAGCTGACTATAATGTTGGCTCTGTCGTACGTAATTTTTATTATCGATTTTCACATTTCACCTAATATTAAAGTAAAAAAAAATGTACCCGATATTAAATTTCGGTATACTTATGCACCATTTTGCAGCAACGATGCCTTTCCCGGTCGATACTCCCTCATCAATATAATCCTTAAAAACTACCCATAGATGTATTAATATAACTATCTCGTCTTGAACCTGCAAAATGATTTGATTGCTACCCCTCGCATTCTCCTATAAACCCCCAGGGGTCCCGTACTTTGGGAAAGTCCGTCTCTAAATAAAAATATTTACAACATTCCAAACCGAAGCTAGTTTGAAACTTTTTGTTTTCCATTATTGATAACCTCAAATTGTAAATAGCTAATTACAGCCGTAACTGATTCCTCATGATTCGATGAACATTGTATCCACGCTTCTTGATTAAGATTACGACTAATTTAATCAATTATTCTAAAACTTTTCATAATAAGAACTGGTAAAGAGAACACAAAATTGTTCATTTTGATAAATTAGAAGGTTTGCGCATTTATTAAAGTAAATTAATCGTCTTTGTACATCAGAATAATTATTTAAATTTACTTATAAACAATATTTCACACACTGTAATAGTCTTTAACCAATAAATTGATTATCTCAATTGTCATTAGCGGACTATTCATTTGGAACTATAATTTGTCGCTAGAAAATTAATTGGAAATAAAACCGTCGTTCATTGATAATATTATTTTAATGAAGACTATATAAACGAAACTGATTCCATGTATGTCAGTGTCGCAACCTAATTCGATTGCAAAACAGCTGATCAAGAAAAAGTTCGGCAACATGGAAAAGAAACTATTGTTTGCGATGACTTTGACATTGGCCTGGCGTTGGGGCGAGACGGCATCGAAAGGTCTAGACTACCAGTCCGATTTGGATTCTGATTTCGCACCGTATACTCTCGACGAGTACGACTTCGATGACTTCCCGGAGTTAAGAGATGACGATCAAAAAGGTAGTACTCATCATGGAGACACATCCGATAGTCTTCCATCGAAAGTTAACACGACCGGCTACGAAAGGAAGAAAACTGCCAGCAAAGACTTAAAATCTCAGCACAGCATTGGTGATCTGAAGAAATTCTTCAAGTCCCGCGGTTTGCACGATGAAGGAGATTACTCCGATGATGACGCTCACGAAATTAGCGAAGGGTTGGCGTCCAAAGCAGTCAAGGTAACGGGGAACGAAGAGAGAAAGTACAGGAAGGGGACAAAAACACGCGGATTCCACAGTATCCAGCACAAAGATGAATACAAGAAAGACAAGGAAATCTACGGGGATGACGAAACAAGTGGATTTATAAAAAAGACAGGGAATAAACGAATTGGCTTAGCAGTTGACACCGGTCTAGGCCACAGTCAGAGGAGTTTCCATAACGATCACAGTAAAGCAGTTCAGGGAAAACAAGGGTTCTATGATAAAGGTCGTTCAAGGAAACAAAATAGAGCATATTCCGATTATAGAGGATTTAATTCCTATTTCGATAGTTATTAAACAAAATCAAAAGTAAATTACTCTCTGAAGTAATTGGCTCTGAAGTAGTAGTAATTCTCAATAATAGTTGTTAATTTAATTACGTGATTTTTAAGCTTTATTGATGTTTCTCCCTTTTCAGCACTGCTATATTTCAATTTATGACAAATATAAACGGAAACGTGTTTTATTAATGGAATTTAATTTTGTTTAACTCAGACTGCGGATGATTTTTTAAAAAACAAATTTAAAATAAAAGAATCGATTATCAACCAGTTTCATGATAAAAACAATTCAAATCGAAAAATTAACGTAAACTAGAAAGTAGGAAAAACACATGTCATGAATGTTGTGTTTCCAGTATTTAAAGGCGATCAATAAATCACTTAAGAATGGCAACCCGTGAAAAATTTATCACGATTCACGATATAATCTTAATACGCGTGCCCTCCGTCGCATGCTAACAAATAAGATTTGTTTAAAACAACGCACAAACGAAAGAAAGTTTTTAGTTGTTAACACAATACTTTGCATCAACGAGATGATGATAGTCAGGTTCTCTTACACGTTTTTTTTAGGTAAGTTCTATTGATCTCAAAGCATCACAAAACGTCTTCAATGTTTTAACATAATATTTTGCATAAAACAAAAACAGTTTTTTTAATGTGATTGTGACTAACAATTGTAAGACAATTGTAAGTATTACGGTTATTAAAAAGCATTTTTAATGAAAATTTATATCAGACAACGATATGAAAACGATGTTCAAAACTAAATCTACGCTCTATTTCATTATAATTCATAAATGTGCGTATTTATTTTAGTTTTGATTGTAGTCTATTCAGTGCCCCAATGTCAATATGAAATCAAATTATGGATGATCCTTTACTATGTGATATATAAATATGTAAAGATTTGATCTAGGTACTATTTATTTGGAACTCCAAAACTGTTCAACAATTGAAGCCAAACTATTCAATCGGCTATTTTGTATGATTGCAGTAGTTATTATGATAACCAGTGACATTGCAACGGTGCAATCCGCAGCGCCGAAGATCAAGCGTTGTAGCAGACGATCAATAACTTACGAGAATGAAGAGCTTGTGCGGACGCTAAAGGACATGGTTTTACCGCGCGATAGCTTACAACCAGATGCGCTGAATATGGACGCAGATCCGGCGAATTTGTTGAGAAAAGGCTACGGTGGACTTTTTCCTCTACCAATAATGATGGATGACGAGATATTAAGGAGTATCGATGAACAAAAGGCCTTCGCTTGCTCTCAATTACAATGCGCGCCGAGCGACAATCTCGTGCCGGTCTGTGCATGCAATTACAACACGGGGAACGTGGTCACGTTCAAAAGTGAATGTGACACAAAAAAGCACAATTGCAGGTTCGACACGGGTGCGTATTATCAACGATAGACGAAATTTTTGTCATATTTCAATTGTAAATAATAATATATGCATGTACATTTATTTAACAGTTGATATAACTGTTTATGTCAAAAGCAGTTATATCACAACGGTGCAATTACGACTAATACAGAAGGGACATGATAGGGTTTGGATAAATAAGATAAAGTAATTTCTCATATTTACGTGAACACAAAACATCATTAAAAGAAAAAAACTATTTTTACGGATTAGTGATCGTGACCTTTAATTCTGTATGAAATATTACAGTATGAAAGCGATAAATCCGTGAAAATTGATTCATATAATATGTGAGAAGTATGTACCCTAATTTAGGATAAATACTTATGATACTATCATAATCATTTATTTTACTTTAATAAAAGACATATTTAAGCCAAGTAATTAAAAATAATCGTTATTTCAGCTTTCCACGTCATATTGAATGAAATTTGCCCATGGGAATTTCAGTCCCGAAGAGACAGCGGCGAACTTGTTATTAATTATGACGACCCGAAATATTATAATTAAATCCAATTATCTTTTAAGCTTTTGTTTGTTATGATATGTATGTATAATAATCTAAAATGTTGAAACAAAATAAAACGTTAATAAAATTAATAAAGTGAACCATTAAAATAAGCAGGCACTTAGTATTTATTTTTCAATACCTTGTAACATTGAAGATAAATTGACGAATCCGATCTATAAAACCATTGAATTTTGTATCTTATCCTTTAAACGAGCAATTCTTGTATATATATATATATATATATATATATATATATATATATATATATATATATAATCGGAATCTCGGAAACGGCTCCAGCGATTTTCATGAAATTTTGTATTTTTTTTTTTTTTTTTTTTTTTATTTCCAAAATAAATGATTTACCAAAAAAACCGAGCAAAGCTCGGTCCTCCAGGTACTTTGAATGTAAAACGGCTTGGCTTGTATTGGTTAGATCATATTGCTGATCACTTGTGAGGATTCTATATTAAATTATATTGAGGTAATGATTGCTTTGCAGCCGATTTCGATCTACAATGTTTTGAGGAAATCCTTGTTGCGTTTGGATGTGCAATGTTAGGATGAGTTATTGTCACAGGATCTGTAAAATTTGTATGCAAGCCTTTTAGTTCTAAATAGCATTATTTATTATTGAAACGGTGTGTTGATTTCAACGTGTTCGTAGTTGAGTGCAACCCACAAGCTATTGTGTTGTATGACTGTGTACAATGTTTTTGGGTCGAGACGGTATATTATTTTGCTGTGTACGAGTGTAGAAATGTAGTACTAGTATATTAGTACATGCAGCGGTGCTAACATTTGTTTTTTTTTTGTAGCTGGGTTAACCACTGTTGGCCTTGAGAGGCCTTTAATGCTCCACCGGTCTTGAGGTGGCCGGGTCCTGAGGGCCTGTACCTCGATCATCTTTATATCTTTTTATTATATACAGTTTTTGTCTTCGTTTATTAGTTTTTCAGGTTGTTGGCATCGTAAACTGATATCCTTGCTCAATATTTTTCTCCGATCATTTAACTTATAGAGGCTCGAGACTAATAGATTCTATAAATGAAAGGTGTTTTGATATTGACATTTAAACGGCTAGGTATTTTAAATATGGTTTTAATACTTTCTTATTTTGGAAATGTTTGTTAATTTGTTGGTTCACTCGAACAAAATCTTTGAGCCCCTACACTTTTTTCTCTTCACATTTTTGGATTAGTATGTACAAGGATGGCGGGTACAATGGACGACTGACGTCACGCCAGATTACGCCACCTCTTAACTAGGAAGAGTTTTAGAACTAGTTCAGTTATTTAATGCATTCCTCCACTACTGCACCTTTCATTCTATTAGCGAGTTCAACGGATGCTTCAACGTTTAGGAGCTTCCACAAATATTTACTCTTTGATCGCTCTGATGTTCGTTGAAAAACCGACACGCTATGGCAAATACGAAATAACAAATACAATAAGAAATATTTGTACAAAGAGGAGCAGCAGTCAAGAGTGCATTAAATATCGCAACTAGAATCGAAGACAAAGCTCTTCCTTCTTGCTCTTTCTTTGACCTCTCTTTCGGGGTGGCGTAACCGTGCGCGTGTTGCGTCAGTCCGATATCAATTAAAAGCCTGGAAGGGTTAAATATTTAAATAAAATAATTAAAAGGACATAAATAATATAATGCTACTGCTTCGACCCAGGCATCCATTGTATCCACTATCTTTGCACATACTAACCCAGAAATGTGAGGAGAAAAAAGTGTAGGAGGAGCTCAAAGATTTTGTCCGACTGTTTAACAAATATTTCGGAAAACATTTTATAAACAGTTGCACCGGCCTAAAGGTAGGGTAGGTAGGACAGATATCAAAGCGGCGGTAATCACTATTACCTAGGGGTAAAAAAGCTAAAATAGTAAACGTAGTAAATCAGAAGAAGAAAGGTGGATGAAGCCAAAAATGTGCGTAAGGACGGGACCAAGTCAGGAAAACGGCGTTATTAAATAAAGTTTAGTAATAAAATTTTATTGGGACACATTTGGACCCATTTTAACATATTTTAAATTTGGCAATGTTTATTACATACATTTATAACCTATCTATGCGGAGGTATTTTCTCGGATAGGCTGTTACTTTACTTTACTTTTTTTAACATATTTTAGTGTGTAGTGTGATTATTTAAAAATAACAATCTGAATAAATAAAATAAACAAAATACGCCTGTTTCGCGAAGTAGAATATCTTGGTTTATTTATTATTACTGCAAACGTGATTAAAACAATAATAAAAATAGTTTAGCGACTTTCCACAATATAATTTTATGACTTTTAGGTAAAACCGGTCACGGGTGCTAAGTAAAGTATTTTTTTGGCTTATAATAAAATGAGAACAAAATACCGATTCTTGTAAATTAATCAAATCACTAGTTAAAAAGTATTATGTCTGTGAATTTTGCATATTGTCATCTTTACTGTCAATCATTTTCTTCTATGCTCTATGACCCTAGTTCAATGAATCAAAGTGTTTGTGTAAATGATTGTGAAACAAAGAATTTTACAACACGAAATAGATGAGGCTCGGTGGAGGACCACTGTGTAACATTACTCATGAGTACGGAAGAGACTCTGTTGAATCTCGATTTCGACAAACCGAACACAACAGTTACGCCTCCCGATGACGGCGTGGTATCTCTATCAAGTAGCGCTGAGGACATCTGTTTAGTGCCAGAGGTCGGGTTCGAGGGCAACGTGGATTCTCCAGGCCTAAACCGGGAGTCGCAGCCGCTCCTGAGCGGTCGCGGCGACTTTGAAGTTTCTTTCAACCATTTTCCAGGTAAGGATACCAACTGTTCGTATTTCGTACTCATATACTGATATCCATTCAGAAGTACTCCAGATGGATCTTGTACTTTAAGACTTGTCACAGCTTATAAGAAAATTTGTACGTTAGTTAACTTCTTCGACTTATGGTTTAAATACGCTGTTGTGAGGTTTCAAATAGGACAGATAACAATAAATGAAACAACCTATACGAGCGAGTCGTATTCTTCACCTTGACACGATTCAAATTGTTTAAACAAATCTTAATTATAATTGTTTCTTGTCGTAATTGCATTAGCAGTTGTTATTGATTTGCAACAACTTCAAGTTTATGTTAATTCAGTAGTAACTGAAATATAATTACAAGAGTGAACGTAGTTGCGTATGAAAATTTTCAACGTCAATTTTCAGTGAAGCATAACAAGTGTACAGAAATTTCAGGATTCTTTTTCATTCATTGTACCAAAAATGGATTTTACTTTTCAATGTGGTAAGTCTTAGATAGTTTCTATGTATGTTGACTATATTTTTATATGTGTCATAATATTTTCAACCCAAAGTGAGATAAACCTAAGGCCATATGTTAACATAAACATATTAGACAATACATTTTTTATCTTTAAGTTATTGAACATTATACTATCAGCGAAAATATAGAAACATGAACATAGAACGTTATTGTTATTTTCTGTATTATTCACCTTATTAAAATGATGAAATTGTGACTGATCATCAACTATTATTAGGTATAAATTCATATCTTGTGTATAGTATGATAATTAAATTGATTTAAAGAATCTATTATTTATAAAATTACAGTGATTGTTTTACTGATTTTATTATTTTAGTAATTTTACTTGAATTTTTTTTTATTATATACATGCATGTTTCATTAATAGGACAGTTCTATAATGATCAATTAAAGGACAAGATAGTTACTAAACATATATAAGTTACATTTACAGTCCCAAGTATCCTATTGTTAAACTTATGCACTTTAAATTACAATTTCACATACCCATAAAATTGTGTGGTTCGTATATAGATTCTTGGTACTTTGCTAAAATTGAAAATTTTTTTAATTTAATGAAATTGAAATTATTTATATTACAGCTAGGTTTGCAAGTGCTTATGTATCACTACTTGGGTTAAGCTTATGCTAATTCCAAATGGTCGAAGTCCCAGTCCCCAATGATATATTAAGTATATACTTTATAATTGAAATTTATATAATATACAATTCATAGATGGCTAACTAATATGAATCGATGAATATATTTATACCAAATTATGATTTTAACTTTACCGTCTATTAAGTTAAGTTTTGTTTTGTCCATCAAAGAGTTTGTGATTTGATTTACACACTAATGGGAAATGTCCGTCTTCTGTACTCAATGTATAAATACAGGGAGATTTTTTGAGAAGTGTCCAAATTTACACAGGAAGTTCAGACTCGGTTGAATAATTGTTTATTGAAATAAAAAACAAAGGTTTTATCCAAAAAAAATGCCATTCTATTCCCTAAAAAACAGAATGTGTTGACAATGCGGTAGTCATTCATAAATACCTAAATTTTACTGTGCACGAACTTGTGTGCGTGTTAGTTATGAATGATCGCGCATAAAATAAATGAGTTGCGTATAAATCACGCACTTTTTGAGATAAGTTCAAATTAATGTAATCAATTACTTATTATATTGATTTTAAATATTTATCATGTTTTATATAAGATTATTTATGTCTAGAATTTAATAAAAACAGTGGATACACTTAGAAAAACCTTGTATAGATATTGTTATACATATATTATAACACTATTTTATGGAGTTTATTGCTTTTCATTTGGTGCAGGGACCAATTATAAAACATTGGAATTAAAAATAAAAGCCATGAAATAGTTTTACTAACAAGGCTGTATAAAGTTTTAGAACACATGTATATAAATATAAAACACAAGTAAATGTTATGAATTTTCCATTGATAACACAAAACAAGTCCATATGCAAATGTTAAGGGTTACTGTTGTGAATATAACAAGCAGGTAACACATTATCATAATGGTACAAATAATTATATTTCTATTGTACAAAATGCCCTATTTCAGTTTTTCCCAATAACTTATGACTCCGTGGCGCAGTTGCCAAGGTATTGGCTTCGGCGTCGGGGGTCGTGGGTTCGATTCCCACACGGGACAACTATTGGTGTAACCCACAGATAATTGTTTCGCATTTGGGTGTTTGTCCGCGTGAAATTTATGTTTGTAAAACATCCTTTACAACACAGGATAATATTATCCTAACGTAAGGGCAGTGTTTTTTTAAAACAAAAAGAAAAAACTTAGTGATAACATGATAACTATATTCACAAGTATTTATTGTAAATGGTGCATAATGGTGACAATATTACTTTTTTATTGTTTTAGTTTTTCAATTTTTATTACTTTATTTCTATTGAAAAAATTTTGATACACTATCAGTAAATTAAACATGTAAAATATTACTAGTAATATGTAGGTAATACAGTGGATAAATTTCATGTCATTAACATTATAAGGCTATTAAGACATGTTTTGTATAACTTGTTTTGCTGGCACTGACATTGAGTTCAAGTTTGGTACAAGTGAACTGGGTACTGGTTTGGTACAAGGGAACTTCATTGGCTTAGGCCAGTGATTCTCAACCTTTTTTTTGATGCGGCACATATTAAACGATTTCAAAATTTGACGGCACACAAAGAAAAAGATAAAAATTATTTACTTACTACAACACACTGCATAAATAGTTTATGACAAAATTTTTAAATATACGAAATAAACTAATATATACTACAATAATAAATAAACGTTTATTAAGGGATTAATTACAATTACATAATAAAAATATTTTTAATGCGAAATTTGACCTTGATGTTTTTTGATAATTTCATTTATATTTGGTCGTAAAAATGACAATGCTACTCTCATATCGTCTTCTACATTTAACAATCTTGATCTTTTTTTAGTTTTAATGTTATCTAATGCCAAAAAATATTTTTCTTTTTAAATGATATAATGTAATAATATTAACATTATTATATATTTGCAAAATTTGGCGGCACACTTTTGAAATTTGGCGGCACACAAAAGTGCCGCGGCACAGTGGTTGAGAATCACTGGCTTAGGCTATAGTTTATATACATATTTTATGTATATCTGTCGTTCTGTCTGAATGTTACGCCTTCAGCCTATTCTACGCAGACATAGTCGCGGGCAGCAGCTAATATATTTTATATGTTCTCTTGTTGACCAATGCGGATCTCGAAGAGACATTTTAATGCTAATTTGGTAGAATTGGCATGAATCTCTTTCTGTATTAAATTTTTAAAAAAATGCTATCTTGTAGTTACAATTATTGTTTTAGAAAAATTCTTGATATTACTCATTCCTTTAAATTCTCTTTATATTAAAATGAAATTAATGAACACAATTGTAAATATGGCAACATGATAATTGGTTGATGCATTATTTTAATGTAACAAGTAACAATTGGTGTATAAATTTAAAACTTCTACTGTGAAATAAGACCGTCCTTTTACGGAGAGGCCTTACTTGTTTTGTGGATTGTATCTTCAATGTTAATATATAATTTTACTTTGGTAGGCACGCAGTAGCTTCTGTTATTGCACAAATGGGCAAGCTCACCTGGGGAAGTACTATGATCTTGCAGAAGGCCTTACTATTGCCTTTCCTCTGGTTAGTACGGTAACACCATCTCCTTTTTAACCCTTCAGAAGGCCCTTTTTAACCTCATTTGTAAACATCCATGGGAGGCGGTACTTAACATCAGGTGAACCACCTGCCGTCTTGCCAACTTTTCATATTAAAAAAGAAATTATCAATGTGCCAACCAAGGAATGAAACCACACCAGATAAATTATTTTTGAAAAGGCCTTTTTTATTTAAAAATATGTACTAGTGATTGACTTTGGACTGTAATTCCTTAAGTAGTATTTTTTTAAAAACTTGTTTCGTCAATTTGACATTCAAATTTATTTGGCGCCAAATATTGTTTATGAAAAACCCCTATTTGAATACAGACTATTATTTTATTTTGTATTTGGCATTGACAATGTGAACGTAAACAAATTTATGTATTTGTGATTAATATTATACGCAAATAAAAGCTCCCTGCAATCTTACTTCGTATAAACTTGTAATATGACAAATCTAACGCGCATTATTCTTAAATAGTCCAGTCTTTATATTAAGATACATATACCGATTTCTTAATAAACCGATAATGTACGATACGCACGTACCTTATAGCGTTACCCTTATCGGCTGATATTGATTATTTGACTGATTTAAACGAACTAGTTTAATGAAATATGACGACAATAGGCATTTATTGCATAGTACATGCTTATGCTCGCGATCTTAATAGAAGGGGAGTCCAGGATGCTAAATGGGGATTAATCGCGTGGGGACCTAATACATTTTCTAGATAAGATATTAGGATGATTAGAAGACTATATAATATTTCCCTTTTATCGGTGGGGAAAGCGCCTACAGATTTTCAAAAATGTAATAAGAAATAATTACATGGGAATACTTAGCGTGTCAGATAATGATAGTTATATACCCCAAAGTGATGACGCGATGTGCCGTTGCTAAACAAGGGATCGTGGGTTCGATTCCTAAACGGGACAAGTATTTGTGTGACCCACAGATAATTGCTCCGTATCTGGGTGTTTGTGTTTCCCATGAAGGGTTGACTTCGGTAAGGCGGCCGGTCGATAAATTCCCGTGGGTATGTAACAGTGACCATATTTACAAAGAGCAGTTTACGATAAAAACAACAAAATAAACGAAGATTACTTATCGATACTAGTAAAGTCCGAGATATTTTTTATTGCATTTGTCGATTTTCCATATCAGAACATATTTATAATTTGATTGTACACAAAGAGATTGGAAAGCGTAACAAAACGTGCCAAAACCACAAATGATAATTTCGTTTGTTTAGTTTGCTAGTGTAAATAAAGGAAAAGAGTTATTAATCAGTTGCCTAGCCAAATATGCGATAATTTACTTCAATTTTAAACTAACACTGGCCACTCAAACAACGCACAGGTTAGACCGATACATAAAATGTCCATATGTTGGGAAAGAGTATGTTCTCTTTCCTCGAATAATAGTGATTCGTTTGGCGCAGTTGCTAAGTTATTGGCTTCGGCGCCGGTGGTTGTGGGTTCGATTCCACGCGGGGCAACTATCTGTGTCACCAATAGATAATTGTTTATTCCCAAGGCGGGTTGGCATCAGGCAAACAGCCGGTCGTAAAACACCTAGCCAAAACCACTTGCAACATGATTGTGCCGACACGTGCTGTGCCGACCCCACCTAGCTGGGATAAGGGCCAAGAGGGTTGTAATAATGACTTTCCTAATGTTTTTATTTATTTATTTAATCCGTTAAACTTTGTGAGAGATTAAATCTTTATGGCTGTTTGTTTGGTTCGGTTTGGCTTTAGGATGTCACTCAACCCAATTTGCCTTTTGGCAAAGGCCTCCTCCAGTAGTTTCCGTTGCTTCCTGTCTTGAGCAACTCTCCTCCATTTAGGTCGCGCAGTAAGTTTCAGCTCATCTTCCCAGCGCATTAGTTGTCGTCCGCGATGTCTCTTACCATTCTTTGGATACAAATTGGACTTTACTAATATACCATTGGTGTGATTAGAAAGGATATAAAAATAGTCACACCTCGAAGTTAGGCTAAACTTCCCACCCGGCACGCGCCTAGCCCCGACACATTTAAATAAGATCTAACTGTTGTGCTCCGCTTCATTATTCTTAATACCCGCAGAAGTGTTGTGAATAATCCAATGGTACCTTGTAGCATTGTGTGGGTAATAGGCTTGTGTTGGAATTATCCAACGGTACCTTAATACATTGTGAGGCTTGTAATAGACTAGGAGTGAGTTGTACCAGGTAAAATCGAGTACCTTTTACGCCTGTTCCTGTGACTTCAGTAACAGTGACAAATACCTGTTACAAAATAACAGCCTGGTATTTCATACTAAATTGTGACAATTTGTGTAACTGTTACCACAGACAGAGACAGGCTATAACATTTTTTTATCTCTTTGTAACTAAGGTAATTGGTGAATCAGAAAAGCTTGTGACAGCACGTTAAGGTGTGTGGAACAGGAGCTGTTATTTAAATTTGTTCGTAACGGGTACAGTCTGTTATCCCAAGGTACCTATAAAAATTACTTGTAACGATAAATACGCCTCACTCCTATAATAGACTCAGTAAGAGTTTACTGCTTTCAATTACGTAACCTTTAATCATTCTCGAGTTTTGAAATACGATCAGGCGACATTGTCACCGGTTTTTCTTCGGGTTCGTTGAACGTTGAAGGTTCCTCTATGGTACCAAATGATTACTGCTTTAGTTGCGTTTAAGTGATCCGCCTACGTCACTCACCAGATGATCTTTTTAAAAAAACTGAAATAATATTACTATAACCTCAACACGACCTAAAATTTGTTCAATTAATATACCTCTGTGATCCTACTAACAGTGCAATGATAGGCGACTACTAGATCCCTAGGAATCTTATGAAATTATGTAATATGAATCAAATTAAATCAAATTATTATAAATTCAAATCAATTTTTAAAGTTTTTTATAGTGCTAATCTCTGCACTTAAGATTGAACATTAAAAAAAAATTCAAATCAATTATTATTATAACTTTATTTAAAAAAAATGCAACTATTAAATAAATTTTAAATTTAATTAATTACGTTCGAATATCAACAAATAGGTAGTAAATTACTAGTAGTAATTTGTAATGTTCCCTCGTAGATGACCCGCAGTTCAGCGAGCTCGTGTGGCAGGCGGAGGTGGCCATCGACAACGGCATCTTCCCAGAGAGAATATACCAGGGCTCCAGCGGTTCTTACTTCGTCAAGAACCCCGGTGGTGTGAGTAAAGTGGTCCTGTTTCGACGCGAAGTCTCATCTACCGTAACCGGAAAGAAACACTCATACAATCGGTTTAATACTCGGTGTCTCGATGAGCCACAATACGGCGAAGGCCAAATGATACGCAACGTGAATTTTAACTGGGCTGTTGTTGTAAAACGGTCGTTAAAATTAATTGGATCGTAGAATGTATATTTTTTAAATTAAATAACTGGCCAGGAAATCAGCTATTAAATAGCATTTCCTTAAAGATAATATGGAAAGAATTGCAATTGAATCTAATAGAAGCAACAGATTATAAATAAAATTTGCCGCGCTTTTTATACTTTTTTTCTTAATGAACTGCGAGAGGATGTATAAATGTGCGTGGCTACGAGTGTATAATTTATCGTTTAGATGTAATTGATATTATTAAAAAAATGGTATGGTAGTAAAAGATGAATGTAATTAGCAAAACGTCATCGCCAGATGTAATTCGCAATTTCAGCCACGCGAGGATTTTAAGAAAATGTTTGAGAAGGAAAAGTCTAGAAGTGAACTTTATGACGTCTCACTACGCTTTAATAAATATGATTCGTGACCTTGGCACAGTTAGTGTCGCATAATGATTTATAGGTTGCCATGTTCCATTAATGGGGGGCTCGTAGTTATATTTTTTTTTTCTTACATTTATCACGTGATAGAAACTGAATATATATACGGGTCTTCGAAATTTCACCATCAATTCTCGAATAAATTGATTAACTTGTCATTACGTAAAATGCTCTTAAACAGAAGAGAATTTAGACAAATATACTTTATATAATATATATAATATGTCTACTAAATCATAGCTCTTTTCAATTTTCCGTCGGGAATGCAAAATCCTATCTACAATCGTAGACTGGATTACCTTGCGTTCCAGGCCAAGATGGAGCTCAGATAAAACAACCTTCACGGGGTTTAGAAATCTTTCAGCTTAGGTTTCTTATTTGGTGTGCAGGTGACATGTTTGCTATAGGTTATATTTCTTATAGGTTATGTAGTCTGGCTTCGCAGGCTTGACAGAGTATTTTGTGGATTAGGCCAAGCTCTCATTATATGCAAGCGGAACAAACATTAATAGTTTAACGGAAGAGTTTTTTTTAAGATTTGGCATGACATAGACAGCAAGACATAAACAACGCAGCCCCCTGCCCGCAATTTTTCTATGTCTCAAAACACAAAACACAAAACAACACGGGCTCCAACTCTCCCGTCCTCTCAAAAATGATGAAGATCGCATGCGATAACGTCATAATTTTATGTAAAATTGACTAATAGACCTCTATCTATTCTAAGCTAAAGTCTTCGTAGACCTGATCGAAAGAAATATCCAATTATACTGTAGTACTTGTTAACTACGACAATAGGCGAAGAACGGAAGCTTCTCTATTTAGTTAGAGATACCGTCAAACGTTTTAAACTTCGGGAATATAAAAACAAATTAGGCGCGACATGATCCGAGAAATTATTTCATTAATAATAGCGTAGGATTCGTCTGATTTTTTTTTATTTGAAAAGTTGCCAAGCGAGCGGGCGGTTCACGTGATGTTAAGTGAATACCGCCGCCCATGGACATCTGCTATACCCAAGAGTTGCAGATGCGTTGACAACCTTTTGAAAATTGAGCTTCGGCCACCTCACTCACCAAACAAACGCGAAAGTATTATACTTCCACTTCACGCCGGTCTTCTGTGAGGTCGTGGCACTTACCCGGACAAGCCTGCCCATTCGTGCAACAGCTGAGTCTGCTGCGTGGCCTACCACCGAGAGACCGTTGAGATCGTTACGGACGCCGTTCCAGAAAATAATCGGCGTGTTCAAGCCGAAAGATGAAGAGCCGTACGGCCGCCTCAACCCCAAGTGGACCAAATGGATGCACAAACTGTGCTGCCCGTGCTGCTTCGGCAGATCCTGCCTCATCCCCAACCAGGGCTACCTCTCGGAGGCGGGCGCGAGCCTGGTCGACTCCAAGATCGGTCTGAAGGTCGTGCCCAAAACGAAGGTACGTGAGTTCTTTTTAAAGAATTTATTTCCCAATAGAACATACACAGTTCACTCGTTTGAGAAACTTAATTTTGTATTTTAAATAACAATATGGAAAGTGGCGATGGTTCTATTACTCACCTCTCAAGAAGAAGCAAATAACAGAAAAAAGTTTACAAAAATATAGAAGCAAATGGGGAAATTCGTCTGTTAATGGTGCCATGCTATCATAATACTAGTTTTGTTATACAATATTAAAATAAATATTTTATAACAAAAATAATAAAAAATAATCGTGTACTATATTTTCCCCTAAATTTCCTTAAAGTGCTATATTTTTATCACTTAAAAACTATATTTTAGTAAAGAAAAGGTGGCAACCCTAGCTTACGCTACGTACGAGTATTCATGTGTCGGTAGCAGAGGTTAATTTGTATTATCCATGGACGTCAGAAGTCTTGCAACTGCTAACTGAGATTTCTTCAGAGCGTTTTCCCTCATAGCTCAGCTTAACATTATGTAAATATTTACTTAGACTTTCTGAATCACAATGCTCTTTTAAACCTGTCTTTTGAACTAATATTGGCCACACTCCGAATGTTAATAAATGAAGGACTTTGATATTTTGTATTTAATGAAAAACACGGCGTTTATGAAGAAAAAAATACTAAGAAAAATATTACTTAGTACCTTTAACGCTTTTCATTATTTTCATGGCTAATCTTCTCTAGAATAAATCGTAAATAGTTTCATGTTGAAACCAGTTTCAAAAGTTACTGGCGACCATAAAAATAACGGCAAACTTGACTAGGTTTCGTGTAGTCCACGAATTTATCTAAGTTTGTGCAGATAATTTCACATATAATTAACCTTAAATCGCAACCGGAACAAGTTTCGGACGGCGAAACTAGCTCCGTGCTAGTTTCAGACGGTGAAACTAGCTCCGTTCAGACGGTGAAACTAGCTCCGTTCAGACGGTGAAACTAGCTCCGTTCAGACGGTGTAACTAGCTCCGTGCTAGTTTCGGACGGTGAAACTAGCTCCGTGGCCACCGATACCCTCCGACGGTGAACGTCCCATTCGCAGGTGGTGAAACTGGTTTCGGACGGTGAAACTTGCTCGCGTCGAGGCTGAACTCGAGCAGTTCCCCCAGATTCAACCGTAATAAATACCCTCCGACGGTGAAGTGATGTCATATGAGGCAGTTGTTTACGTTTCCTCAAAGTAAATGTCCGTAAACTGGTTAGGGGACGTTTTCAACTACTATGCTATTAGACATTCGCGAGCGTTTTATGGCTTGAAGCGCGCCTAAATCACCGAGCAGTTCCGAATTTCGATTCAATAGAAGGAGCCTTTTTTAAAGCATCTATGCTTCCGCATCCTAAGGTAATTTTAAATTCTTCCGTTATATGTGAGTCTTTATTTTAAGTGATGCTGACCATATGAGGCAGTTGTTTACGATTCCTCAAAGCCACCATTACTCACCATCAGGAGTGATAGCAGAACTAGGCATACTTTAAAAATATTCTACCATTATCCGTAATGTCCATTTCGCAGGTGGGCTCATTCCAGTTGTTCGTGGAGGGCTACAAGGACGCGGATTACTGGCTGCGGAGGTTCGAGCAGGACCCCCCGCCGCCGCACGTCATGCGAAAGTGAGACAGAAATAGGTTCATGAGCAACTAAAGGTCATGTTCGCAGGGCCGGATTTTGAGGTCTGGAGCCTCGGGGCAACAAAGGAGTGAAGGCCTCTTGGCGCCAAATTATTTTCCAAATAAGATGAACAGTTTTTTTTTTCAGTATAGTTTTCCAATAAATAAGTTATTGTGAAATCAAGTATAGATTCTTTTATTATTTAACGAACATATAAATATAATCTCTACTGTGGAGGCCCCAAGGCTGTAGCCCCGATTGCCCTCCCGTAAATCCGGCCCGGCATGTTCGAGCGAGACAAACGTGGCTTCCATAACACTCCGACGATGGTGTGCAAGTGAGACTAAAGCTCGACCCCGCACATTGTTCGAAAGTGAGACGGACATAGCTTCATGAGCGACTAAAGGTCGTGTTCGAGTGAGATAAACGTAGATTTCACAATTCTCCGACGTTCGGGCGCGTATGAGACAAAGACGACAAACCGGCACGAATGGGCAGGTCCGTTCGGGTAAGTACCTCATCATCATATAATAAGTTGGCAACGCATCTGCAACCGTACGAGTGTTGCAATGTCCACGGGCGGCGGTTATCACTTAACGTCAGGTGAACCGCCAGCTTGCTTGTCACCTTCTCACATAGAGAAAAATAGCTGTTGCGTGGCCCTACTGCTGTTGTACTGATATCGCTTTTATATTATAAAATTATAGTGCACATGCAATCACAACAAACTGACGCAGTACCAGTCTATCAGCATTCTGGTACGCGAAGACTATAGCGTCATAAAATGCTCTTGCAGGTTCCAGCTGCAGTTCGAGCGGCTGGTGGTGCTGGACTACATGATCAGGAACACCGACCGCGGGAACGACAACTGGCTGATCAAGTACGACGCGCCGCCGGCAGATGGCGTTGCGCTCACCGAGCCCAGCGTACGTGTGTCTGTTTGTAAAATCGTTGCCCTTACTTTAGGGCAACATTACTCTGTGTAAGGACGTACATACATAAATTTCACGCGGACAAACACAAACATCCAGACGCGAATCAACTACCTATCTCACAGAAATAGTTGTCCCGTATGGGGATCGAGCCCACGACTCCCGGCGCCGAAGCCAATGCAACAACAAGCCTTCCGATGACTGTCGTTGCCACAGAACACTAGGCCGTATTCCTGGTGACGAAGGTGCCCTTTGGCCCGCAGGAGTGGTCCGGCGGCGCGGAGGTCCGCATCGCGGCCATCGACAACGGGCTGGCGTTCCCCTTCAAGCACCCCGACTCGTGGCGCGCCTACCCCTACCACTGGGCCTGGCTGCCGCAGGCCAAGCGCCCCTTCAGCCACGAGACCAAGTCGGTGCACCGCCCCCCACCGCCCCATCTCCCACTCGCTCAGCTCATACCCCCTCCACCACTCACTCAGCTACAACCCCCTCCCCCATTTCACAAAGTTAAACCCCTTCCTCCCGCTCAGCTCAAACCATCTCCCCCCACTTAGCTCAAAACTCCTCCCCCCACTCAGCTCAAACAGCCTTCCCCCACTCAGCTCAAACCCCCTCCCCCCACTCACACAGGTCAAACCCCCTCCGCCGACTGCACACCCGCACCCTATAATACCTACTCCCAAATGCACCGCCCACAAAATTCAAGGCCGCTCCTAAAAGTTTCCATCGCCTAACTGGTCACAAATGAGCCGCACTAGAAATAAACCTTCCGCTATCCTTCACCCTTAAAATTCAAACCCTCTCACCCAAACGCGCACCACTCCCCATTCTTCCCTTAAAACTCACCCTACCCACAAATTCCCGTCCACAAACTCACAACAACTTCAACTATCGTCACACACATTTAAAATTCGAATTCCGTGTCCAAAATGTACCACCCCAAAATCTTCCCTTAAAATTCAACCCCCACAGATGCGTCACCACCAACATTCTTCCACCACCATCTACTCAATACCTCAACCACCATCACGATGCCCATATTCTATTATCCATAGTTAACTAATTTCTCATATAACAGCCTCTTTCCAACCACTTTAAAATCTTTTCCAATTTTAATTGACATCAAAGTCCTTACCATGTCAAACTTAATCATGGATCTTTTCAATGGAATTACACATAAAAACTACTCTCAACTTTATATCTTTTTTCTTTTTTTTTTTTTTTCTTTTTTTTTTTTAAAAACATTGCCCTCATTGATAATATTATCCAAAGTAAGGACGTTTTACAAACATAAATTACACGAGGTCAACACCCAGATGCGAAACAACTATCTGTGGGTCGATCTTTGTCCCGTGTGGAATCGAACCCACGACGAAGCCAAAACTTGGCAAATACTCTCAATGTCTCAACTTTATATCTCAACTCCAATGAAGTATATCTTTAAGTATTTTTAGACTGGTATTGCAAACAAGAAATATGAAAGATTTTTCAGTTTCACATCCACCTCATTTTATAAGAATACATAGACATGCAGCCATATTATAAAAACAAAACCAGTCTTAAATCCGAGACGCGAGATCAGAGGTTGGTTGGTTTTTAATTTCGTCATGATTTTTCAGAGAGCTGGTTCTTCCGCTGCTGTCTGACATGAATTTCGTGCAAGAACTTTGTGATGAGCTACATATACTTTTCAAGGTATTGATAAATATTTCCAGCTTTTATTTCATAATAACGGCTAAAAAAGTACGTTTGTCGATTTAATAATGAGACCTATTGAAGGTGCTCAATCAATATGTTTGTTTGTTCTCAATATCCAGACAATATGTTTGCAACAATATGACCATCATTGGTTTTATAAAATGCGTAAAGGCATTGTAAATTTTAATGCATCTAGGAAAAGAAGATTTGAATTTAATTATTCTTTTACAGGCACATACAGAAGCGTGTGAAATATATGAGTTTACATGTTGTACTTTTAAATAGTAATATTTCAACTCGGCGGTGATTGAAATAATATACATTTCTATTTAAAAGCCTCATGTACATAGTGGAAATAAAAAGAAATAGACTTGGATAAGTTATTACTACTTAATTATGGACATGTCAATGTTGATGAAGGTCACGAGATATCGCCTGTGCTCCTAAAAATGTGTTACTTGTCGTTAAGAATAATAGAATGCGCATTATTAATCCGCAGCAAGACAAGGGCTTCGACAAGGGGCTGTTCGAGCGGCAGATGTCGGTGATGCGCGGCCAAGTGCTGAACCTCACGCAGGCGCTCAAGGACAACAAGAGCCCCGTGCAGCTGGTGCAGATGCCGGCCGTCATCGTCGAGAGGTGCGCCCCCGTCCGCCCCCGTTCGCCCCCGTCCGCTCCCATTCGACCCCATTTGCCGCCATTCTCATACGTCCCCTTTTGCTCTTCGCGTTCGTCCATTGCCGCTCCCAGTTCTCGCAACTGCACCATTGCTCCCATTCGTCTACGGTCGCACCCATTCGTCCCCATTTACCACCATGCGCTTCCATTCGTCTGCAGTTGCCACCGTTCCCTTCCATTCGTCCCCATTTGCAACCATTCGCTCTCTTTCGTCCCCATTTAGACTGCTTGAGTCAGTACACGGCTAATTGTTTTGCTAAACCCTACCTACGTGGGATAAGAGCAGGAGAAACAATGTGCATTCCATTACTGAATCAACCCTATTACTGAAAAAATATCGTGTATTACACGTGTATGTATTACACGATATTTTCGCTCTATGTTCATCACACAATATTTTTCTATACAGTGTAACCGAATGGCTACACCCTGTATATATAAATATTGAAAGGCATGTGTGTATATCAGACTTTGTATCAAATAAATGTCTTAGTTTTAAAGTACGAATCGAATCAATTTTGGGGATAAAAATTAAAAACAATCGAATATCAATTCAGCAGCAGTCTTGAATTGTGAAGGATAGACAATGTAATTATGAATGTATAAGTTACAACAAATATTTTCCCTTCACTCCTCATTACTTCATTACCTTACTCAAAACGACCGATTTGTTTGCGCTATACGTTTCTAGGTTATCAATTAGCCTCCATCGGTTTCCAGGTCCAAAAGCGGCACCACCTCTTCCCGCTTCTTCGACTCGTTCCAGCAGCGCTTCCAGCACAAGTCGCCGTTCTTCTCGTGGTGGTGAACGGCCCGGGCTTCCGTGGGCGGGCCTTCCGAAGCCGAGGCCCCAGCTGTGGGCCGAGAGTGAGTACGATAGCCCAAAACTGGGGCAGGGCCACGAATACAATCAATTCAATAATGATCGTTTCTCGTTGCAGGCAAGGAAAACGGCGGTAACTCCAAACGCGACGCTGCAATATATATAGAGAATTGTTTGTATATGTATGTATTTGAAATGTAGAATAGCACGTTGACAAATTATCTGTATCCTTACTGCGGTAGTATGACACAGTGTAATGTAAGAACAGAGACGATAGTCGGGATAATCGGAAGGACGTGAGTTAAATCGCGACCGCATCGTATTTTTTAATGCAGCTGTCTTTGATTGTGAAGGATAAAAAATGTAGTTATGAATTTATAAGTAAGAACAAATATTTTATTAATCCTTTTCTTGTATCTAAAATATTACCTCGGCCCATATTAACTTTTCTACTTTATAATAATCTGGTAAGAAATCACAGACAAAAAGGTATTAGATTAAAGTTTTTCTTACCAATTAAGGTCGAAAATGACATTGTTTTTCATCCAAGCAATTGTATTTTACCGTAGTTCGTCAGTGTCACTTTACACAACAACACACAAAAAATTATACTCGAGAACATTTACAGTTTTATAACTTTATTTTTCTTCTCTTCGTTCTGATAAAAAAATACTAATATCCTAAAAAGAAAAGTATTTATAACTGTTGTGCCATTATCTATTAATTTATCTATTTATTAGAAGGAAAAGTGTATAAATAACTAAAAATTAATGTAACTAATATTTATTATACTTTCATTAGGAGTTTCCGAAATTATCATACCAATGCCTTATATTTATACAAATAATATATATTCAATATAACACTAATTCAACATTGAAATGAAGACGTCAAACAACTGAGCCTCTGTGCAGATGCGAAATTAAAAGTCTTAACTAATTACGAGCTTGTGTCTGTCAATGCATTACACTGTGGCGTCGTAGCTAAAGCACCGAGATATAATATACATTCTATATTCCAGTGGAAAGTTAATCGTCGCGACCGGATAAAGCTAGTCGAAATTGTTTCAGAGATGGTCTATTTATTTAATGATGGTCGTTTAGTTAAGTTGTCGCGTCGTCTATTACTTAACGCGGATCGTTGAAATGGTCCGCTGAGCTTTTAAGTCTGTTTACTTTTGCATTATTTCGCTGTAACTTTGGATAAAACATAATTATAAATCTCACAACTCGGGTGGGGTGATCACAAAAAAAATATCTACTTAAAACGATAATTGTTGGAGCAGCGTTGGCACAGTGATATGTCTAAACATATAGAGGGATATTGCATTCTTGAAACATCTATTAAATGATAATTCTCTATTAATATTAATTTCTATTAATATAATTAAATGAATTTATCCGAATCATTAGTTGGTGTTGTGGGCTCTTCGCTGTATACAAGGCTTTGTCCAGCTTTGTGACGAGTAAATGCTGTTTCTGAATATTTTTTAACGAATCGATCGGGCCTAATAAAGCGATGGAGTTGTCCCCTGTGATATTCTTATTCTGCGCCCTAAATGTCTCTAATGGAACGACCAAAGATAAACTTCAATGAATTAAAAGTCAATATTGTTACGGAGAAAGAAAGATTTTGCCGTTATATAAAACAATTCATTAACATATTGTAACCACAATGACATCTCACATAAAGGCAGATGAAAAGAAAATCCTCATGTGATATTTATAAAAACTTATATCTTTGAGAGGTTGCTGTAAAATTTATTTTTTTGTTTTTTTTTTTTCGTTTTTATCGAAGGCAGTACTTACTATTACTACTACGTCTACGGTAAGAGAGATGCTCTATGACTTGAAATGTTAAAGAAATTCCTTAGTATTATTTAATAGGGTTGCCAATAGGAATTATATCTTTATTTAATAATAGGGTTGTCAACATTTAGACTCAAATCTCTCTTATCTCGTCAACATCTGAGATGAGGAAATCTTTGTGTATTTAATAGGGATGTTAACATCTCAGAATAAATATTGTCTGTGCATTTAATAGAGCTGAAATACAGGGAAAAACCAATTGTATAATAGCGGAATAAAATAGAAAGACTTTAACACCTTAACTTAACGCCTACAAAATAACGACAAGCTCAATTTGGATCGGCTACGACATATGTCAAAGTCGTCGCGTCATTTATGGGTATATGTTCCTCTATCACGGCTTTATGTTTACAATCGTTACCAATTCGTAAGTGAAATTTCTGACATAGCACATTGTCATGTTATGGATATTCGTATTTGTGTATGGACTCAAATTATTGTGTAATGTTAATAAAAAAACCTAACACCAAAATGCGGCGAGTATGTAAGAAATAATTGAATATAGGTTTAGATAATGGCATATTTGATGAAACTGCGTTGAACGAATATCGTCTCATCCATTGTGTTCATTTTAAAACGATGCGGGGAGTTATTTTTGTCATTACAGCCGATGGTACATTGCGTAGCGTCTTAATTCAACGTTACGATTATACAGCGTGTCGTTACCATCGCGACAATAAATGAACACACGTCTAACGCTACTTGCCAATAATCGTAAAAAATATTAACTTTAAACAAAATCCATCATTAAAAAAAATATAACATCCTATACAACTCGCGCCACAGCGTCGCATTACAAGCGTCTCCTTCTAACAGTATGTTTTGTCTCTTTTAAATTCATTCAACCCATTCATTTGTGACCTTTACAAATGAACTTTACGTTACAGTTTTATACGTAAGGTGTTCTAAAATTGTTTGTTTTGGAAAATTTAATAACTCGGTAAATATTGATGTTTAAAGAATGTAAATGTTTAATACTTATAACTTTTTAAAATTAAAAAGTTATCATCGTATCTATATGTGTGTTCATTTATTGTCGCGGTGGTAACGACACGCTGTATATTTCACACTAACATCCGTACAGAAGATGTGACAAAGATCGCAGGGTGTTTTTTTTTACTTTACATACAAGCCGAACCTGCTACGACAACACTACTTTTGAGTTTGGAAAAAGCTTAAACGAAATGTTTCGTAACGATTCTCGCGATCAGCGACATCTATGATAAAGTCTGTAAACACTTATAATTACATCTTTATTTCAGTCTCGATTCGCGTAAATTTATAGAGCGTCTCATATTTGTTACTATGTTTTAAAAACTTATCAGTTGTATAATGCAATCGAGTTTGCTTTGTGATAGATTAGGCATAGGTATGAAACCGTATGAAACTGTTCAAATGTCTATTGTTTTTTCAAATGTTTGTATAGTACTTGTTTCTCTAGTGCAGTTATCAATCCGGTTAGAACGGATTCTTAAATGTTTTTCTATCCAATTTGGCCTTTAGTTACGCACCGTAAGCTATTTTCTTGATTGACTCATACCTAGTAAGCATTTAGAAGCGTCAAGTTAGACCGACCAAAAAGACTACTTCAATTTTTTTGTTACGTATTTAATAGAAAAATTAAGGTTAGTTCTGCTGTTTTCTGTATCATTTAAATACCTTATCCTGTTTGCTACGTCGAGAATTGGTCTTACGTTGAACATTTTATCGTCACATTTTTTATTCAAAATTTATGGACAGTGCATAAAATACGTGCATTTTTTTTTCTATATAGACAACATATCTTTGCTACCATAAATTTCTATTTAAATCGTTCAAATCATTCCAACGGGATTGAATAGAAAGACGTTATTTTTTTCAATTCATTGTTCAGACCCGGCGGAAATGACGCAGACTACGAAGCTTTCTATATATTCTAGTATTTCAAGTGCCTCACGCGTATTACAGTGACATTATTACGAAGAATATAATACAATCTCAGATAATAGTACAATCACTGCGTTATTTTCTTCCGTTAGATAAATTTGTACAAGTAACGGAGAGTACGTTAATGCTAGTTATCTAAATATACTTTTTAATGAACAAGTAGTAACAATGTACGTGGGCTGTTCATAACTCACCAGAAGAAAGAGGCAATTTTGAACCAAGTTTTTTAAATTTTTTCTCAATTTGACAACGCGAACCAAACAGTTGTTCGGTGAGTTTTGAATAATCTACAGAGTATAATATAATTATGTTATATTTATAATCTATGAGTAGGCGTGCGTGTGCTGTGATGCGAGGACGGGCGTTGGGAAGAGAATGTTCGTTTGACGTCTTACGATCGATGGTTTATCGGTTTTATTAGACGGGAAATTTTACGATATAATAAAATAAATTACCCAATCTGCAGTAATCGAATGCGTTGTGATATTTATTGTAAATTATATGACATTTACTTATGTTACAAAGTTGTATTCAATCAATGTTGGACGTTGCGCCGAACGAAGATTTTGTTGCCAGTATGCGAGTCACTCTTAAAGAATTCCATGTTTGTAAATAGTTTTAACAGTTTTTATTTTGTTTAAAGGTTAATTCGTGTTTATATTATGCATTATTTAATTTGGAGAAAATATAATCATCATCGCATTTCATTGTTATTTTATTATCCCACCCTATATACTCCCAAGTTATAAGTATTACGACACCATTCTATGGCCGTACTTTTTTACAACAAATGTGTTGTTGAAATTTTATTTAGTTCGAATCAAAATTAACTAAATTATTACCGCCTGATTTTTAGCGATTACGTAATTTGTAAAATGGATTATTAATTTTTATTTTATTATTTAATTAATTATTTTTTAGATCTTTAAAGTCTGTATGCCTCAAAAGCATTTTAAGGCATACAGACTTTAAAGGTACTTTATTACTTACAAGCTTTTTGAAGCATTAGCAGCAAGAATCGTGATTTTTTTTTAGAAAAAAAAATATGGATTCGAACAAGATAATAAAACACATTTTAATTTCTCAAATTATATTTGTTTTTAACAGAAAAAACATAATACATTTAATTTTTTGGGTGAACAATAAATATTTTTGTGCAGGAAAGCCTAATTTCTTAGATGTCTTCAATTTATTCTGTCCGCATTGCATATATATGCAAGGATTTGTTTAAGTAATGTATACACGGTATCTTGAGTCTGACTATACAAAATATTGAAATGAAGTTTACTTAAGAGTATATACTTTATTTTGCGTCGTATTTAATACCATGGGGGTTATCACAAATTAATTTTTATTCATATAACCAATAATTTCGTAAATAATGATTAATTTGAACGTCACCATTCGTTACCAAGATTTCTCCTCGGTTTAATGAAATAATTGGCAATGGCTCTTCAGGATACGACTTTTTAAAGATGCCCAACATAAAACACATAAATGCAATCTCATTTGTTATATTATCATTAATTAAAAAAATTAACTACTTGGCGTATTTTTAACGAAAAATAAAGTATGTAGTAATTTTTAACACTTTGGCGACATTGGTAAAATTCATAAAACGTAAACAAGGAATGTTAATACAAATTCAGACTAGAACACTTACAGAGTTTTTTTTCTCTATAATTTACCTTAAATAGTTATTAAAAATGTTAGAAAATAAAATTAGGCACAAGAAAACAGTATTTGTATGTAAGCTAAATTATTCGATTTACCACTAATACCAACATAGTTATGCTTGCATGCTTTTACTTTTTTTCTTTATCTGTTTTTTATAAAACTACCTTCAGTAAACTATTAATTAAAAAGACGTATGATTTTTAATAATACGAATTAAAATAAATGTTGTTTTTCATGGCTATTTTTTATTGAGGCAATATTACTTCCAAATATAGCATAAGCACAGTCACTGATGTAAAAAAATAAAATAAGTAAAACACTTAAAAATAACGAAGAAAATGGATGTGGTTTTTTTTAAATAATAAATATTTCGATCGTAATTATTCTTTACACGGCATAAAAATTACCGATTTCCTTTATGTGCCTACACTACATAATAGTGCTGCAAGTGAGTTGCAGTCTTAACGAATCTTTCAATTATTTAGAAGATCATTAACGAAATTAGTAATAGCAACGTTTAGACCGCGCTAAACGGATATTAAAATACTACTACTGGTTCGATAATTTCGCAACTTTTCTAATGTATGAAATCTGATTGAAATATCTATGATGCAGTTCAAATAAGTTATCTCATTTAAAAATACAATAATTTAAAGCAAAGCAAGACTACAACATAAAAAAGCCCTAAAGCGCCTAGACTCCCAGCCTAATACTTATTCCGGGTGAAAACTCAACCACAATTGCGTACATAGTGTAAAAATATTTTTTTTATAATTAAGGGGATCTACGAATAACTGGCAGCATTGTAAGCTCGGCTTGGTTTGCGCTATCCCTATGCATATGCATTCCGTGCTGGTATTTGACGAAGGCGATTGCAGCGAGTTCCTTGCAGAACTCCTCCAAAACGATCAGACTCTCCACCAACTGGTTGTGGTCGCCGCTGAAAATTTACAACGTATTTTATAACCTTGAAACTGCGGTCTCAACAGTCTTCGCTGTTGCACCAACGGGTAAGCACCACGACCTCACAGAAGACAGGCGTAAAGTGGATGTGTAACACTTCTGCGTTTCGCCCGGTGAGTGAGGTCGGCGCGGCCCACTTTTTTTTTTAGGTGGCAACGCAACTGTAACCCTACGCGTGCAATGCCAATGGGCGGCGGTTACCAGTTAACGTCAGGTGAACGGCCTGCTCGCCACCTTTTCACATAAAAAAAAAACTATCAACAAGTTCGGGCCTTGCAACCCTAACGTGTTAGACAGAGACAGCTAATGAAACCTGATTTCACCGACCTTAATAAACTATTTAGTCTGTAACGTCATAAAAAAATTAAAAAAAAATGTAGACCGAATTGTGAATCTAAAGCATTCTCGAATCGACCTGAAGGCACACCTCAAATTTCAATAAAATCGGTCCAGCATTTTAGGAGGAGTTCAGTGACATAAACACGAACAGAAGAATTATATATATAAAGATAAACAGACTGAAAAAACACTACGTTCATCACACAATATTTTTCCAGTAGCGGGCTTCGAACCCACACCCTCTGGCGCTAGAAGCAGCTACACTTCCCACTCCGCCAACCGGGTCTTCATATACCCAACCCACCTCTCGTCGTAGCTGGGGTCCTCGCTCATGACCTGCAGCCTGGTGTTCTCTATCACCTTCTTGTAGTTCCTAATCCTCGGCACCTCCATCGTCAGCTTCCTGGCGACCTCTTGAAGCACCTTGAACAGGGTCTGGGTCTTCCTCGCCGTCGGCAGCGATGGGTTCAGCAGGTACTCGTGGAGGTGCGGATGGGGCATCAGCGCCAACTTGGAGACTATCGAGGTGAGGTGCAAGTTCACCTGGTAGGGCTGGTGGGGCATGTTAGCGAGGAGCCTGTACAGCATCCGAAGAAAGGGGCCCTCGTCGAACTCGCTGTCGACGCTAGTCTGGTTGGAATCCCTCGTTCTGAGTACCAGTTTCTGGGTGAAGTGGTACTCTCCCCTGCCGTCTCCGTTGGGTTCCGTTGCCCAGGGGTCGGAGGGGTCTGATGGTCTACGCGGGCGGCACTCCTCGTCCAAGTGGATGTCCGCCTCTGGTCTGCTGTCGTAGCTGTGCGTCGAGCTGGCGGTGTTGTCGCATTGCTGCTCCGACGGCCAGTTGAATGTAGACGTCGTGTCGAGCCAGAGCTGCAATTGCGATCGGTTGGGATGGCGTTGCGATCGAAATAGTTTGGGACGGTGAAAATTCTAAAAGGTACAATCACCAAGTGCCTCCGGAGTATTTATTTATTTATTTATTACACTGACGCACACAACTATCATTACAGGCTGACCCAATGCGATAGTGTTGCCAAAAAATATAAAATAGTCGAAAAAAAATATAAAAAATAAAAACTAACAATTCCATAAAATCATACTTATAGTTTTATGAGTAACATATCACGTAATGGGATACTACTATTATACTAGTATGTGATGTTTTAATAAATATGCTATACAGATCGGTCAACCGCCCTTCCACGGACGCACTTATTACATGATGACATATTGACATGATGATGATAATGAAGGAAAGGGAAATATCATGATTACAACTTGTCAATAATAATGAAGAACATTTTTTCTATTTTCTATTTATATAAAAACGTTATCACATAACAATCACTCAAACTGTAGTTTACTGTTTGTTGAAGTTATTGCTTTAATCGTTATTGAATCAAAAAAAATGTGAAAATGTTTCACTTTTAGATAATGTATAGAAGTTAGATAACTCAAAAATATTCAGCTAAAATTTCATAGAAAAAAATTCTTTTCTTATTAATATGTTTGATGTTGATCCCGTCAGATTTATCAACGTATATTGAGCAGTTGCCTTAATGGTTAAAAGTATGGCGACCGTTTACTATATTGTCTAGTAAAGTGACCGTTACAAAAGTTAGGCAAGGAGCGGCAAAGTGCGCACGATAATTTTCGTACTTTTATCGTATTGACTCGCTGCTGCACGAATAGTCCAGACTCGTCCGTGGAAGTACCATGCCCTCACATAAAACCGGCGTCAAGTGGAAGTATTACAGTTTCGCGTTTCGTCTGGCAAGTGAAGTAATTTGTTTTTAAGATTGTCAATGCACCTGAAAAGATTCAGGTGTAGTTGTAGATGTCGATGGGTGGCGGTAATAATTTAACATCAGGCATCAAACCCGCGATCACCGACTCTGAATGGTTCGGCAATAGCGCCACAGAGTCATCCCGGATCGAAATGCAAAAGTTCGAACACTGAGGACATTCGAACTTTCGTTCGCATTTAAAGCTGCAGTTCGTGTTCGAACTTTTGCATTTCACTCTGGAGTTCGTATTCGAACTTTTGCATTTCCACGCCGGTTCTGATATTTGGTGGATACGCCCACTCCACCCCAGCAGTGGGACACGTTGTACCTGATAGTGGCGCTGGGCGTCGTGGATGTAGTGCTCGTAGTCCGCCCCCACGGGATCGGAGAGCACCGCTCGCGGCAGTAGCAGCAGGAAGCTGAAACGGACGGGGAAATGAAACTACCGTAGTACTGCCCATACAGTATATTAACCACCAATTAGCTCAACACGCGAACAAATACCGCACAACTAGGGCTGCCAACATTTCTTGAACTGCTTATGGTATATTTCATAATAAAAAAAAAATATTGTCCACCTCGAAATAATAGAGAAATAAAGTGTAAGAATTACGTTTTTGTTAAGCTACTTTTGAAAGCGAGAAATATTTTATTATTAGTTTCGGTGTTGCAAAGCAAAGATTGTTCCTAGGTTGGCAACCCTAGTTACAACTGGTCGAAAGTAAACTCTTAGAAATAATGGATTACGTAACGTAAGCAACAGAAAGCTTTGGGTTTATCTTCAAAATTTCAAAAACAGAATACCTTTGGTTATAGAATACAGAAAACAAAGCCAAAAGTATTTATGTTATAAAGATCTTTTAAAAAATTTCAAAATTCAACAAAAACAATCGGCATAATCAATTTTGTGATAATTTATTCAATCCTTCTTTTTGACTAGTTTTCAGTTGTAAGTCATTTACATTTAAAAATTATACTAAACTTTAAATTAAAAACTACAAGTATGTAACGGTATCTAAAATAAATTGATGGCTAGTATTAAAATTAATAACGTATTTATGATCTGTCACCTTAATTATGGATAAACTGACCTATAATTTACTGATATGTACATATAAACATTTTAACTGTTTTATATATTCAGGAACGACATAAATTATAGACTAGTCTGTGTTTACCACTTTTGCATTTAAATTATTTCGTGTTAGAAAAAAATTCTAACTAAGTTTTTGACAACTTTAAAGACCATGAAATAATTTCTTATTAACAACAAGGGTTCAATCAATGATGTACTAAACATTTAAACAACGATATTTATCAGTTATACATTATTTAGAAAAAATACCTCCGATTTTACTTCTCTTATTGAAATAACGGAAAACAGTTCAACAAAATCGTTTGCAAAGGACACTGCTCTCTGATCATATTTTATCTTCTTATTTTGTTTATTCATTCATAATTAATACACATTTATTGTGTTCACTTCGAGTTAAAAACATTATTTTAGTTAATTTTAGTCATAGATCTGCATATGAAATGTAATATATTATTTAATTTATGAGCAGCTATATGCACAATTTGTGAAAGTAATTCAAATCGAATCGAAAAGAAATTACATTTCTTTTAACAGCGTCCGAGCTAAATTATGTTGATGGATATTTTAAAATCAAATTGCGTTTCTGTCATTCAGGTTTTATCATAATTTCTCAGTCATTATTTATTTAAATATCATGTAACCATGCAATTATGAAGTTAAAAGTTTTACAATATTGACCTCCAAATAATACTAAATTAATTCCAAAATATCACTTAAAAACATGTATGAACTATGTTTAACCTAATTCATTTCTTCGGTGTTATGTACAAACTAATTGTATTGTACAAATAATATGAAAGACATATTTTTAATTGTATGGCCATATTTTATGTTATATTTATATCATACAGAAATAAATTACAAATAGTTTTACAATAATTGCTTTTAACGTTTAGTTGCTTGAAATTCCTTATTTCAAAGATATAGTTGTTATTTTTTTTATAAATTGAGCCAAAAAACATATATACAGCAATAGTATGTACATTCTTAAAATAAAATACATGGTTAGGAATTATTTTATACAAAATTAAATTCATAATAAACGTTATTATTATTTTTTAAAACATCCGAAAATGTATTTCATAAATTAATGGTCGGACTTGTATCATTACAGATAAAAAATATACCTTAATTAGTCTCACTATTACAATAACATTTGAGAAATGACGATTATTTATTCTAAATTGTCTTTATCATTATCTGTGGTACTTTGTGCACTGTCATCCGCCATTATTTCTTCGATTCTCTCTTTAAGCCGTTCAAGCCGCCTAAAAGGTGTAAAAAAAAGATTCGTTAAGTAATTAATAAGCGAAGTGATGTATCATTTAGTAATTTAAGAATAACATAAAAATATTGTTAGTAACCGTTAATTAAAATACGTATACAAATAATTAATATCTTTCTGGCCTAATTTGTTATTTTTCATTGTTGCTTATTGTTGTATCTATAGTATCAGTTTTTTCGCAACTAAATGACGTTGATTCATCGCAAAATATTTAAATTATTATTATGATTTGACGAAAATATAACTTTTAATTTTTTTTTAGTGTTTTGTTATCTTATTTGATATTGTGATCAGCAAACTAAAACTCAGTTCTGTAATTTTTTAGATAATTAGTTTAAGATGCATTTCATCATTTAATATAATCAAATATTCCATCTAATAGATAAAAATTCTCGTATCACGGTGTTTGTAATTGAACTCCTCCGAAACGGCTCGACCGATTTTCGTGAAATTTTGTGTGCATATCGGCCAGGGTGGAGAATCGGACAACATCTATTTTTCATCCCCCTAAATGTTAAGGGTGGTTCATCCCAAACAAACTTTTTCTACCCTACAAATAATTTATATTGCAAAACATTGTTTGCCGGGTAAGCTAGTTGAAATATAATTAAATGTCACATACGCATCTACTTTTACTGTAGTAAATGCGTAGAATAGCATGAAATAATCAGATTTTATTTTAATGTAAATAGTATCTAGGATGGTTTTTGGAAGGAAAATATTATTTTTGTTGCTGAACGGCAGCTTAAAAAATAGTAGTTGGTAGTTAGTTCTAGATCAAATACAAATTTCAAACAAAATGGCATGCCCCAATATAAAAGCGGCCATTGCCCTTTGATGTAGTTAGATTTCTAAATTAATTTTTATTTCATACCTAATGACTTCTAATTAGGTACTATGTAAAAAAATTTAAAGCAATATTTAATATTAATCGAAAATGCTAATTTTGATGCACAAAACATTATTTATTATTTCATATGAAAGTCTGTTAAACGATATAAAATCGCAAAGTTCTTTCACTGTTATTTTTCTTTTTTGTCTAAATACTAACTGTGGGATAATGTATGTTACAGAAGTATTTTATAACCACAAATAATATAAAGTCAAGCATGTTTATAGGAAATAATATACAAGAGAACTGAACCCTTCCACCCAGAATATTCTTTTTATGTTCGACATTGTTTTGTAAACTAAAATAATTTTCAGCAATAGGAAGATACCTTTGCATTTTGAAAATGAGTTTTTTTTTTTTCAAAAAACAAGATCATATGACAGGTTTGATTAGTCCTATACCGCATATACACACATGTACAAGGATATCGGTGTAGTTTTTACCATTAAACTGCTTCTATAGGATGTTTCATTTACCGCTGGCTTTTTGGACTTTGTAACATTGTTTTTTTTTCTTTTTTCCATTTGCCACTGGCTGTTTGGACTATGTGTAAAACACTTTTTTTAAACGAAAGCTAATGAAGCGATGGGTTAGGTTGGTGGTTATATAGCACTGACCTATTGATCACTCTGTGAATGCTCTCCGAGTCCGTTGTCTCGCTGCAGTTGAGCCCCTCGTGCTGCAGGATCCCGCTGATCTGTTCGTTCACCTGGTCCTCGTGCTGCAGCTGTTTCATCGCCTCCCTGCGGCCAGCGTTCGAGGGTTGACTCAAAACCAGACGTGGCATTGATTGTTGAGGACAAGTAATAATTCTTTATTTCATTTGCCATAACCCAAAAAAAAAAAAGAATAGTACACAGAAAAATATAAACAAAGAAAAAAAAAAGATATAAATGAGTGGATAGCACTGCTGTAACACACATCTTCACGGAAGACCGTCGCAAGATAGAAGCTGTTGTGTGAGGTAACTGTGGTAGCGCCACGCAACAGTGGTCGCTGTTGCACGTATAGGCAGGTCTGTCCGGGTAAGTACCGCAGTGGGACGGTAGCCCGGGCCCATTTTATTAAGAGGTGACAACGCATCTGCAACCCTACGGGTGTTGCAATGTCCATGGGCGGCGGTTATCACTTGCCACCTTCTCAAATAAAAAAAGTAACCAGTGCCCAACCTAAGGGTCAATCCGCAATAGGCCTCATCAGCTCGTATTGGTCTTTTTCAAGTATAATATTCTTAAATAAGCTACAATATGAGCTGCCGTCAGCTCGAGTAAAGTTCCCGGTCCCGTCACACTACAGCAACGATCCGTCTCAAAAAATATTCGCAAAACAAATAGTTCGCGTGTGGGAAAAATCCCACGACCCCCGACGCCGATGCCAACACCTCGGCAACTGCACCAGTCTTCCACCATAGACTCGCCTGTTCCTCTCTCGCTCCCTCGCGAGGGACACGTCGTTGAGTCTGTCCCGCTCGTCCTCCTCCAGGGTCTGATGCGGGGAGTAGTAGCCCCTCGAACACACCCGCGAAAGCACCAGCCGGTGGATGCTGTGCTCGGTGCCCTTCTCTATTATGGTCTGTGGGAAATCGAACATAGGACGCATTAAAACACCTCTTTAAAAAAGAAACATACCTCAATTGGCCATTATAGAAACATACCTCAAGTGGCCAACATACCGCCGAGATTTAGACTAGCCAAAACCAGAAAATCGTTTCTTCGGAGATGTATTAACTATAATGAATATGACAAAATAGGTGACATCCACAAACAATTAAGTGTAAACAATTTCAAATATTTTCTAAAAGCTACCTTAATGGTAAGGCCCTAGTATAATGTCCAAGAATACATTGAGGACAAGGATGTGTAGAAATGACGATTGCTGGGCACTGCAAGTCATTTAGCTGCTGCTAATTTCATACTTAAATACTTTTGTTACTTACATGATTTAAAAAAGATAATAAGACCGCAGAGATTCTTGCCAGTTCTTCTTTGGAAATGTCTAGTTTAGTTAACTGGTGGCACCTTTTTGAACTTCAAAATTCAAAATTAGAGCTTAAAATAAGCCTATATTGAATATAGAAATTTTGACTTTCACTTAGATTATTTGTAGAAAAATGGACGATCTTTTCGTCCATTTTTTCACCGCCCTATTACTGTGCTTATAATGATAAAATATGTTGAACTTTTCGTCGGTGTGATAGTCAGCCGTTTAGCATAGTGATTAAGCGTCATATGACGTACATATTTTCGAAATAACTATAACAAAAATTCGAAGAGCTCTGGAGTGGGACAAATATTGGGTGATACGTTTCTTTACTTTACTTTTTTCGAAATAATAATAGTGAAGATATTTCGAAGAACGTGCTAATACTATCTGTACAGAGGAGGCCTTTGCCCAGCAGTGAGACATGTAAAGGCAGTTGTCTTATTTTACTTTACTATACAGAAACTTATTGTTGAGAATCAAACCCACAACCTTCAGCTCCAATGTCTATCGCTAAGCGACTGTAAAATGCAAGTATGTAAGTCTAACGTTAGAAACACTGAAAATGTTTTAAAATATAATAAATACGTATTTCGCCCTTCACCTTTTCCTTTTATAAATGCGTGGTAGTTTTCGATGTGATAGAGCACGCTACTGTTGAATAGGCAGGTCCGTCCGAGGATGTATCACGACCTCAGCAGAAAATCGCCATGAAGTGGAAGCGTTATACTTCTGCGTTTAGCCTGGTGAGTGAGGTAGCTGGGGCCCACTTTATTAGAAGGTAGAAACCCTGCGGGTGTTGCAAATGTCCATGGGCGACGGTTATCACTTAACATCAGGTGAAACGCCAGCTTGTTCCCACATAAACAAAGTGAACAGCGGTTACCTCGAAGAATCGAAGGGTCTCCAAAGTCAGATCGTGGTTTTCCGTGAGGCAGTTGTCGATGAGGGCGAGGAGGAGAGGCCACTCGGACATCTCGCCGTCCCCCACCAGCCAATTTGAGAACTCTGCAACGGCCCAACCGTTTATATGTAACTTGTGGTCTAAATATCAGGACAGGAAATATTAACACAATGTTATCTAGTCCCAAACTGAGTAAAGCTTGTACTATGGATACTAGGTAACTGATAAATATAATTATTTTTCTCAAATTGTACTTCTTCTCTACATTGACATTTACTAATAGCTATATAAGTAAATGTCAAAAAGCAATATAACTTGGCTAGTTATTTAATTAAACCATTATCAATTGCATTAATTGTGTTTTTCACAAACAAAGAGTTGGCACAAGGGATAAAATTTTTAGTTATTTTTATTTTATTTCACTAAAAAAGTATAACTTCTTAAGTGAGTACATAAGTATACAAGCACATTTTTTATATACAAATATATATTATATATATAAACACCCAGACACTAGAAGTACACTATGTTCATAGCATAATATTTTTCCAATAGAGGGGATCGAACCCAAACCCACTACGCCATTCGGGTCGTTGAAATTATATTGGCGATGATGAAATGAGTAAACACCCTCGTAAGAATCTACATTTCTTTGTTTTTTGTTTGATTCTGCGCACAAGTGATGACAGTTAACCAGAAACTTACAGGTCTGGACATCACGGTATTAGCAAAGAACCCACTAATCTGATAGTAGTAACTACAAAACAGAATCCACTACTTCAGCTACGTGTCAGCTGCGCCGACGCATCGCGAAACATAACGTTATTTTTTGGCGCGGTGTAGTGACGCGGTGCAAGTCGATAATTGCTATCGATACTGAGCTTGTCGAGTCGATACTTTATGAAAATTGATGTCTAATATAAACTATTAATGTTTTTAATGATAAATATAAATAGTGTAAATGTTCTTAAATACTTATGTGATGAATGTGTTATTGTAAATATATATGTTAATGTAATTAAAATGTGTAAGAAGAGGGAAAAGTATAAAGGTACGCCACAGTCCATACTCATCAAGCATGGGCCAGGTAGTGACAGAATAATACATAATACCTAATTCGCCAATTAATTACGTCTGAGTACCATAAATTCTACCATTTGGTACCGGTTATAGGTGTTAGTTACTTGATAATTAAACAATAAAAGTAAGTAAAACATTTCACTAACAAAAAATAAAATTGCTTCAAATATCTCGCTACACATATTCTATTTTATTTTGAGGAGTTCCCTGATGTGCCTTCGAAGTCCAATACAAATGAAATCGAAAAAGATCACATGGGAGTTACCAGAGCCAGCAAAAAAAAATTTTCAAAATACTGTCAATTCTGACAAACATAAAAAAAAAACAACCGAATTGAGAACACCCCCTTTTATAAAAGTCGGTTCAAAAATATAGATAAACATGGCGGACCGTTGATCAGCTCGTGGGAGTCGACCACGCGGAGGCACTTGGCGAGCAGCGCGGCGGAGAGGGCGGCCGCGCCCCCTCCCCCCGCCAGCGCCCCCGCGCCGGCCCCCTCGCCGGCCGCCTCCAGGAACTGGGCGCGGAAGGTGCGCGCCAGGTGCGCCGCGATCGACGGGTGGCACTCCTGGACAAGAGGAACACTTCTCGTAGCCACTCCGTCTCACGTCCCCCATGGGGACCGGATCTAGAGGTCTGGAGGCCTCGGGGCAGCAAAGGAGCGGAGGCCCCCTGGCCTCAAATTATTTTCCACTGATTTCTGTTAATGTCTAATCATGTTTGCACAAAGTACTGTGGGTGAAGGTAAAACGCGAAATAAAATATGAAAGGAAAAGTTGTTTCTTAGTGTTCACTAGTCTGAATTTAAAAATTTCTATTGTGGGGGCCCCTCTTTTGTGGAGACCCCGGGGCTGTGGCCCTGGTTGCCCTCCCCTAAAGTGTCTCCCTGATTCATATTAGGGAACTGCCCTAAACTGCGATAGCGCAAGGATCGGCCCCCCATCTCACATTAGCCCATCCAATGTTCCTTTCAAGTGACCAAACACCCACATCCTAAACAATTATCAAAATAGTAGTCCGGTGTGGGAATCGAACCCACGACCCCCGGCGGTGAAGACAATGCCTTGGCAACTGCGCCGTGAGTGAGCAAATACAATTTAGCAAACTCTCTACTGTAGTGCATTAACATTTAAATAAGAGCATGCACATTTTTTATTGGAGCTGATGAAAGGGATGAACATAGTTGAATATTAATAAGGTCTGTGTTTGTCGTACCTTCATCAAAGTGTCGCAGTAATCCAGCCAAGAGAAAAAACTGGTCAGTTCCCGGTAACCATGGAACTTACTGTAGCCCTTATCGCCAAAGTCTTGGGCGACGTATCTGCAATTGAGGAATGATCCTTTCTTCTTTATTATAGAAATGTTATTGAATATGGTTCTGAAGAAATCGCAGAAACATATCTGAATTCACATTAGATATAAAATAAGAAATCTACACTGAACTGAACTGAAAAATTTTAAATACCAATTGAAGTCTCAGTGCGAAAATAAATGAATATGAGGGAAATTAATATAGTTTTATCCTGCAAGGTATTTCACAAGTATCCATTGCAACTCTAGACCAACATCCAACTCTCTATACTTTACTGAACTGGAATTGTTTGTTATGGAATCAAACTGCTTCTCTATTACAAGAACCCACCCACCCATTGCACATATTGCCAATCAATTGCAAAATGGGCTTCAAAACACTGCACCAAGACCAAAGACCCTCGCTTTTTTTTGTAATTATTAGTTATCGCTCACGCCCAAGTTATGTTCAGATGATCCACGTCACCGGGGTCCACGTCCGATGGGATGCTCTTGTACTTCTCAGCCAGTTTCTCGATGATCGTCTCGCATACTGGGCTGCAGCTGGTCACCAGGTTGGCTATGTCATCCTCGGGCAGAGATGACACTATCATAATGCCCTCGCAGGCGCGCAGAACCACTTGGTTGTCCTAAAATGTTACAAGTCATTTTATCGCCGTGACGTAACGATATCTTATCTGTATCGTGCATCAATATGCAGTAAAAATACTATTGTATAACCAGCAGATAATAATTAAAATATAATTATACAGTGGACATAAAAGGAGGTAGAACATTAAAACCATGTTCAGTCACAGTTATTATTTTTTTATGTGAAAACTTGGTAGCAGGATGTATAAAAATCAGTTTGTTGCAGCGAATATATATAACCAATATACTCGCAAATGCGAGATATTAAAACTAGCATTTTTTTATGTATGTGATTTAATAACTTTACAAGTGATTCGTAGTTGTTAACATAATACTTCTTATCATAAACTACCATAAATATAACCATAGCTACCATAATTATATCACATGTTCTTTCTTAAATGAACTGAATTAACATAAATCAATACTTACAGCACTATTCAAGTAAGAAAGCAGTAAATCAATCAAGAGGAACTTGTCATTGTCCTCATAAACAGTCTTGTGGCTTTTACAGGATGCATTGTCCTCCGCATTGGAGCTATTTGACCTCGTAGCTCCGTTGTCTTCAATAGAGTTGGTACGAACTATAGAAATGTTTCTCAATGGATTTGGACACATCTCCACTTCAAACAGTGGGTTCTTCTTTGGAATTTGAACTTTACTTCTGATCGGTATAAGCTTTTGTATGTCCTCAGGAATGCTCAGAAGACTGCTTTTATCTTCAACAAATGGTGTGGTAAATATATTGGCAAGGCCTGGCTCTTTTCTGACTAGGCCACATAAAGTTAGCAGTAACTCAACTTCCTCCTTTTCTGTTGGAGAAGCTGGGTTTTCATTGCATTGTATTAACATTCTCTGTAAAATATATGGAATCTTAAATTGTTATTCACTGTTAAAATACAACTTTCCAAGTTGTTGACATCTTGGACAAAATAGATATTTTCTTCAACAAATTAGCACACAAATATAAAATGTATTTAAAAAAACTCATGCACCATCATTCATAACTAACACGCACACAAGTTCGTTTCAAAAGTACATGACGCATTTATGAATGACTACCGCATTGTCAAAAGATGGACTGTGTGATTTATGGGCAACTCATTTATTTTACGCACCATCATTCATAACTAACACGCACACAAGTTCGTTTCAAAAGTGCATTTATGAATGACTACCGCATTGTCAACAAGTTCTGTTTTTTAGGGTATAGAATTGCAATTTATTTGAGGAAAAAAAAAAAAGAGTTTGTTTTTATTCCAATAAACGATTATACTACCGAGTCTGAACCTCCTGTGTGAATTTGGGCACCTTTAGAAAAGCCACCCTGTATACCTTAGTGTTCAAAAAAACTATCAAAAATGATTTTAGGTGTACTTTAAACTATTTTCTTTCCAATTAAACTAAAAAGTAGAGAGTTTTGAATATATATGCACGATGTTTCAGCATATAACATACATGTTCAGGAAAATTATTACATAACAACTTGAATCTGTGATCTTTATCACACAATGAAGTAGTTATATAATTAACAGCCTGTGGTTTTCCAGGTAAAATATTAACAATCCTAAATTAGATTAATAGTTCATATATCATATCAACTAATTGTCTTATAACTTAACCTAATGTAAGTGATCAACTAAAATTGTAAGTCAATAGTAACCATTATGTTAGCCTTGTCTGTTTGTTGTAGAGTTTATTAAAGACATATCACGACAAATAGACAATGAATATGTGCACTATTACACCTCTGTCTATCGCTTCTAAACAAATATGTACATTTTTTTTTTTTTCTTTAATAGTATTAAATTCAACAGCATAAAACATACCGGAAGGGTTAGGGTAGAATACTTTTTTTTAATTAAACAGTATGCCAATTAATTGCTCTGGAAATGCTCCATTACAATCCGTAATTGCTCCACGTTTATTACTATTCATTAATTTTTGATTAATTTTTAAAAAAATAATTTTCAAAATTTTGCTATAAGATAAAATATCCCTAGTTACTCATATAAGGCAATAAAAATATAATTGAATAACATAATTGAGAAGACAAAATAATTTGCCCATGCATTTTAAAGTGATGAACTAGTTTTAATAATACAACTGCATTGAATTTGAATAGCCTTGACCAACAGATTAGTGGTGTGACCTTTTATAGTGATTTTTTATTAATATTGGAGTAGGTAGAACTGGTTATTCAGACAATATGAATAATAAGTATTAGGTACTAAAACTTTAGTTGTTGATTTATCAGGGTATATTAATGTAAGAAATGAGGTCAAAACCATAGGAGCTTCGTGGGTTATATTCACATGGGCAAGATTAAGCCTTATAAAAATAAAAATTGAAACAATATTTTCATTGTTCTCACTTCAAATACAAATAGTAATAAGGCTATGACATCAATAAAAGCCATTATATAGAATAACTTGAGGTGCATCCTTATCAGTATGTTGCTAAATTATTGACATTTACATTGTAACAATACTGATGTAATAAAAAATAATCTATTTTAACTATTGTTGTTATTTACTGAACATTCAGTTGATAAACGATATCAATCAGTGTCCTTGACGAATCACATTAGCAATTTATGATGAAACCTAAATAACAAACCTGCAACATCTGGTGTAAGTGATGCGGTATCCTTGTATCTTCAATATGTATTTTACTGTTGTCGTCATAATTCTGATAAAAGTGAATGATCATTTTCCAGTGATATTGAAAATCTTCTAACCTCGAAGCTGGAGGTGCGAGCTGAAATTGTGGCCGTAAAATTAAGTTCGGATTTTTTTCTTTTTCTGGTAAATGGTACATCCATTGTAAATTAATGCTATGAAATAAATGAGAAAGATTCTAAAACTTACTACGTCCGCAGCGGTTTGTAAAACATCGGAAAATCTGCTAAGCATCTTAGCGATTTCTCTTCTGCTCACATTGCATATCAATATGAGTCTATAAAGCTTTTAAGTTTTAATTAGTTGGTATGTTGTATGCATCGCATTTCATTTCAATCTTTAACTTCCAAAAACACAAACATCACAAACTATTTGAAATGTCAATTTTGATTTCAATTTGAACTAGAGACATGAGCAAAAATATGGATATATGAAAATATCGATATTTTTTCATACAAATACCGATATTGTTTAATGTTAGACAATAAAACTCTGGGACTTCTTCAATTTGGTCTGACGTTGAAAAGTTATTATCCCTGTCGTCAACAACTGTCCCGGTCATGAGCGCTGCCTCTGTGCCCAATGAACTATAACAATACCTCGATCAACCTCTTCTCGTGAGAAAAGCTGATCCTCCAAATTTTGCATAAATAAGCCAGCTTTAAACCTAATCCAGGCTTCTTGGGTCTCTTTCGAAAGAGCTACTTCAGCCATGAATTTGACAGTACCCGATAATAGAAGCTGTTTGACAGGAGAACGTATTAAACAGAGGGTGCTCTTAATGTCCATATCGGAATGTTAAATTGTATATAATATAATTTTCAGACACTAGCATTAATAAAAATTACTTCATGTCTATTTTTTTACGAATTCTGAATAGTTGGAAATATGTATGAATAATCATGCGAAAACTGACGATAAATCAATATTTTTCACTCGATAACTATCGATACTGCTTAAAAATGTCGATTCGTTAAATATTGGTATTTATTTTTTACTTGCTATTATATATTCCTAATTCCAATTTTACGCATAGATTAAGGTAATTTGAGAGTGTAATATTATTTTAAAGGGAAGTTAGAGTTCTAGCCCAGTGGCTTTGATAGCTTCGTTGGAAAAGGCCCGCCGAATATGAACATTTATTATATTGAATCATATCGACACTTCTGTAAAGAAGGAGGACAGAGTAGACAGGCTCCCTTCAGACCAGGTTCCCGACTTGCTGTGGCCGATGGGCTTAGTAGCCGTGTCTTGGTCACTCATGGCGAAGCCAAGGAACCCGCAATGGAATGGCCTGTAGTGTAAGGCCAGCATGAGAGGACCGCTCCGAGTGGGCTTATTGAGCCCACTCTTGATGGGTGCTTGGACGGTGCAGAGAGGACAGGATGAAAGTGTAGAGAAGGAACCACTTTCCCGTTCTTATGATAACGGGGCGTGGAGGAAGAGAGTTTCCCACTCTACCCTCCGCGACTCGGCGGGGCTGCACCACGCTGCGTGATGGCGCATCGTTGGAGTTTTAGTCACTGCGTGTACGACATTTATTAACCTGACCTTGCCCATGCGAGAGCGGGTATGCGTAGGCGCGATGCAATGCGGTATTCCACAATGTACACTCCGGTTGCGTGACTAAGAATTGAAAAACTACTACTAGACTATTTGACAGATATATTAAACTCCTTGTTTGTTATCTATATTATGTTGAGTTGTTGTTGTCCTAATGTCAAACTCAAATTCAAACATCAATTATTCATCAAATAAATATTTCTATCTAAATTTATATTTTAAAACTGTCATTCCCCTACGTGTAATGGCTAACAACTTGACATTGGCGGAATTGTGATAACTCACAAAGCAAGCCATTATTAAGAAGAAGAAGAAGAAATATTTCTATTATTGTATTAAGATAACCTAATAAGTTACATTAAAATCATATAAGTTATATCAAAGTCATATTAAATAAATTGTAAATTAATTTGATAATAAGCTATTTGTATGGTGAATTAACGATATAAATCGTCTTTATTTTGAGTTTCGAAGATGTCTGATGATGAAGTGATTCGTTTTGAAATTACTGATTACGATTTAGATAATGAATTCAACCCAAATAGAAATCGCAAAGCTAAGAAGGAGCAGCAAATTTATGGTAAGGATATTTACAAAAAATTAGTCAATAGAGTTAATCCAGTTGGTACAATGTTTATATAAATTAAGTTAAATGTTAGCTATTTCTATTCCTTCTGTTTTACTAGTACTTTTTACCAAGTTATGAGGTAGAACATAGTTATTATACTTGATGTGTTTTTTGTTTATCATTTAATTTGGATATTGTTAAGTGTAAGTAAGTTGGAAGTTATTAAAAAAATATTTAATGATATTTATTAAAACTAAAATTTTGTACTGTTTTAATAGGTGTCTGGGCAAAAGACAGTGATGAGGAGGACAATGAAGATAATGTTAGGAAAAGAACTCGAAAACAGAAAGATTTCACAGCACCTATTGGTTTTGTGGCTGGTGGGGTGCAGCAGGCAGGCAAAAAGAAAGAAGCCAATAAAGGTAAAGTTGACAGACGTAATTCAATTATGTATGTTTTTTTTTCATGTAAAGAAACAGCCTATATATGTCCCACTGCTCGGTAAGGGCCTCCTCTGTACAGAGGGTATTAGAGCATAGTCCACCAAGGTATCCCACTGGGGGTTGGCAAACTTAACATCTTTGAATTATTTTTTTATTATTTTGGAAAGATTAAGGTTTCCCTTCACCACTAAGCATGTCACAAGTCAGCACTTAAATTGCAATTAATAATTTCATTGGTGCTGCCAATTTGAATTGTGTGACTTTATCAGGAATTGGACTAAGGTTGCTCACTGACTGATTGGCCACTGATCCGTCACGGCATCCATAGTTAATCCCCAAATATCGTTTATTGATGACCATTTGTTCATGTACTGCTTTTTTACCACATGTCATTATACAACATGTTACATTATACAACATGTCTATACTACCACAACAATAAATTAACACACATATTGAGGTTTACTTCTAAAATTTTTTGACGTAAGTTATTTTTATTAAAAATCAATATTTACTGAGTTATTAACATTTTTAAAACAAACAATTTTAGGCCACCTTGTAATTATAAAACTTTTGTGTGATGTTTATTAGTAAAAGTCACAAACCATATGAATGAATTTAAAAGGAGACAAAACACGCTGTTAGAAAGAAACAATTACATTGTAAGGTTTGTAGGTACTATGCGACTACGATGATGTCGTTTTGAGTTGAAAACGTAAACATTAAGAATGAATTAGCTTGTTTGAAAATAATTTTTTAATCATGAACTTTTTTAATGTTTATATATTTTTATTTTATTTTTATTATAGGCGAGTAACATTAGAATTGTATTTATTTAATGTCACGGTTGCAACACCACATTGTATATTTATCACAAGTGTTATAATTGTATCATTTTATTTTTAAATAATTTTATAGAAATGCAATCAACGGAAGCATCCACATCAAGGCTGAAAATTGCTGATAGTTCTGAAGAAGAGGATGCAAATGATGAACCATTAACAACAGACACAGCTGGTATTAGAAAACTGGGGCAAGGAATGCGGCCGCCAAACCTTGGCGGCAGTGTTGGTGCTTGGGAGAAGCACACTAAGGGAATTGGTGCAAAGCTCTTGTTACAGGTAACTGAACTTTATTTTGCAATAAAAAAATGATTTATAAAATTACAAAAATTAATAGTTATTTCGTTGTAACAGCCCTAGAAGTCTCAGAAATATCAAATACTAAATAATTAGAATAAAATTTATAATTTGAGTAGCTTCATCTTAAACATTCAATAATAAGATAAGAAACAAATTAATACTAGATTGAACACAAGCAATAATTGTAGTCTATATTATATCCATATCTTTTAATTTCAATTCTAATTATCAATATTTATAAACTTTTTCAGCATTCATAGACTAGAAGTAATAGTTTTGTTACAATAGTATAGTGTCAGAAATTATTGATTGTCAAAATTGTGTTAAAAGGTATCATATTGCTGATTAATGTTTATTGTCTTATAGATGGGTTACCAGCCTGGTAAAGGTCTGGGTAAAGATCTTCAGGGTATATCTGCACCAGTAGAAGCGACAGTACGAAAAGGAAGAGGTGCTATTGGAGCGTATGGACCAGAAAAGGCAGCGGTAAGTGTTACTATTGACGGCAAGAATAAATTCTTATCAGAAAGGACTAAAGCAGTGGTGATCGTTTATGTAGACAGCAATTTAACTGTGGTATGAAAACGCAACTGCTTGCTGTTGCACAAATAGGCCGGTCCGTCTGGGGAAGTACCACGACCTCACAGGGAACCGGCGAGAAGTGGAAGTGTTAAACTTCTACTTTTCATCTGGTGAGTGAGGTAGCCTTATTGGTAGCTAGGTAGCCGCATTTGCAACCTTACGGGTGTTGCCATGTCCATGGGCGGCGGTTATCTCTTAATATCAGGCGAACCGCCAACTCGCTTAACACCTTCTCTCATAGAAAAAAAAATTTACTTGCATTCTTTATTTAGTTAAAAGCCAAAAAAGAAGAGGAGCGGCGCCTTAAAGAGAAAGAGGAGCAAGAGAAGGGTCAATCATCAGAGAAGACATACAACTGGAAGAAATCCCACAAAGGGCGCTATTTCTACCGCGACGCGGATGACGTCATACAAGAGGGTAAACCCACGATGCATACTATTGGAAGGTACTCCTCGAATATTCCACGATTTTATGCCCTTTAATGGGCAGTTGGCAAATCATTAATTTAAACCTTCAACAAGGCACCATTCAATTTTAACAACTTTACCAAAACATTTAGAGGTAGCTAAAAAGCACGCCAACAACCAGTCATTGATTATTATCTTTACATGAAATGCGAGAAAACACAACTTACGGATATGGCGTTTGCCACTAAGCTAAACGGCTGATTGCCAAAAAAAGCAATGGCGACATCTCTCGTTCGAATCATTCGAAATATAATAAAATTATATGTAATATTCGAAATTATTTGCTGGAAAGGATATAACAATGGATGCGCCAAGCATTGCTTTGAATGTTAAAAAACAATGTAGATAAAAGACGTTAAGATTTTCGTTGGTGTGGCAATTAGGCGTTTAGCTTAGTGGCTAAAGCGTCAGGCCGCGAATACCGAAGACGTGGGTTCGATTCCCACAGCGGCGACAATTTTTTCGTACTTTTTTCTACAAATGTTAATGTTTAATCTTAAGTCTGCACTTAATTAATAACATTACAGTAAATATTTAATTTTTTTTAGATTAGCACTAAAAAAAATATGAAATATTTACTGTGATCTTATCACCTCACCACGTTCCCTGTAACCAGAATGGGTTTCGAAGCGATGTCGAGTGCGACTTAACATTCCACTGTTTATTTGTCATTATAGTGTAAAGTCTTGGGGATTTCTTCTTTTTCCGCGTAAAAAAATGATAAAGAAAGTGTTTTCCACTGTTGCAGCAGCGAGCTGGCCAGGGTGCCAGTGATCGACATGACCGGCAAGCAGAGACGGGTGCTCAGCGGATACCACGCATTGAGGGCGGCCGCGCCCCGCTATGAGCACGAGCCTAGGAGGCAGCTGCAGCACTTCTCCGCCCCTCAGCTGACCCACAACTTGCAGCTGGTCGTGGACTGCTGCGAACAGGTCCGTGTCCATGGATGCCAATTTATGAATTTTCCTCCTAATAAACTCGTCCTGAGTTTACAATGGAAACCTTTTAGGAGGTGAATTCTAACTGAAACTTCCTTGTTTCGGTTTGAATTTAGTGGATTTTAGTGGGTTCTTGAATTGCATTTTCTTGAACATTTGGTAACACTGGTCTGTGGTGTAGTTTATAATTTCAAAGCGTCGACAAACGGACGAGCCATGGTGTTTCTTCTTTTCTTTTTCTTTCCACTGGCGCTACAACTCTATGTGGATCTTGGCCCCTTCTACAGCATCCCTCCGTTTGTCTCGAGCCTTGGCAGTGCTCCAGTCGTTGAATTTTCCCATCCTCCTCGAATCTTCCTCCACACAGTCGATCCAACGCTTTTAGGCTTGTCTCTCGGTATCTTCTGTTCGCCATGGCGAATTATCAGTTTCTTGTAGCCCATTTACTCTTGCAGCACAGGAAGTGCCGGTCAACTAAAAGTGGGTGGATACAGGCCCACTTGAGCGCGCCCCTGGACGAAATGTAGAAGCCTAAATTATTCTATTTTACAGTGTTCCGTTTATCCGGCCTACAAGGACCAATCCTAGCAATAGTTACGAATCAACTTTTAATCAACGGGCTGCTGCGTTTTGTCCTTTAACATGTCGCTTCTGATTCTTTAAAATCACTATAATACATTTGTGGCATATTTCTGGACATATTTTTACACAACATTATCTATTTCCAAACTAAGTAAACCTTGTGGCACTATGGGTACTTGGTAACTGAACAACGTTAGATAAAATACATTTAGCCAATATAATTGTAGAAAAAATTCACATTTAAAACATAATTTTGTTTCGTAACTATGTACATATTACCCCAGACAATATATTTTTTCCAACAAAGTCTTATTCGCCATTTGTAGTTGTCAAAATTTAGGAGGACAGTTGGTTCAGTACATTCGCATTTACAACTATGTACTTATGTACTTTTTGATATGCTGTCGATTTGTAATCAATAAAAATAACTTTGTATTAGTAACTACTGATTTCGGCGCTGAGGGTGGTGGATTCAATCCCCAGACGAGTCAAGTATTTGTGTGATCCACAGATAATTGCTTCAGATCTGGATGTTTTGTTCCTAAATTATTTGTTTGATATCTGGTCTGGATAAAGAATAAAAAGAAAAAAAAATCAAAACCATTTATCCATCGACATAAGAAGAATACATTTCATCTATTGACAGCAATTTTATTAAATTTATCACCGTTTCGTAATGAGGTTCCACTAACGGAGAAGAAACAGGCCAAAATCCGTAGGTGTCTTCTTCTTTGTAATTTTTTCTCAAAAAAATTAAAGTATCATTCAACTCGCTTTTTTTTAGGAATAACTTGGGAGCGATCGACTCATTCCCAGGGGCTATTGTCATTAATGTATTCATATATAGCGAGCTATGTCGGTCTATCGAGTCTGATATTAAACACTTGCATCAATAAATTCTAGGACATCATACAAAACGCCCGCGAGCTGCAAACAGCCGAAGACGAGATCGTTGTCCTGGAAAGGGACCTTGAGGAGTGCAACAAGAAGCTAAGGGAGCAGGACGAGGTGTTGGCCAAGGTCGAGTCTATTATGGAACGCGTAGAGGAGCTGAACAAACCAGACGTCTCTTTGGAGGCGTCGTATGAAGTCCTCGACGATTTAAAGGTAAACTTCAAGTCAATTATAATAATAATAATAATCTTTATTTGCCATTAAACTGGGTGATTAAGAAGTTGATTTACAAAATTATTGACCTCCAAGTTCAGCCATAATATATGGCATGCAAATATTCGTTATTTAGTATTTAATAACTAGTGTTATATTTGATATAAAAAAAATACAATTTCTATAGATTAAATTGATACAAGATTTTATCTAACTTAATTTAATTTTTATTTCGCTTTTAACATGTGGTTTTAAGCTTTCAACTGTGGGCAACAGTCTTTTCTGTTGCATGAATGGGCGGGTCAGTGAGGCTAAGTGCCACAACCTCACAGAAGACCGGAGAAATGGAAGTGTTTTACTTCTGCGTCCCATCTGGTGAGTGAGGTAGCACTCTATTAAAGGGTGGCAACGTATCTGCAACCCTAGAGTGTTGCAAATGTTGAAGGGCGGCGGTTATCACTTAACCTCAGGATTAACCGCCTCACCTTCTTACATAGTAAAAAAGGTTTTTCAACTGTGTTTTTCATGTACTCATCTCTGTATGGTAGCATTAACTTAATCTTTATGAAAGGTAAAAGAGATTCCTTATGTATTGATCTTGAAGATTTTTTTTATATTCAATTAACCGCGACAATTAATGTCTGATTTAAAATAACATATTTAGTTATTAACTAACCTCACCTATATATTAAAAAAATTTATTCAAATCTTTTCAACTGTTGTGGCTTGAACTTTTGTTCTTTTAAACTATTTATTATAAGTGAAGAATAATTTAAACTTAAAATTTTTAAGCATAAGCAACACAAACCGATGTGTTTTTTCAATTTAATGTAGATCTTTTTGGTAGTGTACAATTATTTGTTTCCAGGAGTCGTACCCGCTGGAATATGAAATGTTCGGTCTCGGCACGATCGGCGGGAACATCGTCAGCCCCCTGCTCAGCGCTTTGCTGGCAAAGTGGGAGCCGCTGCACGCGCCCGAGGAGCCCGTACCGACCTTCCTGAAGTGGAAAAAGCTGCTCACCGAGGAGGCCTACAACAGCCTGCTGTGGCAACACTTCGTTCCACGCGTCACGTCCGCTGCGGAGTAAGTTTTTCAAATTGGCTATTGTATATGTACGTGTGTGTCTGTGTGTGTGTGTAATTCCGAATCCAAATTTCGGACCACTCTCGGCGTCCAGATCGATTTGTAATTTTGGGGCTGCCAACATTTTGTCCTATGATTTGAGTAATTGAAAGTGTATAAAAAAAGTGTACACTTAGAAAAAAAACGTTTGTAGTTATGTACGCACGTAAGAAGTTTTACTTCGTTGCTTAACGCAAGAAAAATAACTAAATATTGTTATCCCGTGTGCCAGTTACTCTTCGTTACTGCCAAGAAGGTATTAAATGCAATTGATAACGGTTTAATTGACACTCCAGCAGTCGCGCATTCTACAGTTGTAGAACGTGCATGCACTTTAAGATTTGAGCGCAATTTGAATTTTGTACACGCACATACAGTATTCCTACAAAACTATCCAATGAAGACACTCAGTGTCCTTGCGGCGAAATAAAATTTGACGGTTCCATACGCATACGCGCAAGCGTCTTTTGGAATAAAGACATTTTTGATTGATTTATTCATTAATGCGGGGTTTGGTGGAGCTCCCCGGTCGGGGGAAAACATTTCGTGTCGTGCACGGCCAACCGCACTCGTCCGTTGCCTCCGTCCGGGAGGTCGACAGCCCTTGGCGCAGGGCTGCCACCTTGCGCGTACGGTGAGGCGAGGTCTCGTTCGTCGGCAGGGCGTGGGAGCCGCGCGCGCCCGGCGCCATGCTGCGCGTGTTCGGCGCGTGGGCGGAGGCGTGCCCCGGCTGGCTGCTGCAGCAGAGCGCCGCGCGCGCCGTGCTGCCGCGGCTGCTGGGCGCCCTGCGCGCGTGGGACCCCACGGGCGACACGCTGCCGCTGCACAGCTGGGTGCTGCCCTGGCACGAGCTGGCGGGTGCGTATGCCCCTGGCCGCCGGGTGGGGATGGAATGGTGCTCGCCTGCAGCGCCAGAAGATGGCACGAGGTCCTATCATAGTCAAACTCTGGGACGGACTCGTCGATTGAAAACCAAAAGTCATGATGACAGTCTGTTTGGTTTTCAGCCGCGTATCGAGAGAAGAATAGCGCTGTCGATTTTTGCAGTGTCGCATTGGTAGAGTTTTTTGACTATCAATAAATGTAATGCTTCTATATTGAATAAAGATATTTGACTTTGACTTTGTCGACGGACGCTTACTAAGATTTATCACGTGTCAAAACGATGTCTAGTGCCCGCTTAGCCGTTTGTAGGAAAAGCTCCCAGTGGCCGGCGACTGCTAAAAGCGGTTCCGCATGTCGCGTGTCTCGTGTCAGCCGCGCGCCACTACTGAGAGCTGTGGCGTGTCGCGTGTCGCATATCTCATGCGCGTCGCGTGCCCGCCAAGCTATGTGTCGGTGGCTACTAAGAGCGCCTCCGCATGTCAGCCACGCGTGGCTGCTAAGCGCTGTGGGGTGTCGCGTGTCGCATGTCACACGTGTCGCGTGCCCGCGAAGCCATGAGTATCAGGAGTTCAGTGGCCGGCGGCTGCGTAGCCGTGTGCATGAACAGCTCCCAGCGCTGACGCATGTCGCGTGTCACGTGCCAGTCGCGCGCCACTGCGGAGAGTCGTGGCGTTTCGCGTGTCTCAAGTGTCGCGTGTCTCACGTGTCGCGTGTCGCAGGCTCCGCGCTGTCGGCGAGCGCGTACCCGCTGATCCGGTCGCGGCTCGCGGCCGCGCTGTCGGCGTGGCACCCGGCCGACGGCTCCGCGCACGTGCTGCTGGCCGCGTGGCGAGGCGCCTGGGGGCCCGCGCTGCGCCCGCTGCTGCACCACCACGTGCTGCCCAAGCTCGAGCACTGCCTGCAGCACGCGCCCGTCGAGCTGCTCGGCAGGGAGAACGGTCGGTTCTTCGCCGCTTTTTTCTTTTTTTTTGAGGTGGAGTAGACGCCTACGCAAGGACTGGTCATGTCGCGCTCGCACCGACTAAAGCCCAGTGTGGGTTCCCCTTGGCTTCACCGCGGGTTAACAAGCCGCGGCCACTAAGCCCTCCGCCACGACAAGGCGGGAACCCGGACTGAGGGGGTGTGTCCTTCGCCCTGGTGGGCCCTTTAGACGTTAAAGTAGAAATAGTTCCTTTGGACTGGCCTGTAGGGGATGAGATAGTATGCCACTGAAATACAACCAGAAATTGGCCGAGCTCCGCATATTCCTCCTAGACTCCGGTTATCAATACTCGTTCGCTCCGCGTCGATGGACAAGCAGCCTTACTGCTCTGTGAGCACCTCTCCTACAGGAGGCACATTCAACAAAGAAGTTGTTGCAGTAAATTCACAACCTACTCGTGTTCCGTCCCCCACCTTCATCGTCCACCATATGAGCCTCCTCGAGTCCACTGCTGAACCGGCTGCCACGGAGCACGATTTGGAGCCATACAGCTGTCGAGGCGCCGCGTCACTATGCCCTAATACCCTCTGTACACATTTGGAGGAGACCTTTGCTCAGCAATGGGGCAAATATTTTCCCTTCCGCTCAGCCGTGGGGCCGCCCGCGTGCACCGCCCCGTGGCTGTGGTGCGTGCAGTGGGTGGACCTGATCGGCGCGCCGAGCATCGCGGCACTGGCGGCTCGAGCGCTGCTGCCCCGCTGGCTCGGCGCTCTGGCCGCCTGGCTCAACACGGCGCCGCCGCACGCCGCCGTGCTCGCCTCCTACAGCGAGTTCAAGGTTCGAATACCCTCCTCCCCCCGGCCAATGTAATGTCTATTATCAGTGACTGGTAGCGGTTGTCCTCTTTTGTATTATTACTCACTTCATTCTTTCTTCTCGAACGAGACTGGGGACTATCTTCGAATCTTCCTGCTCCCTCCCGAATTAATAAAATTCAACCGACTTCAAAAACGGAGGAGATTCTCAATTCGACTTTTTTTTATTTTAATGTTTGTTATTTTAACCTCAGAACTTTCGAACCAATTTTGATGATTTTTTATTTGAAAGCTGGTGCTCCCCATGTGGTCCCATATCAATTTCATTGGTATTGGACCTTGGGCTCCGGAGATACGTAGGGGAGATATCTGAAGGCGGTTTTGTTTTTCGTTAGAAAAAAAATAGACTTGTATTATTTTTTACCACTAATCAAACTTCGAGTCCCAATAACGAGAACGTGTTTTACTACTAGACGTGTGTTTTAAGTTTATTTTTGTTGTAAAATAATGTACAACAAAAAAGTACAGGTTTTGAACTGTAAAGACGAGTGAATATTTCTATTTGTTATAAGGAAACATTTTTATGGACGTTTTGTAGTCGGACATTATTTCGATTTTATTACATAATATTTAGACTGTAAGGAACCTTTCTATCCCATTGGGATTATTATACCTCCGACATTTAACCGTGTATACCGACGAACTTTTATCGAACATCTCATAATTCTCATATTTGCACACGTTGCAAAATGGGTACATTATAGCGATATAAATTAATGTAACTTATATTTTGCAAATAAAATATACTGATCCTTCTGCTCTTATCCCAACTAGATGGGGTTGGCACAACATGTGAATCATGTTGTAAGCGGTTTTAGCTAATTTTTTTTACGACCGGCCGCCTCCCTGACGTCAACCCTCCTTGGAAAACCAACACCCAGATCCGGCACAATTATCTATGGTTCACCCAAACACTTGGAATCGAACCCACCCCGGCGCCGAAGCCAATAGCTTCGCAACGGTGCCACCGAGAAACACTAATTACCTAAAGTTCTTTTTAGCTTTTGTTCGGGACGCTCGCCTTTAATTCAATATACTCGAGCAACCTTAGTTCGGTGCCGGCGATAAAGGAAAACATCGCGAGACAACCGGCATATTTTCAAAAACAAAAAAAAAAGTCCCGAAGATATTCGACGTCCGCCAACCCGCAGTGGGGTCGCGTGGTGGACTGTGGCCTGATACCCTCAGAGGAGACCTTTGCCCAGCACCGGGACATTTATAGGCTGTTCTTTACCTTATTCTTACTAACTGCCCCTGGTTCCACAGAAGACCTTCCCCGAGGAGGTGCTTCGGGAGCCGGCGGTGCGGGACGCGTTCCGCAAGGCGCTGGACATGATGAACCGCAGCACGGACCTGGAGGCCGTGGAGCCGCCGCCGCCCCCCCGCTTCGTGCAGCCCGAGCCCAAGGAGGCCAGGCCCGAGCCGCCGGCCGTCGCCCACAAGAGCTTCTCCGAGCTGCTGGAGGCCAGGTGCCTCGAGAGGGGAATCACCTTCGTGCCCCTGGCGGGGAAGACCCGCGAGGGCCGCCCGCTCTACAGGATCGGCGCGCTGCAGTGCTACGTCATAAGGAACGTGATCATGTACTCCGAGGACGGCGGCCGCTCTTTCGCGCCGATAGGGCTGGACCGGCTGCTGAACATGGTCGACGAATAAAGCTGTGTCGACGAACGTTTTCTATTATTTTTTTTTGTGTGGGAACGTGGCAAGCGAGCTGGGGAATCATCTGATGTTGAGCGATAACCGCCGCCCACGGACATTTGCAACACCCGTAGGGGCAACCCTTTGTTTTAATAAAGTGGGCACCGGCCACCTCACTCACCAGACGAAACGCAGTAGTACATTTGTATTTCACGTTAGTCTTCTGTGAGCTTGTGGTAATATTTTCTATTATTTGCAAATACTCATGCCAGTCTTCCGAAATCTCTGAAGTGCTCTTTAGTCTAAAGTTAGTTCCAAAAGTGGTCTAGGACCCCTGGTGGTGGTCGTCTAATTTAGGCCTAATCTTCACATTTTTTTGTGAATTACAGGGGATTTCTATCACATACCCAAAACTCGACAAAAAAATGTTTCACCGGAACCAGCTAAATTTTTTAAGTGGTTTAAGAGAGAAAAAGTCTTGGATCTCTGCATGTATAACAACAGATCCTAAACTTATACATAAAATCAGCTTTCCGCCAGTGAGACTCCCGCTAAAATCGGTCCAACCGTTTCAGATTACTTAAGGGATCGATTAACCGGAACTAACAAGCTGTTTTTTTTTCTTTGGAAATTTTATTCACACCCAATCACACTACAATTTTATTCATTTATTACCAAACTCTCAAATTATCTATAAAAGAATACCTACAGATAGACCCCCAAATAATCTAAGATATAACGCAAAAATTCACTCAGTAAAACTAACCCCTGATTCGAATTTAATTAAAATCAGTGCATTCGAATATATTTGAAGTTCAGAACAACAAAATATTATAATACAATACTAATAGGACCCCATAATATATGAAATATACATGTAAAGCAACTAACACAGGAATTATTTGTTGGTGTTGCAATTACACGACGCAAACGATATTTTACCCCAAGTCCCGCAATCTAATGCTTATCATTTGGCGGGATCATTCTGTGTATTTAAGACTTAGAGTTATCACCAAAGCACAGATTTGAATAATTCAAATAAAATTTCATAGTCACTGTTTCAATGCACTTGAGATTTATATCGCAATTTACTGTGGACACACTTACCTTGTATGGACCAAACCTAGGCCCAGAAATAACGAGATTATAAAATAGCCTTTATTTAAAATAAAAATAAATTCATAATCATTAACAATGGTATATTTTAAAACAAACATACATGGCAAGTGGAATCGGCATGTCTTAAACTAATTTGTACTATTATCATGCACACTTGTTGCTTCTAAATCGCATCTATCACTTCTATGCGGACTTATAATAAAATTAGATAAAACAAAAAGTAAAAGATTATAATATATAAATAATAAAACAATCATGGCAAGCGGAGAATTGATATATCACTATATACACTAAATGAGACTTAACAAGTACATACAGTAATTAAGTAAATATTCGATGTGTAGGTACGCCAATTGCTATATAATTAAAATAAATTCGATTTGTAGTGGTTCTTAAGATTAAGAGATACATATTAGTGAAGTCAAATTGAAAAGTGTTCTATAAAGTTTGCACTATTCGTGAATTCTATTCAATACTGTTGCCGAGGTATATACAAAGAAAGGTATAAAAATACTTCCCTATTAATATAAGAGAAAGTGGATAGTATTTATAGATAGACCAGAAAAATAAAAAATAGGCTAAGTTTAAGTTGCGGAAAAGTTATCAAACTAATTTATTTTTTCAATCAATTATGGTAACAATGAAGTAAGCCACTGTGGCGCCCCCAAGACATGTTTATTTTTGGTCAGAATTTAAATACACGCATATTTTTTTTTTATGGAGAAAAGTGGCAAACGAGCAGGAGGCTCACCTGATGGTAAGTGATTACCGTCGCCCATGAACACCTGCAACACCCGAGGGCTCACAAATGCGTTGCCGGCCTTTTAAGAAACAGTACGCTCTCTTTTTGAAGGTTCCCAGGTCGTAACGGTTCGGAAAGACCGCCGGCGGCAGTTGGTTCCACAGAGTGGTTGTGCGAGGCAAGAAATGCCTTAAAAATCGCGCTGTTGTGGAACGTTGGACATCGAGGTGGTGTGGATGAAATTTTTGGTTCTGGCGCGATGTCCGATGGGGTTAAAACATCACATACTACATACATACTTTAACTTTATACAGATATATTCTTTAAATTCGGCTTAAAATAATTCAAAGTTGTGATCTATTCGACTTTGATCACACTCACAATTTGTGCCATTGCAACGAAGCGCAACGCTGATTATTAATAATTGTGACTAAAGTGGATACGAAGTTTTGTAACTACCGTGTGTTTGTGTGAAAACTATCTTTAAACTACCTCTCTAACATACGACTCGTCCGAATCTACGATTTCGAGGCGCTTTGATAACGGTAGGCGCGCAAACATTGTACTCCGTTCGCGATGCCCAAAGCGAAATTGCATAAAGACAGCGAATAATTGATCGGCCGTATCACGAGGCAATAGCGGGTCCAGATTAGGCCGGTGGCGGACAGAGTAGCGGACTGCGTCGTCGACACTCTGTCGAGCGGGCGTCGATAATCATCGATAGAAGCCATCACTAGCGCCTGAAATGTGAAAAACGTTTCAGCTGAAACACAAAGTCTGAACAAACTAAGCAAATCTGATATCAGACGAAGAGCGAAATTGTTTGACTATACAGATAGCGGTCTAGACACGTCAATGATAGTGTTTACAATTCCAGATAAGATTATTTAAATGTCTGGAATTTGTATTTGTCAATAAAAAAAATGTATTTATATCTTTTCATTGTAATATCTATTATTAACTATAAATAGGAAAAACATATTCAATTAATACATCTTCTTAATAATGAGAACAATTAGTGTTCGTCTGATATCCGATTCAAAATTTACAAAATAAAAATTGAAGTAGGTGCAAAGAAAATAATAAAAGTGCTATACAATACAACTAAGCTAAAAGAAACAGAGCTACTATCAAAACCACTATAAATGTAACTGCTACATATATTATTATGAAAGCGTAAGCAGTTTCGTCAATCGACAAACTATGGAGTCGACTGAACAGTTAGATCTAAGTTTTAATGAAGAAATAAAAAAAAGTTAAGTATCTAATGGCATATATTAATAGCAATAGGCGTGCAACCATCAGGATTGTTATTTAATTTTAAATAAACATAACACAATTTTAAATAAACAAAATTCATATTTACTACGGTAGCTTAAAAAAGAAAAAAATTAGACACGAAGCTAAAATTAACGTTATCATTGTGTTACAGTTAGTATTTCAGGCCAGATAACTGTTCTCTCTTTGAAAAGATCCAATTAGTTCCTTCAAAATAAAAATTACACATGGATGTATTTCTTTTATTTTTAAGACACTCCAATGACTATGGACTTGCAGTTTTTTCGACCGTCACTCATCTCCACGACTTTACCACATTCATAATATGAAATATTGAGATACCTCGAGCCTCCATGATCCATACATAAAAGAAATGAGTGAGATACACACAATATATAAGTGAGATTTAGTGCTCAACATTACGAAATCTTTTACACACAAATCATTCCTCTCCACTTATCATCGTAGAAGTCACTTAATCGGCTACCAAATGGCTTTTCAAATGTTATTTGAGTTGCCCAAAGGATTGTTAAACTCTTTGAATTGATCATTCTGAACATTAAGAAGATCATTTTAATCAAATCAGAGAGTTTAAAAATCCTTTTGGCAACTCAAATAACAGTTGAAAATCCATTTGACAGCTGATTAGTTGACTTCTACGATGATCAGACTTTCAGAAACCGGGCGTTAGTCTCGTAACAGAGTAAGGAAACGTCCAGAGAAAAAACAAGAATAAATTAAAACTTATGGAAAAAATGGAGGAAAAATTTTTCGCCCCTGCCGGAATCGAACTCACGTCTCCCGGATTCGCGCCCAGACGCTTTAACCTCTGTTATAAACGGCTGATTGCCACGCCCAAAGAAAATCGCAACGAATTTTATCTACATTGTTTTTTCGCATTTTAAGTAATGCTTGGCGCATCTGTTGTTATCCTATACAGCACGTAAATCATTTGAAACATGAGCATTTATGAGGTTAATACGTAACTTAATACATAGACAAAGTTCTTTTGTGTAGACGATCATTTGATTCGTTTCCATTTCCGCGACCCAATAAAGCAAAAGTGAAATTTCAAGCAATCAAGATCACCAACCAAGAGAAAAAACTTTAGTGGAAACATGCTTTCACACTAATTCAAACATTTCTTTGGAAGATATTCTTATCATTTGCTGTGCTAGTTCCATGCGTTAATACAGACACAAAAATCGTGCAAACTAAAAAAAAAATACTTAAGAAGTCAAATATTTACCTGAATTCTGCTGGGATCTTTATCTATTTATCGATGGAATCATTATTGAAATGGTTCAAAAGGTTAGGTCATATAAATACATGGAAATAATAGAAAATTAATAGTTATAGTAGACGAGAAAACAAAAGATAGGAAAATTATAAAAAAATATAGATTCATATATTTGTAAAAGGCAAAAAGACATCTACAAAAATAGACAATGATATTGTAACAATATTACTTTAATAGTTTTCAACATAATTTACAATCAATACCCGTGAACGCTTTAATGTCAACGCGTTTCGCTTATAAACATACACTGTCAAACCATCTCATTTTAAATAAATTGATTTAAACTACAAGAACAGAAACAAAAATGTTATATCCTACCAATATTATGGAAGACACTGATAGTGTATGTTTAAAACAAATCGCATAATAATTTATATTATTTACTTTTATCACAGATGTGCTACTCAAAGCATAACATTTATGAAGAAAAGAGCACCATCTTTAAACAATTAACATATCAATAGTTAAACATAGACAAAAAGTCTCGTATGTACGTCATATTTAAATAAAATTCGATTTTAGCCAATATCTTCGGAATTCCTATGATACAAAAATTTCTGTAAATAATTTATAGAGGCAGTTGACCCCAGAAATTACTTGCTAATATATTATTTTAATGAAATTAATATTATTGGCACATATTACCAAAATTCTCGACAAAAGGGGGCGAAAATAAATCATCATTTTTCACTATTTCAATGTCCCGACAAGACATAGAACATGAGGACATAATAATATTATAATTCAAACATGATACATCCAAAACTATTGCCAAGTACATTATAGGTAAATATATGAAAACCTTTTGAAATGGTTAACTGATTTCTTTTATCCCCATCCCATATAACTATCACATTTCAGCTTATGTCTAGTGAACATGAACTTATTTCAATTCTATGTCTATGATCTATTATTGATTTGTCATTATGTTTATTTTAAAATATTCATGTGCGAAACCTTTACTACATTACTTTTGGGCCAATACAATTTATCTAATTCATGATCAAACACAAAAGGTAGTATAGGGTAACAGACAACTAAGTGAGACTTCATTCCTAAAAATCCCTTCCTAAATTCGAGACATATACTAACATTATTCTTTTTTCTTTAGAGATTGATATCTGTATGCTCTACCAATTTGGTAAATGCTTGTTATAGCAACAAAAACATTCACTGCAAACAGGCTGTAGTTTTTTGGTATGATAACAAGGGAATAACGTGACCAAATTATTCCGGTTGCCGCTAGGGAGGCAGACTGGGGTATTGACAATGTCTCAACCGGTCGAGTTAAGTCACCCAAACCAGCTATCACCAAGCCCTGGAAGGATGAAGATGATTTCAGCAGGTTATTGCAGCACCGTGGTAAACGAAAATTTGTGAATGTTTTCATGCCTTTGATTTATGTTAATAATGAGAAAAATATTTTGTATCAACCCAATGATGTGATATGTTCAATTTATTTGTATTGAAATTACTTTGGCTATTTTTAAATATTATAAATAGATACCTATCACATGCTTTGGCTATGAAGAGATCAACAAAGGCCACACATAGTTGCATAATGAATATTAAAAAATTTTATCTTTTTACTCTCCAAGACTCATTGTCAGTGCACTTTTGACTAAAAGGCACCCAGACATTGACTATGACAATTTTACACTCAATATTCACTTCTTGCCTTTGAAATGCTTAATTAAATAATATAATTGTTTTTATATCAATTCCTTATATTTTCATATTATATACTAATGTTACATACATCTCAAGTGTTTTATGCATTGAATGAAAATGACAATAAGAATATATTTTAAAACATACATTACAAGTACAATGCATACATTGCTAATTGTACAATGATTAAGTGTTTCTATAATGAAAATGTATGATATAATTAACAATGACATTCTTCATTAACAGTATGATCATTAGGTTATGATTTTTATTCATAATACTTTTCAGAAATGCCGGTTTTCATTTATATAAAGGGTTTAAAAATCAGATAGTTCCTTGTTGTAGTTAAGCAGATTTCTTGGATGTGTTTTATTTATTGTTTGTCATTTGATTTTCTCTATGAATTACCAATTAAAAGTATTGGTAGATAAATATTAAATTTATTGAATACTCATTCTAATGTGTAGGAAATTTAGAGTAAGCATTAAAAATACATATATAAAAAAACAGTAACATAAACATATAATTGTACTCAAAAATATATTATTCATTTCCTTTTTATGCATTCACTATCGGTAATGATTACATATTGCAATGATTTCAAATTTTAAACTATTGGGTGTATTATTACCAAATATTTTTTTATGTCATCTTGTGAAAAATGTTTTCATTCTAATCATAGGCATTTCTCATATAAATAATTTAATTAAAGATAACTCTAAGACGTAGATAACTTATCGTTGCCCTTACACAAGGTCTAAACAAATATAGGCTGACCTTGAAAAATATCTGAATTGTGATACTTACCCATTTAAACGCTGGAGCCCAGAAAAATATAGTTTTAGGACCTGAAAAAAATGTATTGTTAGTTAGTAATTACGCAATAGTATGTAAAGATAAATAGAATAACTTAAATAAATTCTTACCTGCTTCATGTTCCCAAAGGGGACGAAGCTTGGAAGGGACAAATCTGTCAGCGGCTGTTATAACAACTTTATATATTTTAGACATTTTGATATACGACTCAATATATTAAATTTAGAAGTAAAAAAAAATGGGAGGGTGTAGGAATCTACAATGCTAATTCGGAAATAATTTTATCATGAATTTACATACTAGCCACTTGTTGGAAACAATCTGTCAATGTCACACATCTTACATATGTCATATCAACATCTGCCACTGTCAGTTGCTTGTCTGTGACAAATTTTGAATATTTTTAATCAACAAAAATTTAGGACGAGTAATAATTGCAGTTTAACTAATAATTAATGATCTAAAAATAAATAAAAATTGGACAACATTTTCAGAGAAGGACATAGAAGTACATAGAGCATTTCAGATATATAAAAGTACTCTTTGACATAGAAAGATTCTATGATCTAGGTATTTCTAGCCAGTCCCATTAAAATCTTACAAGTTGATAGTTCGAAAATTACGAAAGATTAACGCCTGGTTTCTGAAATACTGATCATTGTAGAAGTTAACTAATCAGCTGTCAAATAACTTCAAATATCATTTGAAAATATTAACCTACGAATTATAATACTTTTCGTGAATTGATTATTTACGCACATTTTTTATTTTCTTTTTTGTGTAAATGTAGTTCGCTGTTAACCCGGCGCCTTTAATAGCTTCATCAGAAGAGGTCCCTGGGTGAATGACTATTGACTTGTTGGAATCCGTAGAAATAACGAAATGAGATGCAAGTTAAGACCTCCGCATGAAATCGTTTTAATCGAATCGATTTAATCATGAGACGTACTAGCGTCCAATGATCGGTTACGAAAATTCAAACCACTTAAACAATGGTGTGACGAAGGCATTACTCGTGATTAAATCATAAATGCGACCTTATTATTTCTTCTGGGAAGTTTCCATTATCGATCGCGGTCTAAGCCTGACTGAAAGACTCGTTAGCTGAATTAGTCATTTTCATTAACAAGAGTTGCGGAGATGCAGCGGGTCAGCGACATCGTGTCGTCATTTGCACCAGCAACGATGTTCACCTGAATGCAAATCGTCCCTCTGTCTACCAGCAAGTTGTCAAACAAAGCTACTACACTGACCTAACAGCCAACTACAATAACAAAAGAAAGATATTGAAATATGTGACCTAATATTTTTGAAATATTAGGGTTACTGGGCTTGCCAGACAATATTTCTAAAATAACAATATTGTTTATTGTATCTATACATTTCTATTGTATCCAAACCGATTCATTACAAGAAACAATTTTGTTTCGTCGATGACATAAATATTCAGTGTATTTTCAAGACCCGAAAGATAATAAAAATGCTTACTGCATAGATAATACAAGCTGTAAAGTGTAAACCAAAGACATTAGAGTACGTGCTACAGTTATATGCTATTTGGGTGCGGGCTTGTTCTTATTCATATACTATGTAATGTGTCAACACAGTTTTAATTTGTTAATTTTCTCTGTTTATGTTTCTCAAACATTCTTAAAACCGCTGTCTTTTCATTTCATTTAGTTCTTATTCACTATTTTAATGTGTTTTATCATCTTATGAATATGGGTACAAGTACAATGGGGAGCGATCTACATTCTGATAAGCAGGACAAGCTTTTGAAGCTTCAAGCCCGTAAGAAAGAATTAGAGCAAATGCTGTTATCGAAAAATGAAGAATTGTACAAGTTATGTGTTCAAGAAGTTCAGTTAACCGGCATTATGCCTCCTGAAGCACCTTTAAGCCCCGAGGTTCCACAACGAGAACGATTGGGTAGTGTTCGAAGTGTGGAAAGATCAACAGATGGCACAGACGTCCAAGATGGTTCAGACACTTCATCCCGACGGATCAGAGCTGTACCTACGGACCGTATTGTCGATTGTGATGCAAGTATCCGTAAGAACGTTTGCCACAGACTTTCAACACCTTCTATTTCAGGTATGTCAGCTAAAAGTTCACATCCGAGACACGTACGTCGTCCCGACACTAGTTGTTCAAACTTTTTTCCTTCGCCGCCGCAAGAACGTAATCCTGAGACATTTTCAATTCATAATTCACATACATATCCTACTTTAGCCGGACGACATGATGCTGTGCCTGGTGAAAATTATCAGAATGAACTGCAGCAAGGCCCTGTGTACAGACATCACACTATGACCACAGAGTACACTAACCGGTTATATTACAACAATCCAGCTGAGGCAAATAATGTTTCAAGATTAAAAGAGACACACTTTAGCTCCAGTCATCCAGATATAACTACTCATTACACACATGGCTCTATTGCTCCCCAGCCACACTCACAGCAAAATGGTGTACGTAATACACCTCTTATATATCAATATGCCTCACATTTGAAGGCTCAAAGTCAGCACTTAGGTGCATTGGCACACCAACATCAGATGCAAATGCAGTCTAAGAGACGAAACGATGGTGTCCGCCGAAATACATTACAAAGAACACAAACATATCATCTTACATCACACAGTGATTATAATAACCATTTGGAGAATATGACAGATGCTTATAGACCACCAATGCCAGTATACCAGCATAGATTACAAGATATGCAGGAGCAGTCAACAGAGAGAATGCATATTCCAACTGAACGAATGACAGCTGTACCCAATTCACTTCCTTTACGCGAACGTAACATAATAAGAAATCCTATTCACATGCAACTACAAGTTTCAACAGACGACTATGGATTTGAAGAACGGAAACACTACCCGGATGCTTTAAGTCCTGTCAGTCAGATGTCAGGTTATTCACAGGGAAATTTTGACTCTGTTAGTATGAACAAATTTTCCCCTGTTTCTCATGCAGAAAATAAAATTAAAGAGAAGCAGTGGTATGAAACTTCCCTTGATTCTCCTACTAAGAATGAAATGCCTCTATTAAAAAAGACTTCAAGCTTAAAGCGTACCCCCAGTCTTGGTAACTCACAAACTTATGAAGTAATGGTATCCTCGGGTAGACATTCTGCGATGCAAAGCCCTCATATGATACCACATAGTCCTCCAGTGATGTCTCCGAGTGCCGTATCCTTAGAGTCGCCGAAGAATATGACTGTTATAGAGCAGGGTAAATGTATTCCATACAGGGAAGAAACAAAACCTTTTGAAATGTCTGACTTTTACAAGTATTCTACAAAGTTTAGACAAGCAAATGCTCAAAAATCACCATCTGCTACTTCTGCACCGAATGTTAATGTGATATATAATAAGTTGCCAATGGATTTGCCACAGTTTAATCAAGAACATTGGCATGGACAAATAAATTAATTAATGTAGATGATTGACTTTCGGTCATCACTCTTTATTTATATTCTTATTGATAATACAATCTGTATTTAAAAATAACTCTTATTAGTTTTTTAATAGGACAATATTGCTTTTGCCAATCAAAGGTACTTATATAAATTATGAATCAGATCTCTAGATATTCTTAATATTTTTATAATTCTGTAAAAGTTAATAAATGTGTCAATTAAACTTTGCATAAAATATATTTATATATATTAGACCTGTGATAGAAATGTGTAAACAAATTATATTCATATGTATAACTAACACCATAGTTTTGATTGATGTTTTGATGTATTGATTTGTTGTTTGGTTTGTGTTCTTTTCTTACAATTATTTAAATGTATAGATAAAATAATTTTGTGCGAAATTTCCTAATGAAAGTACAATGCTTATATTATTACTCACCCACCGTTTTACATAACAGTGAACTTTATCAAAAAACTGATAAATCTTCTATAATGATATAAACTGTGTATTCACTTATTATATATGGTAGTATGAGAGTAGTAGAAGTAGTTGTGTGAGAAGATATTTGTACACCAAGATGTAAAAATTTCATATAGTGTATTTAATACACCACACACAAAAGCACATTTTTTACATAGTTTTTATGTATTTTTTTCCAGTGATCGGTTTATTATTTATTGCATTTGCTAAAAATATCTAAGTACTCAAATACTTTTGATAATTTAATGTCTAAATGTTGTTTTGATGGAAGTCATTCAATAAAGTATATTAATAATAATAATATCTAATTCTACTACAGCGTCTGTTAAAAGTAATTTATTTTGATATGGTTCACTGTTACCGTTGTTAATTACTAGCTTGCATTTACTTGCTGTGATCAGTGTATGTAAATTGCCTTTTTTATTTATGTCAATTTATTTTATAACTTTTCACAACAATTTATGTAGAATACAATAACTTGTTAATGCAGTAGAAAATTGTATTCTATGTAGAAATGACTCATTGAAATAACAAGTGGTTAAAATTGACTGAATTTTTAAGTGTATGGAAAAAAAAACATTTGTAATATCTTTAGTTAAATGTAACCACTTGTGACTTCTGGAATATTGGACTAAATTTATCCTTGCCAAGCAAATATTAGCCTTAAAAGTAGCCTTTACCTTTAGCGTCCAATAACAAATAAATTTTGAATTAAATTAGTCATAAGTAAGTAAAATCATTAGGGTATATTTTGATATGAATAATTGTTAGAATAATTAGCAATTAAAAATTGCAATTGTATTGCAGAATGAAACATATTGATGACTATTTTTTATATGTTGTTTTTAAGTAACTATGTGCAGATGGCACAGTTTTATGTCATTCTAATAAAGTTTGATAGTTATTTTAAAGTTATTTTATTTCATCAGTGATATTTTGTTTCGTAAATCAATGAGACCAAATTTTAAAACCGCATTATAGCATTACTTCCTTGGCTTAAGTTAAAATTAATGCATTATTTACAAAAAATGCATGCAAGAATTGTCATCATTATTACTCCTCAAAGACGTTTTTTATTCTTAAGTTCATACTTCTTGATATGATTCAAATACCATTGTCGTAAAGCTTATGTTTGGCGCTATTGACGAAAAATGCTTTCCTTAAAGTGGCTATGAGTGGGATAAACGTTTGTGTGATCCACAGACCATCATCGGCCATCGGTGATCATATCAAATCATCACTACGTAGTATAAAACAAAGTCGTCCCGCTGTATGTTTGTCCCTACGTATGCTTAAATCTTTAAAACTACGAACGGACCTTGATGCGGTTTTTTTTACTAGATAGAGTGATTCATGAGGAAGGTTTATATGTATAATACATTGCACCCGTGCGAAGCCGGGGCGGGTCGCTAGTGTATAATAATACTATATGTGGTAGGCCCACTTTATTAAAAGGCTACGGTGCAATACCCGTCTATGGGCGGCGGTATGTTATCACGTAACATCAGGTGAACCGCCAACTCGCTTGCCACCTTTGCACATAAAATACATACAAGTAGTTAATTAAATTTGAAATTACTTCATTGCGGCCAACCCGTCCACACGTACTTTACACTAAAATTTAGTTAAGCTCCTTTTAGGTTGTGGTTGAATCAGTAACTAAACTCTTAATAAGATAGATTTTAACGAAGAAAAGGAAAAGAAATGGCTGAACGAAGCTTAGAGATCACAAAAAAAATACAAACTGGGCAATGCGCCAATTAAATTTTCATTAAAAAGAGGACATCCAAACTTTTAGTGGCAGCCGCGATGACTACGGAAAAATAAAATAAATTCTATTTTACTTGTTTAGTTCCGCAATAAATATTAACTTGTGACTTGTTACTTAATAGACTGTTTATACGTAAGAAGAAGGTTAAAATTTAGTTAGCTATTCAGCTATTTAACACGTGTAAATCGGATCAAAGTGAGATTCGGTTAAATAAATCGCTTTCATATCGCCAGAACATAGCGCGAACAACTTTTGATTCTTAGATTGGGACATATATACATTTCTCAGGACTTGATAAATAAGTCTACTTGGCACTTTACCATATCATCACTCACTATAGTGACATATACTATAGTGACATAACTCTCCTGAGTCATAACTCACTAACTAGTGACATATCACTATAGTATATTTAACAAAACTGTCCAGCCTCTAGCCCACTGGATGAGTAATATGTATTGACAATGTTGAACTGCATGTGAAATTGCGGTTGTTGTTTCCAATTGTAAGAGATTTTAATTTTTACCTATATATATGAGACTAGCTCACCCCGGCTATGCTTCGCAGTGGACTTTTATAACGTTTACGTTATAACTTGGAAATAAAAAGTAGACAAAACATTCTCCTGTTTAATAGCTATGTTGTGAGCAACGACAAGTCAATCTTTTTTTGTAGATTTTCAGTTTTGTGGAAACAAACATACGGAAGCTAAATTTTTATATATACATTTACTCATTTTGTACAGATACGGAACTACGGTAAATAATAGTGATGAATTTCGTCCATCTGACTATTTGTTAAAAAGGAAAACAGGCCAAAATAAAAGGTAATTTTTGCATAACTTTATTAAACTTGATTGTACAGGGCACAAACTATTCAGATGAGACTAGGAAGTAAGTAGATGTAGAATTATCTATATAACACAAACATAGCTAAATAAAAAAAAAATAATCGGTCAGTACCCGGCCAAAAATATGATATTTTATTCATGTGAGGGTTTGTACGGATTCCTCAGCTTGGTAAAGCGCCCATAAATTGACCTTTTCCCAGGATTGAAACCGCCGTTGAGGTAATTATCGTCTCCACCTGTGGACGGGAATTAAATGGGGCATTATGAGAATTATCTGAACATTTGTAAAGATAATTGGAAAGCTTCACTTTCTTCAATTTATAACTTCTTATTTGCTACCGTTTAAAATAATTAATTACACTGTACTTTGTACACTACAGCTGACTCGTAGTCAATACATAAATACTTATATATGTTAATAAATATTCCTTCGTCGGTAAATAAGTGGAAAACACATGAAAATGCAGATATTTAGGATTTTTTTATGTTTCTCACATAAAAAAATCCTAAATATCTGCATTTTTGGTGACAGATAAACAAGCCGCCTATTGCTATTTGCAACACAGATGTGTTGTCACCTTTTAAGTGGGCCCCGGCTACCGCACTCACTAGACGAAACGCAGAAGTATAAAACTTCCATTTCACGCTGGTCTTCTGTGATTTCCTCCGGACGGATCTGCTCATTCGTGCAAAAGCGAAGACTGTCGTATGCTTATATGAAAATACCTGCTTCGAAACCGAAAGGAGGGGTGTCTGTCTCTATGCCGTCGTAACTACTAAAAGGCTGAATCGATTTTTTATAAATTATCATTTCTTATATATATAAAATTATCAGTCAGCCGTTATTGCGCAAGTGACAATGACCCATTTTTTCCATTAAAATGTAAGTTTTCAAAAAACTTTTTCGTAGCGCCGCCATGGAGGTTTTAGTTTTTTTTTTGAAATATTGACGTTTTTAAGCCATTAGACAGTAATTGTATCTTAATGTCTTCTCCTAACTGGCATTTATCCCGGCGATTGCCAGGGTCTGCCAGTTGTATCTTAATGCAAATGGATAAATTACTTTGGCAAATGGTAAGTAATTAAAAAAGTTGTTAATAAACCTCACCAGAACCACCTAGCTGTCCGTTAGCGCAACCATCATCCCACATATTCAGACACCGTTTCCCTGGATTGAAGCCTCCGTTCAAATAGTCATCATCACCACCTGAAATTTCCTTCTGTATTATCATAGACATCATGTGTTTGTGTTTAAGAACCAAATGGGACACGCTATTATCAAGATATCTGAATCTAATGACACCCCACATGTTGAAATACGTCAAAGTAAATGTACATATACCTATGTTGGAAAAATATTATCCTCCATCGGCGATTATCTAACAAAACAGGGCCCATTGACGGAAACTAGAATTAATATAATTACCAGATCCAGGGATTTGTCCATTGATGCATCCATCATCCCACATATTAACGCACCTTTCCATTCCTAAAACAACAAGATATAGTGTACATATGTATGAGGGAACGTTTTTAGGTGGGGTATTGAAAGATAATGAGTGAAAACTAAAACCAAGATTCTTTTTCCTTTTAAATATATTCACCCGAATGACGAATACATTTTTAGGCCTTCCAATTAGCTTATTAAATTTGATTAAAAATATTTCGTTGATGTTTGAAAAACATACTGGAATTTCGTCCTAAGCTTATTCATTGTTGGTTCTCGTTTTGCCAGAAGTTCCGTTTTCCTGCAGTAGGCAGTTAAAATAGTAGTCTGGTAAATGTACTCACCGTAAAATTGCGGTTTATTCATCCAGGATTTGCAAGTGGCCAGTGCGAACAGTCCGAAAAAAACTACAAAAGACCGCATCTTTCAACGGTGCAATATATTTTATCTGTTGCGAACTTTCGTATGATGTTTGCGTGTTGACGGCCATTCTTTTATACAAACCGAACGTACTAAATTCATATAAACCCGAACTATTTGCCCGGCACTCGAGATATGGAGTTCATTAATTTGAATGGGACAATATTACTGATATATGAAATCCTCTTTAGCCATACGTTATGAGATAATTACGAAAGGATTCGAGTTTCATTAGAACGGGTCAGCTTAGCTACCTGATTTTTAGTAGAGGTTACGTATCAATGGAATTAAATTGAATTTTTATATTTTACAATACTCTCTTATTTAAGAGCTGTGTAACACCCTCCATTCTCCTCTGATCAAAGCCCTTTGCTTTACCTCTATAGGAACCAAAATTTATTTTGTTCTTATTTGTGATATATCTTATCCTTGGTCTACCTCTACCTCCCTTTCCTTCTTTCCTTCCATGATGTTGTTAATGAATCTGCCATGTTTTATTATGTGGCCTGAATCCAGCAGTTTTCTGTTAAATTCATCAGACAGTACAATAACCAACATATTCAAATATGCTCAAGCAAAAATTTTCGCTCAAGTAACGTTTTGTTCCGCTGCACGAATAAGCCGCCTACTTCGAGGTCGCACCTCACATAATACTGACGCAAAGTAGGCCACTGAGAACAACCAAATAATTAAAATTCCAGTTAACTCAATAAATAAAATAATTTATAGCTTTGAGTCCCGTCTGCTAAGGGAGCCTTCCTTCAGTGGTTGGCAATATAGCGGTCTTCACTTACCAACATTTGATATTTATTACGTTGTACTAAAAGCAAATCCATAGTTCAAGCTTTTTAGTAATCAATGTACCCATTTCGAGTTGAATGTTGCCAAACAAGTAATTCGCACGTGGATTCCACGTACAGAATCACCTTTCATAACACACAGTATAATAGTAGCTAAAGCATTAAGCATAATATATAATAATTTTGATAACTGAACCCTAATTCATTAATAAGAAATCACCTGAACTCTGATAAATAGTTTAATAATCTAATCATTTGTAATCTTCTATAACAGTAGCTGACGTTCAAAATTAATTATTGATGTCATTAAATGAGTTTCGAAAGTATAATTTTCATAAATGATATGGAATTTAAGAAGTATTTAAAAACATTTTAATAGCACATTTTATTTATATACATTTAATATGTGTATGGATATTTATATACATGTATGTGGTTTCTTCTCAACAGAAACTGCTTTCCGAGCCGGTGGTAACTTACGAACGTATTAATTTTTATGTAAAATTTTTGACATTTCATAAGAACGCGCAAGCGTCTATGTGAATAAATATATTTTTGATTTAGATTTAGATTTTATACTGTGGTAGGGGCACGTAGCAGCCTCGGCTGTTGCTTTACGAATGGGCAGGCTCGTCCGGGTAAGTACCACGACCTCACAGAAGACCGGCGTGAAGTGGAAGTACTATAAATAATTTCGAGTGAGGTAGCCAGAGCCCAATAGTCAAAACGTGGTCAACGCATCTGCAACCCGCTACTGCATCGGTATTCACTTAACTTCAGGTGAACTGTCTGCTCGCTTGGCAACTTTTCAAATTAAAAAAAAAGACGACCTATCTACCCAATAGGTAAATTTCACTTTCGAATACATTTTTAAAACTAATTTATCTACCAAAACAAAATAATTTAATCAACGACATAGTTGCCATTGCGTTCAACCATTTCTGCTAACTAACGTGATTGAATAGTGATTAAGATGCATTATATTACATACATTTATATTATACATACCCAGAGCATTTTAATTGGATCAAGGCATTTTTAAAGCACTCTTTATTATTGAAATGTTTTCTACAAAGAACATTTTTCAAGGAACGCACCAAATGATGATCGGAAGAGGCTTCTGATTCGAGATTCTAACTGTTGTGCAGTTTTTCCGCCGTGACCCTTGCGGTATGCGATCCTACGTTATAGTGATGAAGAACTACGCCCTTCCAATTAATCAGTGATGGTTGTTTTTCTCTCAACTATCTAGCTTTTCATTTGTGCACTATCACTTTTGTTATGGTTTGGTCGACAGGTAAGACTCAATATTAATAACTCTGTTAAAACTCCAGCTATGAAATAACATAAATTTATTCGCATGCATGGGTTTTGTGTGTGGAGCTTCATTTTTGTCAAAATTTTGCGACCGTCTTTGTAGATTTATATGAAGCCACCATTTTCCTTCTCCGGTAACTTTTTCTAAAAAGGCAAATGGTTTTACCGAGAGAGACACGTAATGCATGGAATGCTGAATATGTTGATTTGCTAGCTGTTCAACCACAAAATGTTTGCAGCAAAACTTGTTAATGACGTTACTGTGTGCCACGTGTTAGGAGGATATGTCGATGAAGTTATTGTCAAGCAAGATTTTAAACGAATACCAAACACGACATTCATTATTACTAGACCTGAGACCGTAGTTAGCTCGGTGCAAAGTGAATAGATATTGCGACTGAGTATTTGGTTCAAATACGAAGTAGTAGATTGACATTTATAAAGACACTCCACACAAAAAGACAAAGATAAATTACACTTCTACTTCTTGATGGTATTTGTGAGACCGTGGTACTTCGGTACGAGTCTGTCTAATTGAACAACACTAGAAACTGTTTGCCTCTACCACATTCTACAAAAAACCGTCAAGTGCGAGTCGGACTCCCGCACGTAGGGTTCCGTATCGTTATATATAAAACGGCAAAAAAATCACGTATGGGACCCACTTAAATATTTTTTTTCTGTTTTTCAGTATTTCTTGTTATAGTGGCAACAGAAATACATCATCTGTTTTCAACTGTCTTACTATCACGGTTCATGAGATACAGCCTGGTGACAGATGGACAGACAGGCAGATAGCGGAGTCTTAGTAATAGGGTCCCGTTTTACCCTTTGAGTTTTAAACGTAGTGATTACAGAATGTAATCACTGCTAAAAAGCATGAAAGACACCATGTAGTGTAGATTTTAGAATCAGCTTTGTCACTCATTATTGTGTGTGTGTTTTTTAACATACTACTTAATTCAGTTATGAATAGAACCTAAAAGTTTTCAAGTAAAAATGAAACGAAAATAGCATACTTCATAAGAGCTCTCAAAAAGGATATTGTCATTTCAGAACAATTTCATCAAGAAGCTTTAAAATATTCAAACGCCCAAACACATTAAAACACTCAATAATAAAAGGAAATGTTAAGAGTCGATAAAAAGGCTTGTTAAGGGATGTTTCACATTTATTTTATAGACTAAAAAACATGGTTTCCTTACTGTAGTAGTAAGAAAACCATGTTTTTTCGTATTATTATTTTTTACGTATTAACAACAATATTTGTCCTTTTATTGATTCAACTAGTCTTTGTCTTGTCCATATGTTTGTTCGTTGTGATAAAAAACTTCACGAGGATGGTGACCGTTGCCATTATAGAAGCAACGACTGCCAAGAGATCCAAGTAGAGTTTTTGGTACCAGGGCATCATGAGGGCGGGCGAGCGTAAATGGTTGGCACCATTGGTGCGTACCACGTGCTCCACCCAGTAAACAATCTCTTTTTGGGGCGGCAATGGCCGGTCGTGGTAGGCGTGAGAGAGTTCTTTGGCTTTGTCTCGATATCTGGAATAATATAAAATTTCAGTAATATCCTGTTATATAAATGATAATACGTATACAGCGTGTCGTTACCATCGCGACAATAAATGAACACACATATAGGGGATAACTTTTTAAAGTTGTATTAAACATTTAAATTCTTTAAACATCACTATTTACAGAGTTATAAACTTTTCCAAAACAAAGAATTTTAGAACACCCTTACCTAAGTTCATTTGTAACGGTCACAAAACATATGAATGGGTTGAATGAATTTAAAAGAGACAAAACATACTGTTAGAAGGAGAGGCTTGTAATGCGACGCTGTGGCGCGAGTTGTATAGGATGTTACAAATTTTGTTTCTTTTTTACTTAATTAGTTTGTTTGAAAAATATATTTTTTTAATTATGGATTTTGTTTAACGTTAATATTTTTTTTATGATTATTGGCAAGTAGCGTTAGACGTGTGTTCATTTATTGTCGCGATGGTAACGACACGCTGTATATGCTAATTACGCGATATGTTACTCTAGTATTAATGGATTTTTACTAATTAAATAATTTTTCACTATACTGTACTTCTTTTAAGTTATTTAATCGTTTATTTAGTTTGAGATTTAATTCGTATTTATTTTTTTTATTATGTCTTGATAACCTTCTAGCAAACGCGTAATATTTTCACACCCTGTAATATGAGTAAAATATAGCGATATAAATACTTAATTAAGGCCTTATCATATACCTATATTTTACAAATAGTTTATTATTATATTTCAGTGACTTCTACTAAAGTGAGGTGTGTTAACATGACAAGAACGAGTTCTTGTTAATGCTAGTTAGTGAGAACTATAGAGAAATGTACCGGCTTCTATTGTATGACGGGGACTTGACGACGGGAAAAGTACCTACTAAGGTCTCAGTAAAGATTCTAGTCTTAAGTAGTATTAGAAATATTTCTAGTTCTGCTTCTCCTTTCAACTTGGTGAAACAAGTAGCGTGGGGTTACCTTCATAAAGATTGGTACATCTCATGTTTTTTTGCTAACCCTTACTATCCAGTGAATGTATTTATCATCGTTCATTTTTTTATGTTACAAAGTGGCTGACGGAGCTGGCGGGTAATCTGATGTTAAGTATTAACCACCGCCCATGGATATTTGCAACACCCGTAGGGTTGCAGATGCGTTGCCACCTTTTAATAAAGTGTCCCCGGTTTCCTCACTCACCAGACGAAAAAGTAGAAGTGTAACACTTTACTTCACGCCGGTCTTCTGTTAGGTCGGGGTACTAACCCGGACGGACCTGCCTATTCGTGCAACAGAGAACATTGTTGAGTGGCCCTACCACAGTATTGTCAGTACAGTCATCTTTGCTCAATAAAAATAATATAGATATTTACCGCGAATTACTTGTTACATGGTGAATTGCTGATTTCAGATCTTCCACCAGTGCGTATGTGAGATCGACCTTCCTTCCGTATCCTTTGCCCACTGCCCGCAGGATGTTCACGAACTGGTCGGCGAAGACGGGCAGCCCTATGATAGGCACGCCGAAGTGAACTGCCTCAGTGGTTGATAACAAACCACAATGTGTTATAAAAAGCTCGCAATTTGGGTGCGCTGAAAGAAACGTTATAAAAGGTCTGTTCCGTTACCACCGAACGCTTCGAAAAGTCGGGAAATAAACGCGATAAAACCGTAAAATTATGTGTTTCATTTATAATGTGTAAATGCGGAAATACAAGGAATTATCAATTTTAAACGTTATTATCAATATCGTTCATTGTTTTACCCATACATATTAACACTAACACCACTACAGGATAATATTGCGTTTTGCAGACTCCAAACTAACCCGGAACCAACAAACCTATCTGGAACAACTATCTGTATGCAGTGATCTAGTATGCCATACATATACTCGAGTGGGACCTCGACCATGGCGCCGAAGCCTATGGCTTAGCAACTCCGGACAGCCGAGGCATCAATTATAAGAAATGCCCTAAAAAGCACAGTAAAGAAAGTAGTAGAGAAGCAAGTTTAAATTGTGTTTTTGTTTTTCATTACCCAAGATACTCTGCTGGGGTGCCCAATTAAGCACATGCACATTACTCGGCGCATCAGGCAAGGCCTCTTCAAACTTCCATAAAACAGTCTGATTCAATTCGCCGAACATCTTCAACAGATCTCTCTTGATTTGCTGTGGCCAGTCTGCACTTTTTAAATTAGAGCCCATGCTGAAGTAAATTACTCCATCTTTCGCGTTGTCCATAATATTTTTCAGATTCTGGAAGGAAAATTATTCCCTGTGACTTGTTATTGCATTTGTTCTTCTTTTATAGTCACAGGCTTCTGAACGCTACATGCGTTACGTGTTTCATTGATTTCTGATCAATCTCACAGGTATTTCATTATTTTCTTGTAATCATAACTGCTGTTAGTGTCCACTTGATAGTATTACATTTTACGCTAGAAAATTAACTCGTAATTTTAAAACATAAACAACGTCCCCCAAAGTGTAAAACGAATTTCTATTACTAAGACTGCTGTCTGTCTGTCTGTCTGTCCGTCTGTCACTAGGCTGTATTTTAATAGTGTTTGTTGTTATAGCGGCAACAGAAATATATCATCTGTGAAAATTTCTTCTGTCCAACTATCACGGTTCATGAGATACAGCCTGGTGACAGACGGACAGATAGACAGCGCAGTCTTAGAAATAGAGTCCCGTTTTATCCTTTGGGTACGGAACCCTAAAAAAGGAACAAATGGAAAAAAAAACAAAATCACCTCTGGCAATGGAGACACAGTCCTGTTGATGTGAAAACCGCCCACTGATTTATAGTTTTGCGGCAACCTTGTGGCCTGACCCAACACCACATAAGAGTTGCCAATCATTAGAGACCCATTGTACCGCACGTCCTCATACAATGGTGTGGGTCTCCCACGCTTTTCAAATATCGGCGCGTACATTTCCTTGAAAATTGTGTTCAAATCATTGTATTTCCAACTGAAAACGAAGGTGAATTACTACTTTAATTGTGTTTACAAAGTGAGATAGAAATAAAAGATAATAGACGATGACAAAGTAATTTTTTAGTTGAAAACCGTGATGATGAAACATAAACGTAGTTCACAATTACATCTCGTATCTTGTATTAACTGATGTTTTTGCTTTCAGTCCCGAGACTATTAAACCTTCATCTGACGCAGAACCGGTGGGCTAGCCAGAACCCACGGGTTTGGGCCCTCCGCTGTGGGTAGGGCCACGCATGTGCTCATGCGTGCGTTTAACTATGGTGTGTCATCTAAGGGCCATCGAGGTCGTGGTTCGGACCGAAACCCCGATGGCCGTCGACTGTGCAATTAGCTAATCGGTGGCTGGGGGCGGTGAGAACCGCCCTGGAACGCGGGTGTACCTTGTGTACGCGTTGTGTTGGTCTCGCCGTGCTCGGAGGCGAGTGTGAACTAGTGTGTTTGTTGTTGCACTAACTGTGGGTGTAGTGTTGTCCGGCGGGACCCCTGGCAGTGGGTCCGGCGTGTCTAAGTCCCCTTCCTCGACCGGGTCGATTAGGACGTTTCGCGGGCGACGCTTGTTGACGTTCGCGTTTTCGTCGGGTTGGTAATTTGCTGCGCTTACCACCAGAGGGTTGGGATGATGTTCGGCTCAATCGAAGAACCGTTTGGTCAGGTCTTTAAAATATTCGTGAATCGTCGGGAGTCTGCAATCGCTGTGCAGGTCGACGTTGCGTTGATACCACTGCGCACCGGTTGCGCGGCGGATGAACTTATTTTGTACTATTTGCACAAGCTGTACAAGCACACAACTTGTACAAGCGAGTAGGGTGCGTGTGGGCGAAGGTCATGCATGCGTAAGACATAATAGGTCGTACGCAGGTCTTATATAATAATAATTTGTGCCTTAAGGGCATTTTACTTTTAGCGTTAGTTAAATTGTGTAGCCGGCCGGAGACGAACGCGGCTCTATTGCGAACGTTATTAATGTGCGTAGTAAATGACATACGCGAGTCGAAAGTGACTCCTAAGTATTTGACCTTTTTCTCCCAGGGGAGCGGTTGGCCATAAAGGGATATTTGCCCAACTTTCTGCATTGACGAGGGCCATTATAAAGATGTGACGTGTAAGTACTTCGTGTGAAGTGAATCGCCACACTCTTTTCGGGATTTATTTCTATTCTCCATTTGCGGAACCAATCGCCGAGGCGGTCGGCAGCGCTTTGGAGTCGAGTGGTTAGTTGTCTAAGGTTGCGGTCTGAATAAAAGAGCGCCGTGTCATCCGCGAAAAGCGCGAGATTGACGTGGGGGTCTTTAGGTATATCGCTCGTGTAGAGCGTAGAGAGCAAAGGTGAGAGGCAGGAGCCTTGTGGTACGCCGGCAGTGAGGCGGCGGCTTGTGGAGAGGGTGCTTTCAACTCGATATCGAAAAGAGCGGTTCGACAGGAAGGAATGGATGGTGTGTACGAGCCTATCTGTGTGAGCCACTTTGAGTGTGTACAGCTTGTAAAGCAAGCCGTTGTGCCAGACCTTGTCGAATGCTTTTGCGACATCGAAGAAAAGAGCCCCTGTACTAATATGTTTAGGGTGATTTAGGCCTTTTAGGATATGTTCCGTTAGCCGGAATAGTTGATCGGGACAGGAATGTCTAGCTCGAAAGCCGAATTGTTCCGCCGGCAGAAGGCCGTTGGAAAACACGTGCTCATTGAGCCTGTTTAATAAAAGCCGCTCGTAGAGCTTCCCCAGGCAACTGAGGAGGCTGATGGGACGATAACTAGAGGGCTGGTTGGCTGGTTTATTAGGCTTGCGAATGCCGATAACCCTGGCTTCTTTCCAGTCGTCTGGAAAGGAGCAACTGGAGAGTAAAGTATTGTAAATGGTCGCCAGTAAACAGATAAGCGGCCCAGGGAGAGCCTTAAGAATTTTGTTACTAATATTATCTGGGCCCGAGGCGGATTTGGGTTTTAAGTTTTTAATAATATCTTGAACTTCTTCGGGGGTCACTGAATTCAAAGGATCGCCTTCCGGTGGAAGCGCAGCCCTAATCTCGATTACGCGGTCCACCTCCGTTGGGTGGGCTGTATCGATGTGTTCGCGCGATGGCGTACATTTCTGCTCTAGGTTGTCCGCAAGGCATTCGGCTTTTTCGGAGTCATCTAGGGCTACTGAAGCGCTATTAGGTCTAACTAACGGCGGTAGAGATTCGCGGGGGTCTGCTTTCAGACTGCGGACCAACCGCCAGTAGGCGGTGTGCGATGGCTCGATGTCCTCTATGAGAGTGTCCCACGTTGTATGTCGGTGTTCCGATACACGATCTTTGACTTCTAGCTGAAGGCGTCGAAGTAGGGTTCGGTTCGATTCCGATCGGTATCGGTCGAAAGCGCGTTTGGCTGCATTTTTCTGCCTAATTAGGAGTCGCAGGTCGGGCGGAAAGTTAAACCGTCGATCGCCCGACAGTTTAACCGTCCGTTCCGAGTCTGCGACTGTGGAAGTGATGGTTCACAATTACAGCATGGCTTATTGCAAGCGTTTAAGTTAGTTAAATTAATGTAATCTTCTACATTATAAAGAGGAAAGATTTGATTGTTTGTATGTATTGAATAGGCTCCGAAACTACTGAACCGATTTGAAAAATTCTTTCACTGTTGAGGAGCTACATTATCCCTGCTTGATATAGGCTATATTATATTTTCAAAAAACTTAGGGATCCTTATTAAAACTCCAATAATGTTACTCAAGGTGTACAAAAATTACCTAAAATATTCTTTACATCGCGTGCGCTGCGAAAACTATTGATGATAGAATAAAATAATGTACTACGACTTTGTAGAACACATCATTATTTACAAAAAGTGTCGCGACAGCATATGTCTAACTATTATAGTTATGCCACAATAAGTGTTCTTTTATTTTAAAATTTTGATTGAAATGCCGCCGCTAGAAAAGGCTGTTTATTTGTATCTTTGTCTTAATCCTTAAAAAAAAAAAAATTACTTCATATTTAAGACAGTTTCAATATCTTTATATAACTTTTTGCATTATTCAATTCGGACATTCCATTCCTTAGATATTGCAAGTTTAAAAATGTTAGTATTTTGTAATTTAACTATCCAAACAGCTTAGTGACTGACTTAGTAGTTCTTATAATTTTTCAATCACATTTATACTGGTAATTCCTGTTCAACATCATTTTAAAATGCCCAGAGATCAGGATCTCATCTTTCTAGAAACTTTTTCTAAACTCTTCCCAAGCGGGGGCATCAAAAATATGTCGTAATGAGGAATCTTTACCGGAAACTTACAAGTCGGAGAGAGTCAAGTAGAGTGTTTGCAGTGGCTTGAAGAGCAAAATAATATTAATATACAAATTCACACTAGGGAATCGAGCTCTGAGCGTTCCCAACGCCTACGAGATTAGAGAGAAAGACAACAAATGTCAACGACTAGAGGTCGTAATCGAGTTTTAGCTCACAGTAACAGATCAGCTTTTTTTGCATTATGCTCAACAGTCTTCCCTCCAATTCGAAGCGATGAATAAGATCTGCTCAGTGTTCTGCCTAAAAATGGGTCAATGAAATAAATGGTATGTGCTGTGCTTCTGGAAAAGTTAGTCTCCCCAATATTGAGGAGCCGCCACAGCCAATAGAAAATCATTTGATAAATAATCATTCACTATCTGGACATTTTTATCCAACATCCGAAAGTACAATAGCCTCTTTCAAATGGCTTCGTTTGACGCGAACTTTTAAAATAGAGGGACAAGTATACAAGTCATCAAAATCTTCCTGCCCCTATCCCACCTAGGTGGGGTCGGAAGAACATGAATCATGTTTTGAGCGGTTTTGACCATATTTTTACAACTAGCCGCCTGCCTGACGTTAAACCTCCTTAAGAAACAAACACCCAGATCAAATTTCAACTGTGTAACTATCACGGTTCATGAGATACAGCCTGTTGACAGGGGAGACAGACAGACAGCCGAGTCTTAGTAATACCATAGTAATACCCATTTTACCCTTTGGGTACTGAACCCTAAAAAGGCCCCAGAGATATAGTGCTGCACGGTAGACACTGCCATCTTAAAAGGGTCTCTGAGTTACACCGATTGCTTGATCCACTACAATATCCCTTAATCGTCGTAATGGAAGAAGACGGTTATTATTTGACTATTCCTCAGTAAGGTACAGTGCGTAACAAAACTGTGACATGCATGCAATTTAATGCATTTAGGTTGATGGTTAGCTATCTGTTTTAATAATCCATTGCATTATTACAGTGATTTATTAGGGTTCCGTACCCAATGGGTAAAACGGCACCCTATTACTAAGACTCCGCTGTCTGTCAGTCTGTCTGTCCATATTTCACCAAGCTGTATCTTATGAACCATACATAGTTAGAACATAGGACAGTTGTGAATTTCACAAACGATGTATTTCTGTTGCCGCTATAACAACAAATACGAAAAAATAAAAAAATAAAAAATATAAATAAGTGGGGCTCCCATAAAACAGACATGATTTTTTGCCGTTTCTATAGATAATGTTAATAGTAGTAGTGGTTTTTGACAATAAGTAAGTGTAATACTTCTATATTGAATAAAGATATTTAAATTTGATTTTTTTATGTGACAAAGTGGCAAACGAGCTGGCGGTTCACCTGATGCTAAGTGATAACCGCTGCCCTGTAGGGCAACGCATTTGCAACACCTGTAGGGTTGCAAATGCGTTGCCATGTTTAAATAAAGTGGGCCCGGGCTACCTCTCTCACCAGACGAAACGCAGAAGTATGTATAACTTCTACTTTACGCCGGTATTCTGTGAGGTCGTGGTACTTACCCGGACGGACCTGCCCATTCGTGCAACAGTGAACACTGTTGCGTGGACCCTACCACAATGAAATTACTACCAAATGGAATGGTTAGGAACCCTTCGTGTGGGACTACGACTCGCACTTGGCCGGTTTTTATTCAATACATTGTCGATATGATGGCAAAAATGATACCAGAAAGATTGAATTACATCATCATCACCATCATCATTTCAGCCTATTTGAGTCCACTGCTGAACATAGACTCCCCCACGGACTGCCATATTAAATACATACATTGAATTACATATTATGTCGTAATCTCCAGAGACTGGGGCTGGTGAAACATTTATCTTAGAGACGCTTTAAATCAAGACTTTGACCCATCAAATATCGTTCAACGCCAAATCTGCAACGTCATATTCATTTTCAGGTTCTCCAAGTTATCTGCATTAAAAACCCAAGATGCGATGATTTATGTCCAAAGCTATGGGAGACCAGACTTATTTGTCATTTTTACGTGTAACCCGGAATGTCCCGTAATTAAAGCGGAATCATAATCTGGTCAGCGGTCTTTCGATCTTCATGACGTAATTTCAAGGGTATTTCATTAAAAGATGAAGAAATTCATAAAATTATTCACCAAAGACGAAATATTCGGAAGGTTTTATGTATGTGTGTGATAATTTTTAATTTTAATTTGTTAAATACCCGTGCGAAGCCGGGGCGGATCGCTAGTTATGTATAAAACTAGGAAACTGTGTTAGTTGTTGACTCAGTGGCGCAGTTGCCAAGGTATTGGCTTCGGCGTCGGGGGTCGTGGGTTCGATTCCCACGCGGGACAACTATTTGTGTGATCCACAGATAGTTGTTTCGCTTCTGGGTGTTTGTCCGTGTAAAAATTATGTTTGTAAAACGTCCTTAAAACACAGAACAATGTTATCCTAAAGTAAGGGAAATTAAAAAAAAAAAAGAACAAAATAAAACAAACATGGTATGGTAGAAATAACTATTTCTAATAGTTATTTCGATTTTAGTTATTAGATTTATAGCGAAATAGTTATTTCTACCATACCATAGGTTAGCTTCTAAAATAACGTATAAGAAATCTGTGGCGTGTATCAATAGAAGTAAATTTTTTGGGTTTTTAATTTTATAGATGTGTAAATTACTCATCACACATTTTTGTGGTAGGAAGTTTGATCTGTGTAAGTCTGAGTGAAGCAGCTTAAGCTGTTTAACATATATTGGGTACGCAACGAAGAAATTCATTTAACATTATTATACCATCAATAATAATACAATAGTCATACAATAGCTTATATTAAGTAATAAACTCCCCAAGTCTATAAGAAATTTTAGCCCCGCAAAGGTAGGTGGTACAAGGTATGCATTTTACATTATGCTTATTCGTGGGATTTGAAAATTTTACTTTATAGGTATTTTAAGCTGTGCAATTTGGTTTAGATTGAGCATTCAGTATGGAAAGAAATTCATTAAAACAACGAAATGTTGTGCATCAAATGTCTCTCTCCATAACCTGGAAGATATGCACCAAAAAAACTAAAGGAAACTTACTATTCGCGGTAGAAGGTTCGACTAAACTGAAGCCAAAGTTCTTCCACGCGTTGCCAGAATGTGTAAGGAATGGAATTCGTGGACATACTATCAGGATTGTAGGCTGGATTCGGCGCCTCGTCAATGATCCGCAGTGCCAACCAGTGTGGCTCTAAGGTTGAGAACCAGATCAAGGGACAGTCGAACACCCTTGGAATCCTGAAACGTAATAGTTTTTACAGTTGTTGTCACGCAGCAACCTTTGGTGTTGCACGGCAGTCACGTACGTTTTTTCTGTGAAGCCGAAATCTCGTTTGCCACCTTCTCAAATAAAAAAGTGTTTGTATGGAAAAACTTTTGTTAAAAATGCCTCTCTATTGTTTAAACGTCTGCCACTTTTGTATTTTATTTCTTCTATTTGCACGGGTGGTACACAAATAGACATAATTGAGATATTTTCACGCGTATTTTTAATTATTAACTATAAACAGCTGAAAATCCAATAACTTTGATGATAATTAAATCGTGTTCCAACTTCAAATTCAAATATCTTTATTCAATGTTGAAGCATTACGCATACTTACTCGTATTGATTGTCAAAACACTTTCTCCGGAAAAGGTGTTATTGTATCCAGAAGTTAAAAGAGAATAAAATATTACATGTAACTTTAATATTGAAAGAAAATGTCTTCTTTCAATATGGTTAATCATTTTAACCATGAGAATAAATACTTTTGTCTGACTTCTTTGATTTTTTTAATTATAATTGCAATTATATATTTTATTCTAATTATAAATAAAAAATTCATTAAGTATCATTTAGCTCACCCAGCGTATAGTTCGTTGTACATCCATTCTGCGACTATCACATCGAAATGTTGTTTACCATCGTTCATAAGCTTCAGAACCTCTTCATGTCTTAATGTCGCCAAACTTAACTTGTCCATTATGGGAAAGAAAAAGTCATTAGCGCTCATGTCTGACTCCTTGTTCATTATAGATTTGATGTTTAGGAAGTTCTCTGTTAAATACGACATGTAATAATAAAAATTCTTTCAGACCACGGATGCAAAATTGCAAGTAATTATGCATCCGTAGACTTTACTATAGCTAAATATAGTAATATATATAATTTTTCTGTATCTTATTTTTATGTAACTGAACACTTCCTAAACGGCTGGACTAATTTTAATGAAATTTTTTGTGTATCTTCAGGTGGCTTCTAAAATGTTTTAGATTCACAGTAATTCAAAAAGTTTGAAATTTTCGAATTTAAGTCCTGTGTACAGGACAACGTCCGTCCGGTCTGTTAGTGTAGTAATACATTTTGTGTTGTAATTTTTTTAATTATAAACCAAATAACAATTTCGAGGCGTAGTTATTTTTCCAATAATGTTATAATTGGATTATCCCATTTGTATGCTAAATTCTTTTAAATATTTCCCATATAAGGCCCAGGCTATTTGTCACACTAAACACTAAGCAGAGATATTCTTTTTCTAATGTATGCTTTTAGATTATCAGTGCAGGCTTCGGTGCCAGGGTTGTAGGTTCGATTCCCGCACGGTAAAAGCATTTGTGTGCGGAACAATTATTTGTGCAAGTCAATTATTTGTGACTTATACAAATAATTCGGAACAATTATTTGTGTAAGTCACAAATAATTGTTCCGAATTTGTGCGCTATTCCCAAGAAGGCGTCGCACAGGCAATCGGTCGTAAAAACACCTAGCCAATACTATTAACAAAACAGTTGACATTTTGTACCGACCCCTCCCTCCATAGGTAGTACAAGGGCAGAAGAAAGAAAATTTACCCGGAAACGCTTTGAAGTTAGAGCTGACATCGATTTTTTTCATTTTTCCATGGGGGCTCAATTTCGAAGTTGCCGTTATGTAGGTCACCTGTAAGTTGACCACCTTGTGAGAAATGGCTGATAATTAATTATCTATACGTACGTATGGGTACGTTCCATCCACCAGTTATAATAGATTGCTATTGCTATTAACAAATTGCTATTGGTCGTCTTTATTCTACGTATACAAAGTTTCCTATAAAAATTATAGCAGCCAGCGCTGTCCATCTTCCAGTCCAGGGAACTAAAAATAACGTGTTTTTTTATTATTTTTTGTATTATTTTTTACTTGAATATTGCAGTGTTTTTTGGCGGCCACATTATTCTACGCATTCTTTAAGATTGGAGAGATTACAGAAACGGTTTTTATACATAATGCAAAAACATCATGCCTGGATAAAAAATTAATTACTTACGACGAAAGATTTAGCCATTTTAAAATAACGAATCTTTCTAAGAGGAGAGACTCAATTGATTTTATTTTTTTCCATAAGCTAGCTATAGCTGTATTCTATTTTTATTTTAATATTTTTGTTTTAGTTGTATTTTTCTCTGTTACATACATTTACTTACAAATACGTGAATATATCGCGTGTATAGGTATTGTACAGTATATGTTTAGTTTTTATGTATGTCTATTGTATATAATTAATTGGTATATATTAGTATATTATTATTTTACATAATATAATATATTCGTTCAGTTTATTCAGATCTTCGTATGTAAGTTTATCATTTGCACCACCTACCGTTGTCCAAAATATTGTACTTTTAGCCACAAGGTTGTCTGGAAGAGATCGCTTTTTAGCGATAAGACCGCCTTATTGTTACTACCCTATAAGTTATTTTTGTAACATTTCTCACATATGTTTATGGTGTTCAATAAAGCATATAATATAATAATATATCAATGTTGTGTTTGCCTATAATTTGGATATACAATTAGTTTTAAGCATTTACGTAGTGTATAGATGACCTAAGAAAGGTTTATTGTCACATCTGCAAGTGAGCATAATAAAATAAAAAACAAATTGCAATTCACCACTTAATAGTTAAAATTTTATTGGATATAACAGAGCAGCAGATCCATAGGCCTCTAGGCTACATTACGAGTATAGATGACCCATGTTGTCCATACTGCGCGGTTTTTGAAAATCATACCGCTTTACATTATACGACATATTATATAAGTGAATACGACAGATGATATAGAACGTAAGATATAGAAAGAGATAGCATTCTAGAGAATTGCAATCTAATTACACCGATTGGCGTAATTTGAGTGCCTCAGTTTCGGTGCGCTAATGTCATATTTACCCAGTATTTCTATATAAAATCATTGTCTTTACGACTGTTAAAATCAATTCATCGGTTAATCAGTCGAGCTAACAGGATTAAAGTAATTTCCTAATTCGGTAGTAGTAGAGTATTAAAGTAATTTCCTATTCGGCTTCATAAAATGCACAGCAAATTCTCACCTCATGGCCAGCCTCCAAGAGAAGGCTTACGAATGCATCACCAAGTATTCCGTGACTCCCACTTGGTAGTGGTGAAACGAATAAGATTTTGTACGCTGTGCATCTCGACAACACACGTACAACGATGACGCAGAATACAAATACTTTGTATCCCATAGTTTCTGCAAATTAAGTATAGTAGATGATAACTCGTATAGAAACAATAAAAAAACAATAAAAACAGAGTATATATGTACTTATGTATGGATACACTTAGAAAAGCCACCCTGTATATCAAACTAAATTTGTAATGTTCGTCTAAATAAGAAAACTAATATATATATTTATTCTTATTAAAACTGTATCGAAAGTACGTTGTTAAAACGGAGAAATTATAAATCTAATTCACAGAAGACTGTATAAGTGGAAACACTATGCTTCGGCGTAAAGTTTATCGAATGAGTTAACCGCGACCCACTTTCAAGATAAATAAAGCATGGAATGCTTTTATTTTTCTCTTTTACGTAAAATGTCCTTTTAAAAACCAATTGTAGGTTTCGACTACCTTTTTTGAAATTAAAGGTCAAATAAGTAAGTTAACATTAGGAAGACTTTAATGATGGTTAGTTGACTGAGTTAACGAGTGGTCTTTATAGTGTGGAAGTAACACTAAGAGAGATATGACACTATAAATAAATAAGTAATACTTTAAAAGAAGATATCATACAATAATAAGTATGTATAAATTCTACTCGCGCGCAAGTACCGGTCGCATGGAAAGTTTTCAAATGAATGCATAATGCATTGCGAAAGATGTACTTTGAGACGATTTAATAAAATGCAAACATAACGGGTAAATGTAAATGACATTTAATTTTTACCACTCGCTTATATTTTGCCGATAATGTTTCCATAAATAGTAAAACATTATTAAGAAAATGAATTATAATCAATATTATAGCTAAGGTGGTCTGTTGGTTGGAATTTCGATGTCAGATGTCTTATTCGATTGCTATAGGCTTTCGCAAGATTTAACTAACAATAATATTCATTTTTCATTTCACAAGTTAATTAATTAAGAAGTTAAAGAAAAAGTTTGATTATAAATAATTTAAAGTTTGAAGTTAAATAAGAAAAATATAGATAAAGTAAAATAAAAGAAAAAGAATAAATATAGAATTAATTACTGTTTTCAAAACGTACTTTTCTCATTTAATACAACATTATACAGTCACAACATCTAATATTGAATCACTGATGTTTGGTATAATGCCTTTTAGCCCTCAATCGCTATCATTTCTTATAATTATATTACACGTGTTTCGTACTTAGATATTGGAAAACTTATTAATAGATAATACCCGCATTTCGGGCACAATTGTAAAATAAATACCTTGGAGGGCAATCGTCGGTCAAACTCTTGTTACGAGACTTGTCCACTTATTAAACTTGTCCGCCTAGGCGTGTACGAAGACTAAACGAGTTGAACGATACTTCACGTGCATGTAATCAGTTACGCTACAAACTATAGATGCTGGTAGGGGAATCTTCTAGTCTTCGTTACTTATATATATCATTGTCGTAATACTTATCACATAATAATATAATACGAGTACTTAGCTACACATAATAGCATCGTGATTTTGGCGAATAAAACTTCCACTATTCGTCTGTTTCTTTTTACCCGCTTGGATTAATGAAACCTTGTAATTAACTTCAGTCTGTCTGTCTATTTGCCCGTCCATCCGTCCGTCCGTCCGTCTGGCTAAAACAAATCAATCTATTTCAATAAAATGATTAATAAATCATGGGAAAAACTATTGGATATATTTCAATTAATTCGACCTTGTTTTTGTTTCTTAGACTTTTTGCTTTTATGTGAAAAAAGCATAAAAATACACGAAAACTTTTTCGCCACCCCGGGAATCGAACTCACGTCTTCCAGAAACGCACCCAGACGTGTAACCATTAAGCCAAAATGCTGATTGCTACGCCGCCATCTATCGTTATGTCCTTTACATCAACGACGTATAAGTTCTATGATTTTTTGACATTGTAAGTTGGTGTGTTGACTGCTTGACTTATTGACTTTTTACGGTGGTAGGGCCACGCACTAGCCTCGGTTGTTGCACGAATGGGCAGGCCCGTCCGGGTAAGTACCACGACCTCACAGAAGACCAGCGTAAAGTATGACAAATACTTTCGCGTTTCGTCTGGTGACTGAGGTAGCCGGAGCCCAATTTTCAAAAGGTTGTCAACGCCTCTGTAACCCTTGGGTGTAGCAGTTGTCCATGGGCGGCGGTATTCACTTCCTATCAGGTGAACAGTCTACTCGTTTGGCAACTTTTCACATAAAAAAAATCTGCTGTTAGCTTTAGTTACTTAAGCAACAATTAGATGGCGCGGTACTTTAATTATAAAGCCTTTTCTTGAAATTACAATTTATTCATTTTGTTGGGTTGATTCCAACTTAGGACATTGTATCTTAATTTATAACGCAATTTTTTATTTTTGCAAATTTAACTTTTGTATGGGTCAAATGCTTGAAAGAATTAGTAACTTGCATGATTTTTTTACAGATGGCAGTGTAAGTTAACGGAGGGACTAGCGGAGCAGCGAAGTTCGCGCGGGTTCGGAGCGACAGCGACCCCAACCGTCCCACCCACGGACAATTAATAAACAAACATCGTTTTTTGTAACGTACGTCTTTAAGCTCGCGCATGCGTAAAACATACGATCAGCAAATGATTCATTCAATTCACACATCAACGGGACTTGCGTGAACTGAAATAGTGTAGGTACCCATAATACGAATATATACTAAGAATATTATTATTGTTATGGAGTCTTCGCTAGTTGGCGAAAGGATAGTAATAGCACTTCACGTCCGTTTTCAGCGAGGCCGTGGTGCAAGACTATCCATCCCAGTTAAAACGACGAAGAAAACCTGAAAGCAGTGGGTTTGTCGGGAGAGATATAATTAACAAGACTAAGGCGCATCCGCGGCTGTATGAGGTTGAATGATGATGATCAGAGCCATGAACATTGAATATTTCATTGTAATATCTGATGGTTGCTTACGACTAATTGTGGAATCTCCATACGTGTTGTTTCCTTTAATTGTTAGATTAAAATGGTAGATAAGTATAAAAATGGGTCTTTCGGTTCGTTTAACTAGCGATGAAATTTAATCGATAATGACTAAAGACAAGAAAAAGTTTTTATCACTTTTACTACTTTTTGATGTTTTTCACAAGAGAAAGAACTTTAAAAAAAAAGGGAAAAAAATAACAAAATAACAAATCGACAAAAAATTAAAAATAAAGAAAGTAATGATCTGGAATCGAAAAAAAAGTAAAAAAAATAAATGTGTAAATGATCGTGACGCGAAACCACGGCCGTCTGTTTTGGAGCCGTCCGATTACCGACCGAACTATTATGACATTTTCTCTTGCGGCGAAATTTACCGTCATATTCGAATTATATTTTTCATTCCCTGAAAACAGGGATAAAAGGACATTTTCTAAAAATGAAACTTAGCTAGATCGATTTTTCGCCCCCGAATCTATGCACATACTAAATTTCATGAAAATCGCTGGAGCCGTTTCCGAGATTCCGATTACATATATATACAAGAATTTCTCGTTTAAAGGATAATAAGAAGATAAGATTTGCGCTTTCAGTCCCGAGACTATTAAAGCTTCATCGATGCCAGTGGTATCAACGCAACAATTATTAAAAATTGACAAGTGGTTAAATTCTGCGGCTAGTTATAACTGTTAATAAATAAGTTTCTATTGTCCTAATTTTATATCTGTTTTGTCTATTTAAGTGTAATTATAATCTTTATTGGTATTTTGAAAATCAATAAGTAAATGTAAAGTTTCTTTAATGAATAAAGACATTTGAATTTTGATATGTAGCCCTGCTTTCTTTTATATTAACACATAAATAATAACAGGCGTATCTCATTGGCGATAATTATTTATATTGATAATTTACAAATGTTAACTACTAAGATATTAAAATAATAACGTTCACATCATTTCGTTTACACATCAATAGTTACAACAGGTGTTCGTTTATATTTGTTTGAAAGCAATTCAAAACAGTTGTTGCATTGCTATGAACATACACGATACGCTGGAAAAAAATTACTATGCTCGTAAATTTGTTTTTATTCTTCCTCTTTTGCCGTTTAAGTATGGCGTACAGGGTTTTGGTCGTGTTCCCAAATCCCAGTAAAAGCCATTCCATACTGGGCCAGGGATACCGAACGGCGCAAAGAATGTCTGCTAAAATTGGCAGACTCGCGTTTCACTTACTTCAGTGCCATTTGAATCACTTACGGAAAACGTACTCAAAAAAATTAGTCTTAATTATGCCGGCTTGTGCTATCAAATCGTGTCGCAAATATATGGGAAAATCGTATAATTTCATCGCCAGGTTTTGTTATTTAACGACTATTAATTTAAGAAAACACGATTTTTTAATTCGTTATTTCATAGGTAAGTTGATTAGCTGTTTTTTTTTATGTGAAAAGTTGCTAAGCGAGCAGGTCGTTCACCTGATGTTAAGTGAATACCGCCGCCATAGGACATCTGCCACACCCGAGGGTTACAGATGCGTTGACAACCTTTTGAAAATTGGGCCCCGGCCACCTCACTCACCAGACGAAACGCGAAAGTATTATATTTCCACTTCACGCCGCTCTTCTGAGAGGTCGTGGTACTTACCCAGACGAGCCTGCCCATTCGTGCACTAGCCGAGTCTGCTGCATGGCCCTACCACTGTTGTCAGTTTATTACTTGGAAGTTTTGAGGAAACTATGGGAGACAAAATACAACTATCATTACATCATCTTTCGATCACAACGTTATTGAACATATCAACAACTATTTGTGTGACGTACAAATAATTGTTTCGGATTTGTCCACATGAAGTTTGCACATGTAGGCTAGAAAAAGGCTTTAAAGAAAGGTTGAGAAAAGTGATCACCGTCACCCATGGACTTTTGCAACATCAGAGTATTGCCGGCCTTTTGACGTAGAAATAGGCTTAGTCCTAATTAAAATATTCAAGTAATAGGAAAAAAGTAAAACAATATCGAAACAAAATTCCGCGGCATTAGTTGCTTGGACCTGCTTGGTCACTACTGCAAATGTCAACATACAACATCATCTAGATTATGAATATGTCATTAGTGATTTTGAGGCTTCTTTTGGATTATAAGTTGAAAACTAAACCATAATTTTCAAATGAAACTAATCTCCGCTGTTATGATTTAAAATATTTATCATATTTAATTACGACTAATCTGTATATGTAACAAACAGGTGGCATATGTACAAAGGGCAAATATAATAAAATAAAATAAATAAATATTTTAGGACACATTTTTACACAACATTCTCTAGTCTCAAACTAAGCAACGCTTGTACTATGGGTACTAGAAAACTGATAGACATACTTAAACATACTTTTTTTTTGTAAATAAATACACATTATACATATTCATACACTCAGACACTAGAAAAGCACTATGCTCATCACACAATATTTTCCAGTAGTGGGGATCGAACCCACAAAATAAAATAAATATAAAAATATCAACAGCAGTCACTAACTGTTTCTATTAATTTTCAGGTGACCTACATAACAGCTATCACATCATGAGAAGTTCACATCCAAGATTAAGGCAAATCGATGTGTCGTCAAATTATGAAATTTTGCAATTTGGTAAGTTGCCTTAATAGTTTCTTTCCTCTTAGTAATTGTCAGAGTTTTAACTTGAACTTTATTCTCAGCCGCGATCGATTATCTTGCAATGCTTCTTCGATTGTTTATAGACTAACCTATTTTAGTAATATAAGCCTACATGTTATATTTAACGCTATTTCAATTGATCAATAAATTAATCTGTTACTTTATTTGTACCACCACTGAAAAAGTTATGATGATGATAATTATTTTAGCTTCAATTTATTTTTCGAACAAAAACATTAAAGAAAAGCAGAGATGGAACATCAGATTCAAATTAACTAAATGACGATTCATTGTTTTTAGATAAGTTGTTTGATATTAGCAAAAAAATCAACTCGGAATCTAGTTTTGAAGACATCAGAGTTATTTTGTACACTTTCGCGAACTTGGCCAATTATACCATAATGCATCCAAACGTTCAACGACTAATTCACGGCACCCATGAGCATTTCGATGTTGTTATTATCGAGTGGCTTTTCACCGAACTGTATTCAGGGTAAGTAAGTTTCCCGTTAAAAAAAAACATTCTTCCCGTTGCCTTGAACATCCTCTACTGTAAAAGGTTCCACACGTCGGGAAATACAACTAAAAATGAACGCGATAAATCCGTAAACGTAGTTTCATTTAGGAAGCAATAGCAATAGTTTTTTTTTTTACTTTTAGACTAAATTGAAGTTAGAAGGCATTTTGAAACATGCTTATAAAACGCACCTTTGTTGTTTTGGGCGAGTGAATTTGTACATCTAGCTCTTACCACAGCATTTTTACGTACCCAAAGGGTAAAAGGGGACCCTATTACTAAGACTCCGCTGTCTGTCTGTCTGTCCGTCTGTCACCTGACAGAATAAAAAAAAATAAGTGTGGTCCCCATAGAACAGACATGATTTTTTTGCCGTTTTTATAGATAATGGTGCGGAACGTTTCGTGTGCATTTGGTCGGTTTTTTCAATTCTAAAAGGTTATTAAGATCGTAGGATAAATAAAGAAAATCATGATTTACTTAATTGCAGTTTATCGACAGTTTTCAACTGTCCACTTATTTGGGCATCATCACTGGAGCCACATCCAGCAGCTCTACATGTGATTAATGAAGTCCTTAATCCGGCATACAATCCTAGTCACCTATCAGATTTAGTCCCACCATTTGGTTTTTGGGGTCGAGTTCAAGAGTTATGTACATTATTGTACGTGAAAACTTACAAATGGTAAGTTCAACAAAAAGTTTAGTTGGGGCGTCGGTTGTTTTTGTATTAAAAGGTGGCGTAAATATGAACTTAATGTTGATAATCTTGAATGGTAGATGTGGCTAATGGGATCACTTCAAGAAGACACTTAAGGACTGATAAGAAAACTATTTATTTCAACTTAAACATTTTCAACTTATTTTTAACGAAACGTAATCATTATGAAATTTATGTAAAATACAATAATTATGTCAGATAGACTAGACATGTTACTTCTTTAAGCAATTTTTATGGAATCCAGTGGTTATCAACTATCAGTGGTTATCCATTGGTTATAAACGTAGTGGTTATATTCTCTTTGACGGAATCAATCTAATACGACACAATACAGTCTGAACAAATAAAACTAACATTTCAAATTTAAAGTAATTAAAACATAATACATAAACGAAACAGATCAGAGTTGACATCAAAAGAGTATGTATAATCTGAGATTACCAAACAACAGATAAAATGTTGATAAATTGGAAATTCGGAAGCCGCACATTCGAATCTCGCGGCACAAAAAATTTTTCGTCAGTTTATCCACAAAATGATTTTATGTGTTTTATTTAGGTATCATGTTGAGTGCAGTGACTGAGGAACTTTTTTACTTAAATTTTTTTTATAATATATAAGACCGTAATTTTTCATAAATTTACACCGGTTATGCATATAGGTACATATAATGTTATTAACATTCAATTTTAGTATTTATTATTTATTAAGGTTCACCAACATTGGACACATTAAGCATGCAAAACAATTATAAAAAAAAAATTCTGAAACAGGTGGTTGAGAAATAAAGAGAACCGAATTTTCACAAACGCATTCGCATCGGCGGTTGAAAACAGAAGTCGGACATTACCATCTTACACTGAGGTCCAGTACAATGCTTCCCCAATGTTTGGAAATTCTCACGTTACCACGGGGACCGCGATTCGCCTTCCCCAAAATTACGTATCAATTGGAGGGTACCACATCAAGGAAAGAAGAGATCCGTTGCCATTGGTAAGTTATAGACGCTTTAACACCTGTAATCAAGAATTTCTTGCAATACATACAAATGAAAGGTTTACGTATTTCTTACATACTAAATAAATGTTTATATTATAAGAGTTCTAACGTTTTTACCTTGATCCTAATATTTTAACTATTACTGAACTTGAATATTAACAAATATTATAACGACAAGCAGCAATAGTGGTTATATCACCGTCCGGGAACGCAGTCGAAATCCAAGTGACCACCGCTCCATGCGACCATGTGTCCCTTAGCTCGAGTAGAAACGTCATATCCGGTAAACAATGTTGTCAGCGCCAACATTCGGCCGTCTGCATCACGCCTTGTAGTCTGGTACAAGTAACCTTTATAAAATTAACACCTTACCCAGTGGCTTATCTCCCTCAAGAGGGATGAATATCGCCACGTTCAGAACACCTTACACTGTGGCTTATCCCTCAACTGGGATGCATATCGCCACGTTCAAAAAAACACTTATCCTGTGGCTTATCCCTCACAACTGGGATGCATATCGCCACGTTCAAAACACTTATCCTGTAGCTTATCCCTCACAACTGGGATGCATATCGCCACGTTCAAGCCTTAAATTTTCGAACTAATAAATGCTCGGGAGCTTAACCGGGTAAACCATTTTGTATCGCTATTTAACATTTTCTCAAATATGTTTAAGTAATTAATTAACTGGAAGGTACTAACCAAAACTTTCGTTACATTTAACTGAGAAGATTTTATCACCATTACGTATAGTAACTATAAAACACACTGTTTTATTTTACGAGGGTAGGTACCCAAGGAGAAAATATGTCGCCGATTGTTTGAATAGCCAAACGCGAGTTTTCGTATTGTATCCCACTTCTGATATAAGAGTTCTAACGTTTTAACCTTGATCCTAATATTTTAACTATTACTGAACTTGAATATTAACAAATATTATAACGACAAGCAGCAATAGTGGTTATATCACCGTCCGGGAACGCAGTCGAAATCCTAGTGACCACCGCTCCATGCGACCATGTGTCCCTTAGCTCGAGTAGAAACGTCATATCCGGTAAACAGTGTTGTCAGCGCCAACAATATTTGAAACAGAATATACAAAAAAATTTTGGACGAAGCAACAAATGGTCTGATTTACCTTAGCTTGGGGTCCATGGCTAAAACCAATAGAATTCCGGTTGAAAATACAAAGGATCTATTAAGAATGTTTGGTAAATTAAATCAGACAATATTGTGGAAATACGAAGAAGATGTACCTGACTTGCCTAGAAACGTTCATATTGCGCCTTGGATTCCACAAGTCAATGTTTTGGGTATGTGTAAATAACAATGATAATAATTAATTAATAGTTATAACCATGCGTATAATGTAGGGGAAACAAGAACTCCAAATTTCAAAACAAAGAGATTCAAGATATCTTTGTTTTAATAACATTTTTTCAATCCTTTACAGCGCACGCAAACTGTTAATTATTTATTACACATGGAGGTTTATTGGCAATGCTCGAAACAATACATTTCGGCGTTCCAATTATCGGTATACCGCTATTTGCGGATCAACATCTCAACTCTTCTTACGAAACTATCTTCAACCGTCAAATCGCTGCCAACATTGAGCCTGCAATCAGAGAAATGTTATACGATGACCGGTAAAGAGTTTTGATTATTTTTATTAGATCGATACTAATTATATCGCAATAAAAACCCAAACTAAGTATTGGTTCATGTAATCTGTTTCTTAATGAATGCCATTACAGTAATGTAAAATTTTACTTGATTGGATTTTTAACAGACACATTCATGGAGGAGTACAATAACAGTTTTTTTAACAACTCATGGTGCAAGATGTGGCCAACTCGAACGGAGTAATTAGTTTATTTGACGCAGATTCTATAATAACAGATATTTATAGACTCGGCTCAAACGTTTAACTAAGCGGATACTTACAATGTAACATCATATACAACCATTATAATTGTTTCTCGTTTAGTTTAATCTTTAATTTTCTTTGTTTTAGATTTCAAAAAAAAGTAAAAGAATACTCATTCATCTATCATGATCGCCTGATACCGCAGGGCAAGTTGCTGGCCCATTGGGTTTCGCACGTCATACGCACAAACGGTGCAGTACATCTCCGCTCCCCGTCCCGTCTGGTTCCCTGGTACCAGAAACTGTAACTCGACTTAGTAATTATCGTTATAATCGCAGCGTATGTATTGATTAAGGTTTTTGGTTGTTTAAAAAGCCTGTGTGAACAAGCGTTATTTGGATTTAAAATGTATGGTGATAAACTGAAAATTTTGTAGTTTCAGTTATTTAGTATTCAAGTAGTAGGGCCACACATACACGCGGGGAAGTACCACAAGCTCACAGAAGATCGGCGTGAACTTTATTAATCTTTTCTTAATTCTTTGTCCTCATTAATTTATTAATTAGTAGACGAGTAATTAATAGAATTAGTAATTAAACGACTTAGTAGTCGTTAAATGAAATAATGCTTTTTTAGTAAAAAGGTGAAACGAGAGCAGACGGTACACCTTGTGTTAAGTGATTACTTTACCAATATTTAAAAGAGTTCGCCACTGCTAGCTCCCTAACCAGTCTAAACATATACGTATTACCTTCTGTGAGGTCCTACTTCTTACCCGGATGAAACTGAAATATGAGCAAAAGCAGAAGATTCTACGTAAATACTGTTTAATTTTTTGTTTCATTCCAGTAAGATATTATAATCCAATTGAACACTATAGTGGTATAACCGAGAAAAACATTTCTTAACTGTACATGTTTTAGCAATATTTGCAGATATTAGCTCGCTTGTAATTTTTACAAACTCCGCACGTTTACAGATTTTACTAGCACAATTTTTGAGAAATATTTTACAGTACGAAAAATTACTTTATTCAGTTCTCAAGCACTTAGCCACATCGGTTGTGTCACTTTTTAAAAAAAAAAAAACTCTTTCGGTTTGAGCTTTGGTTGATGCGATCACTGTACCGAATTCTCTTCTCTGCTTTTTAGAATTAAAACTTTTCATTGTTTCTTTCAAGTATGAGACAGGTTTAACAAAGAAATAGTAATAATACAATCTCTTAGCATTGGTGTATAACAGTAAAAGTATCAGCATATACATGTCCCACTGCTGGGCAAAGGCCTCCTCTGTGCAGGAGGTATCAGGGCATAGTCCACTACGCAGCCCCACTGGGGATTGGCGAACTTCACGTATCTTCGAAATATTTTTTTTTGTTATTATTTCGAAAATATGCAGGTTACCTCACGATGTTTTCCTTCAGCGCAGATCACGTAATAATTCGGCACTTAAAATTAACATTTTCATTGGTGCCGGCACCGGGGATCGAACTCTGGTTGCTCGAGTACATTGAATTAAAGGCATATGGTATATGGCTGCTAGCAAAATGCAAGGATGTTCAAGTTCATTTTTCGTACCAATGACCAGCAAACACTGGAGAAACTAGGTGAGGAGCGCCTCTCGACAATGCCACGTGGTTTATTACCGCTTGTAGAGTAACTGACCGTTGATGGTAGGCGATTGGACAACTCCTTAACTCTGTTGCAAAAACTGTAAAAATATAATTATGCATTTCATAATTATATACGAACACAATCTACGTGTGATCTGGTGTCTTCTATATTTCTTTATTAAAAATGTTTAGTAACGATGGACTTGTATCATTTATAAAATTTATTTTGTTTCTATCTAGGTAAACTTAAGTAAATGAAAACTTATGTAATAGTTTTAGTAGTCCTTAATTCTATGAAGTACTAAATATACGAAAAGAAATATGTACAATCAAGTGTTTTATGTCAAAGATGTCTGTTAGGACCTGAGAACTTTTTAAATATTCTCTTGAAAGTTATGGGTTACCCAGAAGGGGGTACGCCTCCGTCCATAGACTTTTTTTTATCTATTGAATGAAATTCTTAGCAGTATTTTTGCCACGATTCGCTCCAAAGGCAAATAATTTTTAGCAATATGTTTAATTAAGGAAAACCTTGAGTTATCTATTTTGTAACATCGAATGTTTTTAAGCAATAACCAATTTAAAATAAATTACATTGGGTTAAAACCAGACCACATAATAGGTTTTTGTTCGTAAACTGTATTTGAAGATCGAAAACGTGGATTACAAATATTTTGCATTTTAAATTATTAATCAAATCAGTTTCCGAAAAACTTTCAATATAGCAAACCGCATCCAGTATCACTTACTTCTACACAAAACTTGTAATGAAGTCCCACAGAATGTTCTAGTCTAGGATAAACGGGATAAATATAAAATGGGACAGTCATCCGTGCAACTGCAATATTCAATTTTATGCAAATGAGTAAATGTACTGTAACTTGTCGTTATCAATAAGATGGTTCATTTTCTTATCTACTGTCTCCTGGCTAGGTGAAAAATTGTGAAAAACATCTGCGACAAAAATTAAAGCTGTGAAAATTTTAAGTCCATTGCTCTGCTATCTCCTATTTAAAAATAATGTATAGGATACATGTGTCTCAAATTTTCGATTATTCGTTTAAATCAATTCCTTGAAGGTTTATCAAATTGAACCTAGTACATACCCTTCACGATGACAAAAGTTAACTAAAACATCAATATTAACTTATTTCGTTTAAATATCGATAGTCGTAACAGGCATTCGTTTATATTGTTTGAAAAGCGGTTCAGAACAGTTGCGGGCATTGTTATTAGTATACGCGATACCCTTGTAATAAAATAAAATTGCAATGCTTGAAAAGTTGTTCTTATTCTCAGTTTTGTTTAATTTAAGTATGGCGTACAGGATTTTGATCGTGTTCCCAATTCCCAGCAAAAGCCATTCCATACTCGGCGAGGGATACGTGAGGCATCTACTTGATGCTGACCACGAGGTATGTCCTAAAACTTTTCAACAACCTTATAAAGTAATAAATTTCATATTCAATTATTCTAACACGCCCTTCACCATTTCCTTTTATTACAGTCACTTAGTACATACAAGGGGACCTGTGAATTTTTATTCATATCTTTCGATAATGAGCAAAATTTTTACAAACCTTAATTATTTACGATTTAATTTTCTAGAGATTTTGTATTTAGCCATTTTAAAAGGTCACATTGTTTTTGTTTTATAACGTTTTTAAACTCTACTGTTGGTTAAATATGTTATTTCTTAATGAATTTTATTCATGAAGAACTGAAGTTTGTCAGATTTGATTTGACCTTGAATATCTTAAGACGCGCAGACGATATTTAATGCATCTTTTGAGGAAAAATTTACAACGCCAAAATGAAGATTCATTCCTCTAATGTGACTGCACTTTTATTTCCAAATAAAAATTGAATTAGTCCCTAAATATAAACATGGATAAAAGGAATCTGCAATTCTAAAGGTTTACCCCCGTCACAATGACTAAATACATGACACCATAAATCTATTTTGATTTCTATTTATCACTAGCGATCCACCCCGGCTTCGCACGGGTGCAATGTATTATACATATAAACCTTCCTCTTGAATCACTCTATTCAGTAAAAAAAACCCGCATCTAAGCGTACATAGGGACAGACAGACAGCGGGACGACTTTGTTTTATACAATGTAGTGATGCACAGTAAAGAGAAGTTTACATTTCAAGTGACATTTTACCAAAGTCACTCACTTGTTTTGCCCTCCTGGAACCCGCCACTAACACTTAAACTTTATGCTATGGTTTTAAAGTTCAAAATGACTTAAGTATTATTACGAATCTTTTGTACGGGAATAGAGAAAAGTGTTGTTTTTAGACTTTTTCAGGCAATTTTATAAATTTTTCTCTCCGTAAGAACCCTCTTCCTACTTTAAGGAATATTATATAAAAAAAATTAGTCGGAAAATTAATCGGTCCAGCCGTTCACGCGTGATGGCACGACCAAGGGAAATAGGGATTCATTTTTATATATATAGATAAGAAAGAGAAAATCTTTCTGCTTGTGCTACTGTAACAATGTTTCGGCCACAATTTGATGCCAATTGTGGCTTCGGCTTGCTTGGCCACGAGTGCAAATGTCAACATAAATCTTCATCTAGGTATGTCTATCTATAAATGTATATGCCTCATGCGAAACCTATTTTATAAAATTCGTATTATTTCTTAAAAGTGGAATTGACTACAGAAAGTATTTTAATAAGTTTGGATGATTTAGAGTCTTCTTTTGAAATAGAAGATGAATATTTTTATAAGGAAATTGATCTCAGTTTCATAATAAAAAATAGAATAATTTAATTGCACATTTTATGACGACGATTCTCTCTATACCTACATTTAGCAAATGTTGTCAACAGTCGCCACCTGAACAAACATAAATAAACGGTTTATATTAATTTACAGGTGACTTATATAACACCTATCATCGTAAAAAGTTCACATCCAAGATTAAGGCAAATTGATGTATCGTCAAATTATGACATTATGCCATTCGGTACGTTTCCTCATTAATTTATCTACTTTTAATAAATTTAGGGCCTTTTTTTATGGGAATAGGAGGCAAACGAGCATGTGGGTCACCTGGTGATAAGCGATCACCGCAGCCCATGGACATTTGCAACATCGGTTGAGTCGCAATTGCGTTGCCGGCCTTTAAGGAAGGAATAGGCTCTCTTCTTGAAGGTCCCTAAGTCGTATCGGTCTGGAAATACCGCTGGCGACAACTCGTTTCACAAAGTACTTGTGCGGCGTAGAAAGTTTCGTGAAAAACGCACTGTGGTGGAGCGCCAACCATCAAGGTGGTGTCGATGGTACTTGGCGGTTTGAAGAGTTGTAAGATGGTGAAATTCACCAGCAGGTATCGACCCAAACAATTCCTCAGAGCACTCCCCATGATATATCCGATAGAAAATGCATAGGGATGCAACATCCCTACGCAAGGCGATCGGACAGGATTTGGTCGTCGACGATTCGAGCAGCTCTTCGTTGAATGCGGTCAAAATAAAAGGAGCTGGTATTTCGGTGCCCCAGCCCAGAAGTGAGAACAGTATTCCATGTGAGGCCGAATCTGTGCCTTTAACTTAGTCTCGACGGTAATTGGTCTTGCAATAATTCTTCCAATTACTTATAGACTAGCTTACTTATATTAGATATGATGTTATACTTTTACGAGTGTCTGTGTTTTTTTGAGTGTGTTTGTGAGTGAGTAATTTATATCTATCTAATTATTTTATATTTTTTCAATAAATTGTCATGTATGTTTATTTCAAAAGAATGAAATTAAAGAAACTAAATTACCTCAATATTTCATTTTGTTTTCAGATAAGATGTTTGATATAAGCAAAATAATTCAATCAAAATCCGAATTTAAAAACATACGTAGCAGTTTGTATGCCTGTGCTGACTTGGCCAATTATACCATCATGCATCCGAACGTTCAACGACTAATTCACGGCACCAATGTACATTTTGATGTTGTCATTAGCGAGTGGCTTTTCAACGAACTGTATTCGGGGTAATTAAGTTTCCCGTTCAAAGACTATAATATGGGTAGATCTTCTACTGAGTTGGTTATTACTATATACGTGATGAATTAAAATCGTGATATAGCTCAAGATGACTTTATTCAATATGTTTTATATCAAGACTCAAGGAGCTTTGACATAAATCACCACAAAAGAAATTTACTTACATTGTTCTTAATTGAAGAATCATTTTATTTTTGAGATTTTATCTACTTTGAATGATTCACTTAGCCCCGATCTAAGAAAAGCTTATATAATTAGCGACCAACATGATTAAAATATGAATAAACTAAATTTAAGCTAGTAGGCATTTTCAAACATTATTTCATTCTTTGACTACTTGATTTTTTTCCATTCTAAAGAGTTCTTAAGGGAATAAATCTTATAATAATATAATATTGTAGACTAAAAAATATTCATAGTTGACACTATTGCAGTTTCTCGTCAGTATTCAACTGTCCACTTATTTGGGCATCATCAATGGAGCCTCACCCAATGGTGCTAGATGTGATGAATGACCTTTTGAATCCGGCATACAATCCGAGTTACCTTTCGGATTTAGTGGCACCATATGATTTTTGGAGTCGGGTTGAAGAGCTGTGTACGTTTGTTAACGTGAAAATTTACAAGTGGTAAGTTCAGTTCCCTCTAATCAAGTGTTCGTTACTTTTTGTGTTTTAAATCACGTGTACATCAATCACACATACATACATGAAAATATTTTAATTCAACGGAAACTTCACAGAATTTTGTAAACGTCAAGCGCTGAAATTGATGACTAGTAAACTCAAAATTGTTTATATAAAGAACAAAGTTAATTATATAAAGCAAATTTTAATTGTTCCTTATTGTTATATCTACTGTAAAGTAATCTGTGAGATTCAAATTTTTCCAAATGCGCAGCGTGGTGTTGAAAAATTTTCTGAAACAGGTGGTTGGGAAACAAAGAGAAACGAATGTTCACAAACGCATTCGGATCGGCGGTTGAAAAGAGAGGTCGGACATTACCATCTTACTCTGAGGTCCAGTACAATGCTTCCCTAATGTTTGGAAATTCACACGTTACCACGGGGCCTGCAATTTGCCTTCCACAAAATTATGTACCAATTGGAGGGTACCATATCAAGGAAAGTAGAGATCCATTGCCAGTGGTTAGTAATTTGTAGTATAGCATTAGAATGAGCATGTTGATGACGTTCGAAATTTTTCATAACTAGCTGTGGATTTTGTCATCAATGTTATCAAGAATATATTTCTATCTTTAAAGATTTTCATATTTTGATGTACTTAATATGATTGTTTTTGTACCAGAATATACAAAAAATTTTGCAAGACGCGAAAGATGGCCTGATTTTCTTTAGCATGGGGTCCATGGCAAAAAGCAGTAGTATTCCGGTTGAAATTAAAAATGATCTCTTAAGAATGTTTGGTAAATTGAATCGGACAATATTGTGGAAATTTGAAGAAGATTTACCTGACTTACCTAGGAATGTTCATATAGTCCCTTGGGCTCCACAAGTCGAAGTTTTGGGTATGTATACGAATCTAGGGAAACAATTCTATTAAGTCCCTATGTTTTTAAAACAAAATACCTTGTAATGATGACGTTCAACCCTTCCAGGACATGTAAACTGTGAACTATTCATTACACATGGGGGTTTGTTGTCAATTCTCGAATCAATACACTTTGGCGTTCCGATCATCGGAATACCGCTTTTTGGAGATCAAGACCTTAACGTCAATAGAGCCGTCGATAAAGGATTTGGGAAGAAAGTGGATTTGAACAGTCAAATCGCTGTCAAAATGGAGGCTGCAATAAAAGAAATTTTACACGATGATCGGTAAAAATAGTTTTAATTTTCAATACGATACAATATAATCGATTTAATCTCAATAAAAAAGCTAGTAAAGTTTAGCTATTCGCAGATATTTAAAGATTCGGCCCCTTATTGTTTAGTTGGCGTACATATACAATTACAAAGAGTAATTATTACTTTTACAAATATTTTTTTCCGCTTATACCTAAGGTGTCTTTTCTTGTTTTGTTTCAGATTTCATAAAAAGGCTAAAGAATACTCATTCATCTATCACGATCGACTGATGCCGCAGGGTAGAGTTCTGGCCCATTGGGTTTCCCACGTTATACGCACAAACGGTGCACGACATCTTCGCTCCCCAGCTCAACTGGTTCCATGGTACCAGAAACTGTACCTCGACTTAGTATTTGCAATTATTTTCGTATCGTATGTATTGTTCAAGATTTGTGTTTGCATCAAGAGTCTATGTGTGTTCGAAATGTATACGATTAAACTGAAAATATCGTAATTTAAGTTTTTTTACTTTTTAGTCGTCAAGACGTTTACTGCTTACTTTACGTTTACTACTCTATTGTCATAAAGAGTTTTTAATGTGATTTTTGTGAATAAATGAACAAAAAAATGTACTTTTTTATTTAGCAAAGCTTGTTGCCATCTAGTTTCTATAGTTTGGAGTATGAAACACCTTAAAGAGAATATTTAACAATGAACATTTGTAATGAGAGAGGTCGCCTTCGCTCTTAAAGTTTTTAGAACTTTAAATATGAATTTTTATGTTTAGGTTTGATTAGCTTGCTTACAAGCTTCATAACTCCTGCCAGGTTACAGAATTTACAAGTACAATTTGTTAGGTTTCTTCTGTATTACAAATAATTAATGTAATCATAATATATACATAGCCCGATCTCTAAGTCTTTGGCCCCATCAATTTCCGTTTCCCCTTTCTTCTTGCCTAAGTAGAACTTATCATTTTGAAATGTGAACAAGGTCGTGCTTCAACTGACCAGCATTAATAGGTTTAGAATGCAATAGTACTGTTATATTGAACAAAACTTAGTAACAAATTATTATAGATAAAATATCAGTTTATTTTCTTCTTATCAGATCGTTTGCCCCTCCAATATAGTGATACGATTTTTTTAAAGATAATGAGAATCAGGTACAGCGCTGCTAATAAAAGTGCAAGGAGATCCAGGTACAATTTTTGGTACCAAGCCACAGCCAACGCTGGTGAGCGTAGATGAGGAGCACCTCTCGTCATTGCCACGTGCTCCACCCAATGTAGTATTTCTGCTTGTGGAGTAGCCGGTCGGTGATGATATGCGAAGGACAAATCCTTAACCCTGTTGCGATAACTGTAAGGAAGTAATAATGCATTTTATAATTATAAATCAAACGAACCCAGCTACGTAGGCTGGGTTCGTTTGGTTCTGGCAGAGTATCTTCTATAATTTTTTATTAACCGTTTAGTGACGTTTGAAATGAATAATTATTAAAAATTAATTACTGGAATATATCGAGACTAGGCTTCTTCAGTAGAATGAAACTCACCGAGGATTGCCCAGCATCTCCTTAATAGCTCTGTCTAAGTCTTCCGCCATGTTATAAGACAGATCAACTTTCATTGCGAAGCCCTTATTTACTGCTCTCTGAACGTTCACGTGCTGGTCACCGAATACTGATATGCCAATAATCGGAACAGCGAAATGGACCGCTTCCGTCGTTGAAAGAAGACCTCCATGAGTTATGAACAACAAGCAGTTTGGATGTCCTGTTAACGATGTAAATATTTTTGTCATGAATGATATTGAAAATTTATGATAAGTTAGTAATGGAATTGTAAAAATTCGTTATTACACAGACATTTTAAATAAACATACTTACGATACTAGATTCAAAGTAAAGGAATATTCTGAAACTCACTCAATATACTTTGTTGAGGGGCAAACTTCAAGACGTGAACATTCTTCGGTAAGTTAGGAAAGTCTTCTTCAAACTTCCACAATACAGTTTGCTTCATATTGCTGAAAATTTTAAGTAGCTGATGCTTTAATAGATCCGGCATGTCCCTGCTTTTTATAATCGTGCCCAAGCTGAAGTAAACAACACCGTTTGTTGCGTTATCCATGATGGTTTGCAGGTTCTGTTTAATGAAGAATGCTGCCATAAAGTATCTGTTAACGTCTGCGAAAATTTGTGCGAAATTGTTTCGCCAGGTTGGGATTACTGTTTAATTCACCCACCTTTGGTAAAGGTTTCACGTTGGAGTTAATATGATAGCCGGCGATGGGTTTATAACCTTGAGGTAAGGCAATCGCTTCACCTAAAGATGCATGCGAGTTTCCCAGGATAAGGGAAGCATTGTATCTGATTTCTTCATACAGCGGTAATGGTTTTCCTCTTTTAGCCATCGCTGGTCCAAAGATGTGTTCATAATTTTCTTTATTCTTGTAATATACGCTCCTTAAATAAAAAAAACAATTGGTAGGGCCACGCAGCGTTCAATGCTGTTGCACGAATGGGAAGAACCATCAAATTTAAAATGTGGCAACACATCTGCATCCTTACGGTGTTGCAGATGTTTATGAGCGACGGTTATCACTTACCGGTAGGTGAACCGACAGCTCACTTGCCACGTTCTCCCATAAAAAATGCACATTCATCATTTTTCACCTATTTTGAGTCAACTTTATATCTTCTAAACATCTCATTTTTACATCATGTTCTAGCAGTAGGACTTATAGGTTCAGTGATATTATGTATAGGTGTTTAATTTTTATCAGCGTTATCGGATCGGAAAAGACTTTTAGGACACATTTTTACACAACGTTTTCTAGTCCCAAACTAAGCAAAGATAACTGATAGAAACACTAATATATATTCAAATTCAAATATTTTTATTCAATATAGAAGCATTACATTTAGGTATTTATTGATTGGCAAAATGGTACCATCACGGGTTCGGAAAGAAAAAGCCACTAACCAGAGAAGAACCGGCGAAATAAACTCAGATGGATATTATTTTTAATAATAATAATATATTTTTCTTTTCTAAATAAGTACATATATAAACACCCAGACACAAGAAAAACACTATGTCCATCACCCTTCACACACCCTCTGGCGTAAGAGGCAGGTCACCACCCAATACGCCAATCGGGTCGTCAACAGAGTGTTCCATAGTATTCTTTATTCAGTCGTTTATTGGAAGATGTTTTTGCCAGTCTGGTGGAAACTTACCAATCACTCAAAATATATGAAACAGCTTGCAAAAATAATTCCTCAACACGTTGCGTAAATGTAAACGGTGCAGTGTTATACGATAATGTGAACGACGTGTACGCAGGATTTGATGGTTCACCTATGAGTCTTAAAATCATGAAATGTGGTTCCATAGACGAGAACCAAATTAAAGGACACTCGAAAACGGCGGATAATCTAAAATGTGAAAAGCATTACAAACGAACGTTGTATCACATATTATTACACAATAATTGTAGAATATAGCTTCTAGGGTTGCATGAATAAAATGGAAAAGTATACAGAAGATCGACATCATTTGTAAATATTTATACTTCTGCATTTCGTCAGGTAAAGAGTTGACAAAGGCTTGAGCCTTTTAATCATTATAGCCTTTGTCGGTAAGAAGAAATGTAGCTTTAAATTAATCCATATTAATTTAAGTATCATTATTCTAAAACAATCAATAAAATTAAATGACTGTCACGAATGTAGTAGGATTTTATCACGACAATTTTTAGATATGAAAGGCTGTTCTCACTCAATTATTAAATTCTCCAATAAAAAGATCATGTTCCGTATAGAACACGTGAGACTTACCCCGAATACAATTCACTAAACATCCACTCGGCGATAACTAAATCGAACTTTTGACCTGGATCATTCAGCATTTTGCGTACTTCTTTATTCTTTAAGGTCTCTTTATGTAAGTTTGCAAGACTTGGCAGAAAGAGTGATGCGTCGTTGACATTCACCTCTTTGTTTAATATAACTTTTATGTCCATTTTGTTAACTGATATGTGAGGGAAAATCAATGTATGAGCTGATGTTTTACGCCCAAATAAAGTTTTGAAAAATTAAATAGGTTTAAATATTTACCCGTGATTTAACCGATTTTGGCCGTGATAGGTAGGCCGGCCAACCTGAGTTCAAATCCCGGTTAATTTTAAGTGCTGCCGTATCACATGCTTAGCGGTGAAGTTAAACATCGTGAGAAAACTCGCATATTTTCGAAATAATAACAAAAAGTGTTTCGAAATTATGTGAACTCCGGCAAACTGGGGCCTCATGGTGAACTATGCTCTAAAACCTTCGGTATAGCGTGGCAGCGGGACATACACTTTACTTTACTTTTTTTAATTTTTTGTATTAAGAATCTGTACTCACATGGAAAATATTTTTCATTTTCTGTCACGTCAATTTGATGAAGCAATGGATTGGAAATATTGTTCTGGAATCCAGTAACATACGTTATCTGTAAGTGTAAACGGGTAAGGATTTTACAGGAAGAAATTAACATTTGTAATTACGCTAATTTCTAAACGCCTTTGCAATATAAGTGTAAGCGCTCTAGGTTTTTTTATTTCTCTCAATATTAAGTTTCAGTCTGCTGATTTCAGTTAAGAACTGAAAATAACCGGAAGCAGCAGACTTTGAATCGAGGCTTAATTTCGCTATAGAAATGGAAGCAATATATATTAAAAAAAAACTACCTTTATAGTTTTTCAAAGTTTTGCCTTTATAGTTTTTCAATTAATGCCTGCTTAATTAGACCACGCAGCAGTTTTCGCTGTTGCGCGAATGGGCAGTTCCGTTCGTGTAATTATCACGACCTTACTGAAGACCGGCATGAAGTGGAAGTGATATAATTCTGCGTTAAGTCTGGTGAGTGATGTAGCCGGGGCCAACTCTATTAAATGGTCGCAACGCATCTATAACCTTACGGGTGTTGCAAATATCAATGGGCGGTATCGCTTAACATCAGGTGAACCGCCTGCCCGCTTGCCACATTTTCACATGAAAAGCACTTTCACGCTAAGCTCATCATCTCATGATTTAATTTCCAAAAACTATAATACAATTTTATGAACTTTGCATTGTATAAACTCTTTTAAAAACTATAGTTTTGTTTTCTGTTTTCGATAATGCATTTCTTGCTGGCCCACGATATAAAATGTATGTGTATTAACCAAAAGTCATCACATCAAATCACAAAAGAAGAGGCGGAAAAATATTACGACTAATATACTGTTCTCTTTATATATGTAACGTTCAGCATTTATCGCCACCTCAGTCTGTCCCGTGACCATTAACGCTGTAAAGGGTTCGAAACGTCGGGAATTAAAATTAAAAATAAACGCGATAAATCCGTAAAATTAGTTTCATTTATAATTTTATTGGCTGTTGAAAAAACATTATCATTATTTATTTTCCGATTACTAGTAACTTTATCATACGAACCAGGAATAATATTTACCTCGTGTCCGGCTTCAAGTAAAATATTCACGTAACCATCGCCCAAAATACTATGACTTTTGCTCGGGAATGGCGATACCACTAGTATTTTGTAGGTCGAGCAAATCGGCGCGAAAATTAAGACACATGTCCAAAATCGCACGTTCATTTTCTAAAGAAATCCTAAACTCGTTGCACAAAACTTGTACGAGGTAAGACAGTATTTTATTAAAACAACAGTTATGTTGTAGTTATAATACTAAGTTAAACACGCATAAAATATGTTCTCATTTTGTATCAAAGAATTGGAAATATGAAAAGAAGTTGTAAAACGAATGGCATTTGAAAAAGACTAACTCACAAATACCGCACCTGCTATATCTATGCACGATTCTACATGTGAACTGATCGTCATTGGTCGAATGTTGAATTGTGTTTACCATTAAAAAAAAAACTCTAAATGATTTTTTGTACTGTCATGTATCTGTATTCATTACGTTGCGTGAGAGCGCGTTGGGTACAAGGTCACATAGATATATCGTTTTGTATGAACTTTTGCTATGCTCACCTTAATATTTTTTCTACAAGAACCGCTTTCCCACTCAATAGTAAGTGAATATAAGTGTTCGAAAAAACGGTTTACTCAGTGCATTAATAAATATCGACCGCACATTGAATATGCGACGATCATGCCTGTAATTCTGCAATTGTAATTAAAGTTTTCGAACAATTAGACTTTATTTCGAGAAGCTCTCAATTTGCTAGTAACTAAAAGAAATCGAATCGAATAAATCATTGATATATTCGACAAAATGACCCTTGATCATTTCGTAAAAAATATCAGCGATATTTTAAATGATTAAACTATAAATGCAATAACTGGTCTGCTTTTCTCCGAAAGGATTTAAATAGAATTAGGATTGGACTTTATACGCGGGATGAGATTCAGATTTTACGGATTAAAACTATCTTTGGTTCAAACACAACCTATTTTATATACTATTACAGTAATAGGGCCCGCTCAGCAGCCTCCGCTGTTGCACGAATGGGCAGGCCCGTCCGGGTAAGTACCACGACCTCACAGAAGACCAGCGTAAAGTGAAAGTATGACAAATACTTTCGCATTTCGTCTGGTGAGTGAGTGGTTTCGTCGGATGTGGCAGATGTCCATGGGCGGCGGTATTCACTTAACATCAGGTGAACCATCTGCTCGTTTGACAACTTTGCACATAAAAAAATATAAATATATTTTTTAAGGATATTTTTTAAATGTAAAAACGAAATTAATTGCCTAATAAATAGTTTAATTTATTAGCAAATTTTTCAAAAGTTCTTACATATGAAGCAGAAGTACCTAATTTCTGTACTCTATCGTATGCTAGTAAGCATGATATATACAAAATATCGCTCCGTCACGACCGTCACTTCATGAACACATGATAAGTAAGTCAACCTACTTTACTGATAATATACATAGCGTCTCTGCTTGGTGATCTATTATTATCTTAGCGCTACGTCAGGCGTTTGTAGATGTAATACATTACGAAGGTTACGTAGAAAATTAGTCAGTGTACAAGACAAAAATATTTGTTTATGCACACACAGGAAAGAGAAGGCGATATACGTTCAAAAGTTTCCATCTATACCCGTGAACATTTGGAACATACAAACGGCTGTAAGTGCGCTGTTTCCGACAGGGTGGGCCCCTGTCGAAGACAGCGCATTTAGAACCATTCCAACCCTACAAATCTTCTCAACCTGTTAGCATCACACGAAATGTTTGAGTTCGTGAAACGCCAGGCCCATCGAATCCTTCTTGGAATACGGGTGTACACTAACAAGTTTCCGGAATGAATAAAATATAGATTTTATAAATTGCAGGTATATCTGCTCTACTATGTGTATGTAAATTGAACGTTTCTGTGGCTCTACCAAAGTGTGATATTATGAAAGTCATATATCACTGCATGTTATTTATTAATGTATACGAGCTGGCTTAAAAAAAGATGATAGTTTTGTTATATCCCTTAACAATAGGGAGTAACGGAGACACAGGGAATGAATGTGTTGACCGAGCATTCCCAGTAAACAGAGATTGTTTTGAGCCTCTAATATCTTATTCCCACAGTAAGAGTCAATTCAATATTGGTCCATCTCACGCATCGCTATGCTGTTTCGGAACACATGCTAAGTCTTTAAAATGCTGTATGTAAAGTGTAATCCTTTCAGTACTATGAAAATCTTCTATTTTCGTATTCCGTTCTGACCTTTGGTGGCAGGGGTGGGTTCAAATAAACTTCTACAAGGCTTCGCCGAAAACTTACAAGTTTCTATATAACGTTCCGAACATCAAGAAAGCCGTGATTGACTAGACTCTAGACAGACTAAAGGCTCATGCGAAAGGCGCGTTCAAAGATGGACCGCCAGCTCGGTTGCTACCTGCCACCTCACATAAAAAAAAGAATTCAAATTCAATACTTACTTATTTTTTCTTATAATTTGTTTTAACTCTAAGTTGTAGTATATAGTCGTAGTCTTAGGTTATGTTGCCGTATACAATGTTACCGTCCTCTTTCTTATCTCTACGCCCGACGTATCCTCGCATGCACATAAGATTCCATTCACGAACGCCAATCTCTCTAAGTGAAGTTATTTTTTTACTTTATTCAGATGAAGATAAAGTAAAAAAATAACTGGATGGATTGTAATAATATAGAGTTAAAATGCAATGGTTTGCATTATAACTCTATATTATCACAATTTAAATAACTGTTATAACTTGATAAACACCTTGCTACCATGTCCAAATCGAAGAAAAGAGTCGAAAATGGAAACAAAAATACCAATAGAATAAATTCCCTTTAGTACTATTTTAAAGTTTATGACACTGGCGCCGTTGCTAAGCTATTGTCTTCGGTGTCGGGGGTCGTGGTTTCGAATCCCACACGGTACAAGTATTTATGTGAACCATAGATATTGATATATTGTTCGGGATCTGGGTGTTTGTTTCCCAAGGTGGGTTGATGTTTTTAAGATTTCCTGCTATTTGATACAGGCTATGGTGGGTTGATGTTAGACAGGCGGCTGGTTGTAAAAAACATAATCAAAACCGCTTACAAGATTATTCACATGTTGTGCCGACCCCAAATAGGTGGGTAAGATAAGATAAGGATAATGATGACAAAAAAGAGTTCTTAAATAACTGCAATGATGCAAATAATTTAGCATCTTCAAGCGAGAGGAATACGTTTAAAATTAAATGACATCCCGGTTTGTGCTTTCTCCCAATACCAAACATATCCGAAATTCCATATTAATTAGGAAAGAGCAAATATGTCGGCACACTAGATGACACTAGACCAAAATAAAATAAAAACACCTGCAACTAGGCTCTCAAATGCGTTGGCGGTCTTCTAGGAAAGAGTATGCACTCTAATTGGAGGTTCCGAGGTCATAACGGTTCGGCAAGACCACCGGAAATTCAAAAAGCGCTCGCCTTTAATTTAATATACTCGATCAACCTGAGTTCGATCTCCGGTGCCGGCACCAATGAAATTGTTAATTTCAAGTGCTGAATTATCACCTGCTCATTTTCGATTTAATAATTTAAAAAAAATATTTCGAAGATATGTGAAGTCCGCCAATCCGCCGTGGGGCCGCGTGGTGGACTATGCCCTAATATCCTCTGTACAGAGGAGGCCTTTGCCCAGCAGTGGGACATGTAAAGGCTGATACTTTACTTTACTTTTATACAAAGGAAAGGTAATATGACAATCTTATCAAGAGAACGAGGTAACGACGGTGGCGTGACTTGGAAGAGATCGCAATTCTTTGTCTGTCAAGTTTTAATTTGTAAGATAATAAGGCGAATACTTGAGTCATTATTATTTCATTACCTATATTGCATAAAAATCTATTCATTTCCATTCTTTATTTGTATCTAATTCATGCTAAAAGGTAAAGAATGTATAGCAAATTATGGCGTTATCACCACCCGTATCTTGAATGAATTAAGTATCTTTAAAGTTAAGGTGTAATTACTTGTACTTTAAATACAATTTATGCTAATTGTCATTCCTTTCGTTATCAGCTTCTAATGGATTTACCATTAGAAAGTTCGAGCGTTCATTTATATTTCTGGGTTTAGAAAAGATTATTATACAGAGCATTCTTTTGCTCTCAGAGCAAAGTAAACATGATGCTAGTAAAATTAGTGTTATTTGCGTTTTTGTGTCGTCTAAGTGTGGCGTACAAAATTTTACTAGTGTTTCCAGTTCCTGGCCGAAGTCATGCTATACTTGGTGAAGGATACGTAAGGCATCTCCTTGATGCTGGACATGAGGTTTGTTTTTTAACTTTATCGTGTTTTATGTATATTGTTAGGTATTAAGTGACGCATCTGATTCGATTCTCACACCGTCACAAATATTTGTGTGAATCGTCTGCGGTTGGAAACAATTATACCTGTAATTCTTTCGGATCTAGGATTCTATTGTTCATGTAAAAGGTATTGACACCATAGGATAATACTATCTAAAATTAATCATATCTTATACTGAATCAATGCATTTTCGATGGCCAAGCTGTCGTAAGTATTGACTTTGTCTGGTAGATAAGCAATCCTATTTTCGTGTTTATTATTATTCGGGGATACTATATTTTCGATGTCGCATTTTTTTTCTAAGAACGATTAAGTCCTATATCTCGGGAGAAATATAATATTTACTATTTTATTTATAACATCCTACACAATAATTACAGGTACTTAAACTAATACAATAGTGCGGCAAACTACAACACAAAGAAGCAAAAAATAGAAACAACAATTTAATATTTGTGAATTTACTCTTCTTCTTCTTCTTTCTCCTGCCCTTATCTAACACGAGGTGGGATCGGCTTAACATGCCCATCAATTATATTCGGAACCATGTTGTTATTATCTACATGCCTAGCAATTATATTCGAAGTGCGTAATATACGCGTCCCTGGCACCTCACAAGGCTATTTGATCAAATAAGTCCGCATTATGAACATTTCTTTTAAACAATTCATACACGTAGATCTTTTCTAACGTTTAATGTATTATGTATATCCAAACATACCAAAAATAAAAAAAAAACAGTAACGGTTAAAATGTATAGACAACCATACTATTTCTTGTACAAAAATTGTAAGAATTTATTCAATATGCCTTCTATAATTATTTAGTTTCATCTGGAGTCCAAATTGCTGAATTGTATTCCAAGTGACTGATATATTTATTTATTTTGTATTATATATTTGTTATTATATATTTATTTATGACCTTTTAGTTTTAAATCATTATTACCTCATCACTAGTAATAATATAAACGCGAAAGTTTCTATGTATGCATATACGGATACTTGTTACTCTTTTACGCAATAACTACTGAATGGATTTTAATGAAACTCTTTAATAATATAGCTTATAGATCAGAATAATACATAGGCTATAATTTATAAATATATTGTGTGAATGAGCCGAGATATAACGATATGTGTCAAGTAAGTAGGAAAGAATTCTGCCATCTGCAAGCTTTTCTGGTTTATAATAAAAATCTCATTTTTAACTCCTTTGAAACGCGTGGGCAGAACCACAGTTAACAGGTTATACATAAAAATAAAGAAACTGTCATTTTACCCAGCTATGTTTTAGTTTCAATAAACTCATTCTGGAAACATTTTAATGTTCATTAAAATGCCTCTAGTCGTCATAGCTCTGTATCCGGGCGCTCGCCTTTTATTCGATATATGTATATATATATTATTTATTATATATAATGTCCCAATGAAATTGCTAATTTTAAATGCTGAATTATTGCGTGCTCAACAGTGAAGGAAAAAATTGTAAGGAAACCTGCATATTTTCGAAATAATAACAAAACAAATATTTAGAAGATATGTGAAGTCCGCCAATCCGCAGCAGGGCCGCGTGGAGTTATGTACTATGCCATTAACCCTCTGTACAGAGGAGGCCTTTCCAGCAGTGGTGTATAAGTAGGCTGTTAAATTACTTTTTTACCATTCAATACAAAATACAAAAATGTTTATTTCATTAACATATTTCTTTTACAGTTAATAAATATTTGGAGCTACCTTTTAAGCAACAATTTTGCTTGTGTTAGGCAGCACCGCTCTTACTTTAGCCATACCATAGCATACTTATAATAAACTTAACTAAATGCAGTACAAATTTTTAAAACTAATTTCAAAAATAAAACAAAATAAAAACATTTTCTCTCCGTGTGTGTGTATGTTAGTGTGTGTGTTAGTGTGTGTTTGTGTTAACTCAACATCAACTCAATTTCAGCGTAATTTTTAGCTTTTAGCCATTCCATAACTGCAATTTTGCATTTTGTGTATGTCATTTCATAAATATTTAGTTCTTTATTAATTTTATTGTATAAGACTTATAGCTCTTGTGACATATTGTCTCTTAGCAAAAACTGAATTTACTCGTATATGTTGCACCAAGTTACATTTTCTTCTAGAATTATTATCTACATGTTGGTAAGGAAGCGATTTAAACATCCATTCATTAACAAAACTCACATTTTATTGTTATGATAACAAACCCGTTTTTGTTAAAACCCGCTAAGGTTAAGTACTTTTTAATTACTATATATTGATTAATTTGGAAGTTACTTGGTAAATGTAGATAAAGCAGTTTAATACTTTAAAATTAACTCATTCTTTAACATCTTCGTACCACCTGTAAGCAGACTACCTCCAAATGTTGTTGGTGTGTTCACAAGCGGTGTGTTCCATCAACACTGATCTCTCTCCCATATCCGAATGGAGTCGCTCTTATGGTCTCACGGTGAATCCTAAAAAGACTCAGGTAATTGTGGTGGTTAGCCCTTGGTTCATATCTAGACTTGACTTTGGTCAACTACCTCCAGTTATGTTTGATGGCGTCCATATACCATACAGCGATACTGTTAAAAATCTCGGCGTGATATTTGATAGGATCTTATCCTGGAAGCCACATGTCGCTGACGTGTAGAACGGTCTTTGCAGCGTATCACTCCTTAAGACGACTGCGGAATCTTACCGACCAGCACAAAAATCTCGCTTCTACAGACCCTACTTCTTACGACCTTACAGAAGAAATGTTTAGTTAACTCGAGCGCCTCCCAAACCTTTCTATTAGATTTATCTTCAATCTACGCAAGTACGACTATGTCTCTTCTTATCAAGCTCAGTTAAATTGGCTCCCGATTCGTCGTCGAAGGGATTTTCACGTTCTCTCCCTATTTTATTCAATCCAGCTTAACCCTTCGACTCATTCGTATCTAAAAAAAGTTTTGAATACTAGACCATTTCTATTGATCGTTCACTCCGTTTTTCTCGTTATCGCTCGCTTTCTATGCCTTCTCATACCACTGATTTCTATGCCTGTGTCTATAAGACAAGCCCCGTCCCTTTACTCTTTTAAGAAGCACCTGAAAGCCCATCTCTTTTCCCTTCCTGTTTAATTTCATCCCAACGTTCCATTTTCCTCTGAGCATTGGTTGTCAGTTTTTTTGCTACTTTCACACTTATTAATAAGTATTTGTTAATATTCATATATATGTGTGTATGCATGTATATATGTATTTGTTATCATATAGATATGTAGTATATTTGATGATTTTATTTTTCTACATATGTATTAATGTAATTATTTTTTCTCCATTATCTCAGCAATAAGGTCGCCTGTTTGTACTCTATGTTTCCGGTATCTTCTTCCTTGTATTTCCTTGTGTGGAATAAAGTATATTCATTCATTCAATTCAGTTATCAATTGAAAAATAGTCTGTGGCAAAGTAACATCGTCTACATTTTGATTTTATAATCTAAATTTGAAATTTCGGTGAAAAAATGGCTGAAAAGTAGCTTTTCGTCAAGAAACTTAAATATTTCACCTTAAGTGAAGAGATTAGCACTGCAAAAATTTAAATATAATCTCTAATACTTTATTTCTATATTTAATAACATAATTTTATTTTCAATGCTCTAAAATGTATTTTTGCTGACAACATTACAATTGCGAAATATTCGTTATTAAATTACTCAAAATTCATTATACTAATGGACTGTGCATGGGATGTAAAAAATTAAGAAACTTAGGTTTTAGCTACAAGTTTGAAGAATTTTGAGAAATAATTAAGTAAGTTTTTGTTACTCTTTTCACAACGTATTTCCCAGACGATTAAAAAGATTTATATTAAGTTTTAGTTGGCAAGGTTACATTTACATCTACTGCAGTAGAAAACGATAAGAGCACTTGCGAAGGACGATATCAATTTCCTTTTAGGTTTTTAGGTGATAAAAATAAGTATAATTGACATTTGACTAACAGTCACCCAACAAAATTTAGAATCGAACGTAGATGATGAAAATCTAAAGTAAAAAAAAAGTATATATATATTTTTTTATTTTAGATTAATGCAATAATGTTTAACCGATCTACAGGATCATAATCCTTTGTGAAAGCCACAAAAATAACACATTTAAAAGATTCTTCTAAATAATTTATAAAAAAGGGAAAATAACAGCCTATACATGTCCCACTGCTGGGCAAAGGCCTCCTCTATACAGAGGGTATCAGGGCATAGTCCACCACGCGGCCCCACTGCGGATTGGCGGAATTCACATATTTTCGAAATATATATTTTTCTGTTATTATTTCGAAAATATGCAGGTTTCCTCACGATGTTTTCCCTCACCGCGGATCACGTGATAATTCAGCACTTAAAGTTAAAAACTTCATTGGTGCCGGCACCGGAGATCGAACTCAGGTTGCTCGAGTATATATTGAATTAAAAGCGAGCGCCCGGACACTGAGCTATCACGGCTATAAAGTCGGCTAAAAATAATTTATAATTCATCCGAATTTTACTCATACGTATGGTGATTGCGTCTTGCGTGTGATCATGCAATGGTTGGTTTTTCTTTTGGTTTATATATTTATTATTTATTTAAACATCACTCAATGAAATTCGTTCGAACGAATACGAACAAAAAATATCGTACATTTTTTGTTCGCTATTAAAATAATAAAATGTAGCATAAATGTCATACAAATCACGTTCACAACAAAATTACACAAAACATTAAAATCAGCACTTACAAATTTTATTGTCATATATGTAAATTTGTAAATGATAATAATTTATATTCATTCACAGGTGACTTACATAACTCCCATTATAATGAAAAATTCACATCCAAGATTAAGGCAAATCGATATATCGTCGAATGACACCATGCCCATAGGTATGTTTCTTGGGGTGCTCAAAGTAAAAAAAAACCGGCGAAGTGCGAGTGGGACTTGCGCACGAAGCGTTCCGTACCATTATTTATAAAGACGGTAAAAAAAGCGACAGGCGGACGGACGGACGGACAGACGGACGGACAGACCGACAGACGGACAGACGGACAGACGGACAGACAGACAGACGGACAGACGGACACACGGAAACACGGACCGACGGACAGACAGTCAGGCAGTGGAGTCTTAGTAATACGGTCCCGTTTTATCCTTTGGGTACGGAACGCAAAAAACGTGTGTATGTTAAGTTATACTTCTTTAGCGTAACAAAAGAAAAAAATTAAAAATGTGTTTCTAAAAAATACATTAAATGTAATAAATAACGGTTTAATTTCAATTTGAATTTAAAATAAAATATCTCGGAATTATAGTTAAATGTCAAAATGATGTTATTGGTTGCCATAGTTTCGCTGTCAGTGTGTCGGGCGCATCGTAAAAATTTACCCTCATTTTTTTTATAAACGCGCCAAAAGAAGTGTAACTAATAAAGTGCGTGAAAGGTAACACGTGAAAGTAAAATTAACTACTTGTTCAACGTTTTCAGACCAATTGTTCGATACAAAAAAGGTAATCAATCAAGAAATAGATTACAAAAGTATCCGATTCCTATGGTATGTTACCACGGACTTTGTCAATGGCACCATCATGCACCCAAATGTTCAACAGCTGATACATGACACAAATGAACATTTCGATGTTGTTATTGCCGAATGGCTTTACAGCGAGCTGTACTCGGGGTAAGATTTGATTAACAAACGTTAACAAATCCCTTTCTTTGGCTACTGGCTATTCTTAAGTTGTTATGCTGCGTTTCGATGCAGATGTGATCACAGACGGGAGTTGTTGAAGCAAATAGAGATGTTTTAGGATTAATTTTAATTTTTAGCGCTCAAACAAAATGAAACTGAGTTGTGAAGTTTTGTAAATAAATGAACAATAACTTTCGGCGCTGCAGTATGTGCTGCGAACCTGTGTCTGCTGGTTTCGCGCCCACGCGCTTTACCAACTAAGCTAAGCGGCTGATGATCTCATCATCATCATCATCATCATCATTTCAGTCTGTTCGAGTCCACTGCTGAACATAGGCCTCCCCCATATACTGCCACGAAGTACGATCCTGAGCCGTAAAAATAAATAGCAATTCTAGAATTAATAAATTTTTAATGTACTGTAATTCAAAATCGAGTGAATTATTCTGAATTTGCAATTCCATTGCAGTTTTTCGACAGTTTTCAACTGTCCACTTATTTGGTCATCTTCTTTGGAGCCGCACTCATCAGTCTTAGATCTGATTGATGACGTTCTAAATCCAGCATACAATTCGAATCATCTCTCAAATGCAGTACCACCGTTTGATTTCTGGGACCGAGTCCAGGAGCTGTGGTCGTTGGTTGACGAAAAATATTTTAAATGGTAAGTCAATTTGTATCATAAACTTATAATTTTCATCTCATATCTTCTTTGTACAAACATTTCACAGCAATCCCACATTTATATAAATATTTATAAAAAAAATGATTTTTATAAATTTAAGCAAAAAAACTTATTTAAGTTGAATCTTTCTAATCTGCAATTAATTAAATGTTTTGGTACTTAAAAGTACCTCATAAGCTTTTACTGTGTTAGGACCAAACATCAGATTCTGCACGAACGCGCAAGTTGTTCCGGGCAAGTACCACAGTTCGTCTGGTGAGTGAGGTAAATCGGGCCCACTTTTGTTAAAAGGTTGTCAATGTAAAAACAGCAAAATGCAAACCCTCATAAGTAGATGTCTATGGGCGGCGCTTAACATCAGGTGAACCGCCTGCTCACTTGAAAATATTTCATAAAACAAACCAAGCTATAGGATTAATTTCCCATTAATTACATCATGCAATTTTTTTTTTTTTTCAAACAGGAGACTTAGACACAGGGAAAACAGAATCTTTAACGCATTTGCGGTGCCCGTTGAAAAGAGAGGTCGTACACTACCACCTTTTTCTGAGGTCAAATACAACGCCTCTCTAATGCTTGGAAATTCGCATGCCGTGGTGGGAACTTCCATTCGTCTTCCTCAAAATTATATACCAATTGGAGGGTACCATATAAATGAAAATATTGAGCCATTGCCATCGGTAATATATTCAATGACTTGCCTGTATTTTATATTTGGAATGTAAATAACCTTAAGGTTATCAGGAGTGGTGGTGGACTATGTCCTAATACCCTCTGTACAGAGGAACCCTTAACCCTTAACCCCTTGAAATAGTTTCAACTAGTTCCTTAGAGATATTCATGTATTAATGATGAGAATTGATTCAGAATATACAAAATATATTGGACGACGCGCAAGACGGTGTTATTTACTTCAGCATGGGATCCATGTTAAAAAGTAGCAGAATGCCTATGGAATGGAAGAGGAATCTCGTAGATATGTTCAGTAGATTGAAGCAGAAAATACTTTGGAAATTTGAAGAAGAATTACCCGAATTGCCCAAAAACGTTCATATTGTATCCTGGGCGCCACAGCTCGCTGTTTTAGGTTCGTATAAGAATCTAATTTACATATTTTAATAATTATCCGTTTCCGAATCTTGACAGATTTTATTTGTTTAATGAGACAAGATAAGATCATTTATTTGATATCACAAGATGTCTTACAAACACTTAATATTGAACAACATGTTAAGCTAATTTATGAATAGCATGCAAAATTTTAATGATATCAACTAAATTTATTTTACTTAACTATTTATATTAACTTGAGTTTGTAATGTATTTGTAAATGTGTTTTAAAAATGTTTGTATATAAAACCATATATATACAGCGTGTCGTTACAACCGAGACAATAAATTAACACACGTCTAACGCTACTTGCCAATAATCATAAAAAATATAAACGTTAAAAATAATCCATAAAAGTAACAGCCTATGCATGTCCCACTGCTGGGCAAAGGCCTCCTCTATACAGAGGGTATCAGGGCATAGTCCACCACGCGGCCCCGCTGTGGATTGGCGGACTTGACATATCTTCGAAAAATATTTTTTTTCTTATTATTTCGAAAATATGCAGGTTTCCTCACGATGTTTTCCTTCACCGCGGAGCACGTGATAAGTCAGCACTTAAAGTTAAAAACTTCAATGGTGCCGGCACCGGGGATCGAACGCAGGTTGCTCGAGTATATTGAATTAAAGGCGAGCGCCCGGACACTGAGCTATCACGGCGCTCCATCATAAAAATCCATAATTAAAAAAAATATTTTTCAAACAAACTAATTAAATAAAAAAGAAACAAACTTTGTAACATCCTATACAACTACAACAGACTGATTCATACATTCAGAGACTTTTTCATTCATTGCCACAGCGTCGCATTACAAATCTCTCCTTCTAACAGTATGTTTTATCTCTTTTAACTTAATGCAACCAATTCATATGCATGAACCTTTACAAATGAACTTTACGTTACAGTTTTATACGTAAGGTGTTCTAAAATTGTTTGTTTTGGAAAATTTAATTAGTCTCGGTAAATATTGATGTTTAAAGAATGTAAATGTTTAATAAACTTTTTAAAAGTTATCATCTATATGTGTGTTTATTTATTGTCGCGGTTGTAACGACACGCTGTATATATATAGTTCATGGTGTTAAGACTACGTTTTAAGCTCTCTGAATAGTATCGAGCATCTCTAGGAAATTGTAAAATTTCCTCCTTTCAGCACATCCAAATTGTAAATTGTTTATCACACACGGAGGCTTATTGTCAACTCTCGAATCTGTACATTTCGGCGTTCCGATCATCGGAATACCAATGTTTGGCGATCAACATCTAAATATCAATAGAGTTGTTGATAAAGGATTTGGGAAGAGAGTAGATTTAAACAGCGAAATCACTGTTAAATTGGAGGCTGCAATTAAAGAAATTCTACACGATGATAGGTAAGTATTCTAATTTCTCTCGTTACGTTGCCCTTTTGTATTAATATTTATAATAACGATATATTTGTTTCAGGTTTCACAAAAAAGTCGAAGAATATTCATTCATTTATCACGATCGGTTGACACCACCGGGCAAAGTGCTATCACATTGGGTGTCGCATGTTATTCGTACAAACGGAGCACACTATCTACGCTCTCCGGCTTTTCTGGTGCCCTGGTACCAAAAGCTATATCTAGATTTAGCAGTTACTATTTTAATCATATTATTTGTCCTTTTAAAAGTTATATTTATGGCAATAAACAAACTTATGATATTCGGACGCAGGTTTTATAGAATTAAACAGAAAACATTATAATACTTGTTTTTTAATCTTACCTTGCATATTTATTTGAAACTAGGTTATTTTAATAATCAATATAAGAGCATCGATATTTCTGCACTTTTTGACTTTATATAAAAACTTTTTTATTAACTTGTAACAAAATTCATACACAAGTGAAGAAACGAACACTACTGAAAGAAAATACTGTATATATAGCTGTAAACTTATTTCTTCAGCATTTCCAGATAAAATATTTAGGATTTCGGTTGGCCAAATCTAATTACCTATATACGAGAGTTATCAGATTTGGTCAACACATATTTTTGCTAATTATGCACAACCGTAATTTATTCTATTCCCAACATTCGTTATTTAAATTAGTTTTTCATTACATAATATTTTCAGTAGATCACAATTAATGTAATGCTTCGACAAATAGCAATTAGTTTAACCTGATTTAAAAAGTATTCTAATCTAAATCAGATACTGCTTCAGTTAATTTTCTTCTTATGAATTTGTTTGCCGGTACGAAGTAAAGAAGTGATTTTTCTTAACAAGAATACAATCAACAACAGCAATGCTACTAAAAGGCATATAAAATCCAGGTACAGTTTATGATACCAAGCAACGGCCAACGCTGGGGAACGCAAGTGGGGAGCGCCTCTCGTCATTGCTACGTGCTCAACCCAGTGGACCATTTCAGCTTGTGGCGTAGTTGGCCGGTGGTGGTAGACGAAAGACAGCTCCTTAATTTTGTTTCGATAACTGCAAATATATGTTGCGACATGTCAATTATTAAAAGTAAAGTGACAGCCTATATATGTCCCACTGCTGGGCAAAGGTCTCCTGTATACTGAAGGTATCAGGGCATATTCCACCACGCGGCCCCACTGCGGATTGGTGGGTTTCATATATTTTATTTAATATTTTTTTTTATTTATTTCGAAAATATGCAGGTTTCCTCACGATGTTTTCCTTCACCGCGGAGCACGTGATAAGTCAGCACTTAAAATTAACAATTTCATTGGTGCTGGCATCGGGGATTGAACTCAGGTTGCTCGAGTATATTGAGTTGAAGGCGAGCGCCCAGACACAGCTATCATTGCTTCATTCAAATCACAGTGGTAGAGCGTGCAGCCAGTATTCCGGTACACGGTTTCACATAAAATTGGCGTGAAGTGTAAGCATTATACTTTCACGTTTCACTTTTCATGGTTTCCATATATAACCCGTCAGGTGTTGTGGTAATCACTTAACCCCAAGTGGAACGCCTACTCGTTTGCCTTCTTTTCATATAAAAAAATAAAAATCAAATCGCATTTGCTGATGATAGTCATTTGGAAAGGGCGCATACGGTCATTCGTAAACTCTTTTAATTATTCTCGTTAATAATAAAGTAAAGAAGATAAGAAATTGGCCTGCATTCTAGTAGTTATTTTGTGTTTAGCTTCTTTAGAAAGAAAAAAAAAAAACAACGGAGTCTGTTGGAGTCTTCAGCTTGTTTGCAATCGGATGAAATGTCTTTCAAATTTTAAAATTAACGCTACAAACCTGGGATTGATCAAAAACTCCAGTATAGCTTTCTCCAAGTCCTCGGCCATGTTATACGAGAGTTCGACTGTCAAAGCGAACCCCTTGTGAACTGCTCTCTTAATATTAAGATACTGGTCACCAAACACAGGTATCCCAATTATTGGAACGCCGAAATGGACAGCTTCAGTTGTTGAAAGGAGCCCTCCGTGAGTTATGAATAACAGGCAATTCGGATGAGCTGTTGATAATAATACTTAAAATAAATATCACTATTAATATATAAAGAAAATCATGCAAACATCTCAGGTTAGAATAATTAGAATAAGGATAAGGATAATTAGTTTTTTAAATTCAATTTTTGAGTTAGGATTTAAAGTAAGTCAACTGATAAACGATAATAAGCAAGAAAATTGTGAAACTTTTGTTAAGAGATTGATTTTTATTAAATATTTTTAAATCTTACCCAGGATACTTTGTTGCGGTGCCCACTTTAAGACGTGAACGTTCTTCGGTAATTTAGGAAAGTCTTCTTCGAATTTCCACAGCACCGTTTGTTTTAGCTTACTGAACACTTTAACGAGCCCAGTCTTTATCACATCCGGTAAATCTCGACTGTTCACGTTCGTGCCCAAGCTAAAGTAAATGACACCATTTGTAGCCTTATCCATTATCGATTGTAAGTCCTGCAATGTATATTTAAACATAAAAAATATACATTGTGAAATATATATGGCAAAATATACCCTCTGTAATGTCTGTAATCTTTTATACGGTGAATTTGCCCAAACAACATTAAAACATCATCATCATCATCCTCCTGCACTTATCCCACTTAGGTGGGGTCGGCACGACATTGGAATCATGTTGTAAGCAGTTTTGGCTACGTTTTTTTACAAAGGGCGCCTGCCTGAAGTCAAACCCTCCTTGGAAATCAAACATCCAGATTCGGAACAATTATCTGTGGGTCACACAAATACTTGTCCAGTGAGGGAATCCCAACACACCCGATACCGAAGCTATAATAAATGGCTTAGCAACGACGCCACCGAGTCTTAAGCAAGTCAAAACATAATATAATAAAATACCTTAGGTAATGGTTTCACATCGGGGTCAATGTGATAACCAGCGACGGGCTTATAGCTTTGCGGGAGGGCATTTGCTTGGCCCAATGATACATGAGAGTTACCCAGTACTAAAGATGCATTAAGCCTGATCTGGTCATACGACGGTAATTGTTTTCCTCTTTTAGCAGATGCCGGTCCGAAGACGTTTTCGTAAATTTCTACTTCCGCTGAATACATGACCCTTTAATAAAATATTATCATTTTGATGAGGTTTTTGTGACGAAGAATTAACGATGGGATCCTTAACTAAGACAGTTGCTCAAACAAAAAAGTCTTGAAAAAAATAATTATTTTGTTGAAGATGTTCTTTTGTATATAAAGCGACTTACACAATTACTAACTAACTTAATGCTTATCCCAAGGCAATAAAACACCCATCACTGACCACTAATTGCTTATATAATTTTTTTTAGATAAGGGCCAAGTGTTCAGAAAATAAAACTTTATAGAATTTAATTGAAATCTATCCAGTAACTTTCCCGTGACGCGCGCGATTATGCAGACTTCTATTATTTTATTTATAAAGATAACGTTAATTAGTTAATTATTGGCAGTAAAAGTTCTATTAAAAAGAACGAAAAGTTCCTCGCCGCTGCGGGAATAGAATCAACGTCTTTCAGACCCACACGAATCCGATAGAATGTTTGTTTTGAAATTTGAGTATTGCATCTTAAATGCAGTATAAAAAAAGCTAAGGGATTTAGTTGATTATCACAGATAAATACAGAACTTACCAATCTTTTACCAATAAAGCAATTCCTCGAATAATTAATTCCTCCACGCGTTGCTTAAACGTTAAAGGTGCAATATTGGTTGAAATGATGGAAGAGCTATACGATGGACTTGAGGTTTCACCTACTAATCTTAATATCATGAAATGTGTATCCATAGTTGAAAACCAAATAAAAGGGCAGTCAAAAACAGCTGATAATCTAAAACACATTAATAATGATGTAATAAAAAAGCACACATGCGTAATACCCATGGTAAATACGATTTTGTGTCTCAGTTCAGAGATGAGAACATGCGTTTTGCAAAAATTTCTTGCGATGGGAATGCAGATTGTACTGTTTTGCTCTACTTACGACACCGAGCTTTTTAGAGGCTAACTTGACATTCCCTTCCAGATATTACTAGTAGATATTTCTGCAAATTGATTTTTAACCATATGCTTGTTGAAGAAATTTAACGTGTTTAATTTAAACCACAAAAAAAAAATTACCTACCCCGCGTTCACTTCATTGAACATCCACTCTGTGATTATCACATCGAATTTTTGATTAACGTCGGAAAGCAATTTGGCTACTTCTTTGTTTTCCAAAGTTCCTTTACTTATGTTGGTAATTATTTCAATGAAGAGTGATGCATCCTTAACATTCACTTCTTTCTTTAATGTATGATTGATGTCAAACGTATTAGCTACAAATACATAAATATTGTACATAATACTCCCCGAACCGAGAAAAGAGCTATTAACTGCGAAAAATAATTCAGCAGTTGAAGTCATTAAAATTTGTTTAGAAGTCTGATTTCAATTGTTAGAAATAAATACAATCGAATAATCGGTACTTACGTGGAAAATATTTTTCATTATCACTTACGTCAATTTGATTAAGCAAGGGATGAGAATTATTCTTTGGGACTCCAGTTATATATGTTACCTAGTAAAAACCATGATATTTAATTGTCTTAATTATTAAATACCTACACGTTAATAAATTTTTTATATATTTAAGAAAAAAACAACATATGTGATTCAATCAGGTGAACCGCTTGCTCGCTTGGCAACTTTTCACATAAAAAAAGAAACATTACTGTTAAATGTGAAAGTATGTTTTGAAAACTGAAAATTCTTTATGACTGACATACACGCTAATACCGGGAGGATTTTTTAAGTGTATCCATTTTTTTTAAATAAACTCTAGACATAAATAATGTTACATAAAAATGATTAATATTTAAAATCACTCTTAATTAATTAATTACATTCATTTGAAGTTATCCCAAAATGTACGTGATTTATGGGCAACTCATTTGTTTTATGCGCGATCATTCATAACTAACACGCGCACAAGTTCGTTTCAAAAGTATACGTCGCATTTATGAATGACTACCGCATAGTCAACAAGTTCTGTTTTAAAGGGAATAGAATTGCAATTTAAAAAAAAATTGTGTTTATTAAACGGTTTTATTTAGCTCGACCCGTACGGAATTTGTTTGTTTATTTATTTGGGTCAAAATTAGAAATTGAAATTTAAGCACCTTGCCGTTGTCAGATTGATCTGAAATTTGGTACACTCATTTAATTTAGATGACAATACAATATTAACAAAAAAAAATTTAACAAAAAAAAAAAAAACATAAAATAAAACCGTTTAACTTAAAAGTTTTTTAAAGTAATTATTTCAATAAACAATTATACTACCGAGTCTGAACATCCTGTGTGAATTTGGGCACCTTTAGAAAAGCCATCCTGTATAGTAACAATTGTAAAGAAGAATGTTGCTTTGTTCAGTTCGACTTTATGAAGGAGCTAATATACTCACCTCATGCCCGGCTTCAATTAAAAGTTTCACTTGCGCATCGCCCAAAATACCGTGACTTCTACTCGGGAATGGAAACACCACTAAAATTTTTAACGTCGCACAAACTGGAGCGGAAACTAACAGTATATGCATCCATGGAATCACGTTCATTTCCTTAAAGAAATTCTAACGTTTTAATTTACAAAACAAAATTACAGTTTTGGTTTAATTTCATTAAAAATCACCACACTGTTGTTTTTTTTATAAATGATCAAATCATGCAAAAATACTCATCAAGTAAACACTACGAAAAAAAAGCAGTGATTAAGGATTTGAACAGTTGAGGAAATATTACGAGTAAGAATAGTATGTTACTTAAATTATCTTGCACTTCGCAAAGAATTATAATAAAATATAGAAGTAATTTAAAAAGTACAGTACTACAATTGCAATCGTGTTATTCGATCAACTAAAAATAATCGAATGTACGAATTATGTCACAAGATAAATGAAAAATGTAGTTTATCAAAAAAAAAATCCTTTATCTCTGTTCGTTATATTGATCGAGATCCGATACTTCGTGTGATTAATTGGTGAACTAAACTATACTTGTTCTTGCGGTACAGACTTGGTGAAGTTATGTATTTTTTTAGAAAATAATAATTATGCTATGGCTGCTGTCCACCGGCCTTATCAGTAAATCTTTTAGAATTAGAGATAATTCATGGCGCTAAAGTCATTTTTAATAATGTAACATAATTATAATTGTCATATTAATAATATAACTATATTGTGTACTAGTTTGATGATCTATTTCTTCATTCTCATGTATATTGGTATATTTTTTATAAAATTAATTTTTTTTATAGTGCTAATCTCTGCACTTAAGATTTGAACATTAAAATATGTATAAAAAGTACGAAAAGATTGTCACCGCTGTGGGAATCGAACCCACGTCTTTGGCATTCGCGGCCTGACGCTCTAGCCTACGAAGCTAAACGGCTGATTGCCACACTGACGAAAATCTTAACGTCTTTTATCTACATTGTTTTTTGGCATCAATTCAGCGGTTCGATTCCCACAGCGGCGACATACTTTTTGTACCTTTTCTGCAAAATTTTAATGTTCAATCTAAGTGCAGAGATTAGCACTATAAAAAATTTAATTTTATAAAAAAATTATAACTGAAAAAATTAAAAATTATAAATGGCGACATCTCTCGTTCGAATTCTAGTTCTAAAATGATATTCGAAATTGTTTCTATGCTGGAAAGTATATAACAATTAATGCGCCAAGCATTGCTTCAAATGCTAAAAAACAATTTCGGGCTTATAGAATAGGGCTAAGGTATACCCTGCCTGTCGTAAAAGGCGACTAAAAGGGGACACGGATTGGCAGCAGCTCGACGTGGTCTCGAGTTTGAACTTTTTTAATGTTAAAAAAAAAAAAGAATTCACAGGTACGTTTTCACGGCGAAATTTTTTTTCAACAAACAATACAATGAACGCATAAGTTAGTTATGCCTAACTAATAACCATTTAGTGGTAATTAACTTTTTCCGTTTACCATTACTTTTAAAGCTAGTGGATTTTTTTAAAATATGCATTTTTATTTACTCTCTGTTACTTTTTCATATGTCAAATATATTTTGACAATAATCTATGGTGATCAATATCGAAAATAATTTGATTCAGACAATTATTTTTTATTTTGTTTTTAGACAATGTTCCTTACGAATTTATTAACAAAGTTTTGTTTGCGTGAATTTGCTACATAATTAGATTTGGCTCGTACAAAAACAAATTATTTGGTGGAGAATATGACACCATTGAATGTTTCAAGCATCTTTATGTTTCTCGTGATGTTATTTTATTGTGAGACGCACAAAATTTTGGTTTTTTCTCATTTACCAATCAAGAGTCATGCGATTTTGAGCCACGTGTTGGTTAAGTTATTGCTGGAAGTAGGCCATGAGGTATTTTCTGTTTGAATAATAGGATATTATTTCTGCATGATGACATCAGCACAACATATGATTATGTTGATAATGGGTGGGTTTTTAATCGCCTGCCTAATGTTAATCCTCCTTGAGAACAAATACCCAAGTACTCACAAATACTTTTCCCATGTGGGAATTGAATCTATGACCACGACGCTGAAGACAATGCCTAAGCCTCTGCATCACCGAGTCATGTTTGAATTATACACATCAATATTTAAAATAGATCTCCAAAATCAATCTTTTAAATACTACCTTGTTAATTTTTAAAATTAAAGTATCCCGTTTTAGCCATAATGATGTAGACATAACTACTCTTAGTCCAGTGTACGAGTATGTTTATTCAAACGGTTTACTCGTTTATTTTATACTATTCTGCACATTATTTGAAGAGAAAACGTCGGTCAGTGTAGACATATTGTGAGGAAAAACTGAAAAGCTGTGGAAAAAAAAATTAATCACAGTAGTAGCCGGTTTTTTTAATGTGGAAAGTTGTGACCTAATTTTAAGTAAATCATCATAAGTAAACATCTACAACACCTAAAGGTATGCAAATGCATCTGCAACTCTACAGGTGTTTCAAATGTCCATGGGTGGCAGTTATCACTTAACATCAGGTGACCCGCCAGCTCCCTTGCCACCTTCTCATATGAAAAAAATGCGTTGACAATCTTTAAAAAAGTGGACTCCGGTGTTCTTACTCAAACGCAGAAGTATGTATATATAACACTTCCACTAGACGCAGGTCTTCTGTGAGGTCGTGGTTATTCCCCGGATGGACCTGTCCATTCGTGCAACAGCGGAGACTGTTCAGTAGCCCTATCACAGTGTGTCAGTAAACGGAAGATCGTTCTTGTACCATATTAGTAAATTATTTAATTAAAGTTATGTAAGAGCGCTCCCTTATTTTGTGTTTATTAATTTTTTGCAAAGTGAAATTTTCTCTAGACAATAACTTTTGGTGGCGGCTTTATATTGTTCTGAACAAAAAAAATCTTGTTGATTTGTATTTTTAGATCACACAAATTACGATGATTCCAATCAACAGAACCCATCCAAGTCTTCGACAAATTGACGTCAGTTATAATGAAAAATATTTTCGTGGTATGTCATTGAATATTAACATTTTCATGATAAAATGAGATTAATTAATATTAATAATAATTAATGAGATTAATTAATGAATAATTATAATAATAATGACCAGGCTACATTACAGCTCCACGGCATGACGGAAAACATGCTAAGCCGTTAAGAAATTAAAAAAAAAATAATTTTATATCCTTAAATACGACAAAATGTTTTGATGTCTATTAAAACATAAGATAATACTTTGTTTTAGTAAAAGCACATATTTTTAGTAAAAATGAGAAAACTAATTCTTAGGTCCATGTTCAATATTAAAAGCTTACTGTTACAACAAACAGACAAAAGAACATAGCACATGATCTACTCTTGTGAATGCTGTGCTGTTTGCATTTACGAGTATCAAGTATCTTTAATAATTATAAATTCTTATCACGAGTTTACATACTTTTGACAGATAATAATTTACATTATTACGCTGATATTTCAAAGAAAATTTTTACTTCAACATTGCTACACAAAGATGTAGAGGTCCTGCTTAGGGATACGACACAAAAATTCGACTTGGTCATTGCCGAGTGGATGTTTAATGATTTGTGTATTGGGTAAGTGTTTTTAACTAAATGCTTAATAAAATAGTTTTAATTGAAGTGTTATGTTTTCTCAGTGACTACTAACAGATATAAGTCTTATCCCAGATTAGCGGCCCTGTATGACTGTCCATTAATTTGGTTCTCTGCAATAGAATCCTATTGGAAAATTCTTCAGCTCATCGAGGAGACTACGAACCAAGCTGATACCCCCTTAGACATAACAAAAAGTGTCCAGCCTTATGCCGCCCTTAATTTGATGAGAGAAGCGTAAGTTTCTTAAAAATTAAGTGAATACCTAATATTTGTGAAATAAATCTAGTTTTCAGGGTCAAATATGACTAATTCCTAAAGTTTTGAACATTTGGTAGAATTCGTCATCAAAAACAGTGCCGCTTATTGTTAGTTTGTACACTATGCAAAATTTAGTGATCATCTCGCTTTTAAACACAAAGTTTCGTTTAAGTAAAGTAGTTGAAAAGTGTAAATAATATTCAAGTACCATAATTTAACCGTTCCATAGTAAAGTAGTAATTTAACTGTCTGTATAAGTCCCACTGCTGGGAAAAGGTCCTCTGTACAGAGGGTTTTAGGGCCTAATCCACCAGGCGACCACACTGCGGAATGGTGGACTTGACATCTTCGAAATGGTGAGAACATACTTATGCGATATTTTCATCATTAAATAAATATCTTTGGCGAGTATAAATATATATGTCTTATTAACTAAGTTTTTGCAGGCATTTGGACAGTTTGGATAAGAAAGCTTTTCGTGAAATATTTGGGCCGTTGATGGTCCTAAGGGGTAAACCACTGCCTTCTTACGTTGATCTACTGTATCTATGTTCCATGGTGTTTGTTTATTCACCTGTATTAATTGGGGACTCTTCGAAATGGCCACAAAACTTCAAACCTATTGGTGGATACCATATAGCTCGAAGAGTGAAGCCATTACAAAAGGTATTAATGGTCAAACAGTAACTTATGTAGCATGAATATTGTAGGTACACTTTATTATGCAAATTTCTAATATTAATTTTGTTGCACATGCTGCTATTGCCTCCCTTTTACTAAAAGTGGCGTATACTCAAGGTATTTAATATTTCTATAAATTTTAATGATCCGTGTTGAATCGAAACAAAGTGATTCGTTAAAAAAGTATTTTTTTAAATGACATGGCATAATTATCATTACGATAATGCCAATATATTATAATAATGCCAATTAATCTTAATGACTTGTAATATTTTAATACTTATTTACAATAGCAAAATGACTGATTCAAGTACCCAGGCTAAATAAAGAAGTTTCCTAAGTCGTGATAATTACGTATTACGTTAAAACTAGTTTTATTGGATCAATAATTCGCCATATAAGTAATACAGAGTGTTAATGTATTTTATACAGGATTTGAAAAGTATCATGGACAACGCAAAGCATGGCGTGATATACTTTAGTTTAGGATCACATTTGAATAGTAAAGATTTACCGGCGGAATTGAAAGGGAAACTGATTGAAATGTTTTCTGGGCTAAAGCAGACAATCCTTTGGAAGTATGAATCGGAATTCTCCCATCTACCAAGCAATGTCCATGTTATGAAATGGGCACCGCAACAGAGTATATTATGCAAGTAAAACAGTATATTATACTGCCTAAATTAAAATCCAAGAAAGTAACGGATTCATGATCAGAAACAAGTACAATAATTAAACGAACGTAATTAATACTCCATCTCCCGTCCATCCCGTGTCGGAATAGACGAGTTCCCAAATGGAGACTCGTCTCGACAAATGGTGTGTGGGACGGACCCTTACCGGGTGGACCGAGAAAGGTTGCTGGTAGTGGCTGGATGAGGAAAGCGGAAGATCGTACTCCTTGGCGTACTCTTGGGGAGGCATATGTTCAGCAATAGACTTATTGATCGATTGAATTATTCATCATCATCATCATCATCATCATATCAGCCGTAGGACGTCCACTGCTGAACATAGGCCTCCCCCATTGACTCCCACTTCGACCGGTCGTTAGCGGCCTCCATCCAACGCCTCCCTGCGATCTTGGCTAGGTCGTCCGTCCACTAAATTGATTTATTACTAAAACATAATCATATCAGAGTTATGTACAATACTAAACTGATATAAAACCTTGTATTGATTGTAATTATGTTACAGCTCATCCAAACTGCCTCCTTTTCATCACGCAAGGTGGAGTACTTTCGATGACCGAAGCGATATACTATGGAATCCCTGTCGTCGGAGTACCAATTTTTGGTGACCAGTTCACTAACACCCAGAGAGCTGTTGAGAATGGTTTCGCAATTAAAGTAGAACTAACCAACGCAATGGTGGAACAAATAAAAGATGCGATTGAAGAAATGCTTCGCAACTCTAGGTAATTTCAATTATTATATTTTGAAGATGTGGTGGGTTAGTAAGTTTAATAGTTAAGTTATTAATATGAATTCAATGATAAATATTAATATCCCAGATTCGACGCTACGAACTCTTGGATTGGAATAATTACGCTGCCAAATGTGTAACAACATCTTTGTTTCAGTTATCGGAAGAAAGTAAAAGAGTACTCATCCATATACCACAACCGGCCTATGCCACCAAGCGTCGAAGTAGTGCACTGGGTGAATCACGCAATTCGTAAAGGCGTGTCTCATCCTAATGCAAATTCATCTCATGAAATGCCTTATATAAAAATTGCTGTATTTGTTGTAATAGTTACAACAATCATTAAAATTTATGCTACGGTGGCGTACAACTGTAACAAGGGGTAACAGTAAGAATTATTGATACAAAATTTTCAATTAGCGACTATCGAACGAAAAACATGAGCCGTGATAGCTCTGTGTCCGGGCGCTCGCCTTAATTCAATATACTCGAGCAACCTGAGTTCGATCCCCGGTGCCGGCACCAATGAAGTTTTTAACTTTAAGTGCTGACTTATCACGTGCTCCGCGGTGAAGGAAAACATCGTGAGGAAACCTGCATATTTTCGAAATAATAACAAAAAAAAATATTTTTCGAAGATATGTGAAGTCCGCCAATCCGCAGTGGGGCCGCGTGGTGGACTATGCCCTGATACCCTCTGTACAGAGGAGGCCTTTGCCCAGCAGTGGGACATGTATAGGCTGTTACTTTACTTTACTTTTACGAAAAATGCTTTGTATTTTTATAAGAATCCTAGTTAAAATTCTGACAGCGGCGAAACATATTACTACAGCTTTATCTACACACATTTAAATGCAGCGATAAAAAAAAATGTTAACAGTTAACTTGAACAGTATAGGCGATTTAGTTAGTTTTAAAATATTCATTGTAAAAATAAAATTGGAGAAAGTGTGATGACTAGAAATCACATTAGATAACGCCTAGCATTGCTACAGATGCAATATTATATTCTTGCGGTTAGGATGTCGACCCCTTAGCTTAGTAGCTAAAGCGTCTGGGTGGGTAATTCGGAAGGCGTGGGTTCGAAGCCTGGCAGTGGTGAACAATTTTGCGGTAGGTTTTTCTACGCATTTTCGCATTTTTAAGAAGAGTCCATTGAAAAATCATAGTCGTTATATAATTAATTCCTTCCAGACTTAAAAAGGAAACAAAACTTACGTATGTATGATATAAAAAGAAAGATACTTTGAACAAATTCGCCATTAAGATTTGTTTTTTTTTATTTATTTTATACATATTATAGTCTTCATTATTTACGGCGATGATGAATTTGAAGTAGATATAGAAATGTCATTACTTATTCTCTTTAGAGAATGTGACACTTTTGGCAGTGACAATATTAAAGTCATATGACCAATAATATTCAGTCGTTTAAATTTAACTTTAATATTTTATTTTCCGATAAATAACTAAATATTTCGATAGTTACGTAAACGTTATAATCAATTTATTTTTATTAATTTTAGAAACATGAATTCCTTAGTATACTTATTAATTTCATTTATTTTGTTAGTTAAGTCTCCTATGTGTAACTTCTATAAAGTTTTGGTTGTTTCACCGTTGCCAATTAAGAGCCATGCCATATTGAATCACGCTTTGGTTAAAATACTGTTAGAAGAAGGCTACGAGGTGCACAACTTACCATCACACTAAAATTAATGTGAATGATGTTTTTTAGAATTGTTCCGCTTTAAATTATATGACATATATGTGAATTTGACAGATGATAAAGAACGTATGATACGGAGAGAGACAGGTGTCTATAGAATTGCAATTTGATTACAATTGGTGTAATTTGAGTGCCTCAATTTCGGTGCGCATGGTCATATCTACCTCGTATTTCTATATAATATTATTTTTTTTTGGTTCCCACTTCACACAAAGCAAAAATACTCCAATGAATTTAAAAGTTGATATAGAAAACGATCTGTTTTGTCATAGAATAATTTTTGTTTCTTAAAACTTAATTAACTAAAAAATAACAATGCAGGTAAACTTTAGTATAAAATAATTTCCGAGTTCATCACTAGTTTCGATAATCATTTCATTGAGTTCCGATTTAATACAATGTATATACGACTAATTTGTTTTATAAACGATTTGGATCTGTATATCTCAGCTAAATACTTCTGATAGAATAGATTTTATGTACCTAATTGTAGATAAAATTTTTGTAAATGAGGCTATTAAAAGCTTTTTATTACAAATATAATTTATGAATGTTAAAATTTGTAGAAAAAAGGAACGAAAAGTTTCTCGCCGCTGCTGTGGGCATCGAATTTTCGTTTCTTTTTTCTACAAATTTTAATGTTCAATCTTAAGTATAGAGATTAGCACTAAAATTTTTAATTCTAATTTATAAATGTGTTTATTCATCAAAAGTGATATTTTGATGGTATAAGGATCATTTGGTGTTAATCCACATATTATAATCTAGCAACAGTTTCAAATGCTGTTTAAATCTAATCAAAACCGTAATACTAACATTGTTAAAACTTCTTGTTCGATAATGTTATGATATTTTAGGTAACGTACGTCACCGTGATTCGCTGTAAAAAATTTCATCCGAATCTTAAACAAATCGACCTTAGTTCTAACGGAATTCCTGGTAAGAATCGTATATTCCTTCGTGTGCCTTAATTGTTTTATGTTTTATGTAAACCAAAATATTGAGTAGCGATAATCCTTATTAATAGTTGAAGTCAATGATTACAGAAATACTTATCAATGTCTGTATCAAAATTACCCGCATTGTAACTGATCAGTTTTTCTTTTCTATAATTATAATGCAAACCATTTCAGCGGAAACACTAATGTCAAGTGCAAATGCGGGCGAAAATAATAAGGAACGTTTAGCTGGATTCGTTACGGATATGTTTAGCGTATTGCTACAGCACAAATCTACGCATAGGTTACTGTCGGACATAAGGCAGACATTCGACTTAATTATTTCCGAGTGGTTCTTCAATGACATATTTACTGGGTGAGTTTCATTATTTTCAGGGAGAGAACAGTTTCCTCTTCTTTCTTCTTTCCGCTATCTTGCACTGATTTGTAATAATCTTATTACCAAACACAAACGCAACGTAACTTATTTTAAAATGTCTTTGATTTTATCCTTGACAAGTATACAATCAAAGCGTAAAGTGCGGTATGCAATTGGTTTTGAGCCACAATATTAAAATCATTCATGTCGACTTTTCATGTTATTAGGAACTGCTCCACTTGAATACTACCTGATATTAAGCTATAATGTAGCAGGTAGCTGCGAAAGTTTGGTGATACAGGATAGTTTCCGCCAATTCTATAAAGATCTAGTCCGATGATGTAGAGAAAGAAATGATTTTGTTTCAGATTGGCAGCGCTGTACGATTGTCCGTTCATTTGGTTTGCTTCAACGGAGCACCATTGGACGATGCATCGGTTAATTGGAAATAATCACGTCTCAACCTCACTAGGGAAAAACATGTCAGTAGTAAAATTTTATATCATGCCGAACTGAAGTTTCGGATAGGGCCAAACTTTTTGTTGGGACAAAAAGATGTTTTAACTGTACAGAGGAGCAAAAGAGAAGAGCGGGAAGTGTTATAGCTTATAGGATTAAAAGAAAATTATAAACATATATCTTACAGGATGAACTTATTTTAATATATAATAGTAACGTAAGGTAAAACATAAAATTATGGTCTGGGATGACCAGTAGTAGCTGATTTCAGCATTTATTTGTTTTACAAATCCATCATACCCATAACCTGTTTACCAGTTTTAAATTTATTTTTACAGTAAGCAGGCCTAGTATCCAGTTTTATATTTATTTTACAATTTTGTTTTCTCAGTCACGAAAGGGCAGCGTTTACAAAAATATTCGAGCCGTTGATGGTAATAAGGGGAAAACAGTTAGGTTCATACGACCAGTTGCGTTCAATTGCTTCCTTAGTGTTGGTGAATTCGCACGTGAATCCAGGTGAAGCAGCGGGCTGGCCGAAGAAATTTATACCAATCGCCGGATACCACATTAACAAAAACCCGAAACCACTACCAAAAGTAAATATTTTAAAAAGTCTTAACTAAGTGATACCTGTAATATTCTGGATCTCAAGTGTCTCTGCATGATACTTGCCGATCATTTGATATATGAAATTATTTCTATCGAAAAAATTTAAATTAATTAGAGATTTTAAGTATTGTGAAACACTTTTTGAAAAATAGTACAAAAAGGCCGTAGTGGTTTTTGCCTTCGCGATCTGGTAGTAATATGAACATTGGATGTAAATAAAGCAACTTCCATCTTTAAACATTTCCAATGGAAATTTTCAATTTAATATGACTCCTTTTTTCAACTGACTTAAAAAAAGGACGAGGTTGTCAATTCAACTGCATTTTGTTCAACTATATTTTTTTATGTTTGTTACCTCAGAACTTTCTAGTGAGAGAATCGATTTAGATGATTATTTTTTTTATTTGATTTTTTTTGTATTAATTTCAGTAGTATTGGATCTTGGGCTACGGAGATACTTAGGGAACTCCTGCAAATCAATTATGAAATGAATACAGAGCGAGATATTTGAAGTCGGTTTTGATACATTACAGGATTTGAAAAGTGTAATGGATAACGCAAAGTTGGGTGTCATATACTTCAGCATGGGGACTTCCATGGTCGGCCAAGACATTGCGGACGAATTGAAGCTGGACCTCGTGGATATGTTCAGTCGGCTTAAGCAAACCGTCATTTGGAAGCTCGATTCTGAATTTCTTTACTTGCCTAGTAACGTGCACATCCTGGAATGGACGCCCCAACGGAGTGTTTTGTGTGAGTTTAACAATTTATGCACGGTCACGTAGGTATCGTGGCATTGTGATTTTGCCACTTCATTTTGCTGCTCCTATCGGGTTCACTATCACAGTGGATGACCAGGCCCCGACCGATCGTTCATGAACCGAGTCTCCCATTTCAGTCGCCTGTTACGACAGGCATGGTACATTGGGGCATACAGCCCTAATCTATCAATTAACCGTTCAAATGTGAATAGTCTCCATTGGAATCAGGCACAAAACGTACGGACTTCATTATTTGGATTTATTATTTTCAGTTTTTTTATTGCAATGTTATTGTCTTCAAGTCTAATACATATCATTATTGAGCGATAAATTTATCATTTAAGACTGCATAATTCCAGGTGCGTTAACAACCTTTTGAAAATTGAGCTCCGGCCACCTCACTCAACAGACGAAACGCGAAAGTATTATACTTCCACTTTACGCCGGTCTCCTGTGAGGTCATGGTACTTACCCGGACGAGCCTGCCCATTCGTGCAACAGCCGAGACTGCTGCGTGGCCCTACCACCGTCCGCAGATTACTAAGCCCCTAAGCCACGACAAGGAGGCGTTTGTGATTAAACCCGTATATCAGAGATAAATAAATAAATCTTAGATGATTGAAGTTTGTCAAGTCGTGCAGTGCAGTCGCGTGGTCGTTCAGATCACTGCCACATACCCACGGAGAAGGCCTTTTCACTGCATTGAGTGGTTTATCACAAAGGCTGTTACTCTACTCTGCATAGATAATGTTCCACGGAGAACTGTTACCTCTAAAACTAAACACCTAACACAAGTTAAAATATCATCACTTCAGCTTATTTGAGTCCTCTGCTGACCATAGGCCTACCCCACAGCATTATGAGAGGGATTTTGCAGTAGTTGTCACGCCTAGCAAGCGGGTTGGCAACCGCAGTCCCTCCAGACACCTCGCACCGTTAAAGCTGTTGCCCGTTATTGGCCTGGATGTTTAGGGTCTGGACAGTCGAGATGGTTATCCCGCCATCTATCGGAGGCCACCAGATGTTTGTGGCTTGTCCCTTAGGGTGGATTCAACCAAACTTAAATTTGTACACGAGTTTACGATATAGCTATACCAGGAATAATCTATTCCATGATTTTAATCTCGAGTAAATCCATAGTTGTTTCTCCACGTAATCGCTAGTATACTTGCGCTCGGAATAACAATACGCGAATAGCAGAGTGTATGGTGAATGAAAATAAAACCCGGCAAATAAATGTTGTTCTACAACGGGATAGTGTAAGAGCATACGGCGGTATTGTAATAATTCCCGAATAGGCCCACTATTCTTAGAATTGTAGATGGTAAAACGTAAAATTGATTTACTCTCGATTAACTGACGATTTATTATAAGATTAAGATTTACTCTTGTATGGTCGAATCCACCCTTAGTCGCCTCTCACGATTAAGAGATGGGGTGGCTTATTCTTACGCCGTCACCACAGGGCAAGTTAAAATACAATTTAAACAATTACAGCGCATCCTAATTGCATACTGTTCATTACGCACGGTGGAGTACTGTCTAAAATCGAGGCCATACACTTCGGAGTGCCAATGATCGGTATACCAATATTTGGCGATCAATTCACGAACATTGAAAGCGCCGTTGCAAGGGGCATTGCAATGAAAGTGAACGTTTCTTACTCAATGGCGGACGACATTGAGCAAGCTATACTGGAAATGCTAAGAAAACCCAGGTACATCGAAAACTTGCCATATTAATATTATAAAATCGAAAGCTTGTGCGTGATTGTGTGCGATCGCGTTTGTGTTTGTGAATTCTTCGTTAATTTGCAATGGTCAACAAACAGTTCAGAGGCTTGAATGAACTTTAGGAATAAGATAGCCTACACGCTATAATTATTACATGTTTTATTATTGATAATAGGAATAATTTGAAAAAAAAAAAAAGACTTCAGTTGGTAATTTCCTCGGGTTTAATATAAGATACTTTTTAGTTAAAATTAGCACGAGCCTATTAAATTTTGGAAAAAATTCAATTCATTTTATAGTTTGCTCTAATCTACTTTTAAGACATGGGTCGTCTCAAAGCCTTAAGAATGATACGATTTACATATACTGACCTAACCTTAGTTTAATTTTAGTTTTCATCAGATATACATTCTTTAAAATAAGATTGGCAAATCTAAGCGTTTACCTATTTTAATGTTCCAAGCTCTTATTTTTCTTTTCTAATTTCCGTTGATGCTGCTACATAATTAATTACAATAAAAAATTAAGTGCAATGCTTAAATTAAAACCATCTTCTTTAATGTTTACAGTTATCGCCAAAAAGTAAAACAATTGTCACTAACTTATCGTAACCGTGCAACCACACCTAGAGAGGATTTGATCTACTGGATAAATTCCACAATTCGTTCAAGTACCCGTTATCATAAGGAATCTGTGATTAATATCGGCATGACATATCTAGATCTATTTTTTACAATAGCAATTTTGATTCTAGTGGCATATGTGATTAGACGTTCTTTTTCGACATTGTTAAAAAGAAAACAAAAGGACGAGTAGTCAATAATTGATAGCTTGATCTGAGTAACAATTAATGATATTTATTCTCTATTTGGATTTACTATTAAAGCATATTTTATTCTTTTTTTTTCGTTTTATTAGTCATGAAATTTTATTCCAGTCCTGGAGACAGTGTGGCGCTCTTAATAAATTTTGAAATAACTATAGCAAACACTGTCTCAACCTTAAATCCTCAATTACATTTACACTAGTTTATACCTGGTGTACAGCGTAGCTTATATATTAAACTTATTCTCTCTTCTAAATAACTAAATCTTAATACATAATCCTATATACAAACAAACAAAACAAATATGCCATATGACATATAAATGTAAAGTGTTATTAATGATTCGTTACTTCTTCTTTCTCCTGCCCTTATATCACCTAGGTGGTGTCGTAACAACATGTGAATCATGTTATTAATGGTTTTGGCTAGATTTTTTTATCACTGTCTGTCTGATATCTACGTTCCTTGGGAAAAACACTTACACCCGGAATATTTATCTGTAAGTCACGCGAATAGTTGTCTCGTGTGGGTATTGAACCCACGACCCTTGATAGGTTCTCGACAGGGATGCCGAAAAAATTTCGATATATTGATGTTTTTTATTAAATTTGGAAATGACGCTTGCTCTGCACTTGCAACAAAAAGAACAAGACCGCAGAGTTTCTTGCCGGTTCTTCTCGGTGCAGGTCTAGTTTAGTGAACCGGTGGTAGATTTTTGTTGACGTTCAATAAGAGCTTAAGTTAGGCCTATATTGAATAAATATACTTTGACTTTGACTTTGAAATATATCGATATTTTTAGCCGATATATTTTGATCCGATATATCGATATAAAATATTGAAAATCGAAATCGTATCAAAAACGATATTTTTTGCGAATTCGAGTCCGGGACAGAGTCCGTATATTCAAATATTTAACAAAAGGTTTTTTTTGGACGACAGGGCCCAAAGAAGAAAATATCGATGTATCGAGGCCGATAGTGATATTTTTACAAATAACTAAAATATATGTAAGTTCTCGCTAAGCTAGAATCACGAAATGTGGCAAAAAAAAGGACTTACAGCACAAATAAAGGACAACGTAGTTATAAAGCTGATTCGCAGTCGTGTCTAATGGAATATAATATGAGGGTGTTAACTAATATGTTGAGTTTAATAAAATTGGATAAAGAAAGTTAAAAAAAAAAACGGTTTAAGAATTTTAATAGTCGTATTTAACAATTTTCTCCAGGAAGAAAAAAATGTTCACCCATTGCTTCTCAGATCACATACTGCGGTTTATTCCTTACATAGTATAAAACAAAGTCGCTTCCTTTGTTTGTACGCTAAGATCTTTTAAACTACGCGACATATTTTAATACAATTTTCAGCAATAGATAGAGTGATTCAAGAGGAATTATATGCATTGCACCCGTGTAAAGCTATCGGTCGCTAATTATAAATAATTTCATTTTATCAAACATCTTTGAGACCTTCGATTTTCCTTTTACCGTATACATGCATGTGTGAGTTAAAATGTATATAACGAGAGGGAGGAAAATTATCAACGCTAATAGATCCAAGAATATCTTCTGATAACAGGGCACACGAAGTGCTGGTGAACGGTAATGTAGCGCTCCTTTGGTAAGTACCGTGTGTTCAACCCAATGTACCAATTCTTTTCCGGGCGATATTTGTCGATGGTGATAAACATATGATAATTCTTTAATCCGTTGACGATATCTACAAATAATAAAACCGTTTAAAAACTTTTAAGTTAAACGGTTTTATTTTATGTTTTTTTTTTGTTAATTTTTTTTTGTTAATATTGTATTGTCATCTAAATTAAAATGTGTGTACCAAACTTCAGATCAATCTGACAACGGCAAGGTGCTTAAATTTCAATTTCTAATTTTGACCCAAACAAACAAATTCCGTACGGGTCGAGCTAAATAAAACCGTTTAATAAAAATATCATAAAATCCCTCTTTAGTGTGTCAGAGAGTTTTGTTTTTAATATTAACAATAACAAAGCAATATATACTTACTCCGAATTGTTCAGAATGCCCTGAATAGCACTTTCCAACTTTATAATGAAATTTTCTGTCAGCTCAACCTTCATTGCAATGCCAGTTTTGACTGACTGTCCTACATTAAAATGTTGATCAAAATACCGGAATTTTCCAATAAAAGGGACTCCAAAATGTACGGCTTCAGTGACAGACAGCATGCCCCCGTGAGTAATAAATAATATGCAATTAGGATGAGCTAAAATAAAAAAGGGTTTTGTTAGATATTCATATTGTTACGAACTAGGCATCGGATTGAAACGCCGATCGTTTAAATCTTAAGATTATCTTCACCGAAAATGGCGGAAAATTGGAAATTGCTAGCAATCGACAATAACAATTGCATATAGCGCCATCTCGTAAGATTTAAGGTTACTCTTACTATTGAATGTTAGTTTATTGGTACTTCAAAACTTGGTGAGATGGCGCTATATGATCTAATAAGAACGTAAGGATAATACTAAAATAAGAGAATAAGGATATATAAGAATACCCTAGGTACCGAGTAGTAACAACTGCAATTATACATAAAAACAAGGTTGCCAGTTACTTAATGTTACGTGTGCCATATTTTATGAACATTATTTTGTTTTTATTTTAATCCTCGATGCTGTAGGTCTGGTGAACCCTCTGTTAACAAAATACTTATCCGAGTAAAATCAACTAAAACAATCTATTATTTCCTGAAGTTGTCTGTGGTAAATGTGAATATTTTCAATTATTATGCATATTATGTTTACTTACCAAGTATGCTTTGTTGTGGAGCCCATTGCAATAGGTGCACGTTTTTAGGTCTAGTTGACAACTCTCCTTCGAACTTCCATAAAACAGTCTGTTTTAGGTTGCCAAATAAATTTAACAAGCTGTCTATCACGTCGTCAGCGAAATTTTGCTTTTTAAATTAGATCCCAAGCTAAAGTATATAACTCCATATTTCGCATCGTCTAATATTTTTTTCAAATACTGAAAAAAGTCAAAAATCAATTTGTCAATTAGAAAATAATGTTTACCGGCGTTCATTAATTTATTTATTTACTAAATACAGAGATGGGTACAAAACGTTGTTACATAAAATACGATTTTTATGCAGTTCCTAAGTCGTATATACCTGACAGAATATTTTAATTACTGTTCATCATAAATTTGCAGGTTTAGAAAATCTAGGGCTTTGCTCTGAACTTGGCCCCGGTAAATAATATCCTTCTTAGAGTGCTGCTCTTTAAGGAAATTTCTTGCAAATGCTTCCCAAACGTTATAAAATAATTTATGTTAATTGAAAGAAAATATAACTAAATTAAAGATTACTGTTAACCCTAACAGTAATCCTTCATTTACTTCGTAAGAGACTTAACTACCTCATCAAGATACCGTCTTGTACCTATGAATGTATTCAAGAATTTACAACACTGGTGTTGTTGCGAATAGTAATACAACAGGTACGTCCGGCGAAGTACCACGGTCTGACAGAAGACGTGCGTGAAGTGGAAGTATTAGACTTTCGCGTTTCGTCTGGTGAGTGAGGTCCCCTTTTTCAAAGTGTCAGTCAACGCATCTGCAAATCATCGGATGTTATACATGTTGATGGGTGGCTGTATTCAATTTACATCAAGTGAACTGCCTGGTCCCTTGACAACTTTTTATATAAAAAATATTAAGATTCTCAAATAGAAAGAGGGGAAAAAAATACTTTATAATTTATTTAGTAGAAACTTGGAACGCTTATTTGAAAAACTATTCTGGATTTAATATGACTAAACCATTTTAAATTATTAGAGGAAGGGAGCTCCATTCGATAGTAACTCCAAATGGGAAAAATTTTAAACAATCAAAAAATTAATAATTAACTCTACACCTAAGCAAATATTGAGTGCTTTCGGTTATTCTGATAAACCTGGTACTATTATAACGCTCATAAAGGCTAAATAAATTTCGTTACTATTTCGCATTGTAGCTTTATGTAAAAAAACTGTAAGCCGGTTACAAAAAAAATATTTCCATTTCCAAACATTTCCGAATGCACTTAAGAAGAACGAATATGCAAAATAAAGAGGGCCCTACGACGACCATACGACGACCTACGACCATATCTAATCTGCTTGTAGTCTAAACGCCCGATCGAAAATCGCTAAAAAAATGTATGTTACCTTATGAATATAGCGTGCCTGTGAGGCAATAAATTGTGTTAAGACTGGTGTACCTTCGGCAAAGATTTGATGTCTTGTTGAATGTGATATCCTGCAATTGGTATATAATTCTGCGGTAGTGTCACAGCTTGACCTAGAGATACATGTGAGTTGCCAAATATGAAAGACGCGTTATACCGAAGCTCTTCGTATGGGGGTAAAGATCTACCTCGTTTCTCTACAATTGGTGTGAAAAATTCCTCGTAAGTTCTTTTCTCTAAGTTCTCATAAAATCTGTAATAAAACACGCAAGTAGAAAATTTATACTTTGTTCGAAAGATTGCAAGGCTAACATTATGTGAAGCCACCTAAGTAATAAACATAACATTGTCACTAAAAGTTATGTGTTTCCTTTTATTTCGCATTTCATTCTACAACATAGTATTGTACTGATCCTATTTTAAATGATTGGTTTCTAACAAAAATCAAATTTCAATTTCATAATTCGAAATGTTAATGCTAAATGTAGCGAAAATTATACTGTTTTGTTATAAAAAGATAGTGAATTCCACTTACAGTAAATGATTTAGGTTATACATTATTTTGAACCAAAGTGAATATGCACGTTGCCAAAAGTTGAATGGCGGAATATCACCAACTTGTATATTGGCGGTGTACGCTGGGTTTGCTGTTTCACCAACTAGACCAAGGCTCACGAAGTTTGTTTCGTACGGAAAAGACCAAATATAGGGACAGTTAAATACTGCCGAGAATCTGAAAGACACGGAAATGTAACAAATATTTTCGGTCATTAAATTCTTAACGGATCGGCATATGCTCGTGATTACCCGCAGTAAATATCATTAAGCATCCATTCCGCGATGACTACGTCAAACTTTTCAGAGGGATCATTAAGTAGTCTCTGTACGTCTATGTTTTCCAATGTCTTCTTTGTAATATTTATGCACAATTGGAAATGACGGTCTTGATCCATTTCTAATTCGTGTTTCATTAACGCCGTTATATTTAGTGATTGAGCTATAACAAAACTTGCTTGTTTTCTTTAACAGTATTGATATATAAAACAGTATATTTTGTACTTTGTACCGTTAAAAAATTACAATATTGAATTATAAAAGCGAACTCCATAACTTCTATGGTAGAATTTGTCCTATATTTACAAAACCATAACATTAATTATTTTTATAAAGTTATTTGTGATGAAGCAGTATTTTTTCCAGTTTTAAATTGTTAATCAGCAATTAGACTGAGATTTTACAGATTCATGATTGAGAATGGGAAGACATCTGTCATTTACTCTCTTCAAAAGATTGGTAAAAGCTAAATTAAATCTCTCCTAAAATTTGAAAAAGTTCAAAATGCTTCAGGAAATTAACACTGTTAAAATTTATAAGACCTGAAGCTCGATAGATGGGTAAAAGCTGAAATATCTCCTGCAAAGACCAAAATGCTTAATTAAAAAAGTTCATATTAGATGAGTGCTCAAATTGGCCTATTCAATTAATGCGAATACATACCATTTATAGCATTAACGTTATCAGCGACGCTTATCTGTCGAAGATTTTGATTCGAGTTTTCTTGAACAAACGGTGTTATATAGGTTACCTGCAGAAGAAACTGAAGCTACAGGCTACACTAATTTTAATGACACAGATTTCCGATGAAGAAGTTTATTTATAATTATTCTACATGTTTCAAATATAAGCTTTTTTTTAATTTATCAGGTCACATTTCTTATATGACCGATTAAAGCGCTTGAAAACAATTTAGTAGATCCTGAGAGGATATTTTGTTGGCTTCGAAGGAGATAACAAGACTTGGTACTATATTTCAAGAAAAAGGACACTAAAAGATTAACATTGGTAGTTTAATACATAGGCACATAGATTCTTAATTTGTAACTAATTATGGATTCTTCAAAAAGGAGCTTGAAAGCCGTCTCGGTACTCGTAGCTCACTCAGCTTATATTAAAGAAAGTTACGCAAACTTGAAAAGATTTGTGTAAAAAGTAAAATACAAAGAACGCAGATGGTTAATTTGCGGTGGCTCAAAAATCGTCCTACGTTATATTTGGGAATGTGATAGTTCAGTAAGAAAATTACCTTCCTAAAATTTGAATGGCGAATTAGAACGACGGGAACAAAATTACTGGATCATGTATAATGTTTATAGCGAAGGTATGGTGGTTTAACGTAATTACATTCAAGTTATAACAGAAATAAAAAAAACCCACAGAGAAAAAAAATCTATGATCTATAGAGAAGAGTAAGATTAAACTCGTCAGATGAAGCTTTAATAGTCTCGGGACTGAAAGCAAAAACTTCAGTTAATACAAGATTAAACTTCATGAAGATTTATTAGACATACGGTACATATGTGTTCTAAAATATACATTTACCTTATGGCCGGCTTTCAAGAGCTCTCTCACGTATCCGTCGCCTAGATTTCTATGACTTCCAGCAGGAATTGGAAATACAACTAGGATCCTATAACCTTTGCTTATCGTTAAAAGTTCTAATATACACAAACAGTAAAATTATGGGTCTTTGTACGCCCATCGCTATAAATTAAAAGAATTGCCTTATTTTTATGAAATTGATCCTTCAACAATCTTTCTTCAAAAATCTTCAATCTTTGGAAGTCGTGAGTTTTTTATTATGTTAGCGATTACGAGCAGTATTATGAATCGCTAATATAATAAATAGATATCAGGGAATATAAAATTGTTGCTATTTCGATTTTCCATGCAATTTCCCATAATTTATTTTCGTTTAAACCTTCCCTGGACTGTCGCAATAATTTAAAACCAAAATTAGCCAAATCGGTCCAGCCGTTCTCGAGTTTTAGCGAGACAAACAAACAGCAATCCATTTTTATATATAAGATTTAACATTATTGAATTTGATCCATAAATTATGCATATTGAACTTGTTTTGATGTGAATGATATTTCGTTTCTTATCAAGAAACATTTGAAGCAAGACGAAAAAATTAAAATAGTCTTTAAAGTAATTCATAATGTGTATAGCTGTTTATCTTTGGCCACCTTTGTTACCTCATAAAATGTTATTTTGATAAGGAGCAAGCGGTACGACAATAAGATAACGACGTTTATTTTCGACTATTAGATGCATTATTTTCAGTTTGTGTTTAAAGTCATTGCAGAATTATTTCATGAATGGGACATTTAAAAAAAATCATTATTATCTTTTAATTATACAGCGGCTTGAAATCGCGTCAAATAATGATACTTCTTTAATTTTATAGCATAATACCCAGTTTAACCTTTTTATACACACTCGAGCGACCGGTTTTCAAAGCAACGAACAACACCAAAACACATTTTGGTGTCATTGCCAGCAATCATAACTATGAAATAACTTAAAAATAATTCGAATGAAGTCTGTTGCGGAGTGGCGTGGCCGCTTACAGTCTAAAACCTTCACGCCAGTTCAATAAACATGAGCAATAAGCATCTTGCTAGTTACACCGAAAACAGTTCATGTCTGTCTGAGTGATGTTTCAAACAGCAACGGAACAGGCCGTTCTCTTTTGAGAGCTGTTATGTAAATTATCTGTTATATGAATATATATAAATTCGGAACCATCTTTAATTTAATGACTGAAATTTGCTTCTTTTCATAATAAAGGTGCTATAAATGTGAGTTTAATAGATAATTTGTTATTGCGCTCCTCTTTTGCGTACTACATGTTCTACTCAATGCGCCAGTTCCTGACCAGGTGGCGTGGGACGGTGGTGGTAGATGAAAGAAATCTCCTTCATCTTCTGACGGTACATGTTAAAGTATTTTAAATTACCACTAGTTCTTTTTGCTATACATAACAATACAAAATAAAATATCACTCTCGTAAATTCGGACATCGATCTTTTATTTAATGGCTAAAGTTCGCCTGTTTTCGTAATAAAAGTGCTATAAAAGTGAGATTAATGTATAAATTGTCAAAAACGTTTTGGCCCGTTACACAGGGGGCTTCGTCTTCCTTTCTCTTCCTCTGCCAGCGGTGAAAATTTTTGGATAATTATCGTTAAAATATTAGGCAATTTATCTATTAAATTCACATTATAATCTTCAGCTTGGGTCTAGACAAGTACTTAAAAGAAAAATAAAATAATCACAAAAGTGCTTTAATATGTCAATATTTAGATACCTATAATAACATAATACAATGTTTTGAGCCTTCATAAAATCTATAGATCTAAAACTGGAATATTTCCATATCCGTTATTATATTTTTTTATTATTATTATAGATATTAGATATCAGTTTGTTGAAAATAATCATAAATGTTTATTGTTGAGAAGAAAAAAAAAACATTAAAATGCTTATGAAATCTTCTTTTTATTTTGTGGTTTGGGACCAAGACCAGCCAGTTTCTTAATAATATATATAACAGTCAAGAAAGCGAAAGAAATTAATGCCACCAGATCTAGGTACATCTTTTGGTACCATGGCATAAGGAGAGCTGGAGAGCGTAGGTGAGGCGCCCCTCTGGTGCGTACTACATGTTCCACCCAATGCACCAGTTCCTGGCCAGGTGGCGTGGGACGGTGGTGATAGATGAAAGAAACCTCCTTCATTTTCTGACGGTACCTGTAAAAATATTTTTAAATACCGCTCGTTCTTTTCGACAGATATAACAAAGAGAAACATTACATTCTTAACTGAATTTGATACATTTAACGCATCAACTTTATAATTTTACTTTGTAATATGAAGACAAAAATATTTTTCTCGTACACTGAGGTGATGAAACATACGATTAGCAACAATTTGTTTAGAAGATTGCAAAAATTTGTAACCTACTTTGGGTTATTCAGGATTTCATGTATCGCGTTCCTCAAATCCCTCGCTCCATTTTCGGTTAAAACTACTTTCAAAGCGATACCTCTTTTAACAGAGAAATCGACGTTGAAGTTTTGATCGAAGAACACTGGTATCCCTATCAACGGTACACCAAAATGTACAGCTTCAGTCGTGGAGAGTAAGCCTCCGTGTGTGATAAAAATAGCACAGTTCGGATGAGCTAGAAAGGAAAAAGAGATAATTAGACGCAATTTAGTATTAAGAGTAGGCATGGTGTGTTAAAAGTTTTGCTTATTTGTAATTATAACGGGTATATCAATTTATTAATAACTCACAAAATTTTAAATTATTTTTAATTAAGATTATTATTTAGAAGAAGCAAAGAATGGAGATTCCCCTTTGTTAATTATATATATTCAGATAAATCGGATATTAATATGAGAATATAATATATAATATGATAAAATAATCAATTACGGTACCGTAGTTTTCTAGTATCCCATACTCAGTTATATACTTTACCTAAAACGCTAGTTTGCGGTGCCCATTTTAAAATATGAACGTTATTAGGTTTATTATTCAAGTTTTCTTCAAATTTCCAAATGACAGTTTGTTTCAATTCACCAAAAACTTTTAGTAGATCTGCCTTGACCTCATCGGGTAAATCCTTACTTTTCAAATTTGATCCTAAGCTAAAGTAAATGACTCCGTCCTTTGCACTATCCATTATTTGTTTCAAGTCCTTGAATAAAATTATCACAAGTTAAATTTTATATTTTTTACTTAAATCAGACAGTAACATTTCAATAATTACCTCAGGTAATGGCTTTACGTCGTCAACATGGTATCCAGCTATAGGGATATAGTTTTGAGGTAGTCTAATTGCCTGACCAAGTGACGCGTGTGAGTTACCTAATATCAGCGAAGCATTGTATTTGACATCATCAAATGATGGACAGTGTCGTCCCCGTTTAACTACTATAGGTCCAAAAGTGTTTTCGTAAAACTCTCTATGGACTGGTTCATAGAAGCTGCAATTTAAAAAGCCAATAGGGTGCACAGTGATAATTTTTAATGCTTGATTCTTTTAAGTTAATATAAACATAAGAACACTTCCGTATTAATAATCTAAAAATAACAACTCGTGAAATTGTTATACGAGCATAATTAGGGATGTGTAAAATTAGTTTTAAACATGAAACTATCGTAAGTGAATATTTTGGTCTCATTAACTCACATCATTTGCTTGATTGTGGATGTTATTTGAAACCACAGCGCGAAAACACGTTGACTGAAGGTGAACGGTGGTATATCGTTGAACTCAATGTTTGCTGTGTACGCTGGGTTAGTTGCCTCATCAATTAGACCTAACCCCACGAAGTTAGGTTCATAAGGGAAGGACCAGATGTATGGACAATTGAATACAGCTGAAAAGCTAAAAAATAAATAATTTAATTGAAAGGTCCAAAAATTAGATCTTCACAATGTTAATAGGTGCAGTTACTGTACCCGGAATAAATTTCGTTAAACATCCACTCCGCGATAACTACATCGAAATGTTCTAACGGATCATTGAGAAGGTTTAGTACAGCAGCATTAGTAAATGTATTCTTGGTCACATTCATTGTCATGTGGAAAAGCAGTTCCTGGTCCATCACCGACTCTTGCTTTATTAAAGATTGCACGTTCAGACTTTGAGCTGGTGTTGGAATAGAAAAATTTATTAAATTTTTATTTTATAATTTTATTATGATTTCCTTTTTTAAATATTAAAATAAATACGACTGATTTATACAGATACTGAGGCAATTTCCTTGGAATTTCTATATTTTTTCTAATTTTGTTCAAGAATTCTCAAATTAAAAGGATACTTTGATGTAAAGTTCTATTTACAGTAAAAATATTTGTTGTTATACTTGTCAAGAAAGAACAATATTCTATCTCACGTACCATTTACAACGTATACATTATCTGCGACACTTATCTGTCTTAGATTCGGATTCGGATTCTTCTTGGGAAAAGGAGTTATATACGTAACCTGTGGATTAAGAGAGCGCAATTTAATTTGCTAATATCTTCTCGTATTACATGTTTATCAAGGAATTAACACACATTATTAAATAAGATTTAATGGTATAAAAGTAACGTAGGAGCTTCTACTGTTGATAATCCGCAGTCTATGACTTTACTGAAGGCTGACGTGAAGAATTTCAAATATCTATTCATAATTTTTTATAGGGTTTACCACCTGGATTGGCAAAACTAGCTCCTTTCTCGTTGAACAATGTGGATTTCTCTTGAAAAAGCGATGGTAAAGTGTAATAAAAACATTTACTTCAAACAAATACAACGTGTTAGGACAAAATTCAAAAACAGAAATCTGGAGCACCCCGCACAGTGGTACTGCACAAAGGTTAATACGATTAATCAAAATTTGCAAAAAAAAAAAAAAAAAGCATAATCCTAAAACAAAATTGAATATTTCCCACAATACAGGGTTGACGTCAGACAGGCGGCCGGTCATAAAAATAAAGCCAATTACTGAAATAGCAATATGATTCCGAAAATAAATGATGGACTTGTTGTTCTGTCTCCTGCCCTTATCCCACCTAATGTGGGATAAGGGCAGGATAAGGGTAGGAGACAGAAGAAGAAAAGTAGAATACAAGGTGGCGAGCTGATATTGATTTATGGAGCGAGAACTTTTGGTATTCATTTCTATAGTTGTGTCTTACAGGTGTTCTTCTTCCAATTTTAATGATTTAGCTGTATCTGCATTTGCGACAAGTGTAAAACCAATCTTGATATATTCATATTTAACTTATCCTGAAATCGCTCCGTAAAATCAACATGAAAAATAACCAGGTAGGTGTTGGCAATTTCCATAAAAACCCCATACTGAATCAAATAGATTGAAAATGCGATTCAGTCAAACACCTTTCGAGAGCCATCTTACTCATGTGGGAGTCCAGGGAAGGTTTAAACGATGCAAAATTAAGAAAAATGTGCATGGAAAATCGAAATAGCAACAATTTTATTTTCCCATACAAACTGTACAACGTAACATGTTAACCTGTTAACTATATCTCTTTAACCTGTCAAACACTTTATGCGTGCGTTCTGATTCCTCTAGAAATAATTTATACGCTAAAACAAAGTTTGCCGAGTCAGCTAGTTAATCATAAAATACAATTTTAATGATGATAGATACGTAGAAATTACATTTTTTTTTTATGTGTAAAGTTGCCAAACGAGCAGACGGAGCAGACAAAAATTGGCTCATAAATTTATTGTTGGTTTTAATATGTATTTAACAAGGTATATCGTGTTTAAAATTTAATAATTAATATAAATCCCTCCGAAGTAAATAGTTTTTCTTCTATTTTGCTAGTAGCTGCAATGCTACGTAATAGTTCTATTAATTGGTGTCGTGTACACCAAAAACTTCATGTGTCTCCATGCAAAGTGTAACATGACAACGCACTTGCGATATAACATCAAAACACAGTGGCATGAATATTAATATTGATGGCCCATGTAACGCGATAAAATTACCGCTTGTCATGCTTGTCTCGCTAAACTCATCTTAGTATCTGGCCCGTTTGAATTTTGCAATGTGAAAGCCTGTTAAAATACTTTTACTGATTATTACATTCCTTACTAACTTCCTAAGTGTTTTAACATTGTCTACCTGAAAAAGATGCTTTGTAATTTATACGGGGTATATCAAGGTAATTTTTCACAATTATCTATATATATAAAAATTTCCCTTGGTCACGCCATCACGCGTGAACGATTGGACCGATTTCACTTTTTTTTTGTTGTGTTTGTTATCATCAGGAGAAGGTTCTTATGAAGGAAAAAAAATTAAAAATTAGAAAATTTAAGAATACTTAACCATATAATATTATTTCTAATATAACTTCTTTCAGATATTGTTTCCATGTTTTTTACATGGTCAGTTATATGTCGCCTGTTCCCGTGTCGGAATACCAACAAAACTATTTATATACGCGAGAATATTGTATATCATAAAGAATAAGAATAATAAACACACTTTTTTTTATTAATTACACCAATTCCAATTAAATAGTCCTCGTTAAGACAGGACAACGTCTGTCGGGTCAGCTAGTATATAATTTTTGTTCGCTAGACAGATAACTAGAGTGAATTAACACTACTGCACTGACTAGTGCAGTGACAATAAACAATATGATAACTGACGAGCTATATGGTCGGCACATTACCACTTCAGATTATTATCTGTCTTTTAGGATCCTTTATATATCCCTCAATATTTGAAGACTGTTAAATCAATGTGTGTTGTTAGATGCATTTATTAATATTTAGATTATGTTTATCACTTGTATCCTTTCCTTATTATAGATATTAATAGGGTTCACACATAATTGTACGTACGCTACTTTCAAAGAAAGTAATAGTAATGGTAAGAGTCAATAGAGTTCGTTAATAACGTTTAAATATGTTGAGTAAATAAATACATTACAGTATGAATTCCATATTAATACAACGTACTAAAGGTATTAAAACTTTTTGAGTTGTACAAATTTTAATATTCACCTCATGACCAGCGTTCAACAGATGTCTGACGTATCCATCACCAAGGTTGCAGTGACTTCCTGCTGGAAATGGGAACACGACCAATATCTTGTACGCACTACTTCCGTATAATAGTGAGAATGAACACATAAGTAACAAAAGTGCCCTCACAATGGACGTCATCTTCGAAATTCACGCAGACTTACTAAAATTTATGGACACTGAAACTGTACAAAAATTTGTTTAATTCACTTATCTTTTTATGTTAAAGTGTGTAGTTTAAACGCAAGCAATAATCATAAAGTAATATCAGAGATACGACAAATTTTGTAAACTTTAAAAAAAAGTTATGAACTTCAAATTATTTTCTGTCGATCTGAACGTCTGTCACGCGAACATTGCAAACACAATATAACATAAGATTAACTGGACCTTTTATATTATGATTGAGATCATGTTTACCTTTTTGTGTTGGCACACAAAAGATAATCAATCGTAAAATTAGCGTATTTAAAGTCATTATTTTAACGCACTCCGTGAACCATAGTAGATTTCCTTGTAGCATCAATATAAGCTGCGCCCACTTCAAGGTCTATTAAAATGTAAAGGAAATGCCACGTTTTGATGTAGATATTAAGGCCTAATTTCATTTAAAGTAATATTAATTACTCCTTATTAAATTTTAGAATCTCGTAGATGTGACCATTTGAAAATGTTCACATATTTATTACCTTACTTAATTCTAAATATAATAAAATGTTATCTCTAGTTGTTATGGGAACTTGAAATTATAGTAGAAATGTCACTTAGCTGTGATTAGATAGCGTTGTGTAATACGTATTTATCTACATCATTTATGGTAAAAATATATTAGTACTTATTGTGGTAATACAATGGGTTGGTAAGAAAGTAATTTTGATATTTTAGTGTTAATAGACCGTCTGATCCTTATCAGAAACACTCAACCGATATCAGTTCATTGTTATTATGGAAATTACTAATTTTAGTAGTTTTGAAAATTTCGAAATAAATGATAATTATATTTTAGTGTAATATTCCAACTCTAGCCTTTACGCTTATACACTTTTATGAGCTTGATACGAGTATGTATGTATCTATGTATGTATGTATGTATGTAACGGAATTCTCGAACGTGATTTTGACTGACTTCAAGTCGTCGAATTAAGTTGAAACTTTACACATTTATTAAGGACCGTTGACAATGAAATGATTATTTTGTCCCAATGATTAGTTTGTACCATTACCTGATCAGGACCTTGAGGATTAGCAATTTTTTAAATCCGATACCAGGTAGTATTTTTGTGCCAAGTACGCGCTTAAATAATGTTTAAAAAGTTAAAGACAAACACGTTTTTGTGTAGTTAGCAAAGTTAAAAAATAGAAAGTGAATATTAGTTTTAAAAAACTAAAAACACGCTTTCTTAGTTAGGCGAAAAAAAAAAGTAGAAAATAATGCAATAAATTTAAATTAAGAATAGTGCGAATTAATAAAAAAATATTTTAACGGAAGTACTGCTCAAAGCTTCATCCTGATTTGGGGTCATTCCAGGTATCCTTGATCAAAGCAGCCACCGATATTGGTATGGACCTCATTCGTGCTGTAGACTGACCGCGCAAGTTGAAGGCTTTTATGATTTAGTATGTTTCTTTTGGTATATAAATGGTAAAAACAAACATGTGTCAATTTTTTCACAATAAGCATGTGATAGAACTAATGACCCGACTAGATATAATATATTGTTAGAGGAATAGTAAGGCAACCTCACCATGGAGGGAAGTGTGCGGCACCGTTAACTTGTTTTAAGAAAAAAACTCTGCCCGATGGGAATAGTCAAACTGCCTGTTTTCTGATTTTGAATTTGGTAAATTCAGTGTCATTTAATTTTCTTTTAGATTAATAAGTTTATTATAATTATTTTGGTTTTTGGTCTCTAAAAATATAATATTGTTTAAGGATAAAATTATACAGTAAAATAATGTAATATATTGAATGTCTGTGGTATATCAATATGATATATCGTTGATTGATTTTTTTTGTATTGGCGCTAATGTTTGAGTTTTGATGTAAATCTTAGAAATTGTTCATAATACATGTTCGTGTTGTATTTTGTCGGTGATCGGAAGTATGTTACGCTTCAAATAAATACCATAATTGTTTTTAATTTCTTTAACATCGAAATAAATTATTATCACATACGAATAAGCTGAGAGTATACAGGTATGTTTATAGGTAAAAAAAATAAACGAGAAAGATAGTCATGGCGATTACAATTTTGACAATTTTTGTCCCGATAAACATATTGGCTTGAAATCAACGATCATTATTCACTGAAATCTTAAGGTACTTAAATTAATAAAAAATAATGATGAGTTGTTTTTTATCGTAAAATTACGTAATTAGCAAGCTTCTACGCCAACTGTGGAAGAAACCGAAAGCGGTAACTTATTCGTGCAAGTCATGCAAGCTACTATAATTTCAATTTATGATAAAAGAGCTAGTCGTTAAGTGTTACACCACCATTCACACCAATTTCTCGTATACCTCAGCTACTAGGTACCAAATGTATAGTGAAGTAATTGAACAAAAAGTGGTTATCATCTTCATCATCATCAGAAGACATGGTCGACATTTCTTTTTTTAAAAACATTGCCCTTACTTTGGGATAACATTATCCTTTGTTGTAAGGACGTTTTTACAAACATAAATATCACGCGGACAAACACCTAGATGCGGAACAACTATCTGTGGGTCACACAAATAGTTGTCCCGTGTGGGAATCGAACCCACGACCTCCGACGCCGAAGCCGATACCTTGTTGACTGCGCCACCGAGTCATCATTTGAGAACATTGAGGTTAAACAATTTGGCTTTTTTATATGTGGAAGTAGCAAGCGAGTTCAACTAATGTTAAGTGATAATCACCGCCCATTGATTGCCACCTTTTAATGAAGTGGGCCCCAGTTACCTCACTCACCAGACGAAGCCACCAGGACGAGCCTGCCCATTCGCGCAACAGCCAAGGCTGCTGCGTGGCCCTACCACCGTCTTGCCTCTCGGTAATTTTTTTACCGCTAAAAAGTTGTTCAAATTGCAGAAAAAGTAATATTCGGTAGGTGCAAGGTCTGGTGAGTATGGCGGATGAGGAGAGCTCCAAATCCCAACTCTTGCAGTTTGGAAACTGTCTGCAGTATGGGGTCGCGTTGTGTCGTGATGGAGCAGCGAGGAAGACCGATTGACCCAAGCTGGCAGATGTGCAAGCTTCTCCATGATTGTCTTTAGTTCTTCACGGTACACATCTGCAGTCACGCTCATGCCGTTTTGTAAGAAGCTGTGATGATTTCAACTGGTACTAGACCACCAAACAGTTACCTACCTTTCTAGGAGTCTATTTTCGTTTAGGGTATTGCTTTGGTGCTGAACCAGGATCTAACCAACTTGCTGATCACTTTCGGTTGTCGAACAGAATCCATTTTTCGTCGCATGTAAAATTCGGTCCAAAATTCCTTCATTTCCGTGGCTGTTGAGCTACGCCAGGCAGGTCTTGACGCGTACTTCGCACTGCGGATCGTTAAGGGGCACCGATCTATCAAGCTTTTTTACCTTGCCAATTTGTCGCAAATGGACCAATATTGTTTTGATGCTAATATCAAATGTTGCTGCTAGCTCGACTGTAGATTCAGTATCATCAGCTTTCACATTGTTGACTAAAGTGTCCGGACGACCACGAGGTTCAGTTTTAAAGTAAAAATTTCCAGAAAACCCGGGCAAACCAATAACGGGTTGTGCGTTCGTTTGTAAAGATCTCTCCTTAAACGTTGTTGATGTTACGTTAAAGACCTATTATATTTAACAACATAATTATGTTTTCTTTTAAAAACCGCATACTATTACGCAAATAAATTTATGGCAATATGCGTCTGGCTGCATTAATTAGTATAAAATACATTTGCTAAATAATTTCGTCAGGCGCATAAACGCAATTAAGAATAAATTTTAACTACATATAAGAGACAAAAACTACTCTTTGAAGACGAGCGCTAACCAGAAACGACTCTGGCTAATAAATAATCCTGTGTAGTTAATAAAGAGACATTTGTCATGTTCAGTGACTAAAAACGGAATGGAAATCACGTATATAAGTAGATACTTTAAAAATGTAGAATAAGTTTTGATACATGTAAATCTATATATTCACGTCGTTTGACGTGATCATGGTTTACCACGATTTTACTTGTCTTCAAAAAGACATAATTTATCAAATGTATAAAAGATGAATTCATTGTTTAAGCCAAGATTATATTGAAAATTTGGAGATTATTATGGTTCCGTACCTTAAAAGTTAAAAAAGGAATCCTTATAAGATCACTGTCTTGTCCGTTTAATAAGGCTTAAATAATTTCTAGGTCTAGATTCGAAGATTTATATTTGAAGTGCCCTTTACGCTGCTATAAATTAGGTGTCATGGTCTTTTGCATACAAATAAATAATGATAATTTTAGCATTTATAAAAAGTATAAATACCAAACCATAACCTTTCTATTAGGTAATTTTATTGAATTAATATTTCTAACTGAATGGATCATTGTGTTAGTTATAACGTTATATGTGAACGAAACAGAACCATTCTATTGTAATTGTGTTGTAGGGATATAATATCATAATAGAGCAGAACTGTCAATTGTAACTTTTGTTTGGTTTCTTGCAACAAAAGACTTAAGTGTATTAAATTATTTATTCTTACTTAAATTCAAGGAACAGTTTAAGAAAGATGTTTGTCTTTGTCATTTTCGATTTATTATAATTTTACCACGAATTGAGTTCTTCAATATAAACAGACAATACAGTTTTATTTAACAGACCCACACATTAATAACATTACATATAAAAATAAACAACTTTTCAATTTCTTTGCAGAGTTAAGGAGTAGATTGTGTTCGTTAACTTTTGTTGTTTTTATTTCGTACAGTGAGTGTATGGAGTAGCAAAGTAGTGAGACATTGCTATTAAAAAAGTAAAAGGCATCTATGATATAAAGGATATCATTGTATGAAGATACATGTAACATGTATGCCTTTTGGATTATTTTAAACTTGCTCATTATATAAATGTACGATTACTTTTATATAAATATTGGTTGAAAACATTAATATCGAACTAGAAAAATTATTACGAAAAAGTAATCCAAATTGCTTATTGTTGGTCTTAAATTATACAATCTTCATGAAATATAAATATATAAACTAGGCTCAAAAGTCTTCGCTAGAAATCTGTCTATCGGACAAAGCCAACTGACTAAAATGAAGATTGACAGCGTGACTATCATTTCAAGTAGACCAGAGGTTTTGGGTGAGATTGAGAGATTGAGATTCGAATGGCTCTTGACCATCTTAAGAACGGCAAAGCATCAGGAGTCGACGGAATTATAGCAGAACTTCTGAAAGCGTCTTCACTTCTCTTCTTCGTACTTGTGGTCCTTCAGATGTTCTTTAATTCCATCCTTCAGGATTGTTTTACATCAGAGGCGTGGAGAAAAAGTGTGGTGGTGCTGTTCTTCAAGAAAGGCGATAACGCTCTCTTGAAGTACTAGGTACCGATATATCTTCTGAGCCGCATCTAAGTCTCGTCATCGTCTCGCTTCCAGACTCAGTGACCACCACCATAGACCTGAATATATGTACATACCATGCGGCAGATTATACAGAAGACCTAAGAGTATAATCTGCCTTTATGCCTTGCGTATGTGGACTATGAGAAGGCCTTCGATTCTGTCGAAATTTGGGCGGTACTGCAGGCCCACCAGCGGTGCCAAGTTGACTGTTGGTATATCGAGGTGTTGATGTGTTGGTATATTAAGGCTATGATGTTCGTCCAAGTACAGTCCAGTAGTACAAAACCTATCCAACTGCAGATGGGTGCAAGACAGGGTGATGTCATATCGCCGAAACTCTTCTCCGCTGCGTTGGAAGATGTTTTCAAGCTTCTGAACTGGAAAGGACGTGGTATAAACATCAATGGCGAATACATCACCCACCTTCGATTTTCCGCCGACGTAATCATCATGGCAGAATCGCTAGAGGATAGAGTTCGCAACGAAGACATTAAAACGACCGCAGAAGAACAAAGATAATCAACATAGCTCAGAAGGTGAGTAACCTAAAGTGGCAACGGGCCTCCCATTTAGCTCGTAGAAGTTATAACCGTTGGGGAACAAAGGTTCTCGAGTGGCAGCCTTGTACTGGCCATCGCAGTGTTGGACGAACCCCACTAGGAGGAGTGACGATCTGTGCGAGTGTGCGGGAAATCGATGGCTGCAGGTGGCTCAGGATCGTGCTTCGTGGCAGTCTGTGGAAGAGGCCTATGTTCAGCAGTGGCCTAAAACAGGCTGAAATGATAATGATGATTTAGAAGAAGCAAAGAATGAAGATTCTTTGCTTCTTATTAATTTCCTATGTTAATTATATTTACTCAGATAAATCGGATATTAATGTGAGAATAATAATCAAAAACAATGTAGATAAAAGACTTAAAGATTTTCGTCGGTTTGGCAATCAGCCGTTTAGCTTAGTTGCTAAAGCGTCAGGCTGCGAAAGCTGAAGACCTGTTCGAGGTTCGATTCCCATAACGGCGGCAATCTTTTCGTACTTTTTATACAAATTTTAATGTTTAATTTTAAGAGCAGAGATTAGCACTATAAAAATTTTAATGTAACGACATATTAATACGTGACATCTAATGAAATTAGACTGAATTATGGACTGACAGAACGATGATATTTTACGTCTCGTTTATTTTGATCGTCTTCCTTCCAAAATTAATTATTCCTTATTTTTACATAAGAATATGAATATTTGTTTACGTTTTGTATTTCTTGTGAAAAATAAGTTTGTCTTGGATTTATCTATTTTTTACATTACGAGATTTACTTGGATTGATATATTTTTTTAGTTATGCTTATACTAAACTAAAATGCTGTTTGCTTTTTTTATAATAAATCTAGTCTCATTAATATAGTCTTTTCGTATAAATATATAAAATATATTGTTCGTGTTAGTCATGAATATCATACAATAATTCTTGTTCAATGCTTTGTATAATAGTCATTCACATCAATAGGACACTGAAATATTTAAAAAAAATGTAAAGTAGTTAACAATATAACAAAGCTTGTAAGTCATATAGCAATCTTGTGACCAATTACTCTAATTATTCAATTATTAATAGGCGCTTAAATAATTATATGCATTTGATGGTAGGTTCAAATTATTTGTGACACTAAAGAAATAAACGTTGATCATGTGTGGACGCTCTGTTATTTTAACCATTCCTGATTACTAATAGTGATACATACCAAAAAACTATAGACAAAGGTTTTCATCATTTTGTAGTCTGTACGAATAATGTAATTTTTAATCATAGAAGTTTTATTGTAATTATTAAACCTTACTTTAAGGTTTATCCAATCAGATACAGTCTGAACACCGGTTACACCAAACGAAAATCGACGTACCTCAAGGTACCATTAAATTTCAACAGGTGTACAATTGTGTTTGTATACCACGTATTTTACTTGAGGATTCGGCTTCAGCGACTGTTGGCGACTTTTAATTGGTCGAGCTTGATTGAACATTATATACTGAGGCAAATATTTAATGTAAGTGTTTTTTTTGTCACCCGCACCCTCGCTTGTATTCTTAGTGCGCTCAGTGAGCCCACTTGGAGCAGCCCTCTCAGGCTGCCCAGTGTGGGTTCCTTTTAACTTCGCTGGTACCAAGCCATGATTACTAGCCCCTTCGCCACCACTAGGCGTGAACCCGGGCGGAAAGGATGTCATACGTACTTTCGTTAAAGATTTGATGTCATCAATGTGGTATCTGCTTGGTACTCAGGTTATATTTTGGGAAATAAAAACAGATATTATATTTAGAACACATTTATTGGTTTTCGAAGTATATGCTAAATGTTGTTTTTTTTTACAATATGCAATTCGAGTAATAGTCTAACACTAAAAAACATAAATAATCTTTTATTTTTTCATCATTTCTAAGGCGCCATCTACTGCCAATATATGGTAGTTCCCTTTGACCTAGAATCACGAAATTTGGCAAAACGCAAGGTCTCACAGCACAAATAAAGGAAAAATTCCGAAAGACTCGTTTCTATATATAAGTATGAAACTTATATACGTAACAAAATATTATCAATTCTGGGTGTAAATGTCTCTCTTTTTTTAAAGTTATTTTTAGGACACATTTTTACACAATGTTCTCTAGTCCCAAACTAAGCAACGTTTGTACTAAGGATACTAGATAACTGATAAGTATACTTTTCTTTTGTAAATAAATACATATTATACATATATAAACACCCAGACACTAGAAATACACTATGATCATCACACAATATTTTTCCAGTAGTGGGATTCGAATCCATACCTTGTGGCGCAGAAGGCAGATACTACACACTACGCCATTCGGGGCGTCTTTTATGCGTAGTACTACTTATTTGCCAGAGTCGTTTCTAGTTAGGGCATGCTTTCAATGCGCAGTTTTGGCTCTAATTTATAGCTCTGATCTATTCATGCACCTGAGGTAATTATTTATAGCACATTTGTTTTTATGGCAATTAATTAACTCAGACACATATAACTGCATTTGCTTTATAGTATGAGAGTTTAAAAAATCGGAAAATAGCGTTGAAACATTACCAACTTTCAAACTGAATGGACTTATTCATTGTGTTAATTATATACGTTCAATGAAAACGTACCAGCACCATTCTATAGTGAACATGCCGCCTACGGCATGTTCATCATCATGGCATATCCTAATATGTCATAACATGATGCAGCAGAATTTGCTGACAATTGTGAGCTCTTCTTTTTCTTGCGACAATAGACTTATGCCCGGTTTCTGAAAAACTTTGATCTGATCAAAAATCAAATAAAAAAATTCTGATCATTAAGATGGTCATTATGATCAAATTAATCATTCTGATCATTAAGGAGATCATTGTGATCAATTCAGAGAGTTTAACCATCCTGTTAGAAATGACAATATAAAAGCCATTTGAGAGCTGATTAGTTAATTTCTATGATGATCAATTTTTCAGAAACCGGCGTTAATACTACTTAATTACTTATTCCTACTTTAATGTAAGAAACAATAAAAGATAGATGTATGTCTTTCATATTTTCGATTATATTTATATTACATATTTTCATTTTATATGCAGTTATATGTAGCATGTATGCCTTCTAAATTATTTTAAATATAAGTTTTTAAATAAATAACATTAATATCTAACTATAAAAATTGTTACGCGTTTAAATTAAATAGTCCAAAATGCTTGTTGTTGGACATAAAATTATTCATTAATACTTCATGAAATCTTGTTTTTATTTTGTGGTTTGATGCCAAAACTCGCTAGTTTCCTAATAGTATATATTACAGTAAAGGCAGCTAAAGAGATTAATGCCACCAGGTCTAGGTACATCTTTTGGTGCCATGGTATAAAAAGGGCTGGAGACCGTAGATAAGGCGCCCCTCTAGTACGTACTACATGCTCCACCCAATGCACCAGTGCCTGGCCAGGTGGCGTGGGACGGTGATGGTAGATGAAAGAAGTCTCCTTCATTTTCTGACGGTATCTACAAAAGCATTTGTAATTGCAATCACTTCATAATTTGCAATAGACATAATCATATAGTATATATATAGATAATATATAAGATGATATGACGATAACATATAAGATAAGATATATATATATATATATATATATATATATATATATATATATAAATAACATCAAAATAATATAATATACGGTCTTACTTGTAGTTAAATTTGAACTATTTTATAAGCAATAACACGTTACAGTATAGTAAATACTCGTAATACACATTGAAACGAATGAAAACATTCAATTTAGAACAATGCGAAATTTGTGACTTACTTAGGGTTAGTCAGGATTTCATGTATCGCGTTCCGTAAATCTTTCGCTCCGTTTTCGGTTAAAACGACTTTCAGAGCGATACCTCTTTTTACAGAGAAGTCGACGTTGAAGTTTTGATCGAAGAACACAGGTATCCCTATCAATGGAACGCCAAAATGTACAGCTTCAGTCGTGGAGAGTAGGCCTCCGTGTGTGATGAATAGAGCGCAATTCGGATGAGCTGGGAAATGAAAACAAATTATTAGATGTCACCATTATTTTGTCAAAATGTTTCTATTGGCATTTTTTATATTCAGCATATTATAGAATAATACCATATCACTTCAGAAGCTAATCGATAATGGTGTAGAATGTAGATGACTACTTGAAAACAGTCTAAAATTAAGATGTAAATGCGTGAGGCACTATTCAGTCAATAAAGTAAGTAAAGAAAAAGCTTATATATTATAACTGACATAACAGGGGGTGTTGAGGCATAGTCCACCACGCAACCCCATTGTGGATTGGCAGACTTATCATCAGACAGACATATCTTCCAAGCATTATTTTTCGTTATCATTTTGATATTTTGCTTTTGCTGAGCACGCGATAAGTCAGCACTTAAAATAATCGCAAAAAAATATTCGCGTTGGCGGGATTTCAACACAGGTTGCTCGAGTATAAATTAATTACAAGCGAGCGTCCGGACACTGAGCTATCTCGGCACCAATGAGTCCATAAATTGGATATTAACAGTTAATTACGCAAATGCAAAAGTAAGCAAATATTTGGAAATTTAAATTGTTTATAGTGCTAATCTTTGCACTTAAGATTGAACATTAAAATATGTAGAAAATCTTTTCGCACTTTTTCTACATATTTTAATGTTCAATCTTAAGTGCAAAGATTAGCACTATAAACAATTTAAAGTTCTAAAAAAGCAATGGCGACATCTCTTGTTCGAATTATCGTTGTAAAACGATATTCGAAATTGTTTGTATGCTGGAAAGGATATAACAATAGATGGCGCTAAGCATTGCTTCAAATGCTAAGAAAACAATGTAGAGGAATGCGTTAAGATTTTCGTCGGTGTGGTCATCAGCCGTTTAGCTCAGTGGCTAGAGCGTCAGGCCACGAATGCCGAAGACGTGGGTTCGATTCCCACACTTCCAAACTTCTCAATGGCATACATTCAATACCTAAAGCGAATAAAATCCAAACATTTTGATACTCCAAACATTTTTATACTTTACCTAAAATACTGGTCTGTGGTGCCCATTTAATTATATGAACATTATCTGGTTTATTTTGCAAAGTTTCTTCAAATTTCCAAATGACGGTTTGATTGAATTCGCTAAAAACTTTTAGCAGATCTGCTTTGACCTCGTCGGGCAAATCCTTACTCTTCAAATTCGATCCCAAGCTAAAATAAATAACTCCGTCCTTTGCGCTATCCATTATTTGTTTCAAGTCCTTGAATAGAATTGTAAGAGTTAAATTATAATAGCGATGTTACTGTTTTGAATAACACGAAGTAAAATTATAACACAATGAAAAAAGTTTGTTTTTTATGTAAGAAAAGGACGAGCTTGCGGTCCACCTGATGTTAAGTGATAACTGCCACTTATAGACATTTGCAACACCCGTAAGGTTGCAAATGTGTTGCCACCTTTTAATATATGGGCCCCGGTTACCTCACTATGAGGTCGTGGTACTTCCCTAAGTCTTGCCCGCTGCTCAGTCTTCGCTGCTGCACGAATGGAATCTTTGAAAAAGCTTTTTACAAATATTTTAATCTTACCTCAGGTAATTGCTTAACATCTTCAATGTGGTATCCAGCAATGGGGATGTAGCTTTGAGGTAGTCTAATTGCCTGACCAATTGAGACGTGCGAGTTGCCTAACATTAGTGAAGCATTGTGTTTGACCTCATCATATGGTGGGAATTTTCTTCCTCTCTTAACCGTTGCAGGTCCAAAAGTGTTTTCGTAAAAATCTCTAAGTACAGGTTCGTAGAAGCTGCAATATTAAAAACGATATTGTGAACTGTTAAACAATAGCTTTTTTCTTATACAATTTTTTCATTTATTTTGGGAGTAAATAAAAAAAAACTGCAGGTCAATCATTAGTTTGATTATACATGAGTATAAGACATAGTTGTAGATTTTTTATAATAACGTATGTACCCAATATGGTCTTTAACGAATATGTTATTCATAAAAAAAGAGTAATAGAAAACAAGAGAGGATAAAGACATGTGTGCACGATTTATTTAAACCAATGTAAAATATTATAATTATAATTTGTTATGCAGGTGAAATAAAATGAATTTACAATTATTAGCATAGTCACCTCCAGCCCCACTCATTAGAGTGGATATAAGATTTGCAAATATCAGTATTTTTATAAATAATATATCTACCTACAATTCGTCAATAATGGTTTTACTTTGTTCACCCAACATACCCATTTTGTTCAACCAAACCACGCCACAGTCTTGTCAGTTAATAAAAAAAGTTGTTTAAGTCTTGATAAATTAAACTATTTTATGGATTTTATGGATTATTTATTTATCGCGTTTAGTTAGATATTTTTTCTTGATGAGATACGTTAAACAACTCAGTCTGTACCGTGACCATGAACGCTAGAAAGGGTTCGAAACGTCAAATGAATTTAAAAATCTAATTAAACGCGATAAAATCCTTAAAATATGTAGAAAAAGAACGAAAAGACTGTCGCCGCTGTTCGAATCGAACCCACGTCTTCGTACTTTTTCTACGTATTTTAATGTTCAATCTTAAGTGCAAAGATTAGCACTATATACAATTTAAATTGCGAGTTTCCTTAAAAACTATATCAAAAAATTAACTGGAAATACAAAAATACAGGGTGGCTTTTCTAAAGGTACCTAAATTCACACAGGAGGCTCAGACTCAGTAGTATAATCGTTTATTGAAACAAACACAAACTTTTATTTTTTTTTTAAATTGTCATTATATATTTATTTAGTCATTATACAAATATGGGGAATATTTGTATAATGACTAAAACTTTGTTAAAACAGAACTTGTTACTTGACTATGCGGTAGTCATTCATAAATGCGTCGTATACTTTTGAAACGAACTTGTGTGCGTGTTAGTTATGAAGGATCGCGCATAAAATAAATGAGTTGTCCATAAATCACGTACATTTTGAGATAACTTGAAATGAATGTATTTAATTAATTAAGAGCGAATTTAAATATTTATCATTTTTATATAACATTATTTATGTCTAGAATTTAATTAATAAAACTGAATACACTTAGAAAAAGCTCCCGCATCAACGAAAAGTCACATCTTTCATTATCTATATATCTAGTTTATAAACAATAATGTAAAACTGTAAAATATTACAAAGTACCAGGAAGTAAAAAAAATAATAAATGACTCGAGGAAACAACTTACGAAAAGGTGCTCTACGAGCATAATGGAAGATGTGAAGATGAAGAGAATAAAATAAATCCATTATAGATGAATTCTAGATACAATCTAGCCTTAGACAATACAAATTTTAGTGAAATAAACTTACATGTTGTGTTTGAATTTGGATGTTGTTTGAAACCACAAGGCAAAAACACGTTGTCTGAAGTTGAACGGTGGTATATCGCTGAATTGAACGTTAGCTGTATACGCCGGACTAGTTGGCTCGTCAATAAGACTTAAAGCGTCGAAGTTGGGCTCGTGAGAGAAGGACCAAATGTATGGACAGTTGAATACAGCTGAAAAACTAACAATGAAATTAATTTTGTTAAATTGGAATTTCCACTAATTTAGATAACTGATAAATTAATAGATGTAAATATTGTACCCGGAATAAATGTCGTTGAACATCCACTCCGCGATAACTACATCGAAATGTTCCAACGGATCATTGAGCAGTTTTAGTACAGCAGAATTACTAAATGTACTCTTGGTCACATTCATGCCTATGTGAAACAGGTGGTCCTGGTCCATCAATGACTCTTGCCTTATTAACGATTTCACGTTCAGAGTTTGAGCTGCATTTAAGAGAAATTTTTGATTGTTTAATGATTTTATCAATGAATCGTGTTGCGCATGTTTTTTTATTTCTTTTTTAAACTACAACGATTTAGTAAACATATACTGTTTAAATAAAGATTGTAGACCACTTTCATTAAAAACTCCTTAGTCGTCATTAATTTTGTTTGAGAAGTATTTACACAAACGATGCAAACACACACATTTTAAATTATCGGTTTCCAATTCAAGGCTAATTTTAATCATTGCTGTTATGGGTTGAAAGTACAGTTTATATTAAAAATATTAAAGATCACTGCTTTCCAAGTGAAATAAATAAATGAAACAACTAAACATGACCTCATAGAAGACCTGCGTTTTGTCTGGTGAGTGAGGTAGCCGGAGCCCATTTCATTAAAAGGTGGCAGCGCATCTGCAACCCTACTTGTGCTGCAAATGTGCATGGTTGGCGGTTATCACTTAATATCAGATGAACCGCCGCCATGCTTGCCACCATCTCACATAAAATAAAAAAAAAAAAACACTTGTTAGGTACTTACAATTAAGTGCATTTAAGTTATTAGCGACACTTATCTGCCGTAGATTCGGATTTGTATTTTTCTTCGGAAAGGGGGTAATATATGTTACCTGTGGATCAGCGCAGAAAAATTTTATTTATAATGTCTTGTGTACTAATTTAATTTATACATAAATATATAATTTATTGTGGTAAAACAATGGCGAAACTTTCGCCGTTATATATGTATATATGGCGTTAATTATATGTTACAATGAAGCCCTACTGGGTTCACGAAAAAGTTTTGTCCAGTTATTTACATAAATTCACATTTTTATAAGTTTCACCTTGAGTTCAGAGAGTAGTACAAAAATAAAATTGAATCATAGACACATAAAGTTTCATCCTAAACACATGTGCCTAACACTAAAATTGAAGAAAATAAAATTGATTATACAAATTCATAACTACAATTCTTCCATCAATGCACGCCATTTCTGGTCAATTTTGGAGGTGTAAATGATTTTTTCATTTCCAAAAATAGTCGATAAATAAATGTTCCTCGTAATTTTACTTAGTGTATTAAAAAAATTATAACGATTAATTGATATTTTTATTTCATTAAGTGAAAACGTATTAGTTTACAATAATTATAATACATCCCTGTAATATAATATAGTATAAATATTTATAATAACTAGGTTTTTGAATATAAGGTGAATTAAATATAAAGATTGATGGAAATCGAATCTAAGACGTCTATTTGTTTAGCATAATCTATGTCACTAAACTCACTAAACGGCTGGACCGATTTTAATGAAATTTTTTGTTTTAATTTGAAATAGAAGTTTGTCTTTTAATATAATGATTCTTTTTTTAGTTTTATTGTATCCCCTTGTTTTAAATGTTTGTAACATTTTACTGTAGTAGGGTCGCTGTGGCACGAATGGGCAGGTCCGTCCGGATTAGTACCACGACCTACTGAAGGCCAGCGTGAAGTAGAAGTGCTACGCTTCAGCGTTTCCTTTGGTGAGTGAGGTAGCCGGGGCCCACTTTATTAAAAGAGGACAACGCATCTGCAACCCTACGGATGTTGGAAACCTCCATGGGCGGCGGTTATCACTTAACATCAGGTGGACAGCAAGCTCTTTTGCCACTTTCTCAGATAAAAAAAATCAACTTTTTTCGAAAATCCTCATAAAATATCAACTATCAGACGACAAGGCATCGAGACGTGTATATAATATCAAATTATTATTAAAATATATGGGATAATCCTTACTTCCTTACTAATATTATAAATGCGAAAGTTTGTATGTATGGATGGATGTTTGTTACTCTTTCACGCAAATACGGATTTTAATGAAACTTTGCAATAATATAGTTCACAGAGTAAGACAGGCTATAATTTGTATACATATGTATATCTGTCTTTCTGTCTGAATGTTACGCCTATTCTACGCAGACGTAGTCGCGGGCAGCAGCTAGTATTATTAATAAGGTTAATATATAATTGCTCAACATATTATATGACATCACATTGATTACATGGACATTTAAATAACGCGGAATGAGTGTGTTTATTTTTATATGACGGATAATATCTTAAAGTTAAATATTTATAATTATATTAAGAAATAAATTTTATATTGTTAAACCGACAACCTGAGTGACAATTACTGATTATATTTCAATATTTAATTTTTAATAATACCCCTACATTTTCATATGCACATTTCAATTAATAAACACCGTTTTTCACAGAATAGTACACACAACATTTTTTAGCAAAAAGAAATAGAATAGAATAAATCGTATTTACTTAAATTTCATTTTATCGATTAGTTTAAATTTCATTTTGTCTTCAATATTATTAAAAAAAAAAGCGAATCAATGCACCAAATATATTTTTAGTTTTAAGTGTTGCGTTATTTACCTCATGACCAGCGTTCAATAGATGCCTGACGTAGCCATCGCCAAGTTGGCCATGACTCCCAGCTGGAAATGGGAACACGACCAATATTCTATAAGCTCTACTTCCATAGAACAGAGTGGTTATGCACATAAGAAACAAAAGTGTCCCGACAATGAACCTCATCTCAAACCAACCGCTAAGTAGACGAGTAGAAAGTCACAAAGTAGACGACACTCGCTGTGTACTAAAATTTTGCAATTCACACATCTTTTAAGCTAACGTATTTAGTTTAGCAACGATAACCTTAATGTGGGATCAATGTTACTAAATTAAAAAAAAAAAAAAAACTAAAAAATTATACTTGTTTCCGGTTGACCTGCACGACTGTCACGCAAACTTATCATGCTAACGTTACATAAAACTAACTGGTCGTCCATAGTACAACGGAGATCGTGAGTTTGCGTTTTGTGTGTTGCCAAAATTTACATATTCGATCGTAAAATGAGCCTGTTAAAAGTCATTATTAAAACGCAACTCGATCAAAGACATATCACAGTTCAAAAATCTTCCCTGAAGTCTTCAAGTCGAAAAGCTGCGTAGACTTCAAGGTTTATGAGAATCGAAAAGGAACTTTATTATTTACATCTCAAGGCTTAACTTCTTAAAAAGCACTTGGCTGCTTTTGAAATTCGAAAATCTCGGGGACGTGAACAATTTTATTTTCCATATACAGAATAAATATTGATTTTAATAAAAATCGTTATATGCACTAGAGGAACACTGAATTATCATATCTAGATCTATCAGTTAGCGTTTTAAAAGGCACCACAATGCTTCATCAAAAGTTAGCGGTTTTCTAATTTTTGGTGAAGCTATTTGAGTGTAAAATTCAATTTTGCATTAAATTAGCACTAAATGAGCACTTATTTTTCTGCTGAAATTTGAGTGAATCTGGCCAATTGACCATTACAGCTTAATGTACACGTCCATTAAGCTGTAATGGCCAAAAGAAGTATGATCAAAAATAGATTTCAGCTTACATATATACCGTTTGAAAAGGAGTCGAGTCTATGTTCTATAAAATCGGAGGGCGTTTATTACTCAAAGTATTTGTGAACTTGTCTTAATTGTAATAAAAGTAAATTTGTATGGTTAACATGGTTGGTTTGGTATGGTTATGGTGGTAAATTTCTTGTAGAAATTATTATATAATAATACATATTTCCAATTAATACATATTTATTTTATCCTTTGATCATTATATCTATATTAGGTTTTGTTATGGTAATGTACTTACATAAATCTAAAATAGATGACTAGGTTATTGGCTTGTTGCTAAGTTATTGGCTTCGGCGTCGATGGTCGTCGGTTGGATTCCCACGCAAAACAAATGTTTGTGTGACCCACGGATAATTTTTCAGAATCTGGCTGTTTGTATCGCAAGGAGCGTAGACGACTGGCAGGCGACCGTTCGTAAAAATGTAGCAAACATTTACAGCAAGATCCATGTTGTGCCGACCCAACCCAGGTGGATAACGGCAGGAAGGTGATGATGATTGTACATATGTAAATCCCGTTGTTGTCGATAAGGGGTTTCCAGAAGTCTATGTGTCTTTGGAAAAAGTCACTATACTGGAAGAAAACGTATGACATTTGATAACAATTTACTGTCTTAATTGGAACTTGCAATTGTCAGCAACATTATTACACCTTGTAGTTACCTTTCCCTTCTCTCTTTAAAAAAGGGAACAGATAACAGCCTAGTGTGACTGTCAGTTCTTAAGGAAAATAATGTAGAAATATTTTGGAAATAAAGTTATAAGTATTTGTATTTGTTTTTCTATTATTTGTCATTGATATTTTCTAAATACTGTTAGGTATTATTAAGGTTCATCAAATATCTTTTATTCCTTAGAGGATATTGGAAGTTTTTTTTTAACAATTGATTTGCTATTTAAGCAATAATATACTAAACTAGTTGTAAATTCATCATACTACGAATATCACGCTAGACTTACAGGTCATTTAAAATGTTATCGACAACTAAACGGGTGATATAATCGCCGTGTGCAGAGTTTTTTTTGCTTCCCGACATAACATCGTTTGTTATGTCTTAGTTGAAGCGATAAGATCTTGAGAAGATTCCTAAACTATTTATTAATAATTCTTAAACTGTAAAGAGTGATCGTCACTACCTTTATTCAGTATGGCTCCTTTAACTTTAATTTCTGTAAATTCTGATAAAGTATGTAATTGTGGATTATTTTTAAATTTTGGTGCTAATATGCACTCAAGGTGAATTTCAAATGTGAAGACAAATTGTTGAAAAATTTTCCAGCGTCGTGGGTTTCCAATTCTGGGTAATGTAATCTAATATATAAAATTCTCGTGTCATGGTGTTTGTAATTGAACTCATGATTTTCATGAAATTTTGTGTGCATATCGGCCACGGTGGAGAATCGGACATCTATTTTTCATCCCCCTAAATGTTACGGGTGGTCTACCCCTAAATTTTATTTTTATTTTTTACATAGTATTTTTTGT